AGTCACAAAGACGCTTCCTACGACTGATATACAACCAACAATTATTAGAGATGACTTGTCTTCCGTTTGGCCTGAGTACAGCCCCAAAAACCTTCTCCATACTGTCCAATTGGATTGCTCAAATGTTGCGGCAAAAATGGAACGTAAGAATCATAGTGTACCTAGACGACTTCCTTATTGCACATCAGAATCAAAATACCTTGCGCAACCATGTAAAACTTACGATACAAACGCTACAGAATTTGGGTTGGCAAATAAATTTCGAAAAATCGATACTTTACCCTCAAAAGAATATAATTTATTTAGGTATAGACTGGAAACCTTGGGAGAATCTAAAATCTCTACCAAAGGAGAAGGTTATCGCCTTAGCAAAAAAGACGAATTATATACTCGAACAACAAAAAGTAACCGTCAAAGAGTTACAACAAATAGTAGGGATTCTAAACTTTGCCAGTTTTGTTGTGCCACGAGGACGACTCAATCATCGACAATTATTAACAATGATGAATTCACTACCACAAACGTCATCTCGAGCTTACCCACTAACGAAGGAAGCCAACAATGAATTAAAATGGTGGGTACAGAATTGCCATTTATCCACACCACTACATCACCCTCCTGCGGTGAATTTCTTAGCAACAGATGCTTCGGATCGGGCGTGGGGGGCACAAATAAACAATCTAGCTCTCTCGGGGACCTGGTCACCAGAGGAACAGAATCTTCACTGCAATCAAAAGGAGATGTTGGCCATACTTCATGCTCTCCAAAGTTATGCTCCTCAGATAAGTCGCAGCTCAATCCTAATTCAATGCGACAGCAAAACGGCAGTCGCTTATCTACAGAAAGAAGGAGGTACAAAATCAATAGCATTATTGGAAATAACTTCACAGATTCTAAATTTACTCGATCATTATCAAATACATTTCAACATACATTACCTTCCAGGCAAATTCAACAATTATGCCGATCATTTAAGTCGCCATCGCCGACCCCCGGAGTGGCATTTATTACCTGCATGTGTGGAAGTAATCTTTGCAAAGTGGGGCAACCCAGTGATAGATCTTTTTGCATCAAAAACGGCACATGTAACAAGCAATTATGTGTCTCGAGATTTAACCGATCATCAAGCCTTATTTCACGATGCATTCAGCGTCCCATGGAATTATCCAATAGCATGGGTATTTCCACCCCCATATTTGGTTCCCAAAGTATTAACTCACTTAAATCAGTCGACGGGGACATTTTTGTTAGTAGTTCCTCGGTGGGAAAAAGTATTTTGGCGAGCGGATCTGAAAACCCGCGCGCTATCAGCACCGTTTACTCTGAGGAACCTCAACCAACATCTAGTCGATACGTCGACAGGCCTCCCACCTCCGAAAGTAGACGAGATTGTACTGGAGGTGTGGAAATGTGGGGGTGGTCTTCAGCGATAGAATCATGGAACTCTGAACAACGCTCATTACTCAAAAACTCATGGCGTGAGTCTACTTTGAAAACTTACCAAACAGCATGGGCACGCTGGATTTCTTGGTGTAGAAATAAAAGTATCAATCCAACAAATCCAACTGGATCACAGTTAGCTCAATTTTTATGTGATCTACATTTAGTAGATAAATTATCTTATAATACGATTCTTCTACACAAATCAGTTGTTGCCACTTTATGTAATACCGATATGTTTTGTCAACTAAGTTCACATGTCCTAGTAAAACATATTTTAAAAGCAATTTCCCTAAAAAATCCAAAAACTTGTAAACCACCCATTTGGAATGTCAGTAAGTTGTGTCAATTCCTAAACAATTGCATAATAGATATGAATAATATATTTCAAGTATTCACGACATACTGCCATTTTGTTACTACTATGCTCAGGCAGACGTATTCATGATTTAACGTTACTCAGGATAGATCCACCTTACTGTGTAAAATCTGATGATAATATAATTTTTTTGGCCTCAATTTGGCTCAAAAACTGACAGCAGTACTTATAGACAATCTGGTTGGAAATTACTTTTAAATCCCGATAACCGTAATCTAATTCCGCTATTTTGGATAGAGAGAACTATATCTTTGTTAAAAGAAAGACGTGATGCTACAAAGTCTTTTAATTTATTCATTACAATTAGAGGTGTTGCCAAGCCTGCTTCACGAACCGTAATAGCTGGATGGATCAGAACGCTTTTAAAGGAAGCCGATATAGCAGCTACTCCAGGAAGCGTTCGATCAGCTGTAGCCTCTAAAAGTTGGCTAGAGAATCATTCTGTTGAAGATATTCTAGCTCGTGGGAATTGGCAATCTGTTAATACATTCCAACAGTTTTATAGAAGAGAAGTTATTAGGAGCGATAATTCTGATACCATTACTCGATTGTTTAATCCAATTACTTGATTTATCATGGGTTTCGTTTGGTACAGACTAATAATTAATAAAATCATTATAATTTAGTTATACTTAATTTTGTTAGCACAAGTACATGAATTATGTAATATTTATTATGTTACCTAATTATATATAAAATAAAGACGAGTTTATTTTTGCTGTAATCTACTCATTATCACATTGGCGTTTCAATTACTTATTATTCAAAGTACCTAATTATATAGAGCAAGCAGGTATGGCATTGCATATACACCCCTAGTTCCTATTTCGATAACTTAATGCTTCACAAGTCCTGAGCTTTAAGCCCACCTTGTACCTTTGTGTATTAAAATTTAATTAAACAAAGAAGTAGTGGCGTCACCAGGCAATAACAAACAGGTCTCAATGTATAAAGCTTCCAGTGACGGTCAAGTACTTTAATAGCAGCGTTTTACCTGAAATAAAACGCATATTAAAATACTTACCTCACTGGAAGCTTTAATTTTATTTTGCCTGGTGAAACATTGAGTCAATGACGATAAGAAGCACATTTTTACAAAAGTAAAAATCGTGCATCCCCGCCAGGTGTCGCCACTGAGCCGGAAATTCCGGTATAATAATAATAATTTAGGACTGGCTAACGACGGAAACGGAAATGCTCTCTCAATGTATAAAGCTTCCAGTGAGGTAAGTATTTTAATATGCGTTTTATTTCAGGTAAAACGCTGCTATTGTCTACTTTTGAAACTGTTAACTCTATTATTATTGTTACGAATTGCTATACTTATGTACGGAAACGTGTTTTATCATTGTATTTTTCGTTTCGCAATTTGCATACCTGCTACTTATCTATTTAATAGTTGGCCTTGAGTTTAATGACTTCACCTAGTTTTCTCTATAAATATTGTAATACATGTTTTTTTTGCTATTTTCTTTTGTTTTTAACTTTTTAAAAAGCCGTATTTTTCTATTGTATCCACTAATATCATGTGATTATTTACTTCAATTCTGAACTGATTTTTATGACGTTTTTACAATAGATAGAATTTACTCCCGTGTCGGTAAAATTTATATCAGATTTATTTGCTATGCAAAATCTACTCATAGATACAAAATTTCGTGTTCTAAATTCAAATCGGAGATTTTTAATCCTTTCCTATTAATATAATAAATACGAATATTTGTAACGATGGATGGGATGTATGTTACTCTTACACGCAAAAACAACTGAGCGAATTTGAATGAAATTTGGTGCACAGGTAGATTATATCCTAACTTGGCACTTAGGATATTTTATGTATTAATTCACATGGGTAAAAGCCGCGGGATACAGCTAGTAATATCTAATGTGTTTACGAAACATCTCGTCGTCCTTTTGGTGGGGAAAGGGATTGTTAGTAATGAGTTCTAACAGCCCCCTGGAAATCGTCGTGGTTAATTTTTGTCGAATTCTTCACAATGGGCAGATTGACCTGTTCTCATTCTCATCTATCATCCCTCACTGGAGCCCCGCCAGCGTATACCGATAGCTCATTTTCACCCATTAATAATACATCTGAGGTCCTACCATAAAATGTTTTCTGAAATTTCGGAGCCAAACGAAACACAAATTTGATGTTAAAATTACATAATACATGCCGTTTGGAAATAATAAAAATGTTAAAATATTGTTCCTTTGATATATATATATATATATATATATATATATATATATATATATATATATATTTATTTATTAGTCCGATTTTGGTATAAACAAAAACACGAAATTGAGTCCTAAATTTCGGAATTTCATTTCATGGTAGACCCGCTGATCGTCTATAGGTACGTCTTATTCGTTACAAAACGAGAATAAACAATTAGAGAACATATTATAAATTCTTTTTTTTTTAGAAAAAAAAAACTTGTTATCCTATAAAAGTACGCTATAATTCTATTTCGTAATATGACTGTAACGATAATGTAATTATAGGATGTGTGATATGGCGCGCAAATTGACCGCCCACATAATTATGTGGCGGTACACGTGGTGTTCGGTCACTGTTAGAAATGAGACTTCTTGTATAATCGACTGTCGACTATAAAGGCATATTTATTTAATAATGTCCAACCGAAACAGGTTTTACATCCGAAACCGAACTTTCGGCCTTGGTCTCAGTTTCGGCCGAAATCGAAACTTACTGAAACATATTTAAAATTTCTCTTCTGTACTGAAATTAGTGTATTATTATACAATTAATTACACAAACACACAGACAGTTAAAGGGTTATAATAAATACTAATTAAAGTATGTAACAAATATGTCATATATATATTTAATTGTAAAAAAAAAAAATTCAAATTATGACTTATTCTTGGAAATAAAATTAAAAAAAAAACTTTCAGTTAGATATACACACACACACACACAAAGTTTCGGCACGGCCGAAAGTTTCAGCTAATTTTTGGCCGAAACCGAAACTAAGAGGAAACACGAATGGGACAGAGGTACCCAAGCAATCGACTTTTGTACAAAATCTCCCTTTGGTAAATACATACTCGTAGTATTTGGGAAGAAGAAGAGGACAGGCTATATTTTTTCTTAATATGCGATATGTGGATTTTGACATACCAATTTTGATTAATTTAATTTAATTTATAGGCTGAGCAGCGGCTGGCGGCGCGGCGGGCGGCCCGCGCGGAGGCGCGCGAGATACGTATGCGCGAGCTCGAGAGGCAGCAGCGCGAGCAAGAGGACCATGCCGACAAAGCGTATGACATGTATGCAGGTGTGTACCACTATGTTTAGTATAGACCAGGAGTCTCCAAACTACGGCTCGTCAGTGCCATCAACTCGACCCGCGACAACTTGAGACTAGTGTTATCAATCCTTGAGACTAGTGTTATCAATCCTAGTGACTAGTTACCAGAAATATAGTTAAGGACAGATAAATTAAAACTGTTTTGGCCCTTAGAACATACTGGAAAAATAATTAAGGCCCTAAGGCTTGAAAGTTAGGAGATCCCTGGTATAAAGTTATGCTTGCAGTAACTTGTAACAGTAAGGACGTTTGGAAGAAAAAGCACAAAAAAGAAATATTTGCTCGTGTGAATATATTGATAAATTATATATATATATATATATATATATATATATATATATATATATATATATATATATAGGCTTGAAGTATTAGAGCAAGTTCATATTACTATACGCATTCCATTCCTTTTTTTTTTTAAATACGACCGCGAGAAGTTTGTCCTAACAGGGTGTATTACTTGTTAATAATCCCTTCCTACCTTAATGTTTGACTGGTCATGTGTTTACAGAGACGGTGGGTCGCCGCGGCGGCACCCGGCTGGCGGCCCTCAGTCCGTCGGTACACTCGCCCCGGCGGAGCTCCGAGGACTCCGCCGACGACACGTTTAGTATCAAGGACCTTAGAGTGAGTTGTTTCGTCATTTGTTATATTACCGTTATTTATGACTTATATATTACTGGACTTAGTCCCATTTTATTCCCAAAGGGTTGACGTCAGGCAGGCGGCCGGTCGTAAAACTAAAAGCCAAATCTTTTTGTAATATGGATAAAAACATATTACGCCGACCCCAAATAATAATTGGGATAAGGGTAGGAAGATGATGATATTACTGGACTTAGTCATTACTCATGTGAAACTTTTTTCCCAGTTCCCGTGGGAAACCAGAAAATGATCGTTAAAATTAGTTTACCATTGACGAATATATCGCGTACGGCATAAAAAAATATAAAAAAAAGCAGTTAATGCAAATAATAAGTTTAAAATAAAAAATATTTTTATTTTATTATCTTGGTTCTTATCTCGATTCGTATTGTTTTTTTTATCATGTTTTTGTTGAGGCTTTAGTACACCTGAGTGACTATGCCGGCCTCATAGGGATTGTCTGAAAGTCAGTCTGTCAGTCCGTCAGGGACACCTTTACCGACAGATATAGCCGTTTTGCATTACGACTGCCAGGTTGACCCAGTATTAAATTGATGTTACGGTTATGTAATGGCATATCGCCCAGAATCCGCTGTTTCAGGTTACAATTTTATGTGTTTTTGCCATGATATTTGTTACATGATGTTATTTTTTAATTACCAACTTGAATAATTTTCGATATGCCAACGCGTTGGTTTTATATTAATTAATAAATAATACGTCATACCAGCACGAGTTGAAAGAAGTGCAGGAGAAATTCCGCAAGGCGATGATCCTGAATGCGCAGTTGGACAACGACAAAGCGGCGCTCGGCTACCAGCTCGAGCTGCTCAAGGACCGGATAGAGGAGCTACACGAGGAGTACGCACAATTGCAGGTGCGTAGTTTGGGAATAGTTATTTTTATGTAACTTAGAATCGCAAAAAACTAGATGTTATGTCGTATAGGGAGGTCAATTGGAATAGAGCTGGCTGGAAGAGAATGCATGAATTAGTTGCCCTGACAAGAGGAAACTTAAAAAGAGAAGAGAGAGAAAATCGCAAATAAGGCGGTTTACCTAATGGAAAGTGAGAACTGTCGCCTATAGCTATGAACAGCACTGTGGACGTTGTAGAAAAATACACACTGTGAGACACACGGCATTCCTCATGTTTCGTTATGTCTGAGATTTATGGTTGTATGTCTTCATATCCTTTAATTTCGGTGCCATATCCCATTGTTTCAAACGGAACCATTGACACTTGGGTAGCTCGAGGTATTACGTTTTTCAAGGCACTTTCTTCTACGCACAACCACGCTTTGGAATCAACTTCCAGTAGCAGTATTTCCGAAACGATACGACATCGTAACTTTAAAGAAAAGAGCATATTCCTTTTTAAAAGGCTTACAGCACGTTTGCAGTGCTTCTAGTGTTGCGGGTGCTCATGGGCGACGGTACTTACCATCAGCTGAGCCGCATGCTCGTTTGTTAGCTGTGTTATGAAAAAAAATTCATACAGGAGACGTACCTTAAGTCTTACCTACCTAGTCTTCTTCAAGTCTCATAAGACCAGTACATGTGATGGTATATGAAAATTACTGTCAATGGCAATTAACGCTGTGGAACTTTTTATATAGTAAATGAATTACGATTGAACCGTTGAGTTTGTTATCGGCAGCGGGAACACAAAGAGAAGTGTTCGGCGCACGAGCGCTTAAAGCGCGAGCACGCGTCGCTGGAGCGCGAGGTGGCGGCGGCGCGGGACGCGGTGCGCGCGCGGGACGCCGCCGCCGCCGCCGCCGGCTACGCCTTCGTGGACGCCGCCACGCTGCCCGCCGCGCCGGCCTCGCCCTCCGCCGCCGCTGTCGCCGCCGCGCCGGCCTTCGGCGCCGTGCCGCCGCTCGCGCTCGTCTCGCACCAGTCCGAGCAGCTGCTCAACGACGCGGGAGAAGGCACCCTCGGTATGTTTCTCTCTGTCCTATTCTCAGTCTTCATGTAGTCAGTCATTCATAGTTGGCATCAGACCTTATAGTCCAATAAATACTCCAATTTGAACTTTATATTTGTTATATACAAATATATGGTTCAAATAGAGGTATTTATATATGTGTAATTAATAAATTTATAATCTATCTATACTTATAATTAATCTGTAGAGAGGTCAATTCTGTACATGAAATATATTTCCAAAACAACTATCAGGGGGCGATTAGTAATCGATACTGATGCCAAAAATGCAATCAGTAAAATTTTTGTCTGTATGTCTGTATGTTCGTTATAGAAAGAAAAACTACTCGATGGATTTTAACGAAACTTGGTACAATTATTTTTCATACTTCTTGGCCAGGTTATAGTATACTTTTCATCACGCTATGATCAATAGGAGCAGAGCAGTGAAGGGAAATGTGTCTGTTACATCAAAACCACTGAACCGTGAGGAAGGAGATAGGCTACTTATTTTACGAGAAACGACGGAAACGCGGACGAAGTCGCGGGGAACAGCTAGTATGTAAATAATTTTGCAGTTGCTGCCAGTATTTAACAATTCCCTAGTGGGAGTCAGACGTCCTCATACCTCCATGTATAAAATGACTAAGAAATAATTACTTTTTAACATTTCGGTCTTATATTAAGACCATAAAAATTATGTGTTTAAATATTTTTTTATGATCTTTTTATTTATTTAAAGCGATAAATGGTTTACAGATGTGCGATTGCAAAAGCTGCTCGCGGGCAAGCAGTCGCTAGAGTCGGAAGTACGCAAGCTGAAGCTACAGCTGAACGAGGAGCGTGCCGCCAGGCAGAACGGCGTCGCCAACCACCACGACCAGGAGTACGAGAATGAACGTCAGTATATTTACGATGTGTCCAATTTTAATCAGCATTGTAATGTCTCGGTGTCCTATATAATTTTTCATATTTCGGTATTATTATAAATAATAATAATAAACTCTTTATTGGGTACAAATAAAATGTATACAAGGAATATTTATACAGAATGTGCATATACAAAAAGCGGCCTTATGGCTAAAAGCAATTATTGTTGGATATAATATCCATGTGGTGGTCTAAGTGGTCATGGGACAAAAAAATGTGGTAGTCACTTACCGTTTTTTTTAATGGGTGAAAATGGTATGGTAACCCCGCCTGCGCTAACGGGATACACTGGTGGAGCACCAGTGAAGGGTGATAGATGAGAATGAAAACAGGCCAGTTAGCCCATCACGATGAATTCATCAGGAATTAACCATGATAGTTTCTAGGGGGAACCGCGAAGAGGTCGAGCTGGTTGGGTATATTGGTAGCGATGGGATTCTCAGTGTCCATTACTAACAATCCCTTTGATACGTTGTTTGTCACGTTGCGAGTATGTGTACGAGTGTGGGTGTGCGCAGTGGAGGCGGTGCGGCGCAGCGCTGCGGAGGCGAAGGCGCGGGCGGCGCGCGCGGAGGCGGAGGCGGCGCTGCAGGCGGCCGCCGCCGCGCGCCTCGACGCGCAGCTGGCCCGCCTGCGCGCGCGCCAGGACCACCAGGACGAGCACGAGGAGCAGCTCAAGCAGGAGCGCCGCCGCCTGCAGCGCGAGGTCACCACGCGCACTCCACACGCGCACACAGACACACACACGACAACGGACACGGTCACTACAACAGACACGCACACACACATGCACAAGGACACGCGCACGCAAAAGGACACAGTCACTACAACAGACACTCACACGTACATGCACAAGGACACGGATACGCGCACAGACACGACAACGGACACGGTCACTACAACGGACACTCACACGTACATGTACACGGACACGCGCACGCACACCAATACGCACACGACAACTGACACGCACACGCACATGGACACGTACACGCACCTGCACCATCACACCAGGCGAAGACTTGCGATAATGATCTGAGCTTAGGGGCTAGTGGCAGAACAGTTTACAAGAAGCTGTTCATATTTAGTTCGATTGTATAGAAATTCAAGTTCGGAACGTTTATTTATTTAAAATTACCTTTGAATCCTCAAGATGCAAGTAGTGATTAATGTAATAAAGTAGAATTTACCAGTGCATAAGGAAAACTCCATACAGAACATCACACCCACTCGCCTGGTTAGTGTGGTAATAAATAGTAGGCTAATTTTTGTCCCCTTTTGGGGATAGACCATAACCCAGCAGTGGAACCATAATGGGATTATATCCTACTACTATTATAAACGCGAAAGTTTATTAAAACGTATAGATGGATGTTTAATATCCTGTCACGGTTAAACAAGTGAATGAATTTGATTGAAAGGTACACTTTTATAGTTAATCATTTACGCGATAGAGCTGCATAGAAAAACAGGCTAGTACTTTAAATTTTAACCATTTATTGTACGAATATGGGTACATATTGAGAATTGTTAAATTATTTTGAAAAATTGACAGATAATTACGACGCTGCAACACTTCGTTACGAATGCTTTTAAATTGTTTTTATTTCATTACGTGCTCGATCTTAGCTCGTATATATAGTATGTAATATATGTGTAATAGGCTAGCCTGTTTATTGTTTTTTTTTTTTTTTAATTACGGTCTATAAACAAACATATTGATATTTGACACCCCCTTATCTTACCCTTATTCCTAAGGATTCAATCATACTAAACATGTATTTTTTTAATAACTAAATGCGAAGAAGGTAAATCATAAACAGAAAAACAATTTGTTTACAGGAAGTGGTCGATTTCTGGGCCGTTATCAATAATGGCGATAGTTAACGGTACAGTGGACGTTTGACCACGGCGTGACCCTCACATACTACCTATAGTATTCTAAACCACATTCCAAATGAACTAATTGTTAAGTAATTAGGCATGAGTTAACTCAATTAGAAGTGTTAATGTGTTATTTTGGAACCCTCTAATAATTGTAATATAAAAATATACGACAATTGTATTAAAATACACATAGTTTTAAAACCACCACTAGTGTTATTGACGATCTGGCTACCTATTTTTTTTAATACGGTCCTAAAAATGTATATAGTTTTTTTTTTTATTTTATAATCGATATTTTTTTAATTCAAACACTTGTACATATTTTAGGTAAATTTAGCCAGTTTTGAGATTCGAGATATTCTTCTTTGCTCTGTGTTGTTTTAACCTAAATTTACGTTATATTTAACGAATTTAAGACAGTTTAAAAGATGATGTTTCATAATCAGCTTTAGTGTGATGTACATAAGGTGGAAATTACAATGTAGCATGATAACCTTTAACTTTACCGCTGTTGTGACTTGATTCCATAATTTAATATTTTTAGACATTCAATGTAATGTGAACAAAAATACTAATGTCCAAATAATTTAAGATTATGTTAAAAAAAAAAAAAAACAACTACTAAACCTATTTGGATAATATTTCTATGGGACCATTCTGTATGTCCTTTCAGATAAAAAAAAAAGAATTTTCCATATTGGTTTACATTGACGGAGTTATGACGTAACAAACATAAAGAAAAATACAACCGAATTGAAAACCTTTTTGTTGTCGATTGATTGAAAACGGTGTTAATTGGCCACAGTAAATAAAAAAAAAATACATTTTTATTCCTTGATTCTGATAAGTCTTATTTCAAATTTGCATGCGAGTTACTTCAAGGTATCTGTATTCGAAAAGTGACAAATTCTATCTGCAATGTTACTAATAAAAAAAATGCATAATACACGAGTTTGGTATAAGTTTGGTGGATCACTGGCTTGTTTTACTGTTTTAAGTCTTATAAAAAAACTCTTCGAATAATCACGTGATCTACGTGCGCAACCTTATGCCAATCTAATACAATGAGCATTTGCCCAGTAATTTAATCGTTATTAAAAATTTACATTGTATATAGGCTGAGCTTTTTTCAAAATCGTAATACTTATAAAGTATTATATTTATTATTAGTAAAACTAAAAGCAAGTTCACATTGCAGGCGCGGGAAGCGCTCAACCGTGTCGAGGAGTTGGAGACGGAGAACAGCCATCTGACGAAACGGCTCGACAAACTCAAGAACGCCAAGTCAGCGCTGCTCAAGGACCTGTGACAGTGACACTGATCACGCACCGTTTACAATGCAGCGGCTCGGATCGTATCGCAACGAGCCGCAACGTGACGGAACATGACGCAACGCGCCGCAACATAGTGCGTACTAGCAATGCAACGTGTCTTATAAGTCAGCCTATCTTCACAGAACAGCTTCGGTCAGCGCTGGCAGACGGGTATCTCCAAATCTGATTTAATGCATGTCGGTAACGATTATTGAATTTCACACGGTCGGATCCCCACCTAGTTTATTGCTTTCTAGTTTTGCCTTTAAACAAAATAATATAGAGAAAGGAGTTTAATATGTGTGCTATGTTTTTATAATTAAGAGTGTCACATACACATTCAAATTGCCTGATCGATAAAGTTCAATAACCTGTGTTATAATCCAGAAAGTAACCCTAAAATGCGATAGCTAGGTGTGAAAATTCAGTGAGATTGATGACTTTAAGATACCTGCAAATAAATAATTTTATTAAATGTTCATTTAAATATAATGTAGTACATATCTTATACTCCACCTTGTTATTTTTTATCTAAAGTTGACGCATTTCTTTGATTACGCATTTCTTTTTCAAAGGACCAAGATATGTTGGCCGTGTGGGATTCATGATCGTACTATGTTAAGGGCAAGTGAGGTTTAGCGACAGGGTCAAGCGTGTCACACCACTTGACCTAGTATAAATAAATAAATAAATAATAATAAATATTGTAAATGTATTATATATGACTGTAGTAACATCGTAAAATATTCCCGCTTCATATATTCTGCATATAGGTAAAATATATTTGTATCATTTTGCAATATTTCAGTAAAATTAATATAATTTGTATACTTTAATGCAGAGGGCGCTACAAATGTTTGACTTATTCGAGACTTTTTAATATTGATTATACGAATTATATGTAGAATTTACGTTTTAGATTTTAATACATCAAAGGGTCAAAATAGACCGCTTATACACTATCTTTATCTGTCTTGTATTAAGTTTCTTTTCACCTAAACAGAAAGTAATATTGAGTATTAGAAATCATGTTGACTTACAGGAAATTATATCAGACAGACAAGATTGGTGGATTAATTTGGGGTTACTAGAATAAATATTGAATGAAAGATAGATAGGCTTCGATGAAATTTAACACAACACTAGAATTCTAAATTCAAAATATCTTTATTCATTTAGGTCTATTCCAGACTCTTATGTCAAATCCAACGTCAGTTCGGAATGATATCGAGATGAGAAGAACTGACAAGAAACTCAGCTCGTATTCTTTTCAAATAAATTTTATATTTGTTTACAATAATATAGATTCATTTTTAAATTCAAATTTGAATTTCATCAGAAAAGTGAATATTTTTATTATTATTCTAATATTTTATCGACATAGTTATTTATTGTCAGTGACGTATACATTTTTTTTTTTTTTGCTTTTATTAGAAACTTAATATAGGTTCGTTTAATTTGTCGAATTTAGTTTTATCAGTGCAACCATATAAGGGTACATCCAAAAAGACATTGTGTTTTTTTTTTTTTTTATAAATAAGTGCAATGTTTTAATCTATGTGATTTTTTAACACATTCACGTCTACACTATTTAATTTATATAAAGAATGCTGGCATTTTAATGTATTTTAATTTTTACTATAATCAAATGTAAAAGTAATTTATTGTGAAATGACAAGAATATGTATTTAATTAATACCAAAATAATAATAATGATAACGATGTGGAATATATTATAAATGTATGATGTATATTGTGGAGGGAAGCGTGGGGTGTTATGAGATTGTAACGCGAGTGATAATGTAACGGGCAAGCCTCGTTCGTATGGGCGAGTTAATTTACGTGTAATTTAATTAATAAACCTTTATATAACTGTAAATCGTTTAAGTGTAACATTTTCTTTTTGTAAAATATTTCAATTTCAATAATATAATAATTGTAATGATATGTGTATAATTCATTTGATATTTTAATTATTTATTTGTTATGCATATGGTGAATATTATAGAATTACGTACGTATTATACTTTAAAGATTTTATTGCATAGATTTTTTATTATCTGGCTTGCCGAATATGTGCGATCGAGTTCATTGTTTCGACTAATCGATAGTGTTTATGTTTATCTAACTTGCCATTGGTATCACAAATTACGTTCTTATAAGTGTAAATGCGACCACACACCTACAGTGGATGATCTAGCCCGCTCTGTATGTTTCAACTTGTAAAGTTATTGCTCAAAATTCTTATCCACTATTAATGTGATAGTTAGTCGCTATGTAAACGTCCATTATGATTAGTTTATCCATCGAGTCAGAGTTGCGCGGAGTTTCGTACAGTCGATTTCATAAATATGTTACTAATATCGCTCTTGTAAACGTATATGTATATTGTTTTATAAACAAAAATGTTGCCACCGTTGACGTATTCTTGATGTTGACTGTACTTTATTTTTTTTATATTTTGAGATTATTTTTGTCACTCTTAAAAGTTACCACGCTGTCAAATAATATGTCCAGCGCTTTTGTTGTATTGTATTAACCTTCCATGGATATGACATTTTGTTAGTATGACATTAATTTCCATAGTAATTTGTAAATTTCAGAATTAGCGGAATAGAATTTATGGCTGGTTGCTTTAGTGGCGAGGTGTAGTCTTACCACTGATGTAATATAGTTGTTATCTATTAGTCATGCTCACTTAACGTACTGTGCCATTGCGCACCAAAATGTATTAGTATATACAATAATAAATCGATGTGAGTTGTATGTAGTTTTGTAGTTATTAAATCGCGTAGTGTCGCTCTTGTTGAGCGATTGACGAGTGCACCCCGGCACAGAAATATAGTTCAGCAATCCATATACTTCTGCGGGACTATACAGTATATAGTTTAGCGGGAAAGGTATAAGGTTTCAAACCCTTCCTCCCCCCACCCCCCATCTTTCGAGGGGCACAATGCTCAATGTTGACGAGCTATTGTATAGACGGTTGCGAAATCATCTCGTACTCAGTATCTGTCGCCGTGAGTGGATCTTATGTAGGGCCTATACATAAAGTGTACTGTTAAAACATTACCAATATAATACTGATGAAATACGTTTCACAGAAAAATTGTGTTGGGCTAAAACATGATAGTTCAATTGGAGTTAGTTACGCAGAAAATATTGCCATTGTATGGAATGTCTATAACAAACGGCTATTTTTTTACGTAAATAGCTTTAATTTTCAATATTAAACTTTGATCGAGGTTATTGACTTGGATTTTATTAACTTTTAAAGTTTAAAAAAAAAAAATCTTATACACATTAAAGTCGTTAAAGTCACCGATGTGTATAAGTTTTTTTTTTTTTTTAAGTATTTTTTTTAATCCAAGGCTATACAGATTAATTATTTCGTGAAACGCAGTCCAGTATGTATTGTTTAGTTCAAATTATGTTTATAGGCAATATATGTTGTGATTATCTGACGCGCTGTCCGCGCTCTTCGCGCCAACAGACGTTAGAATAAATGTAAGTAGGAATGTCATTTATAAGTATGATGTATGTATTTTGGTGCTGCATTACTAATTTATTTTGTTTTTAACTATAATGACTTTGAACTGTCTTTTATATGAAGCGAAACTGACTTAATGTATAAATTTGGATATTTTGAATAAATTTCGCTCTAGATGTCTATGTTTTATTTGTTTCTCTATGTACCGAGCCCCTAATCCTCCCTCTTCCAAACTGTTTTTCACTTTTATCAAATATTATTGTCTAGTCTTTAGATATGATTTAACGACTTTTTAATTATTAAAATCATGCGAACATATAATGTAGTCTGTGATAATTGTTGACCCGTACGACGTCGGCTACTAAAAGTGGGTTTATTCACATTATTATAAAGAGGAAAGATATGATTGTTTGTTATAGATAAATTCAAAGACTACTCAACCAATTTTAAAATTCTTTTACCTATAGAAAACTACACAATCAGCAAATTACATAGGATATATGCATTTTATTTTCGAAAATTCTACCTACCCTGGTAAAGCCGGGTCGGATTGCTTGTGTTATGTAAAGTATCACACTTTACATAACACTAGTGATCTAGTTATTTTTTGATTAAGAGTCAGGGACAATAGTAAGCATTTGAAGGTAAATATGCGATCACTTAACTATACTTTCAAAACGAGGAAGTTTTGTTCTCTATATAAATGTCATCAACATGTTATGTAAATCTCATTTTTTTTTATGGAAGTTAATGGCAGATAAGCTGACGTGGGTCGTCGGCCTTATGTGAAGTAGTATCCGTCGCCTAAAGAAATTAACAGTAGGTATTAAAGGCACAACAGAGCATACTGCCATGCCCATGCTACCCCTCAAGCGTTCTCATGCCGGAGGACTAAGGTATTATGCCTCTGTACCTTGTAATTTTACAACTGTATCCCACTCTTCAAACTGAAATGGTCGTGCGAACACAATTGTTTCACGACAGAAACATGATTGGGATAGAGCCATGGAGACGACTATTGAAGTCTCCCCAGCGCCTTTGTCTTCGCCAACTCTGAATTGATTTTGATAAATCTTTTTGTGATTCCTGTGGGTCTGTTAATCGACTCTGTACTTAATGGTTATAATTTAATAAAATTAAGGTCTGCGCAGATGAAGGAAGGTCTCTCTTAGTGTTTGACGCAGTCTAAGTTTTAGAAAATCGAAAATATATATATGCATTGTAGTACACAATACAAATGTGTTCCATTATGAAGTGCAGAAACATATCTACCGCACGGATTATCTTGCTCGCATAGCTTCAGTAGCTTTAAAATTCTATATGTCATAATAATATAATTGTTTTTGCATGAAATTCGAAATTGTTGCGGTAGCATACTGCAATTTAAATAAAATTATAACTAAAGAAACAGCACATACAAAATTATAAAAGCCTAGCTGTATCCCGCGGTTTCGTCCGTGTTAAATAATATGTAAAGAATTTTTTAAATACACAATTGGGACTTAACGCGATGTAATAGCCTTTACAGGTAAATAGTACCTACACATTTGCTTCTTTATTGCCGACGTTTCGTATGTAAAGTACCCTATATGCTAAACTATGATATGACCTATCCGTGTATCAAATTTCTTCTAAATCCGCTCAGTAGCGCGCATGATAGAGTAATAAATATCCATCCATACGTCTTCATAAATTTTACACAGTTAAAATATTACTAGAGTTTAAAATAAAAAACCCATTTCAAAAACAAGCTTATAATAAACTTAATATCATTAGCTAATTCCTTAACATAGTTTGAGATGTCAAGTCCAAAGAGAACATATAATCATCATGCTCACGACACAATTATATTCTAATTAAAACTCAAAGCCGCTGACGCCATTATAGTGAATTTTATTTTGAAACTATTTGCAAATAACACTGACAAATGATTAGTGTATAATTGAGTTTTAAATAAATACACATAAAATAAGATATAGACAGTTCATAAATAATATTTTTAAAATTCTATTAAATGTAAAGTCAGTGATAATAAACGTTCAATCTCATTAAAATCCTTTTGGTGTCAGGGACATCAGTTTTTAAGCTTTTTTTTTGTTGTCAGAAATTACATTTGTTCAAAGGTGTTTTATAATTGTCAACTACATTATTTATATTTTAAGTGAGCTAATGAAATTCTCTTTGGACCCAATATTAGCCATAACCTAAAGACTATTTTGTCAATTAAGCTACAGGATGCTGGTTTGGTGTGAGGCCTCCATGTTCCGGGCTGTGTTTCTGTTTTTTTCTCTTCTTTTCCTTTTTTCTTTTCTTCCGTTCCTTGTCATCGTCATGTCTCTTCTGCTTTTTGTGTTTCTTCTCATAAGGATCAGGATTTGAAGAATCTATAATGTAAAAATATAATTTAACAGGAATCTCTTTGCATATAAACACATATAACACTCAACATGCCGTGCAACAAGTTAATTGCAACAGCGCTGATATCTACCAGATCTACCTATCTATCAAAGAGAGAGAAAGAGAATGTACAAATGTCATCTAATATAGATTGAACAGAGTGGCTTACCAAACTGATGATAAGATGTAGTATGAAAGTAGACTAATATTATGGTGTATATACACTGGTGTATACCAGATCAACATTAGGGGAATTTCTCCCTCTCTCTCTCTCTCCCCAACTTGCTGTGCCCAATAGGGTCCATAATTGAAGTCGAAATGTTATCTACTTTTTATATTATAGAATGTAATAAATAAATAAACAAATTTAGGGGAATTTTAATGAAGACTGGACAGATATACACTTATACAATTTGCAAAACATAATATATCGACACACACATTTATTCGTGTTTCAACCGTGAAGCAGTTGTGTTTACATGGCTTTGTTTCTGTTTGGAGGGTGGGATATGGCGTGAATTTACAGGGTACAGAGGAACAACACCCGAGTCCTCAGGAATAGCAACGCATGGGGGGTATCATGGGCGGAACAGTATACTCTGTTATGTCCATGGTACTGCTCATGTCTATAGGCAACGGTTACCACTTCATTCCATCAGGCGGGCCGTCAGCTTGTTTGCCATTCTAAGTTGTATAAAAAAAAAAACACATTTATTCAGGTTTTTAACGAGTGATATGATGGAAACCATAGTAACCACTCATAGACTTTAGTACTAGTGCTATCCAACCTTAATATGCTTGGGTAAATCTGCCTCATTCATGTTTTTACTGTAATGTTGTGTTTGCATGTCTGTGTTTCAGTTAAAAATTACAATGAAATTACAAAGTATAGAAGTATAACACTTTAGTCCTCAGCAATGGCAAAACATGAAGGTTATCATGGATGACACAATTTTTTTTTGTTATGCACTATACAGTTTTTATTGATAAATTTGAAATGGCTCTTGTATGGCTTCCAACTCATTATCATGTAAAGTTTGTAGGTAAGGGATGCATTATATAAAAGTAAATGAATCAAGAGATGTACATATGTATGGACAGAGAGGGCATGGAGATGATTTTTTTTTATGCAACTTACAATGACAAACTGATGGCCTACCTGATGGAAAGTTGTAATCGTCATCTATAGACAAAAGAAGCACCATGGACATAACAGAGTATACTGTTTTGCCCATGATATCCCCATGCATTGCCATTCCTGAGGACTCAGGTGTTATTCCTCTGTACCCTGTAAATTCACTACCATATCCTACCCTTCAAACCATGCATACTTTGTTATGCCCAAGGTACTGTTCATATTTCAACTATTACTACTTTGCATCAAGTGGGCCATCTGCTGGTTTGCTATTATAAGTTGCATAAAAGAAAATCTGTAGCAGCCATGTATGATGTTACAAAAAAATTTCAATAAAAGAAAGAAATTAAATAATGGAATGTAAACCTAACCTAACCATGGTTTAAATATATTTTAACAATAATTATAATATAGCATATTATATTTTAACCATAATACTATGGCTAAGATAAAATGCACTGTAATGTCCATAGTACTCCTCAGTATTGCCATTTCTTAGGATTATCTGGTCTTATTTGTCACTGTATATATATTTCATAATAATTATATTATTGTAATGTTCTTTAAGCACCTACACAGAGAATATTGTTATTAATAAATTATTAATTATCATCATATGAGTTGTTAACTGTCCACTGCTGGAAAAAGATAAGCCTAATTTGTTAATGAATATGAATGAATCAATAAAAACATAGAGTTTTTATTGTTCCCTTTAAAGAATGATACAGATTATAATTATTAACAATATGTAATGAATAAACAAACATAATGAATACTTTATTAGATAAAATTAAAATCAAGAGACAACAATGGGCGGCCTTATCACTATATGGCTATTTCTTCCAGGCAACCTTAGGATGGATTTAAACACAGTATAAACAATATAAGTAATAGGAAGGGGAAGGGATTGTTAGTAATGGGGTCTAATTGACCCATTGCTAGCAATACACCCTATCAGGTTAGCATCCATGCAGTTTTCCCTGGAAGCCGTCATGGTTAATTCTAGTGGAATTCATAACAATGGGCTAACTGACTTGCCTTTTCATCCCTGCCACCGTATACCGATATCACAGGCAGGGTTACAATTCTATTAACATCCATTAAAAAAAATACATACAAAACAAAAGCATTCTCTACCAGTTAGGAAAGTAGGGAAGTGTTAGAATATTCGAATGTGATAATAGTATAATTGATATACATATATCATAATAGAATTTAAATACATAAACAAATAAATATATACATATAAATAACAAATATACTTATACATATGTAACATATACTATATTATGCACAAAGATGAGAATAATAAATAGCAGTTATTGCTCAAATAGTGAGTGTAAACATTTTTTTTAAAATTCAGTTTAGTCGGAAGTCTCTTAATAGTATCAGGGAGCATTTTCCAGAGCCATAAAGAATGCAAGATAAAAGAATTTCATACAAAGCCAGTACAATGAGAAGGTAAGGGAGTTGGAGAGTATCTTTAATATATTTTTAAATTAAAATCTTACCTTGTAATGGTGTGTCTTGTCCTGGTGGCACTCCGTCTTTGTGCTTATGTTTCTTATGCTTACTTTTATGTCTTTTTGGCGGTGTGGCACTCACATACCGATATTGTTCTGGTAAAGGACCAGGGTGTAATCTGAAACCAGCTAGCTGTGCACTAGTAAGTGGCAGCAAATCCTTGCCACCAATGGGTCTTTTAGCAATAACTGAACCCAAGGTGCTATTGTCTTCTTGTCCAGGTCCATCAACTATACCAGGAAGATTTGGGAGGAACGATGATAATGACTCCTTCAGTTTTTTCCCATTGAATTTACTATATGAGTGCTCTAGCCCATAAAAAGCCATCAAATTAGTGGCCCCTGTGAGCTCACATTCTCCTGTAAAAAAGGTTTTTCATTTATAACATGTTTTATTACCTAAATGTAGACGAGATCAATAGAGGATAATGTTACCTGGAGGCTCTTTCATCAAATAGAATGGTCCACTGTGCACTATAGAAGGGTTTTTGCCAAGTGAGATTGTCGTCTTCAGAGTACCAGACGAGTCCTGACGAGAGACGACGGGTGACCTCGCCCCTCTTGGCGATGATTTCGGAGAATACGGTTCTACCTTTCTAAACTGATCAGACATCATCTTGCATCAGCATTGTCTATCTCTTGAACATAAATTAAAGGGATAGCATTAAAAAGAATTATCAAATCTACAATTGAACACTTCCTTTTTGACAACGCTGCAAATAAACTACAAAATAAATAATACAATTCAAGTAAGTAGAAGCAAATTTTTTTAATGGTGTTGTACTATCAGTGTTGCCAAGTGGTTTTCGTTCACAGATTAGAAAGATATTTTGTTCCACAAGAGGTTTTTTTAGGCTCAAGTTAGTGTTGCTAACTTTCAGATTTTCTAATTAAGTTGCTAAATACCACAACTAAATACTTTAAAACGAGGTGACTAAGAACAATTTAAAATTCCGTTTCAATTTTTTTTAAGTCAATCTATCTGTATAACATTTGATGATTTGACGTACAATCCGTAAAATTTCTTGAAATCGTCTAAAATCTTCTTTTTCTATATACCCCAATATATACCAGATTAAAAAAAAATCAGTTGCTTTATTTAGTTAATAATAAATAATCGAATTTTAAAAATTATACCCTGGAATACACATATATCGAATCATTAAATTTTATTATACAGATAGATTGACTTGAAAAAAATTTCAAATTGTTCGTATTTACCCCGTTCTAAAGTATTTAGCTGTATGTGATGTTATTTTTCGGAAAATTTTATGAATAAATTTATTTAATTGTACCTACCTACAATTACCTACTTATGGCAATTTATGTATTTTAGTTAAATTAGTTTTGTTAAAGAAAAAAAAACACGGGTCTGTTGTTTGAGTTACTCTGTAGAAAAAAAGCAAAAATTTAAGAAAATAAAACTTTAGTCTATGGTTCGTGAATTAGCTTCTCGTAACGTGCTACAGTTTTCTTTAATTGTTTGGAAATAAACAGTAAACCGCTATTATTCTAGTTTATTCATCAATATTTGTGCAATGCAAAACCTGGAAAATGTTTGTGAATTGTGATACAAGTGGTACAAATCTACAACAACGCTTCTGATATTACCATTCTTCGCTGAGCGAAGTGACGCCATTTTACGGGAATGATCAGCCCGCGGCTGCCTCACAGTAAGCCTGATGTAAGGATTGCACTGCCTAAACGGATGCGCGGAAACAAATCTTTGTTATTGTACTCGTACTGGACGTACGATTTTAGAGGTACGGATATAAAATTATTTTCTCATTAATACTATGTCCATTCAAATTCTATTTCCTCATTAATTGAACGTCTTTTGTTTCCAAGAATTAATCACGTGTTTTATATATTTTTTCAGAAAATTATGGAAGATGGTAATGTTCTCAATACGAAAGACGATAAAATCGCCTCAGCGTTATTGGCAAACTTATATAGTGAACGACAAACAAAATTAACGTCTAATGGACACGACCCTATCGGGGAAACGTCGAATCCCTCAGACGACCCGTACAATCAGTGCCGCCCCAACGTTGACGTCGCCAAGGACGAGAAGTTCCGAAAACGTATAAACCCTTTAAGAATACATCTTGGCAAAAGACCATTTGTGGATAATTCACTTCAGTACTACAGTTCGGTTAAAAAGAAAAAACTGCCCGTGTTTAAAACTAGTGATACAAAATCAGCACCCAATTCTATTCCTAGAATACCGAAGCTCAATCCTAAGCGTGTAGACAAAAATCAATTTCATCATGTCACCTCACAAATGGGGTGTAGTGCAGTGGATAATGAGCAAGACAAGCCCACACCTCGGCTCGTGCCCAAAAGCCAATTGTTACAGTTCAAAAAGGGTAAGATTGAAAAAGGACCTCAATTAAAAGAATATGCACAAAGCTTGGGTTTACAGCCTATGGTAAAGTTCAAATGTAGGAAGTGTTGTTCTATGTCCTTTAAAACATTGGCAATGTTGAAAGACCATCAATTAGTGTGTCGTGCTCAAGCAAAAGAACCAACGCTAAGTCCTGAAGTGACTCCGACTGCAGAGGTGAGCTCCGGTGGCCCATCAAGAGTGACAAGAAAAGTATACTTGTGTTCGGCTTGCGGTACTTACTATGAGAACTGGAATCTCTTTTTGCACATGCGAGAAGTACACAATAGGCATATTTGTTTGTTCTGCTTAGGCATGTTTTCAAAAGCTGAAAAGTTGTCATTGCATTTGACTAATAAACATAATGTCCAAGAGTTCAATTATGAGAATAAAAAAGAATTTATGGATGTGTATAAAGGAACACTTTATTTAATGTGTTGTGCTTGTGATGAGATCTGCAGTGAACAAGATGATTTTTTCAATCATGACTGTAACAATATTAAGCCAAAACCTGTGCCTGTTCTTATTAGTAAAAATGCAGTGAAAACTAACAATATGAAGAATATAAAAAATTGTAATGAAGCATCGACAAATGGTCCCTTGAGTGTAGTAAACCCATTAGCAAAACCTGTTAGTGACAAAAAAGTGTATGCAAATGAAACTAAACTTGAAACGGTAACATCTCAAACACAGAGAGCCCCAGTAGGGTTAGTAGACTGTGAACCCGCCAGTAGTGACACAAGTGTGAGTTCTGAGACCTCTGCCACTGCTAGTAAGGATACTAGTAACACAATTGACTCAGGTATGGAATTGGACAGTTCTAGTATTAAACCAGAAGGAAGTCCTATACATGAAAATAACTTGAGTTCAGATACAACCAAAGTATCACATCCAAATGGTGATGATGGTTTAGACCAGTCAGATGAGAGTAATTCACCAATCCCTGATGAATTTAATCAGTGTTCTAATGATGATTTTCCATCAAAGCCAGAAGAAGCTGTTATTTTGCCTGCCGAAAAGGAAAAAGAATGTGGTATTAAATTAAAACTTAGTTTAAATAAAGCTAACTCACCAATTATTATTAATTCAACAGTAGATCCAACAATTGGACAATTTAATGCACATAAACCACCGACCCGAGTAAGAAGGCCACCAAAGCGTTATGAAAAAGAAACTCCAGCAGACACATTAACTCAATCAAAACCACCATCAATAAAAATGACAATTTGTGATAAAGCTGACAGTCCATTTGTGAAAACAACTATTATAGAAAATAATAAAGAAACTACAATGAAAACCCTGTTAAATAATAATTTAGAAACAGTATCAAAGCCTCCTGAAAATAAACCAGAAAATGTAATAAAATCTACAATTTATGATAATAAAATAGAAGACATTAATACATTGAACAGGGTACCAAAACTGACAGTTAGAGTTCCTAAAGAACTTTTGGATAAAGACTCCTCAAGTGATTATTCATCAGATAGTGATGTCAGTGATAAATTGACAGTTGATGAAAATAGTACTACAATTGAGTCAGAAAATAATAAACAACAAATACCACAAATGGAAATAGTGCCGCAGTTCCAGCCACTCGAGGAAAAACCTGAGCAAAATGAGGAAGTTGGGGACATAGTTACAGTACCAAAACAAGAGGTTGATGAAACACAAATGCCTACTGATTTTGAACAAGTGGAACCTAAGACTGAACCAACAGACAATGACACAATTGTTGAACCAAAAATAGAGGAACCGGAAATTCCAGTTACTGAATTGTCATTAGATAGGCCACTGGACAAATATCCTTTGAAAGATCTATTAAAGGTATTCTTAGCATCAACAGCCCCAAACTGTATTTACTGCAATCATGTTCGTAAAATTGCAGTGAATTGTGAACAGCTCGCTTTACATATGGTAGCCCAGCATCGGTTTTCGGCCACTGTTGATAGTATCACAGCAGAAGAATTATTGCCAGAGACAATTACAGCCAAATTGAAGACAGGAGCAGAGGAACTGATATCTGTATTTATAAATTTGAACTCTTATGATAGTGCTGAAATGTATGACGAGGTGCAGTATGACCATCTGTTTGAGTGTTTTCAGTGTTATTTTAAAACTGCTATACATAAAGATCTCTATTTACATAATCGTAAAATGCATCAAAAAACCATCTTACTATGTGTTATGTGTAAGTCTAATTTCTATAGTTATAGTGAGCTATTGTGTCATTTGTGTCCAGGAACATATGATTCAGAATATGAAGTCAAATATAGATGCTGTTTATGCAGTGTAGATACTATACCATCATCATTTAGATTAATGGTACATCTTAGAAAGATGCATCACACTTGTGATGTATGTTTGGAATTCTGTCATAATCAATCCCGTTTATCGAATCATGTTTGGAAGCATAAATTACATCATCTTTGTTATCGTTGTGGCATTGCCTACAGAAATAAGCTTGATATTACTAATCATTTGTTTTGGAAACATGGCACTGAAAGTGTAATGTGTAAAAAGTGTCTCCAGAAAAAATGGCCTCATGTTTATCATTTCTGCTCACCACCTGCAGTATTTACATGTGAAGAATGTAGTTTGCAGTTTACGAAAGCAGTTTATTTGAAAGTGCATAAAAGATTTCATTCAGATGACTATCCTCATGCTTGCACTGAAGATGGATGTACTGAAAAATTTGTTTCAAAAAAATTATTGGTTAAACACATTGATGAACATAGAAAAAAAATGATAATAGAAGATTTAAATGAAGATCCATCGCCTACAAAAGATACGCCATTAGAGGCATCCAAGGAACCAATTCCTATTATTGATTTGATTAATGACAATTCGAAAGTGGAAGCCGGTACTTTAAAACGTACTGCTGAGGCTGGAACGGAGCAACTATCCAAAAAAGCAAAAAAGAAAAAAATGAAAGAAAAGGATGCTTTACTATTAGATGTGAATTTGCCGGCTTTAGATTTATCAGAAAGTGATAGTGACGAATCTGATACTGGAATACCTCCTACTAAAAAAGAAGATATACCAGATCAAAAACCAGAAGAAGAAAAATCTGAAACTACTGTTAACCATAATGATATTACTAAACCAAATGAAGAGTTGCTTGCTTTAACAGACGAGAACCTATCACAAATAGAAGAAGAAAAACCCAGTGAGCAGCAAGTTCTTGACATATGGGATAATTTCAAGAAATATCAGGCCAAAGTGGAAAAGCAAAAAGAAAAGACTCCACCTTTAGTTCCCATTAGAAAACATGTGTGTGAATCTGATCATGACTATTGTCTAATACCTTCAGACTTAAATGGTGATGATGAATCATTTGGTATAGATAAAAAGAAAAATAAGAAGTCACCGAAAAAAAGGCATGGTGATTTATCCTCTTCAAGTAGTAGTAGTAGTGACAGTGATTCAAGCTGTTCATGTGGTTCAAATTGTAGTTGTTCTTCAAGCAGCGGTTTATCATCAAGTAGTTCATCTGATTCCGATTCTTCTGATGAATCTGGTAATGAAAAGAAGAAGAAAAAGCAGCTAAAAAAGACACTACCTAATAGAAGATTGAGTAATGGGTCTAATGTTGACGTCATGGGTATGTCTGAGACCCCAGTTTTAATTCCAGAAAAGACAGAACCGCCCATTCCTGAGACCGATTTAGAAACTGACGAAAGTGAAACTGATGAAGAGTTTTATGATAAACATCCTCAAAAAATAGCGAATAAGTTACACACAGAAAAACGTAATCAATCTATTCTTTTGGCTTCAGTAGCACCATCTGATGGTGGATCCGTATCAGGTGACGCTAGTCGTTCAACAACACCTGTAAAAGAGGAAACGGAGACAAAGGAACAAATTGAAACAAAAGATGCAATAGAAACTAAAGATGCTATAGAAACAAAAGATGCAATAGAAACGAAAGAAAAACAAGTATTTAGCAAGAAGAAAAGTAAAAAGAAAAAGAAGTCAAAGAGTTCTAAAAAGCATGCTCCTATAAAAATTAACATTCCTAAAGAAGTTATATCAAAATCGGATGTAGAGGCTGCACAACCTTTACTACCAAATAAAATAACAATATCTTTACAATCTAATACCGTTCAATTACCAGAAGTGCCCGCGAAGCTTGCACCTACCAGTACTAGCAGCACACCTATCGTAGCTACCCAAAACAAAAGAGCATCGAAACGAAGACGAGTCCCGAACAAATTTTATGGTTATTCAAGTGATGAGGAAACACCTTCCAGTTTGACCGCATTAAAACCATATCAGCCGCCTAAATTAGAATGGAGAAAAGAGGACCTGCCTTCTCCTGTGACGCACAAAGCAAAAAAAGAATTACCGTCAACAGTAACCCCTCAGAGAATGTACAATTACACAGAGCCTATAAGATTAACTACACCCATTCCAGACCCTGAGCCTCCAAAAATCTTAATGAACTCCGAATCTTTAGAATCCAGTGACTCCGATTCAAGTGACGAAGGCAACCTGGAAATATGTCAACCAAATAACTATCAGGCACCAGCCCCTATTCCGCCACCCACTTATTTGAATTCTGGCACTTCGAGTCTACCTTATCCATTCCAAAGGCCTGTTGTGCGCCAAGCACGGGAGGGCGAGAGCGTGTACTGCTACTGCCGATGTCCCTACGACGAGGTATCCGAGATGATCGCCTGCGACGCCGAAGGTTGTTCCATTGAATGGTTTCACTTTGAGTGTGTCGGTATTATGGTGCCTCCTAAAGGTAGATGGTACTGTCCAGAATGTAGAAAAAATCAAAGTTTCTCAGGTTACAGATAAGTCTAAATGTATATATATTATATAACTTACTGTACTGATATATGTATATAACTTATTGAGGATTGTAGATAATTAGCTTTACCTGTATATCTTTTTAGGTAGTTCGTGTAAGTTCTAGGTTATTAGGTCTGAAGAAATGTATCATTGTTATAAAAGTACATGTTATGCTTGATAACGGCTGTGCAGCCAACTCTGTAACCTGGCAAATTGTTACTGACATTAACATACTACAGCAGAACGGAAATATAAATCCGATTTTTGATACCAACATCTGTTTTTATTTCTAAAATTAACGTATCCAAAAAGAATTCCATTCCAGTCTCCACCCGAAGACGCGCACATACAATTCTGACAACATTTTAGCAGGCGTCTTTTGAATTTGCAAATACAATAATACGTAATAGGGGGGAAGGGATTGTTAGTAATGGAGAGGTTAGTTCCTATTGCTATCAATATAACCTATCGGGCCGACTTCCACGCGGTTCCCCCTGGAAACTATCGTGACTAATTTGAATTAGTTTTGACCATTGAATTAGTCACGATGGGCTAACTGACTTGTCTTTTCATCCTCACCAATTAACCCTCACTAGTGCCTCGCCAGTGTATTCCGATAGCGCAGGCGGGGTTACCATTTTATTATCATCCATTAAAAAAAAGTACCCAATGATCTTATTACCATCCATCGCTCTTTCGGCATCGGACTGACTGCACGACGCCGCAACGGACAGAGGGTCTGCATGCATATAGGACAAAGGTACTTCCATGTTGTGTCTGGTTATTCAGACATATTAGACTTTTTAAGGCGAAAGTGAAAAGGTGGTTCGTGTCCCACTAATTCAGGTAAGATGGAGATCAATCGCAGGGCCTTTTAATCGTTAAAAAATCAATGTGTGCGCTTCGTAACAGATAACCCGTTATCAACGCTCGTGTCTTCGAACGCTTTGGTATCACTGTGATGGCAACTAAAAGTAGCTGACGCTTATATATTTGTAGAAGGCAGTCTTATGGTGAGTAATGAACTCTAGTACCGGTTCCAATTACTTAAGCACTTACTAACAGGTATTAGTTGGGGGGAAAGGAGTTGTTAACAATGGAGTTTGACAGCCCCATTGCTAGCAATATACCCTATCAGGTCGACCTCCACGTGGTTCCCCCTGGAAACCATCGTGAACAATTCTTGTTGAATTCGTCACGATGGGCTAACTGGCCTGCTTCATCCTCACCTATCATCTTTCAGTGGTGCTCCGCCGGTGTATACCGATAGCGCGGGTGGGGTTACCATTCCATTATCACCCACAAAAAAACAGGTATTCGTTATCTACAATATTTACATCTATACTAGTCAACACTATATATTTTTTTTTATTTTTATATATGAGTGGCAGTTTTTTATACAACGATGGTGGCAAACAAGCGCCCGTCGCCCTATTGTCAGCAATATACCCTATTAGATCAACCTCCACGTGGTTGCCACTGGAAAACAATTGTGGACAATTCTTGTTGAATTCGTCACGATGGGCTAACTGACCTGCTTTATCCTCACCTATCATCACTCATTGGTGCCCCGCCAGTGTATACCGATAGCGCAGGCGGGGTTATCATTCCATTTACATCCATTAAAAAAAAACCACCTTTTGTTTATTAAAATACCACATCCATACGAAAAACGTTCTTCGGCTATTGTGTAAAATCTTATTTTTTTTTTTACAATTCGCATGACTGAGTGGTTAGTTTCAAAAATCTTCATATCCCGACTCTTAGGTTAGTCACCGAAATAAGTGGCAAACGAATCTACCGTTACTTGTTTAGAGGGGCAGATAAGAACGGGTTTAATCCAACTAGAAGGAGAACGAATTGTTAGTGATTAACTAGCAGTTTTTTTTATGGGTGAAAATAGCATGGCCACCCCGCCTGCGCTATCGGTATAGACTGGCGGGGTACCAGTAAGAGGTGATAGGTGAGAATGAAAAGGCAGGTCAGTTAGCCTATCATGACGAGTTCAACGATAAATTAGTCACGATAGTTTCCAGGGGGAATTGCGTGGAGGTCGCGTAAAATGTTTTTTTCGATGTACCTATAAAAGTACTTACATAGCATAGATATTGGATTATTAGTTCATCTGAGCTAAATACTTATCTTAGATATTACCGTATGTAAATGTCTAATTGATTAAATATAAAATTATGGGCGATAATAAACAACTCCAAATATTTTTGTGGTTTTAACTTTTTAACTACAATAATGGATTTATCGTCGCTGTGTCTAAACAGGAATGCATGTAACAAATTTGGTAAGTGAAGAATTTTACAACTATACTGTATATATATGTAAGGTTTCAGACTTGGGGATTTTTTTTAGTGTATGAAGATCTCGCCTGCGCTAACGGCATACATTGGCGGGGCACCAGTGAGGGATAATAGGTGAGATGAAAAGGCAGGTCTGTTAGCCCGCCAAAAGTACTATCGACTAGCAAAATCAGTCAAAAATACTTTTGACTGTATGCTTTAGTCAGTAATACTTTTGAAAATAACAGTTAAAAGTACCTAATCTAACCGCAAATTTGCAGTCAAAAGTACTAGTAACCAATAATTTTCACTCAAAACCACTTTTGACTAACCCGTTCAGTCAAAAGTACTCATGACTGAGAGGAAGGGATTGTTAGGTCTAACAGGTCGACCTCCCCGTGGTCCCCCCTGGAAACCATCGTGCTGAATTCCAAGTGTATTCATCACGATGTGCTGATTTGCCTCTTCATTCTCACATATCATGGTCACCTCACTGGTGCCCCGCTTGTGTATACCGTCAGCGCAGGCGGGGCTACCATTTCATTATCATTTGATTATTTATAAAAAAAAGTACTTATGAATGATTTTGCTAATAAATATTACTTTTGGCTGGTTAAGAGTTTTGACTGCAACATATATATATAAAATTCTCGTGTCACGGTGTTTGTTACCAAACTCCTCCGAAACGGCTTTACCGATATTTATGAAATTTTGTGTGCATATTGGGTAGGTCAGAGAATCGACCAACATCTATTTTTCATACCCCTCAATGATAAGGGTAACCCAACTCTAAATATATTTCTTTTTATTTTTTTTAACAAAATGGCAATCGAATATAATAATTGTAGTACAATATATTTTCATATATAGTTCTCGAAATAATGTATATGGTAAAACACCATTTTTTACCGAGTCAGCTAGTATATATATATATACACATACATGATGATATAATATCAATAAAGCAACGATAGAGACCAAACATTTGTTTATTTTAAAAGCAAATTAGACATTTGTCTTATGTCAATAGGTAGTGAATTCCAGAGGAACATTATGTTTATGTAATGTGGCACGTCCCTATTTTACGAGTAATAACATCAGGAGTCACCTTCATACCATTATAAAACAATGACACAAACAATGGTGCGCTCATGTTACATTTAAATGTTCAAAAGCAACTGATTTTGAGTTTTGATTGCATACAATTAGCATTCAATTTAACATTGACGTGCCAGTTTTACATACATGTTCGTAAAAAGTGATAACAATGTATATCCGCCCTTCATTAGGTAGGTACCTATGTTAGGTATGCGGTATGGTAGGTATGGTATTACACGTTACACTGTTTTTTTTTATGGATGATAATGGAATGGTAACCCCACCCGCGCTATCGGTATACATCGGCGGGTGAGGATGAAGTTGGTCAATTAGCCCATCGTGACGAATTCAACAAGAATTGTTCACGATGGTTTCCAGAGGGAACCACGTCGAGGTCGACCTAATAAGGCATATTGCTAGCAATGGGGCTGTCAAACTCCATTGCTAACAATCCCTTTCCCCCCTCGTTACACTGTTTTTTTTTTTGATGTGTGAAAATGGTATGGTAACCACGCCTGCGCTAACGGGATACACTGGGGGAGCACCAGTAAAGGGTGATAGATGAGAATGAAAACAGGTCAGTTAGCCCATCATGATGAATTCATCAGGAATTAACCATGATAGTTTCCAGGGAGAACCGCGAGGAGGTCGACCTGGTTGGGTATATTGCTAGCAATGGGATTCTCAGTCTCCATTACTAACAATCCCTTTCCCCCAAAGAGGAAGAGGAAGAGCGCGGAATAACTACATGGGACAGATAAAAGAAACACTAGATGTTATGTCGGATAGGGAGGTCAAGGGTATGGCCTGGGATAGAGCTGACTGGAAGATCTTCTTCCGTTGAATTAGTTGTACCGACAAGAGGAAACTCTTAAATGAAAAAAAGTTATAATATCACGACTTTCGTGGTGGGAGGAGGAGAGTGTAGAAGGGATTGTTAGTAATGGGGTCTAACAGCCCCATTCGTCATCATCATATTAACCGTCTACTGTCCTCTGCTGAACATGTCTCCTCCAAAAGTGGGGTTCTGCCAGTACATGCCTCGCTTGGTATCCAACTGTTGCCAAAACAGTTAGACTTAGGCGATGTTCTAAGAGAGATGTTGCTGCCTATCGCTCGACCAATAAGTTCCCTTAATCGCCTCTTACGACACCCATGGAAAAGAAAGGGGTGGCCTATTTTGTGCCGGGACCACACGATACGTAACAGCCTCATAACTGACGATATACTCTATCAGGTCGATTTTTTTTATACAACTTAGAATGGCAAACAAGCTGACGGCCCACCTGATGGAAAGTGGTAACCGTCGCCTATAGACATGAGCAGTACCATGGACATAACAGAGTATACTGTTTCGCCCATGATCCCCCCATGCGTTATGTGGTTCCCCGGAAACCATTGTGGTTGATTCTTGTTAAATTGGTTACGATGGCCCAACTGACTTGCTTTCAATTTCTCCTCTCTCGTCTCATCTCACTGGTGCCCCACCAAAATATATCGGTAGTGCGGGAGGGCTATCATTCCTTTTTCATCCATAAAAAAAATTTTACGTAGCGCATTTCCGTGGGTTAGGCACGTTACTTTGTGCAAGTATCCCAGGTTCGATTTCCGATTAGATCAACTTGAGTTCCTAACAAGAGTATCTATGCGTTTATATCCTCCACTTTTCCTCCACTTTTACGCAATTACTGTATATAACTCATAAAATTAAATTGACTCCGTCTATTCCATTCGAAGTTTTTACACATTTATGTCGAAACAAGTTCTGTGAAATCGACAAAAACAATCAAATTGCTATATTTGCAAGAAATGCCGGTTAATTATGAATTTGATGACACGATATTGAAAATCAAGACATCCTGAGAGTGTGCAAAATTCAATGGAAAAATACATTCGCGTTGTGTCATAATTCTAAGTACATATAATACGAGTACAGCCCAATCATAATTCTAAAAATAAATATTTCTTGTACGTTATACTCGATAATCTTGGTGGTGTGGGGGGAAAGGGATTGTTAGTAATGCGGTCAAGCAGCCCTATTGTTAGCAATATATCCTGTTAGATCGACCACCACGAAGTTTCTTTTGTAAATTATCGTGGTTGATTCTTGAATTTGTCACAATGAGCTAACTGACTTGCTGACCCTCACCTATCATCAGTGGTGTCCCGCCGTTATATACCGATAGCGCAGGCAGGTTACCATTCCATTTTCATTCAATTAAAAAGATCTTGATGGTGCAGTGATTTTTTGGGGAAAAAGCAATTGTTAGTAATGAGAATTAGAAACCCTATTACTAGCAGATCGACCTCCTTGCGGTTCCCCCTGGAAATCATCACGATTGATTCATTGGTGAATTTGTCATGATGGGCTAACTGAACTGCTTCATCTTCACTTATCATCATATATACCTATACTTATATAATTATATCATAGATATATTTACCTTTGTGTACCGAATTCTACAATTAGATATTCACCTAGGTACATACCTAGTGTGTTAAATAACTGTGATGAGACAGCATATAGGAAGTTTATAGCGGATTGAAAATATATTATCTAATATTTCAGGTACCTCTGTGAATGCGACATCACAGTCCGTAGTCAAAGAACGCATAAGTGTAAGGCTCTGGGAAGGTAAGTGGGCATTATTGAATCTCTCTGTACTATATATAGTATGGATTTTTTTTATACGACTTAGAATGGCAAACAAGCTGACGGCCCAACTGATGGAAAGTGGTAACCGCTATAGATATGAGCAGTACCATGGACATAACAGAGTATATTGTTTCGCCCATGATACCCCCCATGCGTTGCCATTCCTGAGGACTCGGGTGTTATTCCTCTATACCTACCCCGTTTAATTATAGAGGTGGGCCATGGTCCTTAGGAATGGCAACGCATGAAAAGTATCTGATGGCTCCAAACGCCTCCAATTCTCTCATCCTATATTCTGTTTACATGTTTATTTAAGTCTAATATAAATGTCATTGGCAAAATTTTAATTAAATTTTAAATAAACATACAAATGTGAACTGAGTAAAAAGCTTGTAAAATGACATCAACTTCCTAAATGGGGGGCCTCGTTCAGCTTTACCGCTCCGGGCCTCTGACGAGCTTAGTCCGCTATTGCAGTCAAATAATTGGGTTAGCACTAAAATAACGAAGTATTACTTCATATGTTTTGGTATTATCTTGTAACAATACCAGAACATATGAAGATAAATATATGAATCTCGAAGATGGCTGGTGTGCTTGCGGGACGCGATGAGGCAAAATCTTCGCCTGTTAAAACTGCCTGCATTTTTAATTTATGACTATTTGTAAAAAGATTCAATTCAATTCAAACATTTCGTACCGTTATATTGATATTGCGCCTTGTTTAATATTATTAGAGGTTTGTTTGAATCGAAACATTGGGCGTTCCATTGTTTCTGCCTACCCTAATGGGAGACAGGCGTGACAGATAGGTATGTATGTATTTAATATTATTTTGTTCCCACTTTTTTTTATATAACTCTATCTTTCTGTGAGTTGGTCAATAGTTTTAATAAAATTAAAAGTAAAATAATTTATTAAATTATTATTTATATTATCCCAGCAAAGTATGGAGGTAAGTAAGTACCTAAAGGCAAGAGATGCAGTTTCAAGTCCGCTTGAATCGATTCTCTATGGCAGATTTATTTTTTTTAATATTTTTTTTATAATTTACTTATTTTTCGTTTCTTTCAAGATAAATAATAAATAACATATTTAAAAATAACTTGATTTATTTGTACAAAAATTAGTTCCCTTATTTAAAGCAAATTTACATTACTCAGTCGGTAAGTTCACTTCCTCGCTTTAAACTATAGACAATAAAAATATGTTTAACTCAGTTCGCTACTAACGAGTAAACCTTAATGAATAATAATATTATAATACAAACATATTATAATAACTCTAGTTTCACGATATTTGCTTCTTTAATAATGTCACGTTTCGAAATTTAAAAGTTTAAATTTCGAAACACATACACGTGAAATGTGTTTTTTTTTTTATACAACTTAGAATGGCAAACAAGCTGACGGTCCACCTGATTGAGAGTGGTAACCGTCGCCTATAGACATGAGCAGTACCATGGATATAACAGAGTATACTGTTTCGCCCATGATACCCCCCATACGTTGCCATTCCTGAGGACTCAGATGTGATTCCTCTGTACCCAGTAAATTCACGCCATATCCCATCCTTCAAACCGAAACACAGCCATGCTGTGTTTCGGTTTGAAGGTAGAAACACGATATATTTTATATTTGATTTTGTTCTTGGTCACAGAGTTGGCTTTACATCTTCTCCGAGCAAATAAGGAATATTTCCGAAATTATATTCATCATACGTGAAACTAGTTATTGAACGTTAAATATTAACCCGCGATTATGCTACGATTTTTTTAACTATTTATCACTATCGGCTTATTTAAGATTACCCATTTGTATATAGCCTCTTGGAAAAAAGGCGAATATGCACTTTCAGATACCTTTGCGAAGCTCCGTTCGTATCTTGGGGTAAGCGCTTCTGGGGATGGTACGATCTCCCCCCCCCCCCCCTCTAACCCTTAAATATGCCAATGTTTATCATTCACCATGGCAACTCCGTGCCGTCGTATTGCAAGAACTTCCCGGAGTCCTCCTCGCGTAACTTGTATATAGTGTCGAATATGCCGTTGATACTGGTGGCGACATCTAGCGGCGCCTTGTTGCCGCCCATGTCCGTCTTCACCCAGCCAGGGTGCATTGAAGCAACGAGGATCTGATCCTTCTTTAGATCTATACTCATCGATTTAGTAGCCGCGTTCAGTGCCGCCTGGAACGTGATAACATAATAATAAATAAATGCTACATAATTTCACCAGTTGTCTGGTGGGGGGAAGGGATCGTTAGTAATGCGGGCTACCAGTTCCATTGCTAGCTATATACCCTGTCAGGTCGACCTCCACGCGGTTCCCCCTGGAAACCATCGTGCTGAGTTCCAGGTGTATTCATCACGATGGGCTGACTGACCTGCCTTTTTTTTTCATTATTCACCTATCATCCCTCACTGGTGCTCCGCCAGCGTATACCGTTAGCACAGGCGGGGTTACCATTCCATTATCATCCATTAAAAAAAAAACCGTTGTCTGGTCCCAAAAGCAAAATAGAATTATTAGGGGTATAATGTACAACATTCAGACCTACTTTAGATAAGTTTGGAGTTAAACAGGTTATTAAAGGTCAGCAACCCACTAGCGATCTTCCTTATGTTGTTAGTTACCAGAGGGAGACTTTGTACACAAGTCGATTGCTTGGATACCTCTGTCCCATTCGTGTTTCAACCGTGAAGCAGTTGTGTTTGCATGACTGTGTTTCGGTTTGAAGGGTGGGATATGGCATTGAATTTACAGGGTACAGAGGAATAACATTTGAGTCCTCAGGAATGGCAACGCATGGGGGGTATCATGGGCGAAACAGTAAACTCTGTTATGTCCATGGTACAGCTCATGTCTATAGGCGACAGTTACCACTTTCCATCAGGTGGGCCGTCAGCTTGTTTGCCATTCTAAGTTGCATAGAAAAAACTTGTTGGGAAGTCCCCCGTATTTTAACAAATAAGTTGCCATTATTAAAGTCGCGTTATTGGAATTTGGTTTATTTATATTCCGAATGTGTGAGAAATTTTCACTAGTTCAAATTATAGTTTGAACTTTAGAGTTCGAGGGGTCCCTGAGCTTGGGGGTCCCGGGGCACTGCCCCGTCTAGCTCTCCGGAAGCTACGCCACTGGTGTGAAGAGAGATAGTGATTACCTTAGAACATCTATAGGGGTAGAAGCCACCTTGGTCGTTTTGTGCAATGGAGCCCAGTACAGAGCTCATATTGATGACTGCCGCTCGCTCGATCCCTACCGGTTTATCACTGTTTGCTTCTGAGGCTTTCTTGAGTAGTGGCAACAGGGTCTGTAAAAATAATATTGGGGTCTAACAGGTCGATTGCGGGGGGAAAGCGATTGTTAGTAATGAAGACTGAGAATACCATTGCTAGCAATATACCCAACCAGGTCGACTTCCTCGCGGTTCTCCCTGGAAACTGTCATCGTTAATTCCTGATGAATTCATCATGATGGGCTAACTGGCCTGTTTTCATTCTCATCTATCACCCTTCACTGGTGCTCCGCCAGCGTATCCCGTTAGCGCAGGCTGGGTTACCATACCATTTTCACCCATAAAAAAAAAAAACAGGCCGTTTGCCAGCAATATACCCTATCAGGCCGACCTACACTCGGATCCCCCTAAAAACCATCGTGATCAATTCTTGATGAATTTGTCACGACAGGCTATCATTTCTCACTGGTGAGAATGTAAGTGCAGGTACTGGTTTGCAGGCAAGGTTACCATTCCCTCAATGCTTTGGATACCAACCTTAGTCAATATGATTGGTGCAATAGTATTAACTGCTAGATTCTCCAGAAGCTGTTCAGGCTTAACCAAGTTGATCTTCGTGTACTTTGTCGTGACTCCGGCATTGTTTATGAGCAAGTTGAGACCATTGTCGCCGACGACTCGACTTATTTGCAACGCGACTTCCTCGAACTTGTCTGTATTTTTGACATCTGTATTTAAAAAAAATAGTTAATTAAATTAATTTATTACTTTGTATGTTCTAAAAAGTATTGTATTGTAGTTTTAAAAAGGGTGCAATAATTTCAAAGTAGGGATTAAATAAAAAGATAGCCTTTCTCTTACATAGAATACGCGGGAGTAGCAATAGTATTCTGAATATGTTTGGAAATAAATTTGTAGGCTACCAACCTCTTTTAAACCTACATAATTACAGAAAAATAAATAGTGACGTTCTTGACAATGTTATTGTCTTAGCATTTGTACCGAACTATATTTTGTATCGCGACTTATTATATCTGGAATTATTTACTGTAAATATTATTAATTACAAAATCTCGTACCAAATCTTTCTTTCTTTCACTCTTTCTGAATCTATACATATAAATATCATCTAGCCCACGTCTACACTTCTCTACACTGGATCACGTCGGGGTCACCAGTGTAGAGAACGTCACTATTTATTTTTCTGTAACTATGTAGGTTTGAAAGAGGTTGGTAGCCTACAAATTAGATATTCCTCTCGTGAGAATGCTCGCCGAGAGGACTAGATCATTATTAGTAATTAAGTATTAACATATTTTTTTAAGTACTAAATGTACTTAAAAACTATGTTAATACTTACAACAAAAAAGGGACTCAAGTTGTCTGAAATAAATAAATAAAATAAAATAAATAAAATAAAATTAAAGCGCTTCAATTGTATACGTGTGAGCTGTATCACCTTTTGGTTTTAAGACTAATTATTATTATTATTTTTTGTTTTATATCTATTAATTTTGTTTTATTTTAAAGATTTTGATTTTGATTGGCTTTGACTTACTTGCTTTATGTACTAAACTACAAAACTAATTAATAAGACCAATTTATAAGTGGAGTATCAAGATAAACATGTACTAGATTTTAAGTTAAACCTTCAGGAATACAACTATGAAAATCATATCCAATTTGGTGCAGTCGTTTTTGCGTGATATCGGAACAAATATACATACAGATAGATATTTCTAAAAATGATTGTTTTGATTTCTATTGTTCTTATACTCATACAATTTGTCTTAAATAATAATTTTATTGCATAACTATGATTGTAACAAATTCAGCACTGGAAATTACAGTAAATATACACCAGAGGGAGACTTTGTACAAAAGTCGTTTGCTTGGGTACCTCTGTCCCATTCGTGTTTTAACCGTGAAGCAGTTGTGTTTGCATGGCTGTGTTTCGGTTCGAAGGGTGGGATATGGCGTGAATTTACTGGGTACAGAGGAATAACACCTGAATCCTCAGGAATGGCAATGCATGGAGGGTATCATGGGCGAAACAGTATACTCTGATATGTCAATGGTACTGCTCATGTCTATAGGCGACGGTTACCACTTTCCATCAGGTGGGCCGTCAGCTTGTTTGCCATTCTAAGTTGTAAAAAAATATAATCTAAGGAACACAACAGATTATATACGAAATATTGATATAGCGTAAGATGAGAACGAATTGGTTTGAAACTGCCTGTGTAAGGATAAACAAGTAAATACTCTGTTATGACTATCGCATGTGGAAAAAAAATAGGAGATGGAAATCAAACTGATGAAAGTATGATGAAACAGATATATTCGGTTCGAAGGATTATGAAAAATGTATGACGTATTGTAATAAACAGACAGACCGTGATGTTTTGTTATGATAAGATATATATTTATATAAGGAATTCTATACAAAGTTTTAGGTTTCAATTAACATAAAAATATTTACTTACCAAGTTGTATAACGTGAAGATTTTTGTTATCTTGTAATAGCTTTTGTAACTCCTGAAAACAAATAGGTAAATGGATTTTTATGTAATTAATACTAAATTTAATATATAAAATTTTAATAAAGATTTTAACAATTAAATAAGAAAGAGTCCATAGACGAAATGATTTGGCTTCAGACTGCTCGGGTCGATCTGTCGAATTTTTAGTTTAGTAACTGTATGCCAGGTTTTGTAAAAAAAAAGCATTTTATAAGTGACTTTCGAAAAAGGATATTAACAATTAATTTGATGTTTCGCAGAATTCATTATGTTCTGTAGAGCGGGCGTATGGTAGTCGCGTAAAGAGTCGAAATTAGAAATCTTTAAAATTGGCGCCAACCATGATGGGAAGCAAAGATCGGAAAATATAATTTTTTTTTTTTTTTTCTTTCTTATGGCACGGCACAAAGTGCATCCGCCAAAAACAAAGTTTGGGAAACAGCATTTTAGTAAAGGAGTTTTGGACGACGGAGATTAGGATAAGGATCAGAAAAGTTGAATAGTGAATAATACAAGGAAAAGGACAGATACCTAAATAGATATTACAATATATTTAACATTAAAAATATACATATATATGTAAAGTACATAAAATAAGAAAATTTGCAACTTACTATTATTGATAAGAATAAAAGAGGAAATCAAATAATATACTTCTAAATTATCAAGAAACAATAATACTGGAACTGATGTAGGAAAGGGAATACGGAGGGAAAGGAGGGAATTGAAAAGAACAGAATAGTCATAGAGAAGACAATTTAGGATATTCAAATCACCCATATCTGAGGACTCATTCTATTATCTATTATATCTATTTAATAAACATGTCAAACAAAGGTTTGTACATGTTTATTAAATAGATTAAATCTGTTTTTTTACTAACTGCACTACGGCAGTTCCACTGCAGAACTTTGGCTTGGTTGTCCGTTCTTTTTATTATTTAAAATATTAATGAATGCATTTGAAAGAGAAGCAACGTTGGACGGTGGAATGATATTAAATTGTGTTAATAAATTTAAAAGAGCTATTACTATTTCAGAAATAGATTGTTTAGATTCATCTTGCTGTTTATAACCACATCCATCTGCAGGAGCAGGAGGATTGTAGTCTTTTGTTAAAGTGATATATTCATTACGATCAAACCCATAGGAAGGTTTTGGAGGACGACGAATTTTTTCTATGACAGTTTTTTTATAAGATTTATTAGAATGAGGAGAAATTACATTATGAATCCCATTCTGGTTTGAGTTTACTGTACTATTTACAATAACTGGATTAGATCTTAGAGTGTCAGCATATGATTTAATAGAAGGAGCAATTTGCTTGCTTCAGCATAAGAGATACAACTTTTAGCCATTGTTTCTTTAATTGCCTTTTGCCTTGAAAATTCTGGACATTTTTTACTGTTTGCCTGGTGAGCACCTTGGCATAAACAGCAGTAAAAATCTTCTTCATGAACAGAACAGGATTCTCCAGAGTGGCCCTGACCACACTTATAACAACGTGGAACAGATCTACATTGATTTTTAATATGGCCATACCTACAGCAATTATAACACTGAATGGTAGGGTATATGTACAAATCAACAGGCAATGAATTATAACATATGAAAACTCGCTTAGGTAACACTTGACCATCAAAAGTTATAACAACGGATTCAGTCATTACAAATTCAGATTTACCGTTAACAAGAGATTTTCTCTTTAAACGCCTAACTTTCAAAATTTTGCCACAACCTAATGGAACTGAAACATTTTCTATAATTTCCTCATCAGACCAGGCAGTTGGGATGCCCCTTATTATTCCCATCCTTGTTAAATTGAATGTTGGTATAAAGGCTTTATAATTATGAGATTTTAAATCCATACTATTTATAAAAGAATTAGCATCTGTATAATTAGAGAAAGCTAATGATAATCTATTTCGCCCTATCTTTTTCAGACTACCATCAATTACATTTTTGAAAGGATTTTTCTGAAGGAAACGTCCAAAGGCTATTGGGTGAAGTGTAGAATTATCATCCGGGGATGATAAAACTTTTTGTATGTGAACGGTGAATGGAGCAGAATCATGAGGTTCATAATAAACTCTACTAATAAAGTTATGTGGACGAGATGAGTCATTCTCCTGATTATTTATTAAATTATTATTAGAAGATTGTTGCTGCTTTTCCTCGTTGAATTGAGTACATTCACATGAAAATTTATTCTTATTGTTTTCACCTCCTCGATTCCTCCTACGTTTTTTATTGCAATGCCTACAAACATTGCCGGCTACTGATTTACGTTTTCGTTTTGTTCCAGAATTATCAGAAATATTAACAGAGCAATCTGTGTCCATAGAATCCTCATTATTACTAATAATTACATGAAGAGCGACCTCGGGGACCGTACCCCCGGGATCATCCGGGGGGTCCATATATTAAAAAGAAATATATACAGAAACTTACCTAGTTTACAGCTACTATTACACAAAACTAATATATACAAATTTAAACTAATATAAATGCTATTTGTAACTTATCTGATCGATATTATAATATAAATAAATAAATAATTCAGAAAAACTCGACAGCCAAATTTTACGTTTCCCGCCCTTTTCCAAAATATAAATTGTAAAAGGCAAGGCCACGATGACGTCAGCGATCAAATTAGCATAGTGATGTTTTGTTGCTTATCAAAAATAATTTGTCTTAAGTGTAGATTATTCTAGTAAAATTTTTAAAAGTTCATATAGGTTACACATATATATTGGATATTGCATAATATATTGTAATTGTAAATGAATATAGAATGAATAAAATATTTTATGTTTTTTATTTTTCTTATTACTGATAAATTGGCACATTACATAGATTCATCGATTTAATATAATTCTTTACGGTCGACTAATCACTATGCAAGGTTACCAGGATGACGTCACGATCTGTCAAACGAATACGCGGCGGGTTGACTATCTCTTTCGCACAACTCGTATTGCTACAAAAGTGATTTGATGAACTCAATTTTTCAAGAGTAGTTGTTCGGTACGCGAGTCTTTCGGTAGTGTCGGCTTGTGTTATTTAGTTATACTATACAAGTGTATACCAGTGTTGTATAATTCTAAGTGAATTCTGTAAATAAAAAGTTAGAAAATGCCACCTATAGGTAAGTCAAAATAAGTATACACATACCTCAGACGGGCTTCTACAAGTTGCGAATATTTTCTCAGCCTTGTTCTGTTTTAGGAGATATTTTACCATCCCCAAGCCCAGTCCTCTATTTGCGCCGGTAATTAGAACGGACTGCATTTTTTTCTCGACCTGCGTTCTTGACGTTTGATCGAAAGATAACTCTCGTATACCTACACAACTTGTGCTTACGTACCTACAGTTGTGATAATTCCCTTCTCTGTCATTTACGTCAAAATGACAATATTGAGTAACGTTTTACGCTTTAATAATATTATAAATCCTTTGATACGATCTGATAATATTGTCCTATTAGCAAGACGAACGTTCGCGACTCGTGAGTAATGTATAATAATTGTATTACAGCCCTTGGGGTCCATAGATTATCGTATAACCTCACTTTGCTGGTCAACCTACTGTTTATATTAATTTTTTCGTTCATTGCTTATATTAACCCTAAATGTTTTCGAATTGTACCACACGACATCATCATTACCAGTAAGGGTCAAAGGTCCATGCAAAATATGACTGTTTTGGGTATTGAGATGGTGCAATAGGTGTCTTGTGATTCTGGGTTGGAGAAAGTAACACATAAATCCTATAATTAGTGAACAACTCATTTGTGGCCTACACATTATATCTATTTTTTACATAATCTAATGTGTGTACATTTGAGATTAGTACAAAAAGATTTTTTTTTTCTAAATGGGTAGTCCAGAAAAAAAAATTAATGTACCTAATAAAATATTATAAGTGAACAATTTTTACAGTAATTTAAAGTCCAATCCACATTAGATTATGTATTAAAAGTATGATGGAATTGTGATAACTATTTTATATATTGAAATGCAATTAGTATTTATCACAATTAATCATAATTAAAGATTGTGTCCCATAAAAAAAAAACTGACTTCAATTGTGATAAAACTCAGTTATTTTAATCAGAAATCTAAACTGCTGAACTAATTTTGATAAGATTTCTATAGAACTTAACTTACAGATAAGTCTAAGTATATTTTTTAGAAAAAGAATTTTCTAAATTGGTTTTAAACTAATGTAGTTATGAGGTAACAAATATAAAAAAAAATCCAACTGATTTAAGAACTTTCTTTTTGAAGTTGGTTGAGAACAACAGATGTGTGATTTTGAGTAATTTGTTTGGTAACACCAGGCGGCTGGATCTGTTGTAGCCGTAAGAGCAAGTCAGTAGCTCCCATAGACAATTCGGAGACAGGTATAGTAGTGGTCATAGATTAAAAATGAAATTCTCACTGGGGATAATGTGCCGTCGGTCATTTGTAATTGTTTCATTTGCATTGCTTTGTTGCACTTAATTTTATGTTCTAGTATGTAATGGGAAGTTGTATTTCAGAACCTCTTAATTGTTGTTGCATATTGTTAAAGAAAAACTATCTCTATGCACAGTTACATAATAAAGTAATTGTATTGTACTTTGTGCACATGGGTTATGAAACATACTGATATATATCAGAAATACAGTGATGGTCATAGACCAAGCAGCTGTGTCTTCATTTTTACGCCTCTTCAATTTTTGTTCAGTGTTAAGAGCATTCTTTAATTGTTTGACTACATTCACAATTTTGTTTGTGGTTCTCCTAGTCTGAAACATCCTGGTTCTATGTTCTACTTCTTGCTCTGTTCTGTTTTATATGTTCATTTAAAGTAAATCTACCTTGAAGAATGTTAAAGCACTAGTGCCATGGGACTGTACATCACAGTGTATATACTGTGTCACATATGGGCGGTACTGTATATTTTTTCATGTTTATATGCAAAAGTTACTACTCTCATCATGGGGACTGCCAGTTTGTTTGACTTTCTAAAAATGGCACTGCAAGGTTACTCTGAATCTATCCCAAAGTTTTATATAATTCATACACAGAAGGAAATGTATAAATTGAAAAAAATTTAATTTCCTTTGTTATTTTTAAAACTAGCTTAGTGATATTGGAGTTTACAGAGCCACCTATAAATAATTGGCTCTGTCTACCCCATTGGCAATTAAAGTGAGCTTATAATAATAGTAATAAAGTGCTCTCACAACTGCTTTAATATTTTGGTCATGTTTCTTAATGAGTTTAACTGTACCTATTCTAGATTCTCATTGTTAATAAACAACTTGGATAATTGGATGAAATATGAAAATAAAATTATTCAGAACTATATCATCATCATCTTCTTACCTTTATCCCAATTTATTTGGGGTCAGCGTAATATGTTTTTTATCTATATTACAAAAAGATTTTGCTTATAGTTTTATGACTGGCCGCCTGCCTGATGGCAACCCTCTTTGGAACTATATATTAATATGAAAAAAAAAAAACCAGTGGATATTAAATAATACCAAACTCAAATTTTTAAGAATAATTTAACTTAATAATAATATTAATTACCAATTTAAATATTCACACATTGAATTAATAAGAGCTTATGTAAGTTATTGGTTTAACTAAAACATAGCATGTATATTTTTTGCTAAAGATCACACGAATTTTATTTGTATTGGTGATTTTGGGTTGTAATTGTAGACTAGTAAAAAAATATCTAACTCTCTTAAACCAAACATTGCTGCTATGTAATTTTTTAATTATCAATTAAAAAGCTATGTGTTTTAATAAAAGTTATATTTGCTTAGAAGATAAATTATAAAAGTTGGTTCTGGTTTTGGTGGAAGTTTCTAGACTATATAATTTTAATATAAATTAGTTTATCATTAACTGTGATAGTTATATATGTTAATAATAATCTTAGATTTTTTTTAGTAATGACAATTAAGAGGTTCTGTAGGTTATGCTAAAGTGTATCAATCCACATGCAATCCTGATGGGATTTGCTTTTTAGATGGAGTATTTGACTATGACCTAGCGGTCATTGGTGGTGGGTCCGGCGGTCTTGCGTGTGCGAAAGAGGCCGTGAACCATGGCGCACGCGTTGTGGTGTTGGACTATGTCACACCCTCGCCACAAGGCACTAAATGGGGACTTGGTGGTACGTGTGTGAATGTAGGGTGTATACCCAAGAAGTTGATGCACCAGGCAGCATTACTCGGCGAGAGCATACATGTAAGTTTGTCTATTACAATTTGTTTATATACTTCCATTTGTTTTCGTAGCTTCATGTTTTTTTTTTTCATTATAGATATTGGTAAGAGAGTCCTGCTCCTTTTCCTGCTCCCATATCCCATGGTGGTCCAGAAAAAGTTCAATCTATAACTTGGATTAATTTTGGTTATATTTTTTAATTTTTTTTTATATTTTGTTTTAGTATGATATGCAGTCAGCATTGTATTTTTTTTACCCATTTATTTTGTATTACAAAATGTTATTTTTAGTAGAAATGGTAGAAATGCATATACTTGTTTTGTATATAATAAATACAGGTGTATATATATATTCAAGATATGTTAAAATTACATAACAGGTTAGATTGTATACAAATGTAGCTAGCTCTTTGCATGTCATATCAGAATATAAATCAAACTACATCTGTGAATGGGACCAGTAATGTGCCATTGTCTTCATTATCTCACACAGCTAAATAGCTTTGTGTTATGAACATAAAGTTTTCAACCTTTATTAAGATTGAATTAAAAAAAAATCCCAGGTATTTCCCAGATATTAGAATTATAAAAATTAAAAGAATACAATACTGAAACCTGGACGAAACTTAGAGATAATGTAGGTAAATTATCATAGTTAAACTATATGATCGCGTTAATTCCAGTTTTTTATAAACCATATAATATGAAACAAATTCTGAATTTTTAACATCCGGACCTACAAGAAAACCCTCCGCTTCTAAACTCCTTTCAAATGAAGACATTAAATAAATCTAGTTACACTTTATGTACCTCACCAGAGGGAGACTTTGTACAAAAGTCGATTGCTTGGGTACCTCTGTCTTATTCGTGTTTCAACCGTGAAGCAGTTGTGTTTGCATGGCTGTGTTTCGGTTTGAAGGATGGGATATGGCGTGAATTTACAGGGTACAGAGGAATATCACCTGAGTCCTCAGGAATGGCAACGCATGGGGGGTATTATGGACGAAACAGTATACTTTGTTATGTCCATGGTACTGCTCATGTCTATAGGTGACGGTTACCACTTTCCATCAGGTGGGCTTTTTACGCTTCAGCTTGTATGCCATTCTAAGTTGTATAAAAAAAATACTATGCGTATTTGTTTCTCCTGCCCTGATTTTTCTTTCCAACCTTATTACAAGAAATTAGGTAGCTGTAAGGACCTTAAGGTAATTAATTCCACCCAGAATTAGTTTTTTAGTATAAATGAAATACAGTAAATATTCCCTTTAAACCGATTTATTGGTCCTTTTTTTTCAATGTATGATAATGGAATGGTTGCGCTAACAGTATACGCAGGCGGGGCACCAGTGAGGAATGATAGCTGAAATTAAAGGGCAGGTCAGAGAGCCTACCGTGATGAATACACATGGAATTCAACACGACGGTTTCCAGGGGAGACAACGTGGAGGTCGACCTGATAGGGTATAATGTCCGCATTATTAACAATACCTTTCCCTCCTCCTCCTGATTTACGCTAGTCATGAATTCTGTGAGTAGGTACCGAATAAATAATTCTTTCGCCTTACCGTAACTGATGGCTGATTAGTCCGCGACCAGTTGAGGCGTTAGTCATATGCCAAGGTCGATCGGTGTAGTCCAACGTTGGCATGCGATCAATACGTAATTACCATTTATGATAGGTACACCATCAGTCAATGGAATAGGCTACAGTTTGCAATGGAATGTTGCACTTTATTACGATATAGACAGATTTTATGTATTTATTATTTTATTGTTTATTGTATTGTAAAACGTGTAAAATTGATGAACTTCGTGCCTTATGGTATTTTCCAACTATAAGGTAGAAATAGAATGCAATTGATGGGCAACGATGGGAAAGAACTGTCTTGATAGCACCCCTTACAAAATACGTCTATAGAAGGGGGGAGGGGGAAAGAGTTATTAGTAATGTCCACCAGTCCCATTGCTAGAAATATACCCTGTCAGATCGACCTTTACGTGGTCCATTCCATTATCATCCATTAGGAAAAAAACCTTTTGGGGGAGAGGGTTTGCTAGTAGTTAGCAATCGTAGTTAGGCTTTGAAGATATCTTAGGAGGGACGCTGCTGCCTATTCCTCGACCATTAAGTTCCTTAGTCGCTTTTACGATACCCATAGGAAAGGAAGAGGTGGCCTATTCTATGCCGGGGGACCACATGGCAGATACATAAATAGTACTACGCACTAATATGTTCATACCAGCAAATTAACAGATAACATTAAAATAGTTTGCTCAAAGGAATGCCCACAATTTTTTTTTTATCATAATCTTATCGTAATAATGGGTAATAATTATGAATGTTGTACAGATAACCCACATATATCTATAAATTATATTAAAATCTGGCCTTAAATTTTAAAGTTATATTACGATTTGCGAATATTGTGAAGTTTTATCATTACGGAAGTAGATAGTATATTGTGCATCAAATATTAATTCCTTAGCCCTTCTTCGCATGTTTTTTTTATTGGTGAAAGAAATCAAGGTGATATAATTCATGTTCAAAATTAAAGGAAAAATGGTTAAAAAAATAAATTTGCAGCTATGTTTTTTTTTTTTTGCAATGGACATTAAAAACGTATCAACGATCAACTTAAAGTGAAGTTGTTCTTTTATATAATTTTTGGGCATTCAATGTTATGATGGAAATTTCCACCATTATGCAAAGAAGGGTTAATTCAGTATTTGCAAAAACTATATTTGCACATGGAACTCAACACGATGCTTTCCAGGAAGAACCGCGTGGAGGTCGACCTGACAGGGTATATTGCTAGCAATGGGACTGGTAGCCCGCATTACTAACTTATCCAGTGTATACCGTTAGCGCTGGCTGGAAAACCGTTCCATTATTAGACATTAAAAAAAAAGGTTTGATAATAAAATTGTAGGTACAGATAGACGTGTACGAAATATGCCAGTCACAGCCACATGATAATGTGATAATCGTGACGCTAGCACTGTAATGTACCTACTATATTGTATTAGATATGTATCGAGCAAATTAGTTCCACATGCAATTACAGCACACTCAGCATTCCCTGTATGTCTTGTGACATACCTGTTATCTTATATTTCACTAGAAACACTTGAAAATGTTGAGTTTGAAATCTTTTCAATGATTATAACTGATAATTCCTTTAAAGCTGTGTAACTTAGTACCATTGTTTTCTCAGTGTAATAATATATTTTTTTATACAACTTAGAATGGCATACTAGCTGACGGCCCACTTGTTGTAAAGTGGGTAATCGTCACCTATAGACATGAGCAGTACCATGGACATAACAAAGTATACTGTTTCGCCCATGATACCCCCCATGCGTTGCCATTTTTGAGGACTCAGGTGTTATTCCTCTGTACCTTGTAAATTCACTGCCATATCCCACCCTTCAAATCGAAACACAGCCATGCAAACGACTTCTTCACGGTAGAAGCACGAATGGGATAAAGATGCCCAAGCAATCGACTTTGACAGCAAGAAGGCCATTAGTCCCCGTTAATAACAATCCCTTCCCACTTTGGTAAAAAAAAAAACCTATAGGTCACTGTAGCAATCTATTCCGCTACCTCTTTTGGTTTAAAAGCGCCAACAAATATTATTTCAGTTTAATATTACGACTCTTTTTAGTTCGTATCAATAAGAAAAAATTTGACGTTTTAATTTTAGCTTTACTTACTGTCGGATCCAATCAAATGTATAATATTAAATTCCGTCTAAATGTTATTGTCCTTTGCTGATTACTTGTTTCCTTCTGTCCTTCAACTGCGTGATACGTCAGAATCTTTCTGCAGGCTACGTTAGTGACAGAGTTCAGTAAATATTTTAAGTCACAAAAAAGAAGTAAATGGGAAAAGTCTAGCCCTTTATTCATAAAAACTAAAACCTTGTTCAAATCTGTCTTTATTATTATACTGTTTTGTATCTTTCTTTCAAATTGGGAATTTAGTATAAAAGAAAGAGATAAAAGAGTTCAATAGCTTAAATAGGTTTATGAGAGTTTTGACATTTTTATGAATAAGGTTTTTTTTTTTTTGTAATGTGTGGCGTATTACTGGCCATCATAATCCGTCTTTTATATTTTTATACTGATTTTCTATTGGTCTTATGTTTTACAATTCTGTCATATATATATATATATATATATATATATATATATATATATATATATATATATATATATATATATATATGGTAACCCTGCCTACGCTATACGCTATACGGTATACGCTGGCGGGACACCAGTGTGTTTTAGTTTATCGTGATGAATATACCTGGAATTCAACACGACGGTTTCTAGGGGGCTACGTGGAGGTTGATCACATAGGGTATATTGCTAGCAATGGGATCGGTAGTTCGCATTCTTAGCAAACCTTTCCCTCCATCCCCCAAATAAGTGGGGTAGACATGTTGATTCCAGGAAAAAAAGTAAAGGGTCATCTTCAAATTTCTTAGTCGTAAAGGATTTTTAAATAATCATTGTCACCAATAATTATATAAAATATACATATATATATATATAGGAAGCTAATTGAAGATATCATATGAATTGATCTATGGACTTACATCGTTTTAATTTATATTTCACTTAATTATATAACTTATCTAATCACATAATGAAATTATAGCTGATACAACCATTCTGCTAAATGTTGATATACGGATAATTATTTTGTATCAAAAAAGTAATTAATTAATTGCCTTGCCCTGTTCATTATTTTAGTTCGATGTATGTTTTGCTCTTCCATCGATTCCTATTAGCTGTCTTACCTGGTTTTACTTACTTTTTTGCCTATCTTCCTTCACACATTCCACTTTGCACATCTTTTCTTTAGGTATATCATTCCTTTGTATCCTAAATGTATAAAATTAATTACATTTATTTTATATACATACTCTTTTGTTTATATAAATATTATGAAAGCAATAAACTACATACTTGCAATGAAGCTACGAAAATAAATAAGAAGTTTTCAATGATTAATTTATTTCGTCGACAATTGACGTTGTACTATTAAATGGACGCAAATTGTAGGAAGCCGTTTCTTACGGCTGGCAAGTGCCTTCATTGGACGCCGTGAAGATAGACTGGTCAGCGCTCACACAGTCCGTACAAAACCACATTAAATCTGTCAATTGGGTGACCAGAGTCGATCTCAGAGACAAGAAGATAGAATACGTAAATGGCCTGGGAGAGTTCAAGGACCCACACACGGTTGTGGCGACGTTGAAGAATGGATCCAAAAAGGAGTTGACGGCGAAGAATATAGTTATAGCAGTCGGTGGCAGGCCCCACTACCCGGATATTCCGGGCGCACTCGAGTACTGCATCACCAGTGATGACATATTCAGTTTAAGTAACCCGCCCGGGAAGACATTGGTCGTAGGAGCTGGATGTATCCTTTTTGAAATTTATTATCAGAGGGCAAAGCAGTCCTCACGCCAAGTCGAGCACAGTCGTACCTATCCTTTTCTCAAAGCGACTCGTCGCACTTTTGGTCCCTCTGTAACCTCATTGTGGATAAAGCAAGAAGTTAAAATTTTTAGTGTTCAATCAAATCTCTTAGATCTTCGATGATGGCTATGACGTTGTAGTAAACACGTTTCTTTATATAATGTCTTAGATTTCATTCTTGATCAGCACTATTTGGGAAGCGAACTTTTTTAAATTGAATCAAAAACGTTCCGAGTGAAATCAGCCAGAGAATTAAATACAAATAATTTCTTTTTTTATAATTGCAAAAACTTGACTCAATCCATTGTTATTAATACATAATTTTGTTGTCTTGTTTTTGTAACGTCTTAATAATTCTTAATGGTATAGTCGTTTCAGGACCGGTCGTAAGACCTCGAGGCTTGAAATGTAAAAAGTACATCTTTAGCTTTTGTATCTTGTATTGTAGTATTAAAAATGACTCGCCGTATGGAATTTAAGTTACATCTATTTTTACTACTATTTATTTTCTAATAGGGGGAGATATAATATTTTATATATAATATTTTTTTATATTTATCTAACATGATTAATTTTTTGCATCGTCGACAACATACTCTGCACCTTTACGAACCATCGACTGTATAAATGTCCACTGCTAAACTTCCTTAGAGGGATTTTGCCAGCAGTTGCTATGCTTGGTCGGCGGATTGGCAACCGCAGTTAGGCTTTGGAGATGTTTTAAGAGGGATACTACTGCCCATCCCTTGCCCTCCTTTAGTCGCCTCTTACGACACCCACGGGAAAGGAAGGAGTGACCTATCTCATGCCGGGAATACACGGGACTAGATAACATTATTAGGTGTTAAATCCGCCATAATATGCACTTTATACTTTGTGCATTAAAGCTTAATAAATAATTTCGTGATCATACTTTAATGAATGAATGTAATAATATATGGTTGTGACAGTTTGGTTGGATAACGCTTGACGCTTAACGGGAAATCGAAGGTCATAACCCAACAGCATTTAGCTAGATATGATGGTCATTTGTTTCGCGCAACAACGAGGGGTCTTCTCAACACTCGTCAGATGGTGAGGGCGAACCCCATTGCCGCGGCATCTTCTCCGGAGGCTACTACTTCCGGGTCGCTGGGTTTTCAGCCACCATACACTAATGGTATATGTATATCGGCATGGTATCCATGTTTCGTGTTAAGACAGAGTCCTAAGAATTCTTTACACCAGATGGCGTTACCCCCTTACAAATAGTAGTGGTTGTATGAATGTCATTATTCTTTTAAAAGATTATTAGCCATGACTCGCACAAACAGATATCGGTTTAGAATGCGCCGGTTTCCTCAACTCGCTGGGGTACCCGGCGACGGTACTGATTCGATCGGTCCCCCTCCGTGGCTTCGACCAGCAGATGGCGAACATAATCACCAACGAGATGGAGGAGAAGGGAATCAAACTGCACCACCGGTGCATCCCGCTGTCGGTGGAGAAACTCGAGTCTGGACAATTGAAGGCGCGCTGGACAAACACGGAAACAAAGGAACAGTGAGTTATACTTCTTTTAATAGATGAAAATGGGGGGGGGGGGTATTGTTAGTAATGGGGAGGTTCCCATTGCTGTCTATATACCCTATCACATCGACCTCCACGATCTCATTACTAACAATCCTTTTCTCTCCCAATGAGTTTTTTTTTTGATGGGTGAAAATGGTATAGTAACCCCGCCTGCGCTAACGGGATACGCTGGCGGAGCACCAGTGAAGGGTGATAGATGAGAATGAAAACAGGCCAGTTAGCCCATCATGATGAATTCATCAGGAATTAACCATGATAGTTTCCAGGGGGAACCGCAAGGAAGTCGACCTAGTTGGTGGGTATATTGCTAGCAATGGGATTCTCAGTCTCTATTACTAACAATCCCTTTCCCCCTTCCCCCAATGAGTTGTAGGTACTTATCTAGGAAGAGAGTTTAGGTGGTTGCAAGGCGTAAAATTACTATTTGGGGTCAAAAAACCATGTCAACTGACAGCAAACGGAACCATTTTCTTAGAAAGTTGTTATGATCCCAATCGGAAAGCACACGGAATGTGGGAACCGTAAGTTGTGGTGGAGAGGTTTTGGCTCTCGGTTCCGTCTGAAGTACAAATTAGATAAACATTTGATACCAGACGAAAACTATAAACTTGTCTTTAGAAATAGCTGAAATAAAGGCTGTATTTTTTACGTTTGTATTGTATTTCGTTTGAAGCGTTAGATATGGCAATGAAGTCAGTGGCGAACTAACAGCGGGGTGATGGGAACGAACGCGCCCCTGGCTTTGGTCTGCGAGGCCTCCAAACGTCTTAACTTTCCTCACCCTTAACCATATTTCATATAATTTAAATTTCACTGGTAACATTTTAACGAAATAAACATAATCACTTTTTTTTTAATAATAATAATAAAGATTTATTGCACATAAAAATATACAGTCATGGGCTTACAGAAATTTCAAAGTGAATTATATGTGTATAAAGAGTAGCATTATGCCTTATGCTAAGCACATTAGTGTCTAAACTAGGCCTAGCCTGTATTTTAGACACGAATGCCTTCTATTAGATACATATTTTCGTGCAGTTTCGCTATATAAAAATAGTACAAACAACAGTAAACAACATGTTTTATATTACTAAAATAGGGTATCTGTAAAATAAATTACAATGTTGTATCAAGAAATGTGCCATTATAAGTAAAATAGATGTCATGCTTTGCATTGTTCAGCTGGTCATTAGTGCGATGAAAAAATGAGTCAGGTGAGACCAAGACCAATCACTTATACATACAAATGTGAACTGAATAACAAAAGCTTGTAAAATTACTTAAACTGGAGGCTTTGTTTAGCTTTGTCGCCCCGGGCCTCTGATGGGCTTAATCCGTCACTGAGTGAAGTGATTGCTTGCTGTGACTCAAGATCCTCATGTCGTAGAGTCACACAAGAGACTCGTGTCCCACCCGTCATCCATGTTTCATAGGCTGGAGACGTTCATAGGCTGCGGTAACCGGCTACCATCGTATCGTTTTAAAAAGAAAACTGATAAAAACTATATGTATGAAGAGTCGGCGGGATATGGAATTGTCCACCGATTTTATGTAGATTTTTCTTTTATAGCCATAGGTTTTTATTAGAGAATCCGTCTTCATTCATTCACCTCGATAAACCCGTATGTTTTTGTATGATTTCAGATTTGAGGACGTATTCGACACGGTGCTCATAGCGACGGGTCGTTACGCGCTCACTAAGCAATTGAATCTGCCAGCGGCGGGAATCAATGTAAGATTTATACATCATTCATTTTTATCACTACCTCAACATTGTATACTAAGAATGTAGTAGTACATAAGTTGGAAAAACATAATAAATGTTAAAAGCCTGGAAATTAACATCCGGGGCCGTCGATTTAAAAAAAAAAACATTGTATACCATTGCAATAAAAATAGGAGTAACTGTATGAAATCATAATACAAAATAATTTATGAAATTTTTATACGTAATCGCGTGCTTTTTTTTTTAAGGATTATTAAATAATTATGTTTATAAATATTAATTATGGTTTCAAGTCAGTCTAACTGTTCAGAAATAACAAATTTTTTTTATTGTCCAGTTAGTTTTTTTTTTTATATATATATATTACAGTAAATGACATGAGTAGTAGTTAACAGTTTTTTTCTTGTGATGTGCAAAATGAATGGTGTCTCTTCACACTAGCGCCGCGGTGGCATAATTTGAATTTGTGCAAACAATAACCTTCCCAAATGACTATATGTAGTGCAATGACTGAGATATGACGTAGTGAGAACGTTAATTAATATTAAAATAAAATAGGTGCTACTAGTTGTCTATTATATATCTATTTGTCAAAGAAACAGTACACACACACACACACACACACACACACACACACTATATATATATATATATATATATATATATATATATATATATATATATATATATATATATATATATATATCCAACGACCCGCTCATCACGCCGCCACCAATCTGGATATTATAGTCAGCATGACTTGTTTAATATACCATATATAAATAAATGGAATAGTCACTATGTATGTAATACAAAATTAAATGTAAAATCTTTTCAGACTGTGTCAGAGAATGGTAAGATCGTGGCGGCGACCGAACAAACCAACGTGCCGCACATCTACGCGGTGGGCGACGTGCTGGAGGGCCGGCCTGAGCTGACCCCGGTGGCGATCCACGCGGGCCGGCTGCTCGCCAGGCGGATATTCGGCGGCGCCACCCAGCAGATGGACTACGACAACGTCGCCACCACAGTCTTCACGCCACTCGAGTACGGGTGCGTGGGACTCAGCGAGGAGACCGCTATACAAAGGTCAGTGGTAATGTTTACCTATCATCATCACCATTTATGTTGAACGACTTGAATTGAACAGTACGGTACCATACCATTTTCACCCATTAAAAAAAAACAAACAAACCAACTTTCACATTTATAATAATACTAATAATCACTTTATGTAATCTGCTTTCGATGTCCTAGATAATTCGTACAGTCAAAGTTTGTGTATAAATCTAAATGTTTTATCTATCATATACACACTTTGTATTGAATATTACGGATTCTTTTATCTTATCGCGATACGTGACTGTCACATATGACACGCTAGGGATATATTACGTCGATGGTGATTGATAAAATACTACTCTCCAAGTGGCACAATACATTTGCTGTACAAGTGTTTTCTGTTCTGGTAACAATGTGTATAACCATTGTACAATACTGATTGTTTATTTAAATGAACAGTTTAAATGCGCTATACGCGTCCATGTAGCCTAACTTCAGGCTGTAGCAGAAAATCAGTGGTTTGCTTTTAAGCAAAACTATCACTGAGCTGTAGCCTATTTGGCTCACTGCGACACACTTGGTGAAAACATATTTCCATACTTCATCTTTTGTTTTATATTTAAAAAAATGGTAATAAACTCATTTGGTAATTTACGTGTGTAATAAATGGCTCAAATAAAGCGTTTATCCATCAATCAATTTATCTATTGTAGTTCAATGTGAAGAAAATGAGATTTCACTCAACACCTATTTATTTATTTTATTTTAATACTAGCGGCCCGTCCCAGGGTCGCACGGGTGGACATTTTTAACATTTCCCTTCACTGCTCTGCTCCTATTGATCGTAGCGTGATGAAAAGTATACTATAACCTGCCCAGGAGTATGAGGAATAATTGTACCAAGTTTCGTTAAAATCCGTCGAGTAGTTTTTGTTTTTATAACGAACATATAGACAGACAAAAAATTCACTGATTGCATTTTTGGCATCAGTATCGACCGCTAATCTCCCCTGATAGTTATTTTGAAAATATATTTCATATACATAATTGACCTCTCTACAGATTTATTATAAGTATAGATTAAATCTGGAATCAACAGCTTATATCTAGAATAATTAAAAATATTTTATTTACACCATATAATAAATAGCCAATTACAGATTCCCAATTTGTATACCAGACAATATTATGCTTATTTTTGGAGGGTAGGTTAAATTAAATAGAAAAAAAAACCTAATTTAAGGTATCCTAATAAACGGAGTACGCGATTGGTGTGTTTGTTTGTAGCACTTACAATGTTTTTTTTAATGTTTTTTTTTATACCACTGAGGTGGCAAACAAGCGTACGGCCCACCTGATGGTAAACGGTTACCGTAGCCTATGAACGCCTGCAATACCAGAGGTATTAATCGCGTGTTGCCGAACCCTGAAGAAACCTCTTTACCCCCCTTTTGAACAACCCCATGCTGTAGTCTCTTGGGAAAACCTCGGCAGGGAGCTCATTCCATAACCTGAGTGTTTGTGGGAGAAAATATCTCTGAATGTTTTTTTGTACGCATTTATCATACATAATAATATGACAGAGGTAATCAAATGTATTTTTTTATGCAACTTAGTATGGCAAACAAGCTGACGGCTCACCTGATGGAAAGTGGTCACTGTCGCCTATAGACATGAGCAGTACCATGGACATAACAGAGTATACTGTTTAGGCCATGATCCCCCGTCCCCCCATGCGTTGTCATTCCTGAGGATTCAGGTGTTATTCCTCTGTACCCTGTAAATTCACTGTCATATCCCACCCGTCAAACCGAAACACAGCCATGCACAACTGCTTCACGGTAGAAATACGAATGGGGCAGAGGTGCCCAAGCAAACGATTTTTGTACAAAATCTCCCTCTGGTATAAAGGCGAGCTTAACTCTAAAAGAGTTCTCTTCCAGCAAACCCAAAGTGGAAAGGAGCATCAATGTCAGCGGTGTACAATACTGTGACAATTTAAAAAAAACTAGACTTAAGTTTATATATAACAAATTATTTATTTATTTCGTCAACATTTATTTATTTATTTATAGACACGGCACGGACAATATCGAGGTGTACCACGCGTTCTACAAGCCAACGGAGTTCTTCATCCCGCAGCGGAACATCCGCAACTGTTACCTGAAAGCGGTCGCGTTGCGCGAGGCGCCCCAGCGTATACTGGGCCTCCACTTCGTGGGCCCGGTCGCCGGAGAGGTCATACAGGGCTTCGCTGCTGCAATTAAGTGAGTATTAATTATTCTCTGATTCTTTCTGATATGACTTGAAGTTGCAAACAAACCGTGGGTTCATCTGATGGAACGTGGTAATTGACGTGTTTTTAATTAAAGTTGGTAACCTCGACATATATACATCGCAGAATTAAACTCTAGCCGACTTTATAAGTTAATACTCAATGATATTACTTGCTGTTTGGCCCCAGCGTAGTATGGACCACCCTTTCCTTTCCCGTGAATGTCTTAAGAGGCGACTAATGGAACATAATGGGCAAGATACTTTCATATGGAATAACAAAATATTATAATTAATTTTTGATGAATTCATCACGATGGCCCATCTGACCTGCTTCATCTTTACCTATCATCCCTCACTGGTGCCCCGCCAGTATATATCGATAGCGTAGGCGGGGTTACCATTCCATTATGATAATGGAATGGTAACCCCGCCTGCACTATCACTATTATACGCCATCAAAAAAATAGGACTGTTTGACTAACAATCTAACCCCAGTACTAACAATCTATCTCCCCCCCCCCCCCTCCCAACTACGCGACGTGTAACAACATCGCCGACATTGTTACACGTCGCGTCGGTGACTTTGCTTACGAACAGTTTCGTTTGATTGCAAATTATTTCCAGATGCAACATCACGATGGAGCAGCTAAAGAACACAGTGGGCATCCACCCGACGGTGGCGGAGGAGTTCACGCGGCTCAACATCACCAAGCGCTCCGGCAAGGACCCCAATCCCGCCTCTTGCTGCAGCTAAACACCACGCGCGGACACACGTGCGTTTCACGATGCCTTCACACTACTAAATAAAATTGGTCTTAACTCCCTTCACGATATGGTTTAATTTTAAATGTCAACAATGACTTTATCATTTGATCAGTGGATTTACTTTCCTGACTCTACTACGGACGAGACGATATTATTATCCAGGCGGCCCGGTATAGTGTTTTTTTTTATTTCGAATTTTACTTCTCATTCTTTGCATTTTTCTCGTATTTGTTGACGTTTAAAATAAAATACTAATATCAATGTAGTTAAATTGTATACGTAATCTGATGGAGTGATCGTATCGTGAGACGCTGTCCTACGCTCTGTTGGTATACGACACTCGTTTCATGCAATATAGACGGACGTATAGATACAGTAATGTATAGATTACCCTATTACGTAACTAACATGTCGTGAATTTACTGGGTACAGAGGAATAACATGCGTTGCCATTCCTGAGTCCTCTGGAATGGCAACGCATGGGGGGTATCATGGGCGAAACAGTATACTCTGTTATGTCCATGGTACTGCTCATGTCTATAGGCGACGGTTACCACTTTCCATCAAGTGGGTCATCAGCTTGTTTGCCATTCTAAGTTGTATAAAAAAATAAAAATAACAAGGAGTAAAATTATTAAAGAAAATGTTATAATATACTTATTCTTATTAAAAAATTTTCATTACCTTTTTTGTTGACAGTACTTATATATTAATTGAGCTAGCAAAAATTTCTAAGTCACAATGTCCATTATGAAATACCGCTAATCAACATTTGTATAAAGTGGTAAAGTATTCAATACTAGTAGATTTATTTGGTTTAATTTGTGCTCCCTAGAGGTAGGTACAAACGTTATCGCTAACAAGTCCATGAGATAGAATGAGATAGTGACGCGCGCTGTCTTTTTCTTATTTGAGCGCTGATCTAAGTGATTCTATCAAGAGATTCGTTTTTACCTTCTCTAGGCGGCTTGGATAGCCTACGGACTATAGTTGAAATTTGAAATTGACGTTGTAGTACTTATTACCAAATTTTTTTGGGTCAAAATGTCTGTGATTATGTTATACATTTACTAGATACTTGTGGATTTTTCCATATAAATTAGAAAAAAAAATCAGTAATATTTCAAAATTGCCTACAATTAATATAAAACAAAAATACTCAAAATTGCATGAAACTTGTGAACGTTGTTTGTAGTTATTGTTAATGGGAGTCCCGGAGAAGATGCTAGAAACAATGGAATTACTCAAGATTTTAAATGTGTTGTCTATTATAAAAAAAAATATGTCCAAGTCAGCAGGGACGTTAGAAAAGAGATATCTGTTATAACTGTATAATTACTATGCCAGAGGCAAATAATATAGTTGTTAAATTGCTAGTAACTACTGCATTTCAATTAGTATTTCTTCCTTAACATTATTTGATCTAACAACCTCGCCCTGTTTAGTTGACTTTTTCATTGTGTAATGTTACATTCAAGATTTGAATTTAAAAGTAAATATATATATATATATATATATATATATATATATATATATATATATATATATATATATATATATATATATATATATATATATATTTTGTTGTGAACAAATTGTTAATAAGCCGCGTACAGATATTCTGTGACATGTAATGTGTAGCATGCAATGCAATTAGTACGTAAATTTAACGGACGGCGCGCACTATTCAAGAACTGAGATTATAAAGGAACGTTCCAGATGTCATCATGGCAAATTGTATACTAATCTTGATGTTAATTTTTTTTTATATATTATATATATACATATACAGTGAACGTTCTACATAAGCAACTCATTTTTACTACTTTTAATAAAAAAATTTTATGGGAAAAATTGCTTTTAGGGATAAAGGAGTATAAAAATATCATATGGCAAATATTTTTACTTATTTCTTTTACTAAGCTGAGTAGAATAAATAAAATATAAACAATATTGCTTATAGAGAGTTTGCACTCTGTGTATATATATAGAAACTATTAATTGACAAAATCTTAGGCGATACGTTGATGTCCAATAATAGTACAAATAAATTTTTTTATTAATTGAATTAATGTTTCGATTTGTTACCAATTTCATTTAGAGACTGTTCTGTGTCTACTTTTCCATTAACTTCAATTGGAATAGACTGTAGTGTGCGTGTGCGCATGACAATAAATTATACGGACGGTTCAAAATATATGTACAAGGTTATATATTATATATTGTTAAATAAAATTAAATAACTAAGCGAGCAGTTTTAGTACAGTATTATTTTTTATTATTTATTTTCTTCAAGCTGTTTGTTACAATCTTTCTCTTCAAACACAATTAGACAACATTTGGGGCACACTGAACGAACAATGGTTACATTTATTTCATCATTTTACTTTGTATGTGATTTTAAACTTTAATAAAATGATATATTTTTTATGATTGTTTTAATTATTATTTCTTTTGCATATCGGCTATTATATTTATTCCATAATAAAATTCATAAATCAATAAAATTAGGAGCAATAATTTATAAACATGTACGACTAAGTTTTCCATGTATTATTTATGCATATCAATTTACTGTCTTAAATTTTTTTTTATACAACTTAGAATGGCAAACAAGCTAACAGCCCACCTGATGGAAGATGGTAACCGTCTGTATAACTGGTGTACGCTGTTACTGGTCAATATTATGGAGGGTAGAGATAACGGGTATCGTGTCGAGGGTCATAGTGGAAATAAACATTTTTTACACTAGCAAATATATTTTAATTTGTTAGAAACAAAATACAATATGAAAAAAAATATCCATATATAGATGGGTGAATTTACTGGGTACGGAGAAATAACACCTGAGTCCTCAGGAATGGCAACGCATGGGGAGTATCATGGACGAAACAGTATACTCTGTTATGTCCATGGTACTGTTCATGTCTATAGGCGACGGTTAACACTTTCCATCAGGTGGGCCGTCAACTTGTTTGCCATTCTAAGTTGTATAAAAAAAAAATGTGGCCAGACTTAGTTGACATAATTATTATTATGTTAAATACCATTGTTAAACTTTATTATGCATTAAATAGTGAATAAATATGTTGAATTTTCCAACTCGGTACATTTTATACATATTCTTTATTGCATTGCATTAGCATTTTTTTATCAACAATTTTGTTCATCAATAATTACTAAATTCATTTCATGTTCTCTTGACGCTCTAGCGCTATTCCGGAGGGAACTAGAACTGTTATTTACTGCTTACAGCTAAACACTTGCTACCATTCCCTCATATGAGATAGTTCTTACTTCCAATCTCACTAAACAAAATATTACAAGTGTTACATTAAACATCGTAATTCTGAATTTATTCCAAATACAATGAAACCAAAATGTAATATAATTAGTTTCATAATATAAATGCTCAATATATTGATGTAAAAATTATTTGACAATATAGAAAAAGATATAGGTTAGAAAAAATGTCTACAACTATTTTATAAACGTCTGTTAAGAGGTATTGGTGGTTAACCGTCGATACCACATGATAATTCGCAGAACATGTCTACGATAACTGTCAGGGCTCATCGTTAGTAACATATTTGTACATTTCGTCGTTCGACGGGCACGGAAACCATATCTGCGCCGTCGGCAGCGGGTAGTACTCATGCGCTTGCACCAGTTCGTTGTCGAACCGCCAGAAACGCGGTCCGCGAAAGAAGTACGTATCTGCAAATAGTAAAATAAATGTTAGTTGCTGTATACAGCGATATTCTAATTAATTTGATTTATTCTGTCCCCTTAGACAAGTGCCATTCTCGTATTTACTCTTTATTGCACCATTTAAAGCTACCGCCCCTCGGCCCCTGAAAATTGTACAACATTTAACGCGCAATAAGCAATCGCTCCAAATCTGACTTGCCCCACCCAATACGTCTAACTCATTGCAAGCAATACACCATATCAGGTCGACCAACACGCGGTTCCCCCTGAAAACCATCGTGGTTAATTCTAGTGGGATTCGTGAGGATTGGCTAACTGACCTGCTTTCATCGTCACCTATCATCCTTCACTGGTGCCCCGCCAGCGTATACCGATAGCGGATGCGGGGTTAGCATTCCATTATCATCCATGAAAAAAAAAAGGAGCTAGGTACGTCCATGTCTTTCTGATTAGTTCCAGGTAAGTAACAAATTGATGTAATAAAATCACAAAAGAATTTAGAATAGCAAACAATTAAAAGTGGTAACTGTCGCTTATAGACACGAACAGCACCAACTAAGTTAGGATATAATGATCTTCCTTTCGAAATTTACAGCCGAGCCGTATGCTTATTTGCTACCATAGTATTTAATATTAAAAAACCCACGCGTGTACCAAATTTTTCTTCAATCTTTTCATGCCTATAGGCGATTGTTACCACTTTCCATCAAGTGGGGCGTCAGCTTGTTTGTCATTCTAAATTGTATAAAAAAACTTTTTTTTTTTATGTTATATAAAAAAAAAAAAAAAACTTTTGAATGTAAAATTTACTAAAATTATAATGAAGTATGTTATGTTTTAAATCTTACCCTCTTCCCAAATAATGGCAGCGTCCACCGGGTACGGGAGCTGCCGCCACGCGGACATCTCCTTCGGGTATCCCTTGTCCATAGCGCCGGCTTTCTCGTCGTAGCGCCAGAACCTCTCGTACTCGATCAGGTATGTCTTGTTATTGTAGTTAGAGGTGAACACTGTGGTCAGCTCGGGCACGTGTCGCGGTATCGCGTACTCTGATATATTGCCGCGTCTCAACAAATGGAAGCTCGGGTCGAACTCCCAGAAGTTCCTGCCTAAACATTAAAACAAATAGTTATAACTATTTGTTACTACTACTATATGTGTATATAATAGTAGAAACAGAGAAAGAGAGAGAATATGTTTTATTTGCACCAAACATTGGCCATATTTTCTTACCGACTTTATATAAAACAAGATTCTTTTTTTTTTTTTTAATATTTGTTACCTCATAACTTCGCCAGTTGTAAACCGATTTGGAATATTATTTCTTATCTGAATATACTATATATAATAGAGGACTGAATATACTATATATATAATAGAGGTTATACTTATAGATTGATCCCATAGATAAAAAATGATTCAATAGTTTAGTTTATAGGTCAAAATAAATTATTTTGTCGCAATATTGTGGGACACAATCTTTAATTATAGATAAAAGTAAGTTTCGTACATATAAATAGACAATTAATTGGTATGCAACTGGGTAAATTTGTAGATTTTAATTTATTTTAACTTTTACCCTCTTCTTTTTCCGTAGTTGTCAGAGTCAAGGGCAGCAGAGTCCTTATTAAAACATTTCCAATACCTACCTACGGTTGCGAATCCGTCCGCCAAGCAAGGCAACTATTGGTAAACCCCCCAAGCTTATGTTTAGCAGTGGACAGTTAAAAACTGATATGAATGAATGAATAAAAATCCGTTAACTTTTCCATCTAGTGCTTGTTATAACATACCGTACACAGATCTTAATACAAATTCTATGCCGGGACCACACCGCGGACGTTAATGAATTGTTAGACATATATAAAAAATATTTCTGACTACCCCACCTAGGAATAACAGTCATAAGTATAATCCTAATTATTTCTCTAACCTGAGAATATGGAAATGTTTCCATTCGGTTTCTCATAAATAGTCTTTATGATGTTGACTTCGGCTGGGAGTCCTATGAACACGTCGTGGAATCTCTTCGGATAACCCTCCTCGATGTGTCGCCTCTTGGAAAGCACCCACACCCACTGAAAAACATTAATACATTAGATAAAAAAGGAGGTCTTGTGGATCATTTGTTTCATATCTACAAGTTATGGACTTCTGCTACTTCCCATGAAATGTGTGAAACTTGACTTAAAATTATTTTCCTTATTCCTAGGTATTTATTATATTTACAACCTCATTTTTAGACACAATATAACAAAAGAAAACAGCTCGATTAGTATTCTTCCATTTTCGTAGATATTTCCAAAAACTATCTCTTACTAGTATAATCTTTTTAGAACAATATAATTTTTTGATCAGAATATTGGGTTAGTATACCTACGTGCTGCTATGTATGTATGCTGGATCACCTTACTGTACGACATGACGATTTTTTAAAGACCATACTAGAAGGAAAAATAGAGACTAAAAAAGGAAGGGGAAGACCGAGAAATAAGTATATACTACTATAGGACTAATAGAGCTGACGCAAAAAGTATGAATTAGTTGCACAGACAAGACCCTTAAATGAAAAAGAAGAGTATATGTTTGGTGGATACCACCGATTGCAAGGAGAGTTGATGTCAGTCGGCCAATCGTAAAACCAAAAGCCAAACCCTTGTGTAATATAAATAAAAACATATTACGCCGACCTCAAATAATTGGGATAACGGCAGGATTATAACACTCGTATAGGATTGGTTTATATCTACTGTTAATTAGTGCTTGGTTAAACACATTTTTCGCCTACCTCCTCTTCAAACACGAATATTTTCCCTTGTATAACTTGAACAGTATCGTAGTTGGTGTAGCACAGGTCTGGTATCTCATTCTCATCAGATAAGTCGCTGTCCGCTCTTGTGAACTTAGGCACTAGTGCTGATACGCTCTCTGTCACTTCTGGCGGTATTGGCTCCTCAATAAGCTCGTCTTTCACTGGAAATAACAAATACTGTAATTGCCTCACTTAATGAAATTAATTTACTGTACTTTCTTTTCTAAATTCCTAACTAATGCACACAAAGACATACATGTAAAATATGCATCCGGCTCGAAGGACCATTGCATATGAATGAATACAAATTTCATAATACACGAATTTAATTACTTTAATTAGTCTTATATTGTCTTAGTTAACACAGCAATATTTTTTTTTTTATAAAAAAAAAATAATTCCTCATGATAATAATAACCTTAACGTGATACCTTTGTATTTACTCCGATTTTAATTTTCGAATAATGGAGCGAAATATGTATCGTGATTATTTACTTATTTTTATTTATGTAAATTTTAATGCACAATAAAATTCTATATATATATATATATATATATATATATAACGCAGTGTAGGACGACCCCCCCCCCCCACTAGATGGAGTGATGATCTGAAATGCATTGCAAGGAGTCAGTGGATGCAGGAGGCTCAGGACTTTTCTTTATGGCAGTCTATGGGGGAGGCTTATGTCCAGCAGTGGACGGATAATGACTGAAATGATGATGAGGGAAATTCTATATACATTTGGCGGACATAACACCGGACGGTGTTTTATACCAGTCAACTAAGAGGCAAGAAGCAAATTGAGTAGGCGGTGCATTTACTACTAAAATATCTATAAAAAATAAATGTGTTTCTTTACTCACTATAAAGCTCGTGCATGCCCATAATGTCATCAATGTTGAGTTGCTCGACTGGCACCTTGTAGTATGGGTACATGACAGATGTCTTCACATCAGAGTGGCACAAGCCGAGCGCGTGGCCGATCTCGTGGACCGCCACAGCGAAGAAGTCGGTTATATCGTTCTCTCCCTGCTCCTCCTTGTTAGGACTGTCTCCCCACAGTTCGTCGTCATCGAAGTGCAACGCCCCAACCGGCGGGGGGAACGCGTGAGCCACTACGCGACCTGGCCCGTCAAAAGGAAACCTACGTTAGAAAAATAATGTATTTGTAGTAACATAACCACGATACTAGTAATTACGAAGATTCTGGAATGAATAATGATATTGGTCGGCTGTGCTGTCCCGGCATAGAATAGGCCATTCCATCCTTTCCTATGGGTGTCGTAAGAGGAGACTAAGGAAACATAATGGTAGAGGGATGGCCTCAGCGTGCCTCTTAACTGTGGTTACCAAACCGCTTGCCATGGGGGGGAAAGGGATCTTTAGTAATGGGGATTGAGAATCCCATTGCTAGCAATATACCCAACCAGGTCGACCTCTTCGCGGTTCCCCCTGGAAACTATCATGGTTAATTCCTAATGAGTTCATCATGATGGGCTAACTGTCCTGTTTTCATTCTCATCTATCACCCTTCACTGGTGCCTCATATACCCTATGAGGTCGACCTCCACGTGGCCCCCCTAGAAACCATCGTGTTGAATTCCAGGTGTATTCATCACGATGAGCTAACTGACCTGCCTTTTCTTTCTCATCTATCACCCTTCACTGGTGCTCCGCCAGCGTATCCCGTTAGCGCAGGCGGGGTTACCATACCATTTTCACCGATAAAAAAAACCGCTTGTCATGGCAAGGCCTACGTTCAGTGGTGGACAGTTAACAGCTGTTATCAATGATATTAATATTACTTTCTTTTTATGATATTTAGAATAGCAAACGAAATGACGATCCTTTTGATGGAAAATAGTAAACATTGTTTATAAACATAAACAATACTACGGACACCGTAAAATACATTATTAATAATAATAATAATAATTTTTATTTCAGACTTTTTGGTCCATTAAATATTATTATTATATATTGTTAGCGGTATCCCCTACTCGAGTCTCCCCACCGCTCGTCGCAACTATAAAAATGGACAAAAACCAACTGATCGGCCATTTTGTTGTCAGACGCGCGCTCGAAAACATCTCTGAATATATTAATGTCGTACCTTTATCAAATTATTGTTAGACTGAAATCTTGTATAAATTGTTCTATTTAATTATACGAATTATTTTAGGGTTTGTTATATATTTTTTTAATTTAAAATAAGATTTATTGCTAAAAATATATATTATATTATATATCTGCCGTTACTTGTTCACTACTGAGCATAGACCACCGCCATGGACTAGCTTTGCCATTGGGGTGTTTTTCCAGTAGTTGCCTTAGACGTCATTAGTATGAAGGATACCATGGTCAATGTAATGTATGTCAATGGCGCTGTTCCCATCTATGGGCGACAGTTACCGTTTTTCGTCAATACCAAGCGATGCAAAAAAAAAATTAATAAAAAAGTAATTTTACTACTAAAAGTGAAAGTGGATATTCATTAAAATATTCTTTGGAGACTTATCTCAATTGTTTGTGTTGTTATAAGAAATAAATAATAAAAAAAAAAAGTGTACGTGACATTTATTTAGAACTTTTACGGAAATTTAAATACCTATAAAGACCTTACCTTGTAAAGATTCTATTGTTAGTAGTTTATTCTTATAATGACAGATTCATATCCTTTTAGAACTTACTTTGAACAAAGATAAGGCATGCTTGAATGAAGTCACACCATGTTATACGTTATGAAAACATATGCATACGTTATAAAATTTATTCAAGTAGGTATAACACCTAGTTCAATTAAGGATTCGATGGAAGAAAACAATGTAATACCATCTACGCTAGAACAACTATAATATACAATCTCAACTTACCCATCTCCGTGGTCTTGCCGTCCGAACGAGAAGCGTATATCTGCCGGGCCGTCTTCTACTTTACTAAACTGAAGCCCGCCGTGGGGGGCCCAGATCGCAAGACCGGCTTCCACCTGTTTTTCCACGCGGTCTTTCGGCAGTGTAGCGGATCCATTTATAACTCTAAAGATAGAAGAAGAGATTTGATAACATTATTATAAGAAAGCTGATGGAATGGAAAACCGTAAGAGCGTATGAAATACTCTTCTCTCCATGACATAAAAGTATGTAGATTATTACCAATGAATAAATTCAAAAACATATCCAGTTTTGTTTTCCTTTAGAACTAAAAATAGTGTAGGCGGAGCTTTTTCAACCGAACCTTTTTTAAGCTTCGGTTGAAAAATAAGGATTAAAATCCTATCGAATTTCGAACGAATCTAACGAGAATTTCACTTTCCGATCTAATTTTAAAACATTAAAGAACGAACATCTGAGAATGCAATGCAAACAACCAATTGTAAACCAATTTAGAAATAAATTCGTTTTTCATGTCATCCCGACTTACGAAATTGATATTATGCACCTCGTTTTCCAAGTAGTCATACATATTTACAGAAAAAAAGAACAATTAACGTAATTGATTACTTGTAAGTGATATGTTTCTTGTTCCACCCCTGCTGTATGACATAACGGCGTATTCTTGATGACGTGTTTTCTATGTCCTTTATCCCGCAGCGTTTTTTCTTGAACAACTGTAAATTAATACAAGAATATATTTTTTATGTAATGACGGTTACAAAAAAGCATACGGCTGGCTTGATAAGCGTATACTATAAAACTTCCAGCATTAAATACGTCATGTAAGCATTGTTGTTCTTTAGTGAACATTCGTTTTTAATTAAAGCATAGTAGACACATTTACGCTATGGCAACTGCCTGTATAGTTATATATATATAAGTATACAAATGACTAAAATATAGTATATGATATATGTGTATAGATGACTAAAAATAAAATTTTCAATTTTATATAGAACAATTATAAATATACACGTTTTTTTATTTTAATATTACATCTATAACATGTACATCCTTAACTATACTCTTGAACGAATTAGTATACTTATTGAAATTAAATATTTTAAACTAAAATAAAAATATTTGGGCTCCTCTGTCCCATTCGTGTTTCTACCGTGAAGCAGTTGCATTTGCATGGCTGTGTTTCGGTTTGAAGGGTGAGATATGATAATGAAATTATTAGTCCTCCGGAATAACAACGCATGAAGGATATCATGGGTGACAGAGTATACTCTGTTATGTCTATAGGCTACGGTTTCCACTTTCCATTGGGTGGACCGTCAGCTTGTTTATCATTCTAAATTTAATAAAAAAAAAATTTAATTGTCATGACATACCTAATTATTAAATCTTACTCACTTGTTTAGTTTCACTGTCCAAACTGCCGGTGGCTGGCAAACCGGCGAATGCTTGCATTTTTTTCAATGCTTCGGAGATAGACTGTGGCGTGTACACGAAATCTAAATCCTCGCCAGACTCTTCAGGTAGGTAGCCATATTTCTTCAGAAACGCTATCTGTAATATAAATCATAGAATAAACAAAAAATATGTTCGTGCTTACGACTATAATTTTAGATGAGGTAGTCAGGAGAGTTCTTCAATTGTGGTCACTAAAAATATTCGAGATATCATGATAGATGAAGATATCTGATAAAGCAGTACTGAGTATAGCTATGTGTGAATTTAATGGGACGATTTCAGTAAAAATCTAAATAAAAATTGTAATATTAGGCCATATTTTACTAAATACATTTTCGAAGAAGACAAATCGTTTATTGCCTAGACTGCTTCAAATATAAAATACTAAAAAAACATAAAAGACTTTACAACCACAAATTTTACATATCGGGTGGATATAAAATCGGGTAGTTCATAAAATATGATTCTTAAATTGTCTCTCAGACCATTTGATTCCTACATATACTATGTATCTACTTTAGTTATTCAGATTTCAATGGAGTTTATTCTAAACATTATGGTTTTATGCATTTCACTAATTTCAAAGATTTTGTGCATCTATCATTATGTTGTCTCGTTTCTATGGGATCACAGTTACATGGAATCCTGTCTCGCTGTACGGAGATTTGTTGTACTAGTCTCATGGACGGTTGATGAAATAGACTGAACTTGTGAAAGAAATTGATAGTGATGTTAAGTGGTAAATATAACTGTTTTGTTTATCATTAACAAACTGTTTAAAAACAAAGTTTACTTCGTTATCAGCTATCTGATTACCAACACCACCAACTCAGAGATATCTTTGTTACCATATATTTTCTTTAATACAATTTACGTGCTGTTGTCACTTTTCTAAAAATAAATATCCACTTGTATTGTCTTACCACCAGATAAAACCAGGGTCGCAGCTAAAGGCTGGTCTGGAGGGTGACTGCTAAATGCGGAAATCTCATATAGAAGCATAGCGCTCTTGTACAACATTCAAAATTAAGAACACAAGTTTACACAAATTTACACAGTTGCACTAAATTTACGATAGTAAAAAAAATAAAAAAAAAGATTTAACTTTATAAAATATTCAATAATACAAAATTGCACTTAGAGATTTTCCTTAAGAAGTTTTAAGAACGATAATAGAAACAAATTAAATGTTGGCTTGGGCGCTCATTATGATCTCGACAGCTGTGAGACCACTGTTTGAAAGATAAGTGGTTTTATTAAATATGATAACACTGACCTCCTCGTACGTAGGTGTGTTAAGCTCCACATATATAGTCCTACATGTCACATAACAGCAGCCGATTGTGAAAACAAGAAGGCCAATTAAATATTTGCAAGTGCACATGGCTACGGCCGACTGACAAAGGAGGCGCGCGTCCACATATCGCTGTTTAATTATAATAAACGATGATGACCTTTGCCTCCTGATAATGATTCATGGAGGACACAAAGCTGGTTAACGCCCTTTGATGGAGCTTCTATTAATATACAAGGTTCTGTATGCGACTTTGTCCGCGTGACCGGAATATATTCACTGACCGGGATAAAAACCTACAACCTTCTCCATACCATATAGTACGCGTATACCGAATTTCCTAGTAATCGGTAAAGTCGTTAAGGCGCTAACAGGAAATAAACAAACAAACGAACTCACATTTATAACACACATACATACATACATACATACATATCTGTCACGCCTGTCTCCCATTAGGGTAGGCAGAAACAATGGAACGCCAAATGCTTCGATTCAAACAAACCTCTTTCGCTTCTTCCACATTCATCAATCTTTTCATACACGCTCGCCGGTTACGGGTACTTTTAATTTGGCCCTTCTTCAGCACGTCGCCTATTTGGTCAACATACGTCCGTCTAGGGCGGCCCCTACCGACAATATAAGTAAGGATTATTAACTAATTTTTGCCCGCAACTTCGTATGCATAAATTTTTCAAGTACCTCAATAACCAGTTTTAGAAGACGTATTAAGATAAAAAAAACATAAATTTTTTCAGAGCTTCAAAACACACAACAATGAAAACCTCATACAATTGCGTGCAGTAGTTTTTGTGTGATGCCGGTATTCTAAAAATAATTGTTTCGGCTCCTACATATTCTGACCCCTCATATCAATTAATGATAATTTCTTAAAGACCTCTCGTGTACAGATATCATGTAGTTACAATTATATTAAATTAGTAAGATTACAATATTAAAACTGTTATGAAACATAAACATGACATTCGAATATTTTGGGTGATTTAGAAAATTTCGAAGTGAACGAGATTTCGACCTGCCACTCTTCACCAATGCTGTCGAAGTTGTCAATCATAATAATATTCGAAACAGACTGTATGAACAAGGTTGGCCGTAGCCTACTTTAATAATAAATAAAACAAAGTGGCTTGCCGAACTGATGATGAGAGGTGGAATGGAAGTAGATAAATATTATACACTGGAGTACCAGATGAACTTTAGGAGAATTTTGACGAGGACCGGACAGATATACACTTATTATTACACGATTTACGAAACATAATAATTTATGTTTGCGTGTGTAAACATAAATTATTATGTTTATTGTTTTATTTTTTTTTTCTAAATATTTTCCCTAAAAACAAATAAAAAGTCAATGACAAATTTTACATTACTAAATTATATAATTGACACAGTTTATGTAGAAAGTATTCAAGTAGGTTGTATCTGAATTTGGTAGGGTTATACGGCCATATAACATTTTCTATACACTAGCCTGCTATGAATTGACAATTTTATCACTTCTATGTAATTCTTGCTTTTAGTTTTTTTTCACGAGAGATATGACGGATGATAACAGATGGTAGCCCTTATGACCTCTCATAGACTTTTTATTAGTGCAATCCAACCTTAATATACTTGGCGTCTTGGGCAAAATTTTAACGGTGCCCTTTAACGAGGAAAAAAATTCTGTACACTAGTGCTCCCCTTAAATTGCGGTGCTCCTGAGCACTCTGACGCCTGACCGCATCCTCTACGGTCGGTACTGGGTATGAGTATTAGGAACTTATTCGTACCTGTCTATTGCCATTATAATTCATCAGGTAACTACAGAAACAAATCTATATATATATATATATATATATATATATATATATATATATATATATATATATATATATATATATATATATATATATATATAAATAAGAATTGATAGGAAAGGAAAATAAATAAATTCTATTTTTAAAAGTCACAGTAAACTGTTATAGAGTGGTTTCAATAGCTTAAATATGACGAAATTGAAAAATTTATGTATCCTACCTCCTAAAATCTTTATTTCCTAATTGTTATTTTTTTTTCTTGTCTTAGTGATTGATTATTGATTACCTTGCCTTTTTGAATGATTGTTATTTAAACTTTTAAACATTATAAAACTATGTGTGTATATGTATTTTCACGTGTTCATATTGTATCTGCTACGCCTAACAACTTTTGTGTTCTCCGATTGTAAGTATTACCATAAAATGTTTCATGCCAGAGAGAGTTACATTCCTGGTGCCTTGTGATACGGATTCTTTGAATACCCAGTTCAGGCACCAGTTCTCTACAACTTTGATGTATCTATGGTATTATTTTAAATGTTTCATTGTACTCAAAAAAGTTGTGAGATAAATAAATAAACTTTATTATTATTATTGAAAAAAACCTCAACAATTAGTAATAAATAACACATACCTATATGCTCATCAACTTTTAAAAAACAGCTAAGTATATCAACTTTTAAAAAAAAATTAAGGATTTGACAGTACAGTTGACAGTGTTGAGGTCGTGTCGAAAAATGAGTACTGTTTAATTTTATTCGTTACATATATAAAAATACAAAATGCAAGGAATCAATCAAGGAAACCATTCGATGCCCAACATGCGCGCGAGCACCGCCAGCGAAGCGGACATCCGTCGCCTCCGCAGTTTGTCTTTGTCACAGATCAGGAAACACGCCGAGTTCGCTGAATACAACCATAAGCCCACACCCTTTGTTAGTTTCACCAAAATTATCTATATGTTCTGTATTATACAATAATTGGCGAAAAATGAAATAACAAATACTAAACTCCGAAACAACTCGCCATCAAAATGACAGCATAGTGGTTTTCTTTTTACTTTGTACTGACTTTGTACAAAAATCGATTGCTTGGGTACCTCTATCCCATTCGTGTTTCAACTGTAAAGCAGTTGTGTTTGCATAGGTGTGTTTCGGTTTGAAGGGTGGGATATGGCGTGAATTTACTGGGTACAGAGGAATAACATGCGTTGCCATTCCTGAGTCCTCTGGAATGGCAACGCATGGGGGTATCATGGGCGAAACAGTATACTCTGTTATGTCCATGGTACTGCTCATGTCTATAGGCGACGGTTACCACTTTCCATCAGGTGGGCCGTCAGCTTGTTTGCCATTCTAAGTTGTAAAAAAAAATGAAGAGGTTATTTCCCATTGTCAACAGTATACCACGACAAATGGGCTAACTGACCTGTCTGATTATTTGATTAGTATTATTTTGTTTAGTTCCACCACTATAAGTATGTGTGTAACTGCCAACATTCGAAGATTGATTACCACTATTACCTACCAGAAGTTCCACAACTTCTTGTTATTTGTTGGCAGTCACAAACATACTAATAGTTGTTGAAATAAAATAATTCTAAATGTAAGGTAATGCTGCCAGTATCTTGGGTACGCTGCCTCGATGTGGTGCGTTTGAGGATTACTTATAATAAGTATTAGTATTTAAGGAATTTTATATTAACTTTAATTTTAATAAATAAATAACTAAAAAAGCTATCTTAATTATTAAATAATTCTAAACAAATAGGTAACCAGTGATATGGACTTCCAAAAGAAAACATCTGTTAGAAATAGATATATTTTCATACAGCTATAAACTACTGGCCGGTTGTAATTTAAAAAGATATGTTTTTAAATTTAGTTGACACACTGTTTAAAACAATCGTTGCTATTCTGTATTTGCTCTTCTATTAAATTTTGTCGTACTTTTATGTTGTGTTTATCCTATTCCCTTCCACAACGGAAATATTAGCTGATATCTCAAGCTGAATACCAACAACATCTAATTCAGAAAAATATTGATCTTTCTTAATTTTCACATATTAACTTTCGTTAGTACCTCGCCAGCTTATAGCGTTTTTTTTTTAATGGATGATAATGGAATGGTAACCTCACCCGCGCTATCGGTATACACCGGCGAGGCACCAGTGAAGGGTGATAGGTGAGGATGAAATAGGTCAGTTAGCCCATCGTGACGAATTCAACAAGAATTGTTCACGATGGTTTCCAGGGGGAACCACGTGGAGGTCGACCTAATAGGGTATATTGCTAGCAATGGAGCTGTCAAACTCCATTGCTAACAATCCCTTTCCCCCCAGTTTATAGCGTTAGTGTAAACAGGGTTGTCATAACATTTTCATTCATAAAAAATGCTTCTGACTACTTTATTAGGGTTTTTGTCATGAGTGTATTTATTTAATAATTATAATAATGTAGTAATTGATTTTTTTTCCTTTTATTAGAACATCCGCTGGATCTACGGCTACAATCCGAAAGTGGGTGTGATAAACTTAAACGATAAGGGTAGTACTACGATATTCTACGCTGCGTCGAATTGTGCAGTACTGTATAACTGGACCACCAATCAAATGAGGATACTGCAAGGACACGTATGGCTCAAACTTACATAATTTGTTTAAAAAAGATTTTGTTTTTTATTATAGGTGATAATGAAATAGTAACCCCACCCGCGCTATCGGTATACACCGGCGGGCCACCAGTGACGGATGATAGATGAGGATGAAACAGGTCAGTTAGCCCATCGCGACGAATTCAACGAGAATTGTTCATGATGGTTTCCAGGGGGAACCACGTGGAGGTCGACCTGATAAGGCATATTGCTAGCAATGGGGCTGTCCAACTCCATTGCTAATAATCCCTTCCCCCATAAAAAAAAAAGAATTTGACTTGGACACGATTTTTTTTTTTTTTTTTTTGATGGGTGAATATGGTATGGTAACCCCGCCTGCGCTAACGGGATACGCTGGCGGAGCACCAGTGAAGGGTGATAGATGAGAATGAAAACAGGCCAGTTAGCCCATCATGATGAATTCATCAGGAATTAACCATGATAGTTGACCAGGGGGAACCGCGAGGAGGTCGACCTGGTTGGGTATATTGCTAGCAATGGGATTCTCAGTCCCCATTACTAACAATCCCTTTCCCCCCAACTTGGACACGATTAATACAGAACTAACGTAGGATTCCGGTTTCAAAAATTAAAGTTAGTTTTTATAACATAACACAAGGATCAAACTAGCATGGCTAACCTGATGGTAAGTGACTACCGCTGCTCATGAGCATCTGCTACACCAGAGAAATCGTAGGTGTGCAGCCGCCCTTTTAAAAAGTGTTTTTAGTTTATAAACTTTGTTTACATATATTTAAATACACTATCGGGATTGCACTGTGTCGTCCTGTTATAACCACGACGTGGTGCAATCCAACTCTAATCGAAACGTCGGCAATAAAAAAGCAGCTATGTATTATTTACCTGCAAATTTTTTTATCGTGTAGTCCCAATAGCGTATTTAATATACTTTTTTGACTTGAAGGTTACGAATGGTAACGAAGGCTATCGATTTTACAATTTTATCATTTAGATTATAGGGTTTTCTCTGTTTTATATTACACTATCCTTTTTTTTATCGAGGGGAAAATCTTCAGAAAGAGACCCACCGCCAGCGGGATGACGGTGGGTACTGTGAGATTTTTACCCACTAAAAACCACCTCGGTATTCCTCTCAGCGCCGTGTGTCGATGACTGGGACTCGCGATTTGCAGTCGTCCCAATCACCGGCAATGCCACCCCATAACAGGGCCACTCCGAGTGACACGCCGGGAATACGCAGCGCGCCGACTCCCGGATCTCCACCTCTAGTTGGGCTTTGGAAGTGTCCCGCCTTCCGCTGCCCGGAGATCCATATTACACTATCCTAGTGTGCGGAGAAAAATGACAATTACTTTTAAGAAGTGAATAAAGTATTCTTTGGTAATCACCAAAACTCTTTAGATGATTGCTTTATCTGTTAAATGATAAATCATCATACTATTTTATATCAACAATGAGATCAGCCGAATAGAAGTACTAACTTAGTTATTTGACGTATTGGTGAATCATGGTTAAGAATATCAAATTGATTATTTCAGAGGCACGTGGTGTCATGTATCGCATCAGATAGGCAAGGCAAATGGCTTGTAACAGCAGACTCAGGTCCTGAGAATATAGTTATAATTTGGGACAGCAGTAATAATTTTCCACAAAGGACATTATTCTCCCCCCATCGTGATATTAAAGTTTCAAGAGTTGCTTTGAGTGCAGACGCAAAGTATTTATTAACTTTAGGATACAAAGAAAAGGCAGTGCTGTTTTGGTGGATTTGGTCTTTCGGAGAGGATAAACCCCATGGTAAGACTGGTTTACGTAAGTTGAGTATAGGTTGTTTACGTCGAATCAAAACACTCGCAAGCTATATCATATAAATGTAAATGTATTTACTAGCGACCCGTCCCGTAGCTGGTCATCAATATCTTTACTTAGTAGACCATCGAGTTGGTTTATATGATTTCTTTAATTTCGTGCTTTCGCGGCTTCTTTTTTCAATAAAATATAAACCATCTTACTCACTGATAATATAGCTTTATATAGATGAAAGAATTTTTAAAATCATTTAAGTGTGCTTTGGATATATCCACTACAAAATAATCTTCCCTCCTTAAAAAATTTGTTTTGACAAAGAAATATTGATTTCAGCTGTTTTAGAAGTAAATTTTCGAGACTCCGTTGTGGCGATGGATTTCAATCCTTACAATTCCGAACAATTTCTGTTGATGTCAAAAAGAGATATATTCATAGGAGTATCTGGTGTTAGTAGTCATTTTAATTAAAAAGTTACATTACTTAAATTAGCGACCTTTGTTTTGGTCCGAAAGGTTAAGAAAGCCAGAATCAGTTATAACACAACAGGCGTTACACTTCACTTCCTAGAAGTATCAAAGCCCTATTGTTATCCCTAGATAACACTATCATAATCTGCGTGTTTGTTAATTGAAATCTGCGAAAGTGTTAAACGGACACATAGCTATATAGCATATATATATGCAATATAGCATAGTTCCTATAATCTATGGACCCCAATAAGAAATAAATATGACATGTGTTTTGCATGAATAACCGAAAATATACAACAATTATTTATTATCTCTGTTCAGAAAATATTTGTCATGGAGAGAGGAGAGAGGAAAGAAACTGACAAATATGAATTAAAAGTAAGGAAGCTAGAAACAACAATAAGCCCAGATTTTGGGAAGCTGACCTGCTTCACTTTCGTGCAAGACACTGCTCAAATCCTGGTTGCCACGAGCAGGGGTGCCGTGCTCGTATTTGGATACACAATACAGTACCAGCAGAAAATACAACCTACGAGTTTTGAGAATTTGAGATTCGTAAAGGTTTTCAGAATCGAAAAGTATAAAATAAACGTCATCACAAGTATTGATGGGTAAATATTTCTTTACAATTACACTTATCAATTATATAGTTTTAGAGTATAATGCTGTCATATGGTCTCCCCAGTACAGCACTCATATTGATAGATTGGAAGCTATTCAGCGGCGTTTCCTTCGTAATTTAAGTTCAAAGCTTGGCATGAGACGTAAGCTATCTACAAATGAAAGTCGACTAATTTTTTTGGTATTACTATGTTAAAATCTAGACGTTCAATCCAAGACTTGAACACGCTATATAAAATTATAAACGCAAAGTGGGATGCTATCGATCTGTTGAGCCATGTTCCGTTTAAAACTGGAGGTAATAAGATAATACTAAAATTATTTCATGTACCTTATTGTAATAACAATGTAACTTTCAATGATCCTCTGTTCCGCATGTGCAGACTGTACAATGGTTGTAATGAATTGGACATTTTTGCTTATAGTTCACATTCTTTTCTTATAATGGCAAAAAAAGTCTCTGAATTTAATATATAATTGTTCTCATTTTCTATTGTTATTGTATATAATATTGAAACTAGTATAAGCTAACGCTGTGCGTAGCAATTAACGGTGTACAATTTAAAAATAATTACTTAGTTATAAAGCTTATTATAGTGAATGTAATGTGAATTGTATTACTGTTGCTGTGCCTAAATGAATAAATATGGCTGAAAGTAAATTCAGAAAATCATAAAACGATCACAAGATAAATAATCATTAAAATTGATTACCAATTGCCGAAGATTTCGCATAATATAATCATGTAGGTTGTAATTATTATACAAGCTGTAATTACAATAAATAAAATCTAAATCAATTCAAAATATATTCAAAATGTAAGTACAAGAGAAAGAGTAAATGTCTATAGTTTTTTAATTGGATGATAATGGAATGGTAACCACGCCTGCGCTAACGGTATACTCTGGCGGGGTACCAGTGAGAGATGATAGTTGAGGATGAAAGCAGGTCAGTTAGCCCATTTTGATGAATTCCACAAGAATTAATCATGATGGTTTCCAGCGGGAACCGCGTGGAGCTCAATCTGTTAGGTTATATTGCTAACATTGGGTTTTTAGACCCCATTATTAACAGCCTCTTTTCCGCCAATATTGTAGTCTGTTGCATTGTAAAAAAAGTCTTTATGAAAAGGTTTTTTACTACTATTGAACTCGGTGAGCTATCGGATAAGTTATTTATTTCTATATTTTTATTGAGTTCTATTGAAATGCAACAGGTTACGTATTCTATACGCTGTATAGTCTGCTTTCTTTTCCAAGGGGCGACCAAGGGAACTTAATAGTCGAGGGACAGCAGTCCCTTTTAAAACATCACAAAAGCCTGACTGTGATTGCCAATCCGCCTGCCAAGCGTGGTAACTACTAGTAAAACCCAATAAGAGGAGGTCTAAGTTCACCAGCGAATAACTAACGGCTGATATGATGATATGTATTCTGCATTGTGATTGCCAGAGTGATAACAACAGGAAACAATGGTGGTGAGATCCACTTCTACGACGAGCAGATGAAGCTGCTGTACTGGATCCACGGCTTTCAAGTGGACAACGTGCGTCACATTAGCTTCAACATCTCGCCAAGAAGCTACCAGATATTTGACCCTGAATGTAATAATAAAATAAATAACTATACATATCAATCATTCGATTAACCAATTTCATTATACAACGAGACCTGCAATCAGGTATACGACCAGTCTGATTATAAGCGGCCATGTGAAGATGTTTCATAGATATTATATTTTTACAACCAGATTTTGCTCCATAACTAACATTTTGTTGCTCCGCAAAGAAAAATAACTGCTTCTATTGTCGCGATTTTAAAATAGAATCTACATAAGAGTAAACCGTATAGATTGGAAAAAGAATTGTGAAAATCGACTTAGAAATGGCGATGTAATCGCATATCATATTCTTTTCTATTGTTAAACCATGATGCCCCATTGTTGAGCAAAGATCTCTCCTATCTCCTTCTAAATGGTCCAAAAGTTATCTGTAAGAGATTGCTCTAGCGATAAGATCGTCTTTGTACCTACTTTTGTGTTATATTATCTATATTTTATGCTACTGTATTTCATTGGAATTTTCCAATTGTCATTGTACTTATATTTTTTTTTTTGTTTTTGGAGCAATAAAGAGTTAAGTAAATAAGTTCTTATTCTACACTAGCTCAAACCAGTCTCTTATGAGGGTATGAGAAATTTAGCAACCTTGTGTGTTTTTAATGAAGGTAACAAACCATGCCTCTGTTGGGAAAAAGTAGTACCAGAGATAGACCCCGAGACTGGTCACTTGAAACAGAAGTTACTCAAGCAACAGTTGCCCAGCGACGCCTCCGTTGGAGGCAAACCGATCATCGTTCGAGATTTTATCGTGTGTAAGTAATATTCCTTTTGGGTATATACTCTTAGTATCCTATAATGTATCAAAACTTTAAGTAGACTTACATAAAAAAAAATTCCAACTTAGTTACTAGAAATGATAGTTTGATAACCTGAAGGAGAATAATATTTGAAACAAGTTACAGAAAGCTGAGGAATTTTTTTTTTTCATGGATGATAATGGAATGATGACCCCGCCTGTGCTATCGGTATACACTGGCGGGAAATCAGTGAGGATGATAGGTGAAGATGAAAAGGCAGGTCAATTAGCCCATCGTGACGAATTCAACGATAAATTAGTCACGATGGTTTCCAGTGGGAACCGCGTGGAGGTCGACCTGATAGGGTATATTGATAGCAATGTGGACTAAACTCCCCATTACTAACAATCCCTCCCCCCCCCCCCCTACAAAGCTGAGGAATTGTCACTTCTTATTTGGACTGCGATTGCCAACACGTCTGCCAAGCGTGGTTGATACTGGCAAAGTCCCCCCTTATGGGGGGAGGCTTAAGTTCAGCGGTGAACAGTTAACAGCTTGATATGATATAATGAATTGCATTTTATTGAATCACATTTAGAAGGAATGACCACCTTGTAGTAATCTCGCAAATCGAGTCTTGAGAATGTAACTCAACAATACCATCTGCGTATCCCACACACGCAAATGGCGTGACGCTTTCATGCAGTATAATAAGCATCACGGTATAACTCTCAAATGTCCATTGTGTTGCGATGTCTATAGGCGAAGGTCACAATTTTCACTAGGTGGACGGTAAGACGCACTGACCGATTAAATGACTAGTGACCAACATCTATCAGTGGGTCGAGGAGTTTGATATATTTACCAGAGGGAAACTTTGTACAAAAGTCGTTTGCTTGAGTATCTCTGTCCCATTCGTGTTTCAACCGTGAAGCAGTTGTGTTTGCATGGCTGTGTTTCGGTTTGAAGAGTGGGATATGGCGTGAATTTACTGGGTACGGAGGAATAACACCCAAGTCCTCAGGAATGGCAACGCATGGGGGGTGTCATGGGTGAATCAGTATACTCTGTTACGTCCATGGTACTACTCATGTCTATAGGCGACGGTTACCACTTTTCATCAGGTGGACCGTCAGCTTGTTTGCCATTCTAAGTTGTAAAAAAGAAAACATAAGTTCCTAATACACGTAACAAAATACTAAAAAGGCATTTTTTAAAATGAGAGAACGTTTTGGTGGGAGAGAAGCCAAGGAATCGACAATATAAATATACAGATATCATTGTATTTTTTTTAGTATAAAATTAAAGATTATTTTTATTTTTATGATAATAGATGATTTATCTATCTATTACAGGCACCCTCAACCAAGGCGTAGGTTTTGTTGACTTCGTCACCGAGAAGCTGGTTACAGTGCTGGACAACAGAGTAGCGCATGCTTTATCAATTTCGGTTCATCCTGAGAAGTAAATAAAATTTATATATATATTATTTTTCAAGAAATTGTTATTGTCATAATTAAAATGTTCCACAAAAATTGTCAAATTGTTTGTCATGCCACAGATAATATAATACTATACTAGTACAGATACATCATCTTGAACAAACAAGTGAAAAGCTCTAAGTCTGTTTATTCTTCGGCTTAAATTTTAGTTTTCATATGTACGCTAGATGCCGCTACTTTCTTTGCCGCTCGCCAGCTCAAGCTAATAAATTAATTTACCGATGACTACTAATTGCGTAAGCAACCTATAGATGGCGTAAATCTCTGTGGTATTTGCTAATCTTGTGGAATGTTCTACCTATACATATAAATAATAATAACCTATCTATTTGAATCGTTTTGGCGGTCTCGTCTTGCGTTTATACATATTATAGACTTATGGAAGCATTAATAGTAAATCGCGACTAGTATCGCCATCTATTAAACTTTTTTCCGCGCGGCCATTTTTTTTTCGTAATCGTGTCATACTAAGTATCATAAAAAATATTCGTAGAATCGCCGATTAGATGGACGAGCGACCTCAAATGTGTCATAGGATGTTGATGTATGCATTCGCATGTATTGACTTCCTGCAAGATATTAATAGATTCTGCAATATAGTAGTGGACAGTATGACTAATGATGATGATAAATTATCGATATTATATATGAAGAAATATGATCATTTTTTTTTATACAACTTTGAATCGCAAACAAGCCGATGGCCCACCTGATGGAAAGTGGTAACCGTCGCCTATAGACATGAGCAGTACCATGGACACAACGAAGTAAAAACCTGTTATAAATATAGTTATTTTGAAATGAAAAAAAAGAAGAGAAAGTAATTACTGTAGCCTATTTGGGTCACTGAGACACACTTGGTGAAAACATATTTTCATATTTTATCTTTTGTTTTATATTTAAAAAAAGTGTAAATAATCTAATTGTATTACAAACTCATTTGTTAATTTACGTGTGTCATAAATGGCTCAAATAAAGTATTTATCTATCTATCTATCTAATTTAAATATGATATATTTCAGGCCATTTGTGTGCGTAGGATATGCAGACGGTATCGTTGAATTATTCGATTTTTTACAACACAAATCATTCTCAAGACTCGATCTGCGAGCCCACTACAAAGTGGTCATTCCTCCTAAATGTGATTCAATAAAATACAATTACGAAGTGACAATTCCTCAGCTTTCTGTCACTTGTCTTAAGTATTCTCCTTCAGGTAACCAATGTATATATACGTTAACTTAGAGCTTAGAGTATTTAAAATATTTATCTGAAAACGAGCGAGAGAATAGAATAGAATTTTATTGCTAACTGTGTACATACATATAGCAGTAACTATTGCTTTGAATTTGACATGAGAGGAGAAGGCTTGATTTGGGACAATAGAGTATAAATCATAACGACCGTAATATGTAACATATATACGATATAGGTCATTATGACAGCACTGTCTGTCACTCCGATTTTTTTCCTTCCTTCCTTCCTTTTTTACCTATACTATTACCACGCTTACCTTTGTATAGGATACTATCACCACCAAGCCAACTACTTGTGTATGATGTCGCTTCAAGAGATAAAAAGGACATGTTTTTTTTTAATGGGTGATAATGGTATGGTAACTCGTCTGCGCTATCGGAATACACTAGCGGGGTACCAGTGATAGATGACTAATGAGGATGAAAGCAGATCAGTTAGCCCACCGTGACGAATTCAACTAGAATTAGCCACGATGGTTTCCAGGGGGAACCACGTGCAGTTCGACCTGACAGGGTATATTGCTAGTAATGGGGGTATTTGACCTCATTACTAACAATCCCTTTCCCCCCAAAAGGACATGTTGATCTTCGACATATAGATATATGAATTACTAACTATATCCCGCAGCTTTGTCTGAATCATTATATAAAGAAACCTATGTTTTAAGTTAGAATACAACTTATTCATATTTCATTCAAATCCGTTCAGTAGTTTTTGCGTGAAATAACAACAAACATTCATCCATCCATACAGACTTTCGCATTTATAATATTAGTAGAAATATTTAATAAATGACGGTATTTTATTAAGAGCTTTGTTTGAATCGAAGCATTTGGCGTTCCATTGTTTCTGCCTACTCTAATGGGAGACAGGCGTGACAAATATGTATGTATGGTATTTTATTCAACAGGTTTTCATCTCGCATGTGGTTTAAATTCTGGTGAACTATTATTCCTTGATCCAAGTACTATATGTATATTAACTGAGACTCCATTCAAGGACACCAGGCATGCGATAAAAGAAATTACATACAGCTGTGATTCTTTGACCTTAGCTTTTTCAGTAAGTGGACACAACTAAGTATACATCTATTTTCAATGGATCCTTTACGGACAACGTTATTAATTATTGCCACCGGAGGGAAAAGGGATTGTTAGTAATGGAGATTAAGAATCCCATTGCTAGCAATATATCCAACCAGGTCGACCTCCTCGCGGTTACCATACCATTTTCACCCATTTAAAAAAATCCTTTCCCCGGTGCCACTAGAGTAAATATCTACTTATTGTGTCATATTGGCGAAACAGATAGTTTTTTTTAGTATTTGTTAGATATAAGAGCGCTAGCAGGAAAATAAGTTTTTATTTAATTTATTAATTTACTAATAGAATAGCAGTATTGAGAGAAAACAGACAAACTTAATTAAAAATATATGGCAGAGAGATTGGAATTTTTTTTTACAAGTCTGTCATTAACTGTCTACTACTGAACATAAGCGCCCATGAGGGGTTTTGCCAGTCGTTACTACGCTTGGCAGGCCGTTTGATAACCGCAGTCAGGCTTTAGAGATGTTTTAAGAGGTATACTACTGTTCATTCCTTGCCCTCCTTTATTCGCCTCTTACGACACCCACGGGAAAGATAGGAGTGGCCTATTCTATGCCGGAACCTATACGGTTACCAACCAGTACATGATTAATACTTTGCTGACCGGGGGAAAGGGATTGTTAGTAATGTAGACTGAGAATCACATCGCTAGCAATACACCCAACCAGGTCGACCTCCTCGCGGTTCCCCCTGGAAACTATCATGGTTAATTCCTGATGAATTCATCATGATGGGCTAACTGGCCTGTTTTCATTCTCATCTATCACCCTTCACTGGTGCTCCGCCAGCGTATCCCGTTAGCGCAGGCGGGGTTACCATACCATTTTAACCCATCAAAAAAAAAATACTTTGCTGACCGATGACGAGTAAACTCGTAATTATACTAACGTGTACAAGTAGATACGTCTTCCTACCACGACGGGCAACACCGTTTGGAAATCAAAGCGTTCAAGACCAAAAAAATACTTTTTTTTATACAACTTAGAATGGCAAACAAGCTGACGGCCCACCTGATGGAAAGTGGTAACCGTCGCCTATAGACATGAGCAGTACCATGGACATAACAGAGTATACTGTTTCGCCCATGATACCCCCCCATGCGTTGCCATTCCTGAGGACTCAGGTGTTATTCCTCTGTACCCTGTAAATTCACGCCATATCCCACCCTTCAAACTGAAACACAGCCATGCAAACACAACTGCTTCACGGTTGAAACACAAATGGAACAGAGGTACCCAAGCAATCGACTTTTGTACAAAGTCTCCCTTTGTATTTAGGTTTTTATCACAATTTTAGTTTAATTCCAAGGATTTCAACCATGACAGAATTCCTAGTTAGCAAAGTGTTAATATTCTATTATTATTTTTTTGCCTGTAGGACCATTTTTTATTAATGTAAAATCCATTTTGCGAATAACAGTAGGTATTCCTTCTTTCAGGATGCAGGCAAAACTGTCGGGGTATATAAATACAATTGCACTACGCATAAATGGAATTTCATTGGAAAACATAGAGCTCATTACAAAGACATAACAGCCATCTTATTCTTGCCGTACAAGACCGAAAAACAGGAGTATCAACTGGTGTCTTTCGGTGCAGACAGAACTATGGTGGAGTACGACATAGCGAACAGTTCAGACGAGTACTTGGAGATATTCAGTCTGGACCGCATGGATCAGACTGCGGTGCCACTGGCCGGGATTGCGTGGCCGGGGTTAAAAAACTTGGACCCTGCGGTGCATCGTACCGACATGCATTTGATACTTGTTGCAAATGACGAGGTAATTGGCCTGGTTTTGAAATTAATTCTCCTTTTAATATATTAAATACTAGCGGCCCGTCCCGGCGTCGCACGGGTAGACATTTTTAACATTTCCCTGCACTGCTCTACTCCTATTGATCGTAGCGTGATGAAAAGTATACTATAACCTGCCCAGGAGTATGAAGAATAATTGTACCAAGTTTCGTTACAATCCGTCGAGTGGTTTTTGTTTCTATAACGAACATACAGACAAACAGACAAAAATTTTATTGATTGCATTTCTGGCATCAGTATCGATCACCCCCTGATAGTTATATTGGAAATATATTTCACGTACAGAATTGACCTCTCTACAGATTTATTATAATATATTAAATATAAATAAATTTGTCCTTTTAATATATAATAATTTACCTGTTGTATATGCTGAATACGCTTTCAATCATATCATCATCATATCGGCCTTTAACCGTCCACTGCTGTCCAATGCATTTTCACCCATCAAAAAAAAAACCTCATTAGAGTTCCTCGGTAGGAGCCAAAGGAGGTTACCAGAATTCTTAAAAATGTAGAGTGACATCTGGGGACTACGGTAAAAGATCTTCGGTAGTAGATTGTTATTAGACTCTAGCTTGTCATTTCGTTTACTCGACCACTATGCTCCTATAAGTTTATTGTCGCAACACTCGGACTATTTTTTCATAAATGAAAAACTAATAGCTCACCTGACAAAGAGTGTTTAACATTTTTATCTACTCTATGCAACTATATGATTCCAGTACAAATACAAAATAATCAACTGTGCAACAACAATGACCATGTCGACGGTCCTGGGTCCTTGGTACGAGCACCCTGTGCGTAAGATGCAGCTCATTTCCAAGACAGAGGAAGGCGAAGAGCTGCAGTATCTTTTGTTTGCCACCAAAAACGTTATAGGACTACAGAAAATGCCGTTAGACGGTAACCCTTGGAAACATGTTGGGTTGCTCGGACATCCTATACAGGTATGTGGATTTTTAAAGGTTCATAGTTGTTACTTGAAAGTTGATAAAACATTTTTTTTAATATTATTTGCCCGCAATTAATTGATTTGAATCTGTGTTTTTACATTTATTAATTATTTACAGTTAATAAAAAAAATATGAAAATTAAATTAGTCTAGATTCTAGACTGTAAGTTTGTTATTGCCATCTATTAAATTTTTTTCGTTTGGCCAATTTTTTTTTCGTCATTGGGTCCCCCCTGGTTTAGTTGTGTATGAAAGAAAGTGACTACAAAACAGTGTTTATTTGTTTATAAGTACCTAATTAATTATATTATTTGTTTCCACGTGAAAGATTATCGAGATGTGCTTCCGTGAGGATAGTGGTACTCTGTTTACTATTGGAGCCAAGGACAGTTGTATGTGCCAATGGGCTGCTAATTACAGGTACCTTACAATTTAAATAACTTTGTAACTAGATTTATACGTAAAAGCACAACAAACAAAATTTATTTTTATATTTATAATATTAACAAAGAAAGGCAAGTCTACTCATGAATCTAATATCTAAAATCTAGACTAATATCAATACCAATCCAATCTCTTACCAATGACAATTTTATACCGCACTCATGAAACACAGTAATGTAATGTAAATATGATTCTTTCTTCCGCGCTTAGCCTCTCATTTGGGTCATCGTGCGTAAAGTCGTGGGTAGTACATCCAGCCTAGCTCCCCCCAGAAGCACAGAAGTCTTCTGGGATCTTCACAGGCCTCACGGAGTGAGTTTACCGTTCCGAGGATTTCTAAACGTTAAGAGGCTACAGCTTCACATTTCATAATACTGAATCACATGCACAATCACATTTCATAATCATGAGCAGCCGTTACTTCGGCGTCAGAATAGCCTCGACGTAGAGAGCTGTCTGTGGCTCCTATTGTGTATAAATGTTTGTTTAATGGACAATGGCCAGATGAATTTAAACAATGATAGGGACAATTATTGTCCCTATCATTGTTATAAAGTTTTTCCTATCTAGATATAATAGACGTTTTGATAGTTGTTTATTCAATGTTGGCACGGCTAATTTCGATTGTCTGCAATCAGTAGCCTGTATCCATCTTTGGTTTTGTATGTCAGTGAATCTTTAACGCAACCATGTTCGAAACTGCTGGATTCTTCGTTCTAGAACCCCTTTTAGCTAGCTCGTCTATGGCATCGTTACCATAATATCCACTGTAACTTTCAGATTGATTGGTCCCTTATTTAATTTTATAAAAAATAATTATTGTAATTAATATTCAGATCAGTGGACTCAACGACAAAGTTGGGCGGCGAGAATCTAGACCCATATTACTGCTTGATTGAAAATGGTCGTCCGGGCTGGCTGTTCCAAGAGATCAGAGATCTCTTCTACTACGTTCAGATATTATGTCAGGGGACTTTCTCGCCGGCGATGCGGCGCGTCAAGGATTATATACCGATTGATTCATTGCCTGATCTGATGAGGGCATTAGGCTATTTTCCGTCTGAATATGAGGTACTTATTAGATTTTTTTATTGTAATTTATAGGACACTTAGATCGTACACAACACTTCTTCAAAAGCTTGGTATAAGAAGCATACGGCTTGTCTTTTAGTTACTACTTGGAAGTCTGCTGTATACCAATTGCGAGCTTGAAGGAAACTTAATTGATTTTTTATCAACAACTAATAAGCAACCTAAAGTTCCACTTGATAGTTGGTCGTCTATACATGGACTTGAACAAACACCATGAACATACATATAGTGATGCCCATGGTATCCTTCATACATTACTATTCTTATGGGTTATGCAATCACAAAAATTTATTTTCCACAGTCTAGGTTACTTCTGAACTTTACAGGTAGAAAACTTGATAGTGGAAGCGAAATATAAGGTCTACCAGCGGATACCATGTACAGAGATTGACTTTGAAGAGTTCGTGAAGCTATATTTGAACCACCGTCCTGCGTTCGGATACAATTATCAACAAATTCGCAATGCGTTTCGCAACTTCGCTACGCTTCAGAAAGAGACGTATATGATGTACCGCGATGATTTTATTGATATGCTCGGTTCCTATGGTAAGTAAATATGTTATTTTATGTAACATTGTTTTTAATAAATTAAATAGGCACCAACTAAAATACCGATCTAATTTTAGTCAATACACTAACGCGTCACCCTCACACAAGCTCTGCTCGTGGTGTTTTAACGTCATAACTATCGGTTTTTATGGGTGATAATGGAATGGTAACCCCACCCGCGCTATCGGTATACACCGGCGGGGCATCAGTGAGAGATGATAGGTGAGGATGAAGCAGGTCAATTAGCCCACCGTGACGAATTTAACTAGAATTGTTCACGATAGTTTTCAGGGGGAACCACGTGGAGGTCGACCTAATAGGGCATATTGCTAGCAATGGGGCTACCAAACTCCATTGCTAATAATCCTTTTCCCACATAACTACCGGTTTAACTAATGTGTAATTCGATAAAGAAAGCTCGACTAGTTTCGAGATCAAATCACATTTAGATTCAACACTAGGAGTAGTAAACAAGCATAAACTCGGATCTCTAGGTTCACCTAAGAATTAGTCGATAGTGTCAAGTTTTTGGTCTTAGCCTATAAAAAAAAAATGTGATTTAATTACTATTTTAGTCAAATTAAGAAATTGATCTAAGTAACCTAAATAATAAATTGTTTAGGTGAATGCTTCTCCCGCGAGTTGTCATGGTACCTTCTCTCCATACTGTCTGGACAGAGTTTCGACGATCGAGCAACAAATGCTGAAGATGACTTCTCATTTATACCAGAGGTACGAAGAATATTGTCACATCTCTTAGGAATATATTTTATGTTTTATTCTTTTAGTAGTAGAATAAATGGAATAGCAACGCATGGGGAGTATCATGGGCGAAACAGTATACTCTGTTATGTCCATGCTACTGCTCATGTCTATAGGCGACCGTTACCACTTTCCATCAGGTGGGCCGTCAGCTTGTTTGCCATTCTAAGTTGTATAAAAAATAAATAAAGAGCAAATAAATAAATTTAATGTTGATGGTACGTATGTAATGGTACAATAATACTTTTCCAACATAAGTTTTGGGAAAGACACTTCACTAGAATCGACTCTATGATTTGGTTATTATTTGATTAGGTTCAACCGTTCGGAATAAAATTGGTTATACGTCGCCTAATATATAGAATACTGAAGGGAAGGGATTGTTAGTAATGCAGACTACCATTTCCATTGCTAGCAATATATCCTGTCAGTTTAACCTCCACGTGGTATTCCCCTGTAAAGCATCATGCTGAATTCCAGGTGTACTAATCTCAAGTGTACTTATTTCATATTCACCTATCATACCACACTGGTGCCCCGCCAGCGTATAGCGTTAGTGGAGGAAAGGTTATAATTTTAAATATCATCCCTTAAAAAATATTATAGAATATTAGCTTTTACCTACGACTTCGTCCGCGTGACCGGGATATATTTACTGGCTGGGGAAAAACAGCCTTATCCATTCTATACAGTATTTACATACCAAATTTCATTGTGCTTAATTAAGTCGTTAAAGCGCTACAAAGTAACAAACAAACACACTTTCACATTTATAATATTAGTAAGGATTGGTTGACAGCAAAGCCGCGGGATACTGATAGTCAATTATATCTAAACAAAAAGTTTCATAAACTCTGTCATTTAAGAGTTTCCTCTTGTCGGTGCAACTAATTCATGCATCTTCTTCCAGCCAGCTCTATCCCATGCCATATCCTTAATTTCCCCGTACGACATGACACCTAGTGTTTCTTTTATCTGTCCCATGTAGTTATTCCTCGGTTTTCCTCTTCCTCTTTTGCCCTCTATTTTTCCTTCTACTATGCTCTTTAAAAAATCGTCATATCGTATAAGATGGCCCAGCATTTTGCCTCTTCATAAACTAATAAATCTAAATATCGATTTTGTAAATTTAATAGTGTAAATATTCTACATCTAATTTTTTGATTATTTTTTTTTTCTCTAGGAAATAACATTCAGTCATTTGGCTACAAATATAATGGGTATACAAGATGCAGACAATCTGTCCGAGCAATTCTCGGCTATGGAGTCGCTAGGCTCTCAGACGATGTCCTCTGGCGAATCCGAAGAAAAAATCAACTGATTTATAGAATTTATTATATCTCTGTTCTCTTATATTTATATTAATTATACACAATAAAATTAATAAACTAAAATATACATTCAATTGTTCGTATTTTTTACTGCTTCGTTGATTAAAATTATATTGAATGGTAATGAATAATTCTAATCAACTAATTGGTAATATTATTTTATAATATTATTATTTAGTTAAGCATATTTATTATTTATTAATAGAAACAACCATACAGTTTCCACTTGTTATTGTACTCACACTGCCCGCTGGTAATTATTGCTTCTTCCCACTCAGGGTTTGTTAACAGAGTTAAGCCTGTTGTACAATTTTATTAATTATAACAATGTTATTTTTGTGTACAATAAAGTATAAATAATATGGACGCTGTTAAAAAATCACGCTTAATTTTTAAATAGATCGGCAATACACTTCAAGTATCTGAAAAAAGGCGATACTATCTGATTTTATTTAGATTGAGAACAATTACTGTTCTTAATTTCGATTGAGAAAAAACTTTTTTTTTAATAAATAAACTTCATCAACCTGGCACAACCTATCGATGTAGCATTTTTCACCCAAAGAATTGAGCTTATAGGCACTTATTAAAGTAGATTATCTGCAAATACATTGCGAAAGAATGTGTTTCAACCGTGTTAGTGCCACTGATTTTTACTTTTTTTTTTATCTACTAAAAAATGCCAAATAAATCTTTGTCGTGATGTCATTTACCCTTGTCTGTAAAAAAAGACTGTATCTCATTGAAAAATAACCCAATTTTAATAATTTTTCTAGGCCGAGCTACGACAACTGATTTCACGAGTGCTATGGCGCTCGTGGCACTTTTATTAACAATGCGCACGAGCGCAATGGCGCTCGTCGGCATTCAAACGGTTAAAATTACCCGTTGGTAAACGCTTCAAGCGATGTTACGATTGGCTTTCAAACAAACAACAGGAATTTATCCTCTAAATAATAATTAAATACGATGGCGATATAAATGACAACCACCAAAATGCTCTTGAAGTTTCCGTTTGAATAAAGTCATACAAATAAAAACATATAAATTACATATTATACATTGTTTAATATTGTGAATAAATTTTTTTTTCTTGCAAGATCAATGTCATATATCTGTGGAAATATGTTTAATTAATCAGACACTAGGCAAAGAGTGAAAAGGCCAACTTTCACTCTGTAAATGCTAAATTGTGTATAATTATTACATTAATCCTTACAATTAATACTATACTATTTAAGTCACATTAAAATTTCAATATATTTACAAAATTAAATTCCATTGGAAAATAAAATATGTGAAATGTTGCATTGCATAAAATTATTATAGTCAATAGATGGCAGAGTAAACATTTGCTAATGGTGCCTCCTACATAGTAAATGCTCCGATATTCACATATGGCATAAAGGAATTAGAAATTCACTAATTCAGATTGAAATTTATACATATAAGTAAATAGGCGAGTGTTTCTTGTGTGTGTGTGTGTGTGGAAACAGTGTGGAATCTTAAAAAAATTGATTGACTGACATTACATATTTTATACAGTACATTATTACTTAAAACATGGTGATTTGTTAATTCATATTACAGAGTAAATTATTTTTAATTAACACCATGATTACGTTCCACACAATCCGATCCCAAAACTCAAAATCAATCTATAGGACAGAAATCAACTTGTGTGCAATTGTTAATTGCTAATAATTATCCCATGTTTAAACTGAGTTCATGCGTGTAAACATCAAGTCGCCTGCAGCACAGCTTCTGTCCTGATATGCAGAATTAGGACAGTATAGGCACTTTAGCCATTTGTAATTGTCTATTAAGGTCCCCCAATTAAAATTTATTTTAAATTGTCATTGAAGTATAAATTGGCTTATAATACAATACCATAAAGAAATAAATTCAATATTTGATAAAATAACTGATAGTTCTTTACTACATAAGGTCATAGCACTATAATTGATTAAATTTTAGTGCTATTGCCTTGACAACAGTGGGATCATGTTACATAATTTATGTCTCAATGTTTATTAAACTTATTACTGAACCATTTTTAGTATTAAATTATTTCAAATTACACCCTGCATGGACTTATGTACTTTGTTAAAATATGCTTCCAAAGGCACAAAAAATTTTTGATTGTAACGAATGTGTTAATGTTACATTTCTATATTATTTGTACTGCCACTCACTATATGAATCCAAACATGAGATTGTCTTCAGTCATATAAAATCTTTTTGCCAAATTAGAATTTTTTAGGGTGAATATTTTGCATATTAATTACTCTACCATTATCCTGTTTCACATGTTACATACCATATTGAGTATATTTACATCAATACTTGCATAGAATTATTATTGTGGTTTTATCCCAATTCATTTCAACAAAATCACTATTAGAAATGTATTGTAGTCATAGATATATAATCACTAAGAAAATATCAATAAAATGTTAGAGGTATACACTTATATACATTTATAATTATTAGGATTTAAAATGACAGATTTGGCACAAGTACAAAGTTGTATGCAATTCCGCCCGCCAATGAATTGATCAATTAGAACTATTCAAGTTATAATTGTTTGATTCAAACTTTAGTTATTATACATCAATGACTTTAACATAAAACTAACTCATATAATGATATCACTGTACAACTCAAAAATTAAATTGGCTATACACTATTAAGCATACTAATTATAAATTCAAGCTAATTCACAGCACTTCACTAGTTAAATTCAATAGTCAGATTGCATTAGTCTTTAATTCGTGGGACTTAAATATCCCTCTTCCTAAGCTTGCCTCAGTCAGCTTTTAATCGCTTAGCGGGTGTTGTGGTGCCACTGCTTTGCGAGTTTGAATCTTCAGAGAAGTTCATATGAGTTGATGTGAATTCTGTGGGTCCTTGGGAATCACTCACTGTAGAAAAACCTGTAACGTAATTAAAATAAATGTAAATATAAATAAACATTACTGATTTTATTAATCTAGGTGTTTCTGTGTATATATATGCAACTTAGAATGGCAAATAAACTGACAGCCCACCTGATGCAAAGTAACACCTATAGACATGAACAAGATTATGGACATAACAGAGTATAATGTTTTGCACATGACACTCCCCATGCATTGCCATTCTTAAAGACTAAGATGTTATACCTCTTTAGCCTGTAAATCCATGCCATATCCCACCCTTCAAACTGAAACAACCAAGCAAACACAACAGCTTTACGGTTGAAAAATGAATGGGACAGAGATACCCAAACAAACTACTTTTATACAGTCTCTCTGTATTTACAAAAGAGATGTATATTATTTAGAAATAAGTAACATTTCTGGTTTAGCAATTTTTCAGGTTAAACAAGGTTAGAGATACAAAACTACTAAGAATAAGTAAGCTAATCACAGTGTTGTTATGTAGGCAAACAGGAACAGGAAGATATGAGATAAATTCGAAAAATTTAAAATTAATTACATGTGTTAGAGTCTTCTGCCATTCCAAAATTTGAATTAGATGAGTCGTGCATTTTTTTAGGCGTCAATGTGTTCTCCTTATTCTCTCGTTTCGCTGCGTGCTTCTTCTTCTGTTCATTTGTAGATATTGGAACCCATTTATAGATTTTCATAGTTGTTTCACCGATTGTTACCCATTTTTTTTCCCTGAAAAATGACATAAAATTTAAATGCCTATTTATCTATAAAATTTATAAGTATTGAATAATAATATATTTAATAAATAAACTTAAGTTACAATAAAGAAATTAGTCAACTCTTACCAATGGCGAACTTTTTCAACAGCCTGCATGACTCTTTTGATATCATCTTTTACACGATTTCTAGTCTCAGCGCGTACTGATCGAGACATTTTGAAATAGAATCCCTATTAATTTATGAGAAACGTGCAGGCTGAATTTACAGTCAGTTATAGCAGTCAATTTAAAGACTATAGCCTAAATTAGTGGAAATGGAAATGAATATAAATCGAAAATCCGCCATTAATTAGAATTGACGAAATATGAATGACGGAACGAATGAAATTGAATTGAATGTCGAAATTTTAAATGTATCGAATGAATGAAAACACTCTACATGCCAAAGATAAAGGATAGTTTTTAGAATGAGAGAGAAACGGTTTATCTTAGATTAATGATATAAATAATAATTAAAAATTCGTTAAACTTTTATTTAATAAAATCAAATATATGATAATTTAATTAATTTGTAATTAATGTGACATTTTAAAGCAGTGTATTGACATCCGTAGGATTTACGTACTCTATTTAATGTATTAAATAATCAAGTTATCTTTTATTATTAAACATGATAAGTGACTAATCTAATATCACTAAATACAATGTAAACAGCCCTTCAGTTGTTAGTCGACGGATTGTCAATACAAAAAAAATACCAATCATTGGACGTGAATTTTAATCAGTCATCCTGTAAACCAATCACGTAATAAGAATTCAATACACAAAATTTAATAGAAAACAAACTTTTTCCGTCAATTCGTGTTATAGAAAATTGAAAACAAAAAATTGTAAATGAAAAAATTTATTCGTATTAATGTCGAAAAATACTAAAAATAGTTTTAAATAAACGAAAAATAGATTTATTTAAAATGTTGGTATAAACCTAGGTACGTAAATTTTATTATTTTGTAATTCCTACATTTTTCATTTCCGTTTGCTTGGGTTAATTAACTAATTACTTTTACCAAAATTTAGGACAAAATTTAGCGGCTGTCAGTTGTTTTACATCGTAATATATTTTTATTTATTATATTATAATGAACAAACATTTTAATTATTGTTAATGTTAATACAAATTTTCACGCGGTTCAGTCTGCAGGGATGCGCAGATTTCGATGATGCAACGAGATGATAAGGTGCATTTTATTTACAAAGATCATGCTTTATTGGTTAATACTTGGCTTGGAGACACCTTTGCTCCTTTTTGTTTCGATGTTTTAACTTTGTTGTTACTGTAGCTACACAAATCTGAACGCCAATCAACATAACCTCTTGTACCACAGTTGGAACAATGGTGTCGTTTAATAAGTCCCCAAATCAACCTCACTAGCGTTGGTTTGGACGTTTTCGATCTTGTTATTATTTTAGCATGTCATTTGTTATTCTTTATATTATTTTCCACATATTTTTTTTTTCTGTATCACTCTGTTAATAATACACTATCAATTTCTCTAGCTTGTTATGATTATTATAAGCACAAGGCTTTTATTTAGAATATGCACAGTGATTTGTGTTTATGCCTGTTATGTTTCTGTTGCAGTCACCCACTGCATGTTGTGTTTGAACTGTAGGAGTGGTACGTTGACTATATTGTTGGCATTGTCCGGCATAAGGTTCAGCTAACGACAAACGTGCGTCTTTCCTTCCCGTATGGCTGCATATGTTAACCGTACCATGTCAATGATGGCTGGCGACGGGCCCCACAATGTTGCTACGCTCAATGGCGCCGTCCGTGTCAACATGCCCAATGTGGACTCTCCTCTGCAGATATTTGTGAGGGCCAAAAAGAAGATCAATGATATATTTGTTGAGATTGATGACTATGTTAAAGATGCAGTCACATTCATGCATGGTAAGTGATGTGTTTTTAAAGTAAAAAGATTAATTAATTGAAACATAAGATATAGATAAGTAACACAAGATAGTGAATATAGTTCTGAATCACATCAAAACTGTATCTATTCATTTTAATAATAAACAACATTATTATGGTAATGTTAACAGATCTAATTAATCTGTGAAATGATAGAAGTAACTTCTTTGCATTTCCTTTAGTTGCATTGATTTTAAATAGTTCTCCTTTGACAAGATGTACTCTACCACACAAATGGGACATTGTGACATTATATTCAATGATTTTAGAATTTGTATTTTTTTTTTATATTTTAATTTATTTTTAAATTTATTTTCTGAGGTTGAAAATACAATGGATCATTTATTAGGACCTTGGATTAGGCTACCATTTAGATATAGCGATAACTCGTTAAGTCCCTTGAATTTAAAGTATTCTTTAGTATGAAATTTTAATGGCTGTAGGGACTTTAGATGTAATATCAAATTTAGGTGTACTGACTGTTTATAATGAACCATTTATATCAAATTCTTAAAAATCCTATGCAGATATTAGAACTAGAGTTGGCCACCAAAGACTCTAAAGAGCTTCCTTATCTTTTGTTTACATCAACATAGATGGTCAGTAACTATGGTGACCTTTACTTCTTGTTTATAGATACATATTAGCTAGGTAGGTGTAGGTCAGTGTGTATGGTTCGGAATTAAATGTATGCTTCAGTTACAAAAGTGATATTTTGCATAGCAACTGTGTTTACTAAACTTTTGAATATGTATGATTCCTATATGTCTTTGCCTGTAACAACTTTCAGATATAATGAAGAAATTACAGTAGTCCCTTCATCATAGTTATAGTCGAAGTCCACTGTAACATTACAGAAATGAAATACATGATTATTATTTAAACTATAAACTAACATTGTGCCATTGCATGCATTGATACTTAAATATTGGTTTTTGTTAATAGATTTTATCTTTATCTTGACACCTTTATCTTATGTGTAGGTATACAGATCTCAGTACCAATGGCCTTTTGTTATACCAAACAAGATGCTGACATTTCTTTGTTTAAGGCCCAACATTCTCTTTGTAAAGTTTGTGTATACCATATAATTATATGAATTTTATTATGACCTGGTTTAAATATGTGTTAGGCTTAGTTTCAAGGTCTTATCTGATTTGAAATAATGAGAAGATAGAGTCATAAATAGGGGGAGGTTCATATTCAACAGTGGATGGTTGATGGCTGATATGATGATGAAGGTCATAAATAGATCTTCTCTTTAAAATTTACTATTTTTATTATTTTTATAAATGTATTTATTATAAAATCAACAATCAACAATGAGTTTGTAAATATAAACATATGGATATATTAATATACATTTTCTTATGAGTGGTTAAAACATGATTATAAATTTTCATGTAACTTTATTTCATTATCTTTAGATAAAACCTTTGGAACTGTTACTGATGTCACTATCAAAGTATGGAGTTGTTTACATAATAAACATATTATTGCTTAGGCGTGTGCTGTAGAAAGTAGTTAGACCACATAAGCAAATTGTCTCATTTGTTATCACGTTTATAAATAAACATGTAATAAATGTACTACTAAGAAAATTATGAATATCAATGAAAAGGGCATAAGTCATTTATTTAAAAAACAAAGTACATTGTGCTTACAATTATGTATAATCTTAAAGAAAAGCATTAAATTGAATAACAATAATAAATATATTTTTCAATTAATAATATATATATATATCAAATTTACATTGTTTTTTCATTACACATATAAATGGATTCTTTTTATTAATTAGCTTTGAAATATGTTTTTTATTACTATCAGCTTCCAGTCAATAGTGTTTGATATGTTAACATTATCAATCAATTACATAAAATAATTATACCTTGTGTTTACTTATATAACATAGATATCATGTAAATTACGTAGCAGTGTTTGTAATCAAGTATTATGCATAATCTAAACATCTGTGGATATTCATTATTTACGTAAATATATACATGAAAGTTAGCGTCTTTGGTAGTTTTTATTTGAAAGAGTATATAGAGCAGTGATCGCGATCGACTGGTCAATCGCGACTATTAGTCCAGTCGATCGTAGCAAGGCAAAAAATATAATATTTTGCTTATCTAGGGAAAGATGCTCAGACGCAATGCTCACGCTAATATAAATAAGTAATTACTAAGAATATTTTTTTAAAAATCAATTTTCCTCTTAATAAAATAAAAAATACTATAATACCACATAATTGTGTACTGAACTATGTACTGAAGGATGTACAAGATTTTGTTAGTAAACAGTAAAACTTGGGTCTAGTCAAGTCTGCCATTCCTATTATAGTAGGTTTCAGGTATAACGACGATGAAGATCACTGTAATTTCTTTACAGTAATATACATCTATCCCCCGATTTACACGGTACTTGTTTTACACGTTTTCGCTTTTACACGGTTTTCCAAATAAGTTTTTTTTTGTTTTTATCGCACTCTACTAAATGCTAAAATCGAAATTTTGGATCGTTTAATGTATTGTAATTAAATAAAAAACAGTGTTTATTTATTTATTTATTTACACTTTATTGCACCAAGTAAAAAGAGAAATAACAAATACAGTAAATATTAATGAGAAGTGATACAAAAGGCGGCCTTATCGCTAAGCAATCTCTTCCAGACAACCTTTGGGTAGAGGACATTGAGAAAAAGACAAAGAGTAGGTGGCGCACTATTATATAAATATTATCATATACAAACATATATAGATACATACATACATATATACACATACATATATAATATATACACAATTAAATATATACATAACATACATACATACATACACATACATATATAATATATACACAATTAAATATTCCAGTGTATTCATCCAGTCCAGTGTGTCCATATATTAACAGTGTTTCCGTAATATATTACATATTTTAACCTGTCAATGCATTTATTTTTATTTCTGTGTACACCTAAAAATATTGAAAAAAATTACAACTGTTAAATAGCAAAATTATGCATTTTCTGCAAGCTTTTCGATTTACACGGTTTTAACTTGAAAATTTTTAATTTTCGATTTACACGTTTTTCTCAGGAACATATCTACCGTGTAAATCGGGGGATAGGTGTATTCAGAAGTTGTTACAGGTAAAAGGGTCTGCGAGCCATACTTCAAAAGTTTATTCAAAATTTTACCATAATTTTATTCAGAAATGTTCACGTTTCGTTCACCTACCTACCTAGCTAATACGTAAACAAAAGGTAAAAGTTACCGTAGTTGCTGACCATTTGTGTGGATGTAAACAAAAAATAAGAAAGCTCTTTGTTTAGATTCCAGTCGCAAAATCATGGCATTTCTAAGAATTTGTTACAAAGGATTCTTTGAAAATAGTATAAAAAAAAATAAAAAAAAAAAAACATCCGAACTTGGTGTTACATCCAAAGTCGCTAACCACTTGAATTGTGTCCTTAAGTATGCTTTAAATTTAAGGCACTTAGAAACATTGCTATAGCTAAATGGTCCTTACAAGGTCGTAATAAATGAAATGCACTGTTTTTTTTTGCAGTATATATTTACATATTTATATTATTATTTAATTCTATATTGTAATGTATTATATTAATTATTTTTTTAAGCATATTTTTATTAAAACAAATAGTCCAAAGTAAACCTAGACATTTTATTTAACAATTGGGTTTATATTGCATATCATATTTCATAATATACCAGCCATTAAATTTTTTTAAACATCTTAGAATGGCAAACAAGCTGACGGCTCACCTGATGGAAAGTGGTAACCGTCGCCTATAGACATGAGCAGTACCATGGACATAACAGAGTATATTGTATAGACATGTATAGAACAGTACCATTTAATGGAGGGTTTTTTTTTTTTTTAATTAAACCTTTCGAATCAAACTTGGCGTGAATTTACTGGGTACAGAGGAATAACACCTGAGTCCTCAGGAATGGCAACGCATGGGGGGTATCATGGGCGAAACAGTAAACTCTGTTATGTTCATGGTACTGCTCATGTCTATAGGCGACGGTTACCATTTTCCATCAGGTGGGCCGTCAGCTTGTTTGCCATTCTAAGTTATATGAAAAAAAAAAAAACTAAAATCAATATTTATATTATAATTGTGTATATCTAAATTGTTTTTTTTTTTTTACTTGGCATATTTAGTAAAAAATCTTGGCATGCTTATAAAAGTGCTGACAATCTCCAGATTCTTGGCATGTCTTTTTAATGAAATTAGTATTTTAAAAATAAAACGGTCAAACGTGTTGATTACGTCATTGTCGATAATATATGTAATAACATAAGACCTTTTTATTCTAACAACTTGTCCCTTTTGTTTATTGTTCTATTGATAAAAACGCTTGCCAAAATTTTTACTAAATATCCCAGATAAACAAGTAACTAGGCTAATAAGCTTGTTTTTTAGCTGTAACTAGTATCATATCTGTCATATCAGTATTTTTTTTTGATGGGTGAAAATGGTATGGTAACCCCGCCTGCGCTAACGGGATACGCTGGCGGAGCACCAGTGAAGGGTGATAGATGAGAATGAAAACAGGCCAGTTAGCCCATCATGATGAATTTATCAGGAATTAACCATGATAGTTTCCAGGGAGAACCGTAAGGACGTCGACCTGGTTGGGTATATTGCTAGCAATAGGATTCTCAGTCTCCATTACTAACAATCCCTTTCCCCCCTGTCATATCAGTATTAGTTGTATCCCGCGGCGTCACCTGTGGTCGTATCGTGATGTATAAACTATAACGTTCCTCAAGAAATGAGCCATTAAGTGGTTCAAAAATTTTTGAAATCCTATTGCTAGTTCCAGACATTAGCATGTTCAACAAACAAACTCTTTTGCTTTATATATTAGTATAGATATAATTTTACTGTCTGGTCCCGGCATAAAATAGGCTGCCCCTTCCTTCCCCGTGGGTGTCGTAAGAGGTGACTAAGGGACGGCGAGGGATGGGCAGCAGCGTCCCTCTTAAAACAACTCCAAAGCCTAATTGCTGTTGCCGACCCTGCTAAGCGGGACAGCTACTGGCAATCCCCCCGCCCTAAGGGGGAAACTTATGTTCATCAGTGGACAGTTAATTATTATAGTTATTATTTTATTGTTATTTTTATTTTAATAATAAGTTCACAAGAATATAATATGCAAAAAATAGACTTTTAATTTTTATTTTATTTATTAATTACTATTAGTGATATATGTGTCTTTTTATATATAATATATGTTTTTTATATATATTTTATTAATTCAGGAAGTGCACTATTAAAGGTGGTTTTATCGCTATAAACAATCTCTTACAGCTATATCGGGTGACAAAGGCATCGCAACTCCACAAGATGTCGCCAATGTGGAGGCGTACATCAGCAAAGTTCAGGCTATACGGGAAGTACTCAAACGGGATCACATGAAGGTTGCATTTTTCGGCAGGTTAATATTTATTTCTCTGTTACTATCTAATTAATACATTATTTTGATTTTTTTTATTGACTGCTTCAAGTAAAAAATAATAATTACGACATATTTATGATTTTTAATGCAAGTTGTTGGCGGCGTTGTTTTAATGGGTGAGGATAGAATGGTAAATACGATGGCGGGCCATCAGTGAAAGATGATAGATAGGTGAGGATGAAAGTAGATAAGTTAGTCTATGGTGACGAATTCAAGAATTAACCATGATAGTTTCCAGGGGAAATCGTGTGGAGATTGACATGATAGGGTATATTGTTAGCAATGGGGGTGTTAGACCCCATTACTAATATTCCCTTTTCCCCCTGTTGGCGGCATTTGTCGACAGTTGCTGTTGTGGCGAACGTAACACTTGAAATGCTTTGCACTTTGTTTTGCACTTTAAACATTATGATGCTGAGCGTATCAGAAAGAAAGAAATATTTTTATTCAAGTGAACTTAGATTTAAGGATTTTTGAATTGTCCTTTTTTCATTACCGCCCATTCGGAACGCAATTTCAGCCATGAATGGGCAAGAAACTCAACTCAACTATACAAATAATGAATTTGTGTGAACACAAATTACTATACAGTATCAGCGGGTTTACTATGAAATGAAATTCCGAAATTTCGGACTCAAATTCGTGTTTTTGTTTATATCAAAATTGGACCTATTAATGGAGTTTAACATTTCGTACATCATACATCCTATCATAAAAGTCCAAAGGAACGATATTTTAACATTTTTAATATTTCCAAACGGCACGTACTATGTGATTTTAACATCAAATTTGTGTTTCGTTTGGCTCCGAAATTTCGGAAAACATTTCATGGTAGGCCCTCATATCATAAACCAGTTAGACAGAGGAAGTCCATCACGTGTACTTGGATTAATTAACTTACATATAGAAGAAAGAAAGAAAGAAAACATTTATTGACAACAACAAAAAGTTACATAAATTATGAATTAAAAAAAAAACTTTACATATATTATTGCCAACGTGGTCACCACTCAGTATGTGCTGCAGCAATTTAATTGCTACAGCGCTGATATTCTGTGGTGCCCATACGTGACATTACGAACGGCGACAGCAAACATACATACGTTATGTATGTTTATAATAATATATAAACATATATATTAATATAAACATACATATATATGTTATAATTGATTGTTAAATAAAAAAATTGATTATATTGTGATCAAGGAGGATGAATATAAATTATTCAGCATTTATAACATTTAAAAAAATACTTAATTCAGATATTCCCTTCTAATAAATTGTTCGCCTTTTACTTAAAAACAAATCTTTTGACTTAAAAATTAGTTGTAATGCAATTTCATAAGTATATTCTAAGTGTAGAGTCTGACTTTTAAATGCCACTTAGAGTGCCACTTTACCAGAGGGAGACTTTGTACAAAAGTCGATTGCTTGGGTACCTCTGTCCCATTCGTGTTTCAACCGTGAAGCAGTTGTGTTTGCATAGTTGTGTTTCGGTTTGAAGGGTGGGATATGGCGTGAATTTACTGGGTACAGAGGAATAACACCTGAGTCCTCAGGGATGACAACGCATGGGGGGTATCATGGGCGAAACAGTATACTCTCTTATGTCCATGGTACTGCTCATGTCTATAGGCGACGGTTACCATTTTCCATCAGGTGGGCCGTCAGCTTGTTTGCCATTCTATGTTGTATATAAAAAAAAAAAAAAGATACACAACGATGGTTTTTGAGTAGAAAAAAATGAGTTTATTTGCATTAAATTTGTATTAAAGTTGTTTTATTTTATTTATTATTTATAGGACAAGCAATGGTAAAAGCACAGTTATAAATGCCATGTTACACGACAAGATTTTACCGAGCGGTATCGGGCACACGACCAATTGCTTCCTCCAAGTGGAGGGCTCCGATACAGACGAAGCATTCCTTCGCACAGATGGATCAGAGGAGAAACTCAATGTCCAGGTAGATATAGGACATACTTGACTAGTGACCTTTGAGTTAGAGTGACAAACAAGCTGACGGCCCACCTGATGGAAAGTGGTAACCGTCGCCTATAGACATGAGCAGTACCATGGGTATAACAGAGTATACTGTTTCGCCCATGATACCCTCCTGTGTGTTTGTGGAAATCATTTATTTATTGTTTACTAGCTTTTACCTGCGGCTTGGTCGGCGTGACCGGAATATAAAGTAGCCTATAACCTTTACCAACCCATAATATAGTACATGTGTGTATATTTAAATTTCTAACTCACAAACAGTGCTCCTAGGTCTAGATCTAGCAGAAGATACATTTGTCATATAGATGCGAGACAATCTCCATGGCGGCGCAATGGTAGACACATTGCTTTGCGTGTCATAATAAGGTCCATGGTTCAATTCTTGGTCGGGTTAATTTTGTTATGCCCCAGATGTTTATTGTCAAGTTTCTCATAACACTATTAAACCCTTTGCATGATTTTTTTTTTATTGATGAAATAAATCAAGGTGACATAATTCATGTTCATAATTAAAGGAAAAATGATTAAAAAAATAAATTTTCCAGCTATGGTTTTTTTTCTGCAATAGACATTAAAAAGGTATCCAGACACGATCAATTTAAAGTGAACTTGTTTTATATAATTTTTGGGCATTCAATGTTATGATGGAAATTTCCACCATTATGCAAAAAAGGGTTAAAGGCCGGCAGCATACCTCCGATGCCTCTAGTGTTGCGGGTGATCATGTGTCGCGGTGGTCACTTACCATTAGGTGAGCCGCACGCTCGTTTGCCTCTTGTGTTATAAAAAAAAAACAGGTAAATTTGTACGAAAATCAGGCGATTAGAATGATTGAATGGCACTTGTAATCTAAATTGTGAATGATTGCAGTCAGTGAGTCAGCTGGGGCACGCGCTGTGCGCGTCGCGGCTGCAGGAGTGCTCGCTGGTGCACGTGTACTGGCCGCGCGAGCTGTGCGCCCTCTTGCGGGACGACGTCGTACTAGTGGACAGCCCCGGCGTCGACGTCACGCCCAACCTTGACACCTGGATCGACCAGTACTGCCTCGACGCGGACGTGTTCGTGCTAGTCGCGAACGCCGAGTCCACGCTCATGGTTACGGTACGTTCGAGTGTCTGTATTAGTGTTGTGAGCCACAAACAGCCCTCTATGTCGAGGCTGTTTTGACGCCAAAGAAACGGCTGCATACCTAATCCTGGAATGTGAAGCTGTGGCCCCTCAACATTTAGACATCCTTGGAATGGTGTAGTTGCTCCGTGATCACTGTGAAGATTCTAGAAAGCTTATGTGTTTCTGAATGTAGCTGAGCTGGCTGTACTAGCCACAACTCGACACACAATGGCCCAAATGAGAGGCTAACCGCGGAAAAGAGAGTCCAATTTTCATTACATAGTGTGTCTGAGATTCACCGGGATGTACACTAAGTATTTATTTGATACCACCGCATGGTCTCGGTATAAAATGGGCTACCCCTTTCTTTCTTGTGGGTGTCGTGAGAGGCGACTAAGGGAACTTTATGGTCGAAATGGGTAGCAACATCCCTCTTTAAGCATCACCAAAGTTTAACTTCGGTCTAACTATCGTAACCTCCTAGCCGACGTTTATAAAATAACTATTTTATAAACGTCAGCTTTCGACATATAAAAAAATATGAAAAAAAATAGTTATATAACTATATTTTTTTATAATTTTTTTCCTATAATTTTTTTATATAGAGAAATAATTATTTCAGCTATATATTGAGTTTTTTTTTTTTTAATATTGCACGACATGTAACCACACCATATTGAGTGAACTCAAAGACAACCTTGTCTATGACTATAGCCAATCAAAAAGAGAATGTTTTACTGTTAACAGCTGGTCGTTTATATTAAAAGTATTTTAATGTACTTTTAGTTTCATCGTGTTTGGAATGAATGTAGAATTTGTATATTTTCTGTGACACCTTTAATATTTTGTCTATGTTAATAGGTCCTTTAACCATCGATATATAGTGAATAGTATAGACAAAATTTTATGTTTTTTGTAAAACCAAGTTTTAATTGCGACGGTTATGAGACCATCATGTGATCAATTGGAAAAAACATGAGACATTAATATCAGGTTTTCTTTTTCCAGGAGAAAAATTTCTTTCACAAAGTATCGACAAAAATATCGCAACCAAATATTTTCATATTGAACAACAGATGGGACGCGTCGGCATCCGAGCCAGAATATTTAGAACAGGTTTGTATGTATAAATGATATCGAAATTATACAAGTACATACACATGTACTCATACACATTTACAATTACTCACACACACAGACACATGCATACACATATAACCAAATATGCAAATGTTGATTTAAAAAAATGTAATGAAAATATTTTAATTTTTTTTTGTTCAAAACTCCTTACCACTTTCCATCAGGTTGGCTGTTAGCTAATTTGTTATTATAAACATGATATAAAAAGACCTGCTAAGTCACTGTAGCCCGCTAACATGTACATCATTTTCCTACCTGTCTATCTCGCATACATAGCATACATTACGTTTTTCTCATTGTCCAATCTTTATATTTTTATTCAAGATTTGAATATCTACATTCCAGACACTTCACAAAAGAGAGTATACTTTATGTATTAGATTCACCAATTAATATATTTAAATATAAACTAAAACAATTCTTAACCGATAAATACTATTACAATATATATTATGAATACATATATAAATGATAAAATTTGAACGAAATTAATATTTATTTATACTTATTAACATTATTTCATTATGATACTGTTTTTTAACTCTTGCCTGACATGTTTTTAGATGCATTTAAAAAATAATGATTTGCAATTGTATATATATATATATATATATATATATATATATATATATATATATATATATATATATATATATATATATATATATATATATATATAACGACGATTAGTGTAACAACTTGTTAGCAAGGGAGGACTTATCTCTGAAAGAGATCTCTTCCAGCCAACTCGGTGTTGTTAGAGAGAAAATAATTTAATTTGGGTAATCCAATGCAGGAAAGGTACCAGTGAAAATAATGTAAAATGTATAAAATTATATGTATAGTTTTGAGCTATCTGTGTATATCTACCTATTTTTGTATGCCGTGTAGGCTAAATATGTCGAAGAAAATTATATTGTATGTGTCTGCATTAATTTATAGCCATGTTTCACAAACGAAAATCTCGAATGTTTATTTCAGGTGCGCACGCAGCACGCCAACCGCTGCGTGGACTTCCTGGCGAGCGAGCTGCGCGTGTGCACGCCCAAGGAGGCGGAGGATCGCATCTTCTTCATCTCCGCCAAGGAGGCGTTGTTGACGCGCATGCGCGAAAGGGAGAAGCCCGTCTCCTGTGAGTTACTATTTTACATTACACTAGCTGACCCGCGGACGTTGGTTTGCCTGCTATCGCCACCTATCAGATCTATTTTTTCTTATAGTAATAAAACCTGCCCTATTATATCTCAAATTGGAGTAACCAGAGGGAGACTTTGTACAAAAGTCAATTGCTTGGGTACCTCTATCCCATTTGTGTTTCTACCGTGAAGCAGTTGTATTTGCATGGCTGTGTTTCGGTTTGAAGGGTGGGATATGGCGTGAATTTACAGGGTACAGAGGAATAACACCTGAGTCCTCAGGAATGGCAACGCATGGGGGGTATCATGGGCGAAACAGTATACTCTGTTATGTCCATGCTACTGCTCATGTCTATAGGCGACGGTTACCACTTTCCATCAGGTGGGCCGTCAGTTTGTTTGCCATTCTAAGTTGTATAGAAAAAAAAGTAAATGATCACTTTACAAAATTTGATTAAAATCTGTTGTGCTCTTTTGGAGATTAGCATTAACAAACATCGTATCTTAATGTAATAGCCTGACTCATGATTAAGGGTTATGAATTCTCAAAACTACGCACGCAATGCCAACCCTGAAGAAACCTCTTTACATCTTTTTTAAAGAACACTACACTATAGTCTCTTGGAAAACCTCGATAGGAAGCTCATTGCATAACTTCAGCATTCGTGAGAGATTCTCTGAAACCGCGTTATACCCGACCATCTAGGCTCTAACATAATTATTTATGATATGGCATTTTGTGTGTAACAGCGCCGATCATGGCGGAGGGCCACCAGGTGCGGTACTTCGAGTTCGTGGACTTCGAGCGCAAGTTCGAGGAGTGCATCAGCAAGTCGGCTGTGCGTACCAAGTTCGCGCAGCACTCGCGCCGTGGCAAGAACATCGCCGGTGACGTCATGGCCGCCCTCGAACTGGTACGCGAAGATATGTCCAATATGGCTTCCGTTGGCTGAAGATTGAATCCGATACAAGATTTTTTTTTACTAGTTTTGTTTTATGTGTGAATTGAAAGACTGCATTTAATAGCATTAGTTACATATTTTTAAGGCTGTGTGGTCCCACCATAGAATAGACCACTCCTTCCTATCTCGTGGGTGTGATAAGAGGCGACTAAGGAAAGGCGAGGTATGGGCAACAGCGTTCCTCTTAAAACATCTCTAAAGCCTAACTGCGGTTGCCAGTCCAGCCGCCAAGCATGGCAACTACTGGGAAAACCCCCAAGGGGTAGGCTTATGTTTAGAATTGGAAAATTAAAGGCTGATATAATAATACATTTAATAGGTGTACAACAACGCTACGGAGCAGAAAACTGCAAAAGTGGAGAAGCAGCGCATCCTACACGAACAGCTGTCTGCGGTGGAGGAGCAGCTCACCACAATCACGCGCCAGATGAAGGACAAGATCAACCGCATGGTCGAGAGCGTCGAGCACAAGGTATAGACAAGCAATTTATCGATAGTCAACGCCTTACTGTCCTGACCCACTGAAACTGCGCAGAGATGTTGCATCTCTGTGCATCTTCTACCGAATTTATCATGGGGAGTGTTCTGAGGAATTGTTCGGATTGATACCTGCTGCTGATTTTCACCACCGTACAACCCGCCACAAACTAAAGTTTCATCCCAATCATCTGGACGAGTGGCGGTCTTCCACCGTGCGTTTTTCGAGGCACTTTCTTCCACGCACAACTGTTCTTTGGAATCAACTTCCAGTAGCAGTATTTCCGAACCGATACGACAACATAACCTTCAAGAAAAGAGCATATTCCTTTTTAAAAGGCCGGCAGCACACCTGCAATGCTGTTGGTGTTGCGGGTGACCGTGGGCGGCGGTAGTCACTTACCATCAGGTGAGCCGCATGCTCGTTTGCCCCCTGTGTTGTAAAAAAAAAAAACTACGTCAGTTTCCTAGAAGGACTATATGTCAACATGGTATAACGCCAGAAGTGGATTGTACGGTTGGATTTATCAAGTATTGCTTTATTTTTCCTCTATGCAATAATGCACCGCCTACGTATTTCTCTGTTCGCCCAATGGTCGACTGGTAGAGAACACCGTCCGGTGTTAAGTCCGCCATATGTACATAGAATTTTACTGTGCATTAATGTTTAAATAAATAAATCACCATACACAGGCAAAATCCGCGAGAAATACAGAAAAATGGTGGAAATTTACAGACAGATACACGATGAGTTTAATAAACGGTCGAAACGGTGGAAAGTAATAAGATGACTGCCTCATTTCTAAATATTTCATTCATAAAAACAACCACTTGTATAACAGATTGTGTTCTGAGGAATTGTTTGAAATGATGCTTTTTATCGTCGCACCGTTAGCCATCGACAGGAAATTAATTTTCACACACTTGAACCTATATAACGTACAGTGTGGTCTCAAAGGAATTTTCTTCCGTGAACGCTCAGGCTGTAGAATCAGGGGGTCTACTATGAAATGAAATTCCAAATTTTCGAGCTCAATTTCGTGTTTTTGTTCGTACCGAAATCGACCCTGTAAATGGAGCTTAACATTTTGTTTGTCATAAATCCTACCATAAAAGTTCAAAGGAACGATATTTTAGCATTTTTAATATTTTTAAATGGTACCTATCATATTAGTTGCTACTTATGGGATTATAGTGCAGTAGTTTTCCATCTTGCTTTCTGCACCGCAGTTCAAAGACCGATATTTCACCCTCTGATCGCTGACTAGAAGCCTGGGATAGAGCTGGCTGGAGGAAGATGCATGAATTAGTTGCACCGACAAGAGGAAACTCTTAAATGAAAAAAAAAAACCTATCATATAAGCATCAAATTTTTGTTTCGTTCGGATCCGAAATTTCGGAAAACATTTCATGGTAGTCCCTCTGCCCTCTGTCGAGGTGTTCCCTAGAGACTACAGTATGGGGTTTTTCGAAAAGGCTATGCTAAGGTATGTCGCGTAGCCAGCGTGGATAAGGTAGAGCGCGTCCGTGTGCAGGTGTCGCTGACGCTGAGCCAGGAGATCCGGCGGCTGTCGGCGCTGGTGGGCGAGTTCGAGGCGCCGTTCCGCAGCGAGCGCGCGGCGCTGGAGCAGTACAAGCGCGCGCTGCACCGCCACGTGGAGGCCGGGCTCGGCGAGCGCCTCAAGCTGCGCCTCTCCACCGACATCGGCCACGAGATGGACCTCGCGCAGCGCGACATGGCCGGTACTGCATACATACACCGCATCACTACCAGACTGCTAGGAGACTTTGTGCAAACGTCAATCGCTTGGGTACCTCTGTCCCATTCGTGTTTCAGAGTGATGTATCTCTACATGTTTTGTATTGCAGTTACAGAATTAATGGTTGAAAAGCCGGCCTTATATGAACCACAGTGAGGTTTATATTTCATAACTTGTCGATTCCAATAGTCACCTCATTCTGAAGCCAGAGGGAGACTTTGTACAAAAGTTGATTGCTCGGGTACCTCTGTCCCATTCGTGACACATGACTGTGTTACGGTTTGAAGGGTGAGATATGGCGTGAATTTACTGGGTAACACCTGAGTCCTCAGGAATGGCAACGCATGGAAGGTATCATGGGCGAAACAGTATACTCTGTTATGTCCATGGTACTACTCATGTCTATAGGCGACGGTTATCGCTTTCCATCAGGTGGACCGTCAGCTTGTTTGCCATTCTAAGTTGTATAAAAAAAAATCATTTATTGCACGAATATGGGTATTACAACATACATTAGATGAACATTTTTCATACAATTTTACATGATAAATAGTTATGAGTCCGATTCCTTTATAATTGAAAAAAATTCTGTGTCTTTTTAATACGTAAACACTCATTTTATTTATTAAATAATATATTGATAAAAAAAATGAGGCAACTAATTTGACAATTAGCTGATAAAAAGTTGGCCTGTTTTTGAGGCTTAATGCTCTATCTATGTAATCTAAGCCTACACTGTTGTTGTCTATGATAACGCTGCCTTTTTAATATGTTTTCGTTATTTAAATGATACTTAATTTTGTTATATGTCCTTCCATTTATATTGTGTTTTTATTTTCTATCTTTAACACCTACACAGAGGATATGAGGGTTTTTTTTTTTAATAATAATAATAATTTATTTACAAAATATTGGTGATTGCCAGTAGCAGCTCTTAAGTTATTGTTAAGTAATTGTTCAGCAATATTTACCATTTCAGTGTGTAAATGTTTTTTTTTTTTATAATATCCAAAATATTTCTTCTAGAACTCTAGTGTTCTTACATTTATGCGTACACAATCATTTGCTAGAATTATCTCGATGTTTGGATTAGGAGCAATACGAGCCAAAATTCGAATATCCGAAATAGAAGAAAAAGTTAATAAATAATTCTTTCCTTTAAAAAAAACGATGGTAGTACCAGTTGAACTCTACCAACGGACTCTACTCAATCCTACAGAGCGCATGTACAGCATCCTGCCGCAACACAAGCGCGCGGCGGCCGCCGCCTGCATCGTGCCGCACCAGCAGCCCTTCGAGGTGCTCTACCGGCTCAACTGCGACAACCTGTGCGCAGACTTCCAGGAGGACCTCCGCTTCCGCTTCTCGTACGGGATCACGGCACTCATACAACGCTTCAACGGGAAGAACACGAACAAGATCGCACTCAAGAACCCACCGCAGTATACGCAGGTGAGGACCACGCCCCTAAAATTCAAGATATTATAAATAATTCTCTTATAAATAGAAGATCCATATCTGATTTTATTACTCTCTATAAAATAATAAATTATAAATGGGACAGTAGCACATTGTTGAGCCTTGTTTCATTTCGTACGGGTAAAAAAGGATTCAAAAATTATTTTACATCCCGATTTGTAATAATAATGTATCGTATCACAATCCAATTATCCGCATGTGCAGAAAATATAACAATGTATGCAAGGATATTTTTCAACAATCCTTGCAATGTTACATTAAGGCTGCCAATTTGTTACTTTAAATTTATAGCCGTCATTCTTTTAATGTATATAATATCGAATGTTATGCAGAGCAGTTGTTGGAGTGCAAATTTAATGCCGTTTTGTGTAATATTTATTTTATTAATGTATTGTAATCTGTTGCTTTGCTATAAATAAATAAATAAATATATGGACTCAAATAATCTGCTTGCCTCCACAAGACAGAGAGAACCGATCGCCAAAGGTCTCTAACCTTACAGAGATCTCTGGCTTCATGTATTTTCATAACTCGTTTCTTGTATGCATGTTGGTTTTAAAGATTACAGGATGTAAACAAATTGTCCAAAACTAAACCAGCTGATTCAAATGAATGGTCTGAATCAGATGGCAGATTACTTTCCCACCGGGAATGCGCCACAGCCACATTATTAACGATTCTTAGTTTTAAAACGCCGCGCAATGTATTTGAAATTTTATAATCCACACGACGCGTGATACGTAGGTATAGCGTGGTCAGTGGTGCTTCTTCGTAGGTAGTTTTCGTACGCTTGGAGCGTTGACCTTACATAGCTGATTTCACGCGTCGCGGTAAGACTTTAATACATTGCTGTTTTTGGGTATTTCATAGTATTTAACTGTAAATTATGATTTCTTTATTTACATTACATGATTTTTACAGAAAAAAATTTTGATTCTGTAAAGAATTTCCACTGGTTTTCAGTTTTGAATAAATGGTCTGAGTTTACTGTTTTAGTATGTCCCTTACACCCTCTCTAAGATCCACTTAATATTATTTGCTTTTTACAAATCATAAATAGAAGCATATAGAGATATTAGATGTGATTAGAGGTACAAAAGATAGTATACCTGTGACCAGCGTAAGGGAAGAGAGAGAAACTAGCATAATAATTGATCTAATGTAACGGAAAAGACTTTTGCTAAATCGATTTAACTATTGGGAGCTTAAAATGTTAATATTTTTTAATTTTCCGCCGCTAGATCCCCCCGACGGTGAAGAGCCTGCCGCCGGCGCTGGAGCCGCTGGAGTCCCGGACAACCACAACCCTGAGCGCCGTGGGTCCGTTCAGTGCCGAGGAGTGGGGGCTGGTGTCCCGCTTCGCGCTCGGCGCGCTCACCTCGCAGGGCACCATGGGCGGCCTGCTGCTCTCTGGACTTGTAAATATTTTTTTTTGTCATACGCACAATGGCCCAAAAGATGCTTAGAAAATAAAGTCCAATTTACATTACATACGTACAAGAATATAGACGATTGGGCTCAGTCTGATCCTAGTTGTCACATTTAACAACTGAAACCGATTTTTGGGTTTTGTTCTGGCTTCGGACGTAATCGAAATTGAAGACGATTGTACATACTGAAAATAAAGCAATATGGTCTGATTAATTGAAAATGGCTTCCTCCACCTATATATACTTTAAATGCTAAAGGCATTGTTCGTACGTTACCAACCCTTGTAACATGAAAATTTTCAGTCATACTATCTATTTATTATTAAATAGTTGCTGTATATAATGACTACTATATTTACTTTTCAAAATTAGAATACAGCATGCTTGCCATAGCAAAATTATAAGTAATTGTCCATATAGGCAAATGTAGCATACAGCAGTAACCAATTATTATTAATAATGCGGTTCAGTGCTCACTCGCTTGACAAATAAACAATATTTAAAAAAATAATATTTTAATGAGCAGGTGAGTGAGTTAAAAAAAAAGTAAGAGAAAGAAAAAAAAATAAATAAAAAATAAATAATATTGTAAAGTGAGTTAAATTAAAAAAAAGTGAGTAGAAAGAAAAAAATAAAAATTGAATTTAAAAAAAGAATATTTTAAAGAGCGGGTGAGTAGAGTTAAAAAAAAAGTGAGTAGAAAGAAAAAAATAAAAATTGAATTTAAAAAAAGAACACGAGGTTGCGGACCGGCTGCTCGTCCGGATTTTTGTTTGGAATGCACGAGGAGGTACCGTGTCAATGAACGAATGGACGTGCGCAGCTGCTGAAGACGGTGGGGTGGCGCGTGGTGGCGGCGCTGGGCGCGCTGTACGGCGCGCTGTACGCGTACGAGCGCTGCACGTGGACGGCGCGCGCGCAGGAGCGCGTCTTCAAGCAGCAGTACGTCGCGCACGCCGGCAAGAAGCTGCGCCTCATCGTCGACCTCACCTCCGCCAACTGCAGCCACCAGGTCCAGCAGTGAGTGCCCCACACATCCACGTTCATACAACACACCTCTCTCTACTGTATATCAACACTCTCTATATTGTTTTTTATGATTTGATTTTTTTTTATACAACTTAGAATGGCAAACAAGCTGACGGTCCCCCTGATGGAAGGTGGTAACCGTCGCTTATAGACATGAGCAGTACCATGGACATAACAGAGTATAGTGTTTCGCCCATGATACCCCTCCATGCATTGCCATTCTTGAGGACTCGTATATTATTCCTCTGTACCCTGTAAATTTACTGCCATATCCCACCCTTCAAACCAAAACACAGTTATACAAACACAACTGCTTCACGCTAGAAACCGAATCAAATCGCGTTTGCCCGTACAAGGTCGGCACTCGAGAACCTTTCTTCCGGTTTGGTTGTCGGTTTTTCAAGCTGTATATCTAGTACGTGCAGTGCTAAATTAACAATTATTAAACTTCTCTTAATAAACAATTTCCTTACTGCACTCCTCATGCGTGGAGTGCATAGATATGAGTCCATAGACGCGTATAAATGCTGGCAACGTTTGTACAGGGAGCTGTCGACGATGTTCGCGCGCCTGTGCCAGCTGATCAACGAGGCGACGACGGAGATGGACGAGGAGCTGGGCGAGGTGCGCGAGGCGATCAAGCTGCTGGAGCACGCCTCCACGTCGGCCAAGAAGCTGCGCAACAAGGCCAACTACCTGAGCCACGAGCTCGAGCTCTTCGACGACGCCTTCCTCAAGCACAACTAGGCGGGCAACTAGCTCACACTGGTCAGTGCCATCTTCCTTGACCTCAGCTTTCTTGATAATGTGACACTATTTATTGTTGTTAAACGCATCCTCTACAAGAGTTAATGATTTCTCTTTGAATTATGAATTTGTCAATGTTACCTTTTTTTTAATGCTAAATTTCTATGTTACCTTTTGTCTTTTTCTCAATGTCCTCTACTCAAAAGTTGTCTGGATAAAATTGCTTAATGATAAGGCCGCCTTTTGAATCAGTTCTTTTTTTTTATACAACATAGAATGGCAAACAAGCTGACGGCCCACCTGATGGAAAGTGGTAATCGTCGCCTATAGACATGAGCAGTACCATGGACATAACACAGTGTACTGTTTCGCCCATGATACCCCCCCCCCCCCCATGCGTTGCCATTCTTGAGGATTCAGGTGTTATTCCTCTGTACCCAGTAAATTCACGCCATATCCCACCCTTCAAACCGAAACACACCTATGCAAACACAACTGCTTTACAGTTGAAACACGAATAGGACAGAGGTACCCAAGCAATCGACTTTTGTACAAAGTCTCCCTCTGGTCTCCTATATACTCATAAGGTTTTTTTAAATGTATACCAGTCCTATTGCTAACAATATACCCTGCCAAGTCGATTTCCATATGGCCCCCCTTGAATGATATCATCGTGCTAAATTTCAGGTGTATTCATCAACATTGTCTAACTGACCTGCCTTTTCATTCTCACCTCTTATCCCTTAAAAGTAACCATTTTACAGAATGTGGTAAAGAAACTAAGTAAACTGATGGTAATAAGTGAACTATAAACATCCCTCTGTACACTTAAATGTGGCAACATTTTAATACGAGAATTTTATTTAAGCAAGATATTTTATTCCATTATATTTTTCTATTCCAGTCAAGTTAACGAGTTGGGGGCAGCTGCAACTTTACCTTCTCCTTAGGCAGCCTCCACACCGCGCGGCCGTTGTTTACCGCCAGCGGTGGGCACGCAAACGGCGTTCAGTTCGGCCTCGAGCAGTAGATTGAAATAGCTATGTATGGGCGATTTATTTATTTATTTTAATTTATTCGTGCCAGACTCGTCACAGCCCGCTGTATACATCGCACAATAGAGAACGATCCCAATTCTGAATGTTTTAGTATTGTCGATGGAATGGTTGTGCTAATAAACTTAAATACAAAAAATTTTTTGCATCAAATCAATTTGACCTTGAACAAACTTATTACAAAATTTATGCTCAAAATAGAGTAAATAAAAACAAGTTTTAATTATATATATATATATATATATATATATATATATATATATATATATATAATTAAAATCAAGTTTTAATTATATATATATACATACATATATATATATATATATATACATATACATATATATATATATTTTTTTTTTTGTGAGAATATAAATTATTTTAAAATTTTATAATTAGTAAGACAGAATAACATCTATTTGGTGCATACCTAATAATTCTTATTTTACTTTATACTGATTTTATAAAATAACAAATGATCAACTATTGACCTACCAACTATGATCTCTATATTACTGAAATTTAATTAAAGAGATCTCTTAAAAGTTTCAATGGATCATATTTTATTTATACTATATGTTTGTTTAGATCTAATGTAAAATCAATGTTTAGATGTACACATCAATTGTTGAAACTATTCCATCGGCATTACATTTAAATATGTTATTTGTATATTGTTAGAATTGGAATCAATAATTTCTGCTAAATTTAGAATACTCTATGAATATACTTTATAATAATTTGCAATCGACAATGCGTCCCAATCGAGTTACAGCGAGAGGTAACGGTCGCGCAAAATGTATAATTTAAGTGAAACATTGAAGTGCTTTTCAATCGACTGCTTCCAAGGTATATGACATGACAATTGGGAGTTTCGTTCCCACGAAACCACACTTTAGGAAGGTAAACATGTACATTTTACTATGTCCCATGTATAGTTCAATGATATACCTCTTTATATGAATAGCGCTTTTGTTGTTGTTTTAAAGTTATTTATCGATTTTTACGTGTTAACAATGAAATCACGGAATATTTTATGCCTCGTTGAAATGTATAACATTTCATTTGTTATCTTGAAATTATTAGGTTACAATGGTTCCTTTATATTTAGACAGTTTCTATTGAAATTTTGCTTTACTCATACTAGTTTACTTCATATGTGTGATACCGAGATGTATGGACAGAAGTTTTGTCGTGTGCACGGACTTTTTGGTTATAAAGAAAAAAAAAGGTAAAAAAAACGAATACTTTTTTATTGAAGGGTCCTAAATAACAAAAAAAAAATATTTTTCTAAAAAAAAAAGTAAGGCAACATTAATTATTAACATATTGAAATAGTTTTACAACCATCAAATAAAAAGTTTTTTTTTTTTACTTTTTTTTTATACTGTTTACCTTCCGGTTGGTACGTCCCGGTGCTACCAAACGGACGTATGACGCGGATCGTCATCGAACAATTGGAAAGACTCAGGTACAATATTACATAAATTATCATTGGAATAGAATTATATATGGAAATAGATGTATATGAAATTTTGTTATTTCCAGTATTTATGGCTACGCTTAATTTTTCGGTTGGTTACCTTGGAATTAATTTATAACGTACGGCTGCAAGCATGTTGTGCTCGAAAAACTAACTGAACAAACTATAGCCTTCACAAAACTGAGTCGGCATCTAAAATATTATGGTATGGCGATTGTTTTATTACTCACAAACTATGTTTTTATGCTGACTATGCGTTATTTATATTGGTAACTTTACGAATTTACAACTACAACGGATATGTTAAATATTAGGAAAAAATAATCATGTCCCAGAAGATTATATATTTGTTATATATAACCAAAATAAGGTTATATATTTTTGTCATAAATTTAGCTTAAAAAAAAGTGAGAATAGTGTTTCAATGCCAAAGAAACAAGTAGCTGCTTGTAGACAGGGCTATTTTAAAGCAATTTATTTCTATTTAATTTCTATACCTTGCCTGTAAACAAATGGAAAACATTTCTGTTGTTACAATCATTTTTAGACGCATGGAAAATGTCAAAATCTGCCTTCAGCCCGCGCCCAGTAAAGCGAGACGTATGACATGCTATCTCGCCAAAACTAATGCATTAGCGGTTGTAGTATTTAAGTGGATCTTATCTAAATCTTTTGGTTGCATGACCCCGATGTTAATATCTTCAGCTGCATTATATAACGCATAGTCGATATTCTCAAATATTATGCTTGTAAGTTTGGAAGTACTAACAATATTAGAGGAACGCATCTACACGAGATACCGTCCGGTGGTACAGAGAACGTATTGTCTATACCTCCTTTTCTTTATAAACTAATGTCATACTATACAAGCATTTATTGGACCTGAGTGCCATTTAGAACTTAATACCTTAGAGAGATGCAACAATAAGAAACGACATTGTAAATATATACCTGTTTACAAATACATCTGACGATTGCTTCTATAAAAAAAAAATTTGGGAAAATGTATATTATTACCTATCGAAAAAGTAACAGAAAATAAAATATATTGAAACGTTCGTAGTCTCGACAAGATAATATCAACTTTGAAACTTATTATAACGTTTGTCAAGTAGATGGAATGAAAAACGCATCAACGCATGGAGGGTATCATGGGCGAAACAGTATACACTGTTATGTCCATGGTACTGCTCATGTCTATAGGCGACGGTTACCACTTTCCATCAGGTGGGCCGTCAGCTTGTTTGCCATTCTAAGTTGTATAAAAAATATATATATCAATATTGAAATAAATAATATCTTTTAAAGAACTCTTTAGCAGTCATTTATAGAAAAGTTACTTTTACAATTTATAATAATCAAATTGGATAGGCAAAATATGGTAAATGATCCGCTGGAATGAATCAAATGTATTCCCATAATCATTTAAATAAAGCCAGCCAACAAAATTTGTCAGCCTCTGAATATAATAAAATTTAATAAATATATAATCAATATATTGTTTAAAATAATTTTCCATTCTCATTGCAAAATACTATAGTATATACTTTCCAAACTGTGTATCCTTGGAAGAGCGAGTCTGAATTTATTTATTTACTTATATTAGGGGGCGCAGTGGCCTTATCGTAATTATTAATTTAATAGGTGAATATTCATTTTAGAAATTATTCCAATTAAGTAAATAATCATACCTTGTGGGAAGGATCATGAAGGGAAATACATATTGTTTTGCCAAATCTACAAGATAAAGTGTTGTACTTCAAAGCTCTTAAATATTTTCCAAGTCACTCATCAAATTATAGATAGATATTCGAAATTCGCAGACTAGTGTCTGCTTATGCAAACTGCGAGTTCGGTTGTGCATTGTTTTTCTTATAAATTTAATTTTTACATAATTTCGCCTCCTTGCATTTTGTACTCCGATGTACTTGGCTATGTGATATCGCCGTATGTTAATAACGAAGGTAGCTGAACGTATTTTGACCTTATTCTAATGTAATAGGGTTTATGATATCTGGAGCTCGTTTTCATACTATTTCAGTGAGGTATGGTGGTGAAATTACTAGGTAATTTGATTCAGGATTAAACTACAGCAGTCGGCCTATGCCTCTAGTGTTTCAAGCGCAAAAAGGCTATGTTGGCAGTTTACCTATAGACAAACCGTATGCTTGATTGATACCCTTTTGTATGAAAATAAATAAATCTTATTGTATTAGAATGTTCTAATTTTGGCTTATTAAACCCATATAGGGATCTGGTTTATTAGTTTCATTAAAAATTTACTGCATTATAATATGTATGTTTCGAATTATCAACAAGGTCACAACAGCTATTATTGTATACCTAGTTTTCTATGCCAACCGCACATACCGGTATGTATTGACAAGTTCAAGATGGGAGCCATGCAACCGTTTGATATTAGGTAGATTTTGTTGTCTATTGTAATTAGTTATTGCATAATTAGGAGAATTTCTTATGTAAATAAAACAAATAAAGGATTCCTTTATAATATTTAAAGTAGTTTTATTATTTTTAAACACTAGTATCACAGCAGTTTAGTATTATAAGCACTATCGGACGATACTGGTTATTTTTGTATTTTATAGGTAAAGATATTTTCCAAGTCCATTTTTAATGTTTCCTCGTGCAATAATAATTTTTTTGGTTCATGCTGAAAAAAGAAATTTTATTATTTTATTCAAAGATAAAAAAATAACTTAGCATATCAGTCATGTAAGAACATTCAAAGTAAAGACAACCTTTGATAGACTTTATGTTCGTCAAAATAGAACACAGAATTGTATGCATAATGGACATAAGTCTATAGTAGCACAGCCGAGATATATTCTCTGCAGACAACACCCTAATGCAACCAAGACTCAAAACTTTACACCAAAATTGGCTGGCCAGCATGGTTACCAGAGGGAGACTTTGTACAAAAGTCGTTTACTTAGGCACCTCTGTCCCATTCGTGTTTCAACCATGAAGCAGTTGTGTTTGCATGGCTGTGTTTCGGTTTGAAGAGTGGGATATGGCAGTGAATTTACAAGGTACAGAGAAAAGACACCCGAGTCCTTAGGAATAGCGATGCATGGGGAGGTATCATGGGCGAAACAGTATACTCTGTTATGTCCATGATACTGCTCATGTCTATAGGCGACGGTTACCATTTTCCATCAGGAGGGATGTCTGCTTGTTTGCCATTCTAAGTTGTATAAGAAAATGGTAATAGTAAGCTAGATCATCGTCTTATGCATAAAAATCTATGTCCAACAATTGGTAAGGACGCTGAGAGGACCCTAAGCATTTTTGACAAATCATAGTATAGTAGTTAGAGTATTGTTTATGCCTATAAACCACTATTTTTATTTAAAGGAATCATAGTAAGTATATGAAGAGAAATATTTGTTAAATTGCATTAAAACTCACAGTAGCAACTTCAGTCTTGAAGTCTGCTTTAGAGAACCGCACAGTGGCGCCCTCAGCCTGCAATCCGTAGTGTTCGCAAACGGTGATGACATCGGCATCACTGGGAAACCACAGCCACTGCCTGAGTACAGCAGTGGGCACCGCCAGCTGCCTGCTATTGTACGCGTGGCTCATCACTCGTAGAGCGTTCCTGTTAAATAAATTACGATTTAGAAATAATCACTAAATAAATGGACTATTATAGGTGTTCTAATTAATATAATTTCAGAGAATGTATGTTTTTTTATGGTTAAAATTTGGTCGAGATAAGAACTGGAGACTGTACAAAAGTCGATTGTTTGAGTACCTCTGTCCCATTCGTGTTTCAACCGTGAAGCAGCTGTGTTTGCATGGCTGTGTTTCGGTTTGAAGGGTGAGATATGGGGTGAATTTACTGGGTACAGAGGAATAACACCTGAGTCCTCAGGAATGGCAACACATGAGGGATATCATGAGCGAAATAGCTGTTATGTCCATGGTACTGCTCATGTCTATAGGCGACGGTTACCACTTTCCATCAGGAGGGCCGTCAGCTTGTTTGCCATTCTAAGTTGTGTAAAAAAAAAAACTGGACAATTGATCGAGGGTCGCTTCATTCAGTTATAACACGAGTATAGAAACTTGCCTCTGTATTGTAGGTAAGTACACGGAGACAGCAAAGTATGTCAGGGGGCATAATGCATCTAGCATACTGCATACACGCGCGTAGTTCCCTTTCAAATGTGCTATTGCTATTTTATATGATAACTGCACTGTCGAGTTACTGAAATGGGAGATTTTGTGTTTAATCTGGACCTCACAATTGGCTCCGTCAATTCTAAGACACTAAGTGCTGTTAATAATCATAAGATTTCATTGAAATCTATACAGCCATTTTCACATGACGCTGTAACAAACAGACACCAAAGGGAGACTTTGTACAAAAGTTGATTGCTTGGGTACCTCTGTCCCATTTGTGTTTCAACCGTGAAGCAGTCGTGTTTGCATGACTGTGTTTCGATTTGAAGGGTGGGATATGGCGTGAATTTACTGGGTACAGAGGAATAACACCTGAGTCCTCAAGGAATGGCAACGCATGGGGGTATCATGGGCGAAACAGTATACTCTGTTATGTCCATGGTACTGCTCATGTCTATAGGCGACGGTTACCAGTTTCCATGAGGTGGGCCGTCAGCTTGTTTGCCATTCTAAGTTGTATAAAACAAAACAGACAAACATAAAATATAAAAATTATTGATTTGGATGACTGATTGCTTATTTCTAGGAATCCTAGATAATTTTCGTGAACATAAACGTTAAAAAATATAACGGTGCGTTGCATATGCGGCAGGTGGGGGGGGGGGGGGGGGGGGGGGTCAAATATCTTCAAAAAAATACGTTACGTAATACTTGAACATCCCCTACATTTCTTATATATACATGTTCAAGACAGCTAACAAAAATTAAATACCTTTTTATGTCCTTTGGCAAATTGAAATAGCGATACAACGGGTGAACATCGCCCAAATTGCACAATATATATAAACTCTCCATCAGTTCTCTATCACAGGTCAATTTCTTCATATATCTATTGTTTATTTCTAAGTTGGATAAGAAACTGCTTATCTCATTGATTTTAGCATTGTTCTCCCATAGTTGTACACTCTCGTAGCAACTGAGAAACCACTTAATGCATTCCAATAAGTACTTTTTATTGAGGACTGGATCATAGTCACTTAGTGGGTGTTCACATAATCTGGGGAAGGATATTTAATTATTATTATTTATTATTCCTGTGCACAAAAAAGTATTTATACAAAATGTGCATATTATAAAAGGCAGCCTTACGGCTTAAAGCAATCTCTTACAGACAACCTGGATATTTATTTGTTTAGTACAAGCTAAAAACAACAATTATATAATTGGGTGGGTTTCACTCAAATGAACATTAGCAAAACAGTGTGGGTTTCAACTGTTTATCATAGTTACCATCATATCCACCATTAAATGTCCACTGCTGAACATAAACCTCCACCATAAGGGAGGATTTTGACAATTTATTTATCATAAAAGATTAAACGCGCTTCCTGATGCCATTAAGAGACTACCGACTAAACCGTCTTTCAAAAAAAGCGTTCATATCTTTATCCGAGCAGTAAGTGCTTTAGATTATTCTCAATTTCGTGTGTAATATAGTATATGTCATATATGTGCAAGTATATTTGTTATTCATATATATTTATTAGTTTATATATGTAATTTTAGTATGTATGTATATCAATAATTAGTAGTACCGCATACGAGTATTCTGACACTTGCCTATGGTTGACTGGGAGAGAATGCTTTTAGCATTAAGTCCGCCATGTACACATATTTGTACTAATGAATAAATAAATAAAATAAATAAATAAATAAAATAAATAAATAAATAAAATAAATAAATAAATAAAATAAATAAATAAACTATCTATAATAATTAGCAATCATATAGCTTTCTTTATATTCTTTTTTTTGATATTTTAAATTGTTTATTTTATTGTAGGAAAATCAACAACAACAATAATTAATCATTGATGGACAAATTAAAAAAAAAACAATTATATTGCGTATGTCTTATATATTATAAATATACTAATATTATAAATGTGAAAGTGAATTTGTTTGTTTATCTCTAGGTACCTTAACTATTCACTGTAAAATTTGGTATACAGAAGGACATAGACTCTTTTTTATCCTGGTCAATGAATATATCTAGGTCATATGGGTAAAGTCATGAGTACAAGCTAGTATTATGAATACTACTTACTTGTATCCAAAATAGACATAGAATCTGATCATAGGCTCAAGTAAATTAACACATTGCTCAGGTGGCAGCCTCTGAATGGTCATATCTTGGCGGACAGCCCTGAGCCGATCATTCACAAAGTCGTATACTGATGATATTGGCACATCAACTCTCCTGGTAACACTGAATACAAACTGTCAACTATAATAAACTTTATAATATAATATAGAATGGATGAGAAAGAAATTTCAACATGTATAGATTATGTTTTAGTTTATCACATATAATAATTTATATCCTAATTCACACAGGCAAAGCCATGAGATACAGCTATAGCAGTATAAAATTGAAAGGATGCAGTTTTTATTAAATAAAAAATATTTTCTATGATACTCGATCAAGTTTTTATACAACATAACAGAGATGTCTATCACTTTCCTGTATCACACAGAGATCACCTGATGATCACTGAAAATAGGGGTGAGTAATACACGGCAATATCTATTTATTTTAGTTACAATATCTATATACTTACTGTTCCAATAACCAATATGTTAAGTCTGTTATCCAAAAAAATTTTTTTTTACAACTTAGAATGGCATACAAGCTGATGACCCACCTGATGGAATGTGGTAACTGTCACCTATAGATGTGAGCAGTACCATGGATATAACAGAGTATACTGTTTCGCCCATGATACCTCCCATGTGTTGCCATTCCTGAGTACTCAGGTGTTATTCCTCTGTACCCAGTAAATTCACACCATATCCCACCCTTCAAACCGAAACAAAGCCATGTAAACACAACTACTTCACGGTTGAAACACGAATGGGACAGAGGTATCCAAGCAATCAAACAATATAGCTTATATCGAAATTGCTAATGACCTTTTTTCCATCACTAATGCCAAGAGAAACCCAATATATAGATATCACTTTAGTATTCAAACCAAAATTGAAATACTCACTCAAGTAACAAATAATCCACAGTGTCTCTCAATACATTGTAAGGTCGAAGCAGGTTTGGAACTGCCATGTTGGAATCTGCTGCTGATCTGCTGTAGCATTTTACCAGTTTCCTCTCAGAACCTAGCACTTCCAATATATGGACTAGGCCTTCTTTTTCTCTCCTAAAAAAATACAATTTTATAAATGTAGGTTTTTACCTCTTAGCACCTTTTCGATTTAATTAATCATCATTAAATTTGGTATATATATAGTATTTTAACCCAATAACACTAGATGCACAGTCAGTCTAGCAAGAAATCTTTGGAGTCATTACAAATGTAGCAAGATTTTATGATAATAAAATATAGCTTTGATAAACCCTTAGAATCAGTATACTTAATAGAATTATGCAAAATAGATAATAAAAAATAAATAAAAACAAATATAAACTAAAAGTACTTACAAATTTTGTTCGCTCTGTGGGCACATAGAATTGCATGTTCCATGAATTATATCGTTGCGTGCTGCGCAATTAGTATAAATATTTACACAAAAATAATCAAAATAAGAGGACATTGTTTTTACATTGAATTATCTGGTCAGGAGAACTATAAAATAATAACACGCTAATACTAGCAAGATATGAGATCCATAGTCAGTTTATTTATATAGATATTTACAAACTTTTGTATTATAATTAATGATAATAAACGGTTAATCGAAGAAAAAAGCAAATTTTCTTTTTAAATAACCTATGTTCTTGGCATTTCATTTTTGATATTTTATTGACATCATTAGTGACATTGACATCACTGTAACAGATGCCATGATCGTCTTTACGTAACTATTTTTTTGTGAACGCCACAAAAGAAAGAAAAAAAAAACAACAATTTTTTTTAATTGATGATAATGTAATGGTAATGACCCCTGCGCTATCAATATACGCTGGCGCCTATCAACCCTTACTGGTGCCCACCAGTAATCGCTGATAGGTGACGAATAAAACGACTTCTTTAACCCATCGTGACGAATTCCACTAGAATTAACCATGATAGTTTCCAGGGGGAAACCGCGTGGAGGCCAACCTGATAGGGTGTATTGTTGGTAATAGGGTAATTTGACCCCATTACTAACAATCCCTTGCCCCCTTATGCAATTATTTGGTAAGGCAAAGATAATGCATACTACCATTTATATGTATATTTTATTTTCACTACCTTCTATTTATAATTTGACAATGTTATTTTTTGTCAACCGATTTAAAAAGAAAAAGGTTTTTTATTAGGTTAAATTTTTTATATTTGTTTACATCAGTTTTAAACCGAGTCGAATTTTTTTTTTTATCTGAAAAGATAAAGATTGGTCCCATAGACATTTTTTATAACCGGTTCAATAATTTAGTTTTTAGATCAATATGGTTTTATCAAATTTGATGTTGGTTTTGTTTTGTGGTACACAAACTTTAGTTATTGTACAACCGGCCGCCTAACAGAAGCAGGTAGAAGACTTGCTTTCTAAATAAACGCATTTTACAAATCGTCATAAGATTTTCGTTTCCTGTAATCCCACACTTAAGTTACTAATGTACGTTATACTAAATCTATGAATCTAAAGTATAACAATAATCATTTTTATTGCACTTGGCTGAGTACGAAATAAATCGTATTAGGATTCTTGTAAATTAGCGTCATAAGGTTATACCCATAATGTAAATAAAAACTAATACTTGTCACAAAAGCACTCGTATAATTTATTAACCTAGGTAAGTGGGTACCGACATAAATTGTACATACAAAACAATATTCATTCTATAACATAACAATTTTCTCTTTTAACTCTTTGAGCTCCTTCGCATGAACCCATTTGATGCCTGTCGCGGACGCCGAACTCGACGGTCTTGATATACAACTGATAAAGAAAACATAATTATTGCAAATTGTCTTAACGCTAGATTTTTTTATGCAAATTAGAATGGCCAACAAACTGACAGCCCACTTGATGTAAAATAGTAATCGTCGTCTATAGACATAGACAATATCCTGGATATAATATGGTACTTAATTTTTTTCATAATCATACATATATCAATAATAGACCTGTAGATAAACACTAGCACTAGCAGCCTCTGTCCGATTTGTGTTTCTGCTGTGAAGCAGTCGTGTTTGCATGACTGTGTTTCGGTTTGAAGGGTGGGATATAGTAGTAAATTTACAGGGTACAGAGGAATAACACCTAAGTCCTCAGGAATGGCAATGCAGGGTCCATCAAGTGAGCCGTCAGCTTGTTTGCTATTCTTAGTTGCATAAAAAAGCTTAATACGAATTGATATACCCACTTATATATGAATAGATTGAATGGAATCTTTAACCATACCGTAATAAGATGTTATAACTATTTCGCTGACTACCAGAACGAATGACACCATTGTTAGAAATATAACCTGTCAAATCAATCTTCCCGCGGTATCCCTCTGAAAACTATTCTGGTTAATTCTTGATGAATCCCTCAAGATCATCAACTAGTGTTTCACCACCACCATTCACCAGAGGGAGACTTTGTACAAAAGTCGATTGTTTGGGTACCTTTGTCCCATTCTTGTTTCAACCGTGAAGCAGTTGTGTTTGCATGGCTGTGTTTCGGTTTGAAGGGTGGGATATGGCGTGAATTTACTGGGTACAGAGGAATAACACCCGAGTCCTCAGGTATGGCAACGCATGGGGGGTATCATGGGCGAAATAGTATACTCTGTTATGTCCATGGTACTGCTCATGTCTATAGGCGACGGTTACCACTTTCCATCAGGTGGGCCGTCAGCTTGTTTGCCATTCTAAGTTGTATAAAAAAAAAACCCAGACAGCTTTCCATCTGGGTGTTCTGAATGGTGCCCTAAATATTCGTTGCCTGTGTCCTTATAAAATATCAACACACCACATAAGGATTAGGACTTTGAGGATTAGGCAATAAGTGTAATTTTGTAGTACTTATTTATTAATGTAACATAGAAGTATACCCAATTTTCTTCCCAAAGAGATTCTCCAATCGAACTTTGACAAACGGCCACGGCCCTTGGTTTTTGTGCTCCTCTTGACAGAAGAACACCTTAGCGTTTTCGTATCTGCAGTACTCTTTCAAAACAATATCGTAGGGGAACGGGTATAGTTGCTCGATTCGGCACATTGCTATCTTGTCCTCCAATTTCTTCTCTTTCACCAATTCACTGATGGTGATGGCCACCTTTCCGGAGCAGAATATAAGTTTCTTTACGCCTTCCGGCTTCTTGGATGCCGGCCCTGATTCTCTTATTGCTCTAGTGATAAACAAACACCATAAAATTAAGCAAAGCAATTTTATAAGCAAATATTCGAACTGGCTGTAGATTTACAGTAGGTACTTATACTGAAACGTAGGTACATCACCCAAATTGGTGATAATTTTTAGTGCAAATTATATTTACTACTTACCTACCTATATACAAGCAATAAGAAGTGAGTAAAGGAAATAAGTCAGGAGAGCTTTACTGACAACTTCGAACGAAAATGGCTATAATAGAAGAGGAATCTGCACGCAAAACATAGATTATGTTTTTGTATTAAATATGTACAAATCAATTAAACGATTTAGTAAAATAACAGAAAAGTGTCGTGTGGTCTTGGCACGGAATGGGCCACCTCTTTCTTTCCTGTGGGTGACGTAAGAGGCGTCTATAGGAACTTACTGGTCTTTTTTTGTTATACCACTGAGATGGCAAACAAGCAAACGGCCCACCTGATGGTAAGCGGTTACCGTAGCCTATGAACGCCTGCAATACCAGAGGCATTACGCGCGCGTTGTCGACCCTGAAGAAACTTCTTTACCCCTCTTTTGAAGAACCCCACGCTGTAGTCTCTTGGGAAAACCTCGGCAGGGAGCTCATTCCATAACCTGAGTGTTCGTGGGAGAAAACATCTCTGAAACCGAGTTGTACGCGACCATTTAGGCTGTAAGGTATGAGGGTGAACTCCCTGTCGATAGCGAGCCGTACGATGATAGAAAGTGGTCGAGAAATGAGCAGCAGCATTCTTTTTAAAACATTATCAAAATTTACTGCGGCTGGTAAACCACCTGCCAAGTGTGGTAACTATTGTCCCCTCCCTTCCTCATGGCCTATGTTCAGCAGTGGACAGTGAACGGCTAATTTAATAATAATTAAATACAAAAACAGCATAAATGTTTAATTTTGTATTTAAATAGTTCTTCTATCAACTATACCTTTGGAAAGAGGTTCCTATACGGAAATCTTCGAATTTTGATCTATAGTAAGGATGCTTGAGGCCAACTTTGGGCGTCATCAGTATGACGGGCTTGCGGAAGGGCAACGCGATCTGACGTCGGATCATGTGGAAGTAGTTCGCGGGTGTAGTCAGGTTACACACTATCCAGTTCGCAGCGCGGAGTTGTTTCACTAGGAAAATACATCGCGTGTAAAATGCATCCCGCCTCAGAAGACGGTCTGATATTTTATTTATTACTAGATCTTATTCCAGAGGCAGCGTAAGGCGAGGGCGATTTAGCCCACCACCCTCATCTACGCGGTCCAAAGGTCATGCTTCTATTTAAATTTGTATTTTTTTTGTTTACCACGAATTAAAAAAAAACTGGACTATTGCTCTAAAAAAAGGACCTCGCACAAAAAGTGTCTTACTTCAAAGGGTTTCGTGCAAAAATGTATTTTATCCACATCAAATTTAGGTTCGCCGTTGCCTTTATCATGTAAGTATATTGATTTTCGTAAAAAAATCCATCTTACACTATTCTCTAACCTGTCAAAGAATTTTAAAAGTTTGACATTGAAGATTTCATAAAAATTAATTTAGAATATCGCATACCAAGATCGCATTCATTTAGTCATACGTTCCATTACTTCTTACTTAGAACTCCTACTTTGATCAAATACCAAATTTGATACGCACAGACCATATCTTTGTCGTCAAGGTCAGGTATGTTGTCCTCGTCGTCGTCTGCTTGCTGTAAGTAGCGTTCTATGCGCGCCGACGAATGTTCTGGACCCTAGGATTATTCAAAACGTACCTAGTAATATAACTGATTTTCACTACCAGCAAGTAAACCTTTTGCTAGTGTTGTTATGGTATATGTGTTATGGCAATGAAATAAGGCGGTATTGATACACGCTGGCGAGGCATTACTAAAGAATGATAGATGAGGATGAAAGAAGATCAGTTGGCCCATTGTGATGAATTCATCAACAATTAACCACGACGGTTTCTTATTCCGGAGGGATTCATCGGTAACTATAAATACGCATACTTTATTATTTTACTCTGATGGGATACCAGTAAGGGATGGTGGAGAGGATGAAGTCAGATCAGTTAGAGCCATGGCGAATTCATTAGAAGTTAATTAACAGAAATTAAGAAACAGAAAACAGTAGGTTCGATAAGAGATACTATAATACTAACAGCTCCATCGATACCGTGCGGCAGCTGCACCACAAGACCGGACTGACAGACCCACTTGCTCTCGCCGTTAGCTATGAACGTGTCGAAGACGGGCTGAGCGGTGTCAGCGAAGTCACCATACTGTGCCTCCCAAATGGTCAACAGGTATGGACTCGAGTATGAGTAGCCCACTTCGAAACCCAAAATGCCTGAATGTAGATGACGAAATTCAATTATCAATGATTAAATATCATATACGGTATGTCCCTATAGGAATGAATAGCTATTTAGCAATTATTGATTGAGTTCAGTAAAAAATTGTGGGTATTATTACTATTACAAGAATGAATTGTTATCAAACGAAATTTTTACACGTAATGCACAAAAAATAAGATTTATTGTGAACGTCTTACTTTTGAAGCCAGTTAGTAAACCTAATACAATATATAAGAGAAATGAAATTTACCAAACTCGGATAGAGAGCTGTTATGTAGGCTATATCGTGCTTGGTCAGGGTACAGCGTGTCGAGGACCCTATACGTGGCCCCGTCGACACCCTGGTGATGGTAGACATGGTGCCTGGAAAAGTATGGAGCATAAAATAAATATATGCTGACGGCTGTAATCCCCAATGGAGTAGTCAGAGGCATTTATCGACAATTGATAAAACCTTAAGAAGTTGATACCACACGTAACTCTATTTTTGTGAAACCTTTGAATCTCTTCCAGGATAATTTAGTCTGAATCAATTATGTTCTGTTTATAACTGATGAAGACGTACTTGTCCTTACAGGAGAAGGATTCTAGCCTACTATTTCTACGCTGACCAGATGACTTGGTATAGAGTTTTGATTCGAGTTCCCCTTCTTGTGCGCTATTATATTTTGGTTCTTTCTCTCTTAGACAAGTAAAATAAAGAGTAGTTCCTTCTTTTACAGGAGTTATATCGCATTTTTTTCTTACTCCCTCATTACACAGGATCACATACAGCCATGAAATACATATATGCATGCATCAGTTGTGTGTACCTATGCGCCATAGTGCCTCTCTCCACATCTTCTCCAGTTAGACGAATGTGTATCTTGTCACGGAGCAGTGAGCCGTACGCGAGCGCTTCTCCCATTGCCCAGTCAGCAATGCCTTCCTTTACCTACAAGTTTGAGTAATTGTTTAGAAATGAAGATTAAATGAAGTTCTAGTTTTAGATACCTTTTGTAGGCGTTTGTTAGCAAGCAATGGGTCTGTGAGACTTCATTGCTAGCAACATAAGATATGTTGCTAGCAATGAAGTCTTAGGTTGCCCTTGTCAAAGAACGTCGTCTTTAATTCCTGGTGAATTCGTTACGATGGGCCAACTGACCAAACTTCATTCTTACCTACCATATTTCACAGATAACACACCAAGTCGTCAGTGCCAACAGAGCAGGACTATCCGTACTAATATTATTAATGTGAAAGTGAGTTTGTTTGTTTGTGTGTATAGCATCTTAACGGCTTAATCAATCACTGTGAATTTTGGTATACATGTACCACACGGGATGGAGAAGGAGATAGGCTATATAGGCCTTTTGTCCCGATCAGTAACTATATCCTGGTTATACGGATGAGGTAACGTGTAAAGGCTAGTAAAAAATAATTTATACATAAACATTTAAGGTATGATCAAGATAAATCATTACATAAATCATAAAGAGAATTACCATCTTTTCTCTGTTTGCGAGTATTCTAACAATACCCTTGTGAATCTCGAAAGATGATTCTGGTAATTTACAGAAGTGCTGTGATATAGTGGATATCGTCGCATCGCTTATGCCGGTTTCTTGAACCTAAAATAAACAGTTAAAAATTAATAAGTTATTTATGTAGACTTGCCAAGTGGTCCAGGCATGGACCACCCCTTCCTTTCCCGTGGGTGTAAAAGGCGACTAAGGAAATTTAATGGTCGAAGAACGGACAACAGCTTCCCTCCTAAAACGTCACCAAAGCCTAAATGCAGTTGCCAATCTGTCTGCCAAGCGTGGCAACTACTGGTAAAACCCACCCAAATTAACGGCTAATATGATGATTATTAGATAAACATTTGTTATTACTGTCACAAAAACTACTATTAATAATTGTAAACTACTGAGACCTTGTTAGGATCAGTGGCTTCGAAAAACCCGGTCCAAGGCGTGTCGATCCAGTCCATTATGCTGAGCTTGGTTATCTTTTTGGCTAGTTCAAAGTGCTTGTTCAGTGTGTCCATGTACTCTTTCTCCCATTGTTTAATGTCAGCGTCATTTATTATTCCTTCAGCTTTCAGTTTTGCTCCATAGATTTTATCAACTGAGGAGAGCAAAACTAGATGATCTATTGACGAAATTTATCTAAATAAAATTGAAAAAAACATATTGTTAAAGCGTATTTGTTAAAAAATATTCCCTTTTTCTCTTTTTTGGTGTTATGCCTTCGTACCCTGTAATTTCTCTGTTATATCCCACTCTCCAAACCGAAACACAGTCATGTAAGCTACAGCTGCTTCTTTGCAGAAATACGGATGGGATATTGGTACCCATGTAAAACATGTATGTTATGGTAAAGAAATTCCACAATGTATCAATTAACCGGTCTCCATAGTTCGTATCTTCTTATACATGAACGGCTGTGTGAACATCGGCTCATCTTCCTCGCTGTGGCCGAAGCGGCGGTAGCAGACTAGGTCGAGGACCACGTCCTTCTTGAACTTGCAGCGGTACTCGATGGCCACACGGGCCACGTGGGCCACTGCCTCGGCGTCGTCGGCATTAACATGCAGCACTGGTGCATCTACGCACTTGGCCACATCTGAAAACAAAGCACAGGACATGGTAGCAGACTGCTATCATTAAAGTTGAAAACCAAGCCATGTATCCACAGACTTTAAGAAGGAAGTGATTTCGACTTTATTTTTTTTTTGCGAAAGAAATAAAAATCGTTCATATGCCAATTATGTAACGATTTTGATGTTTTTTTTTCTTAATTGATATAGGTTTCTAACATGCCTTACTGGGAAATGGCTTACGTACCTAAGCAAGTGACCTATCATTTTTAAATGATCGAAACATGAATTTATAAGTACAGAGGTAGGTATTATGACTGGGGTTCTATCTTGGAACTCACCATGGACTGCATTCAATTCCTTGTGAATTCATCACAATGAGTTAACTGAACTAACTTCATCTTTACCCATCATTCCTCACTGATATCCCACCATTGCATACCGGAAGCGCAGGGATGCATTCTGTTTTCATTCCATTAAAGAAAATGTCTCCGAACCTGAGCAGTAGGGTGAGCTCCTAGCGAACCTCGGGTCCGTGGTGTATCCGATTTGATTGTTGCATACGATATGGATGGAACCATGCGTTGTGAAGGAGGGCAAATTGCTCAAGTGCGCCGTCTCGTACACCACGCCCTGTCCCGCGAACGCTGCGTCCCCATGTATTATTATTGCCATTACCTGAAAAAATAAAGTACCTAAGTTAGGTACAATTATTTACATTGTTTTTTCAATAGATGATGATGGAATAGTCACCCCGCCTGTGCTATCGCTACACCAGTGAGTGATGATAAGCGAGGATAAAAAACAGCCTGTTAGCCCGTCGTGATGTATACACTTGGGATTCAGAACTTCGTTTTCTGATACGATGGTTTCCAGGGTCGACCCGGTTGGGTAAATTGCTAGCAATAGGGCCCGTTATTAACAATCCCTTCCCCTTCCCCCCCAACTATTGACATTATAATAATATTAAAGTAATTAAAATTAAATATTTTAACACCTTAGCCCTTAGTAATGGCAGCGCATAAGGGATACGATGGGCGTTACAGCGCGTTCTGTGATGCCGTTCATGCTTATAGGTGAACGTTACTTATCTTCTATAAGGTGAGTCGTAAGCTTGTTTGCTATTCCAAGATATTCAAGTTTTATTATTATTATAACTGTTGTTAACTATCCACTGCTGTATGATAACAATATTCAACACGAGTAAAGTATCATGACGTATTTGAAGACATTTTTTACGATTAATAAGATCGATTAATAAATACGATCAATTAAATAAAACGACTCGGAGTGGATGTTTGAATGATTGGATGTTTGTTTTAAATCTCAATTGCTTAAACGGCTTAAAGGATTTGAATGAAATTTGGTACATAAGTAGGTTATATTCTAATGTAAAGGCAAAACTGCGGGAAATAGCGAGTATTATAATTGTCATAATCACGGGTTACAGGTACAGCTACTTCCCTGCGGGATGTGCTAATATACCGGCGCATCCCCCGAGTGGTAGGGTGAGCACGCCAGCCACCCTATCTTGAGAGAGGAGACTTGCTTTTACCATCAGGGGGCGGGTCGCTGCCGTCGGAGATGATGAGTGCGAAAGCGAACCCTCGAGGAGCCATATGTCGCGGAGACATCCGCGACATATGGCTCCTCGAGGGTATATCGTCTGATTTTTAGTGGGTACACTACCACCTTACGGGGGGGATTCCCACAGTACCCATTCACCTCCCACAAGGTGTATGGGTCTGCATAAAGCATTTTCCAAATGTTAAAAAAAAAAGGTACAGCTACTTGTATATATACATACAAACCTTATCACCATTACTGTCTCCTTTCCAATGCTGCTCTGCTCTCGCCTTGCCGACCACCACAGGAGACACCACCTCCAAGTGCGAGGGGTTGGCGCTCATAGACACTTTAATGTACTTGTTGGTCTGACGTATGAACCGGTGGATATACGTGCCTAGATGGTATTTGATATCGCCTGAACCCTGCATGTAAAGGAGATGTAACTAAGTCTACAAATACATTAGTGTCCCACGTTGGGCGCCAATGTAATAACATTTCTTTTATGCATGAAATAAGAGTTGGTGTGCTTATATTAGATAGATAGATAGATAAACACTTTATTTGAGCCATTTATGACACACGATAATTTATACAATCAGATTATTTAATTTTTTTTTTTTAAATATAAAACAAAAGATGTCTTCTTTTGATGAAAGATGTTGTCAATGTCCTCTACCCAAAGGTTGTCTGGAAGAGATTGTTTAGCGATAAGGCCGCCTTTTGTATCACTTCTCATTAATATTTACTGCATTTGTTATTTTTCTTTTAACTTGGTGCAATAAAGTGTAAATAAATAAAATGAAATATGGAAATATGTTTTAAACAAGTGTGTCGCATTTTACATTTTGTGGTTCAGAAATATTATTATATACCTACTTTTATTTTGTATCATTATAATAGAAATATAAATTACTTTCTTCAATTTGATCAACTACCCGCGAAAAGAGATTTTTGAGTAAATCATCATTTCAGTCTGCAGATCCACTGCTAACTATGGATCTCTTTCTAATGCTGTCTTCAGTTTATACAGAAGAGGAGTATTTCAGGCTCTGTCAAACTATACGTAGACCTAATTCTATATGCCACCCTTACAGTCGTTAACTCGGGAAATATGAACATATCATTCTAACTTCATCTGACAGAATTTAAGGATTATTTTTTCGGTAAATAGATTATTCTAACCGGCTCTTTGGGCTCCATCGGTTTGAACTGAGCAAAAATATCCGTCAATTGTTTCCGACACACGTTCACTAGCATATTCAAACGACCTGCAAAAAACTAACGTTTTCAGGTACCTAATAACGTTATAAAATTTGTTCTTAAACATACAGCTAGAAATGACACTCAAGCTGATGGTTTGCCTAATAACAATGTTAACCGTCTAACCGTTGCCTATAGGCTTAAGGAACACCTTGAATACCGTAATAGGCACACTTCCTCCCCCCACCCCCCACCAACCCTTCCGAAATACGCCAGTCATAATATCAGCCGATACAAACATAGGTCTCCCCAATAAGGAAGGTTTTGCTAGTAGTTGCCACGCTTGGCAACTTGGGTTGGGAACCGCAGTTAGCCTTTTGGTGATGTTTTAATATGGATGCTTCTGCTTATCCCTTTAATATTGAGTTCCCTTAGTCGCCTCTTACGACATCTACGGGAAAAGAAATGATGACAACTCTATAAGCGTGCCTTATGGATATAGATTTTGAAGCAGGAGGTCTAGCAGGTATACCTCGGGGGGGGGGAGGGATTGTTAACAATGGAGTTTGACAGCCCCATTGCTAGCAATATGCCTTATTAGGTCGACCTCCACGTGGTTCCCCCTGGAAAACATCGTGAACAATTCTTGTTGAATTCGTCACGATGGGCTAACTGACCTACTTCATCCTCATCTATCATCCTTCACTGGTGCCCCGCCGGTGTATACCGATGGCGCGGGTGGAGCTATCATTCCATTATCATCTATTTAAAAAAAAAGCAGGTATACCTCTATGTTGCATTGCTATCACTATAGACTCCACACCCAACCTGGAGCTACTGTCGACAATTTCCTCCAGCATGACGATCATGCTCTCGCCACCTTCTAGACCGAACCTTTTCTCCGCCGGCCACTTGGTCGCGAAATATTTCTCCAAGCTACAACAGTCATTGTTAAACACAATAATGTTTCGATTGTTTTGTTTATTTATTTATTCATAAGTACAAATATGTGTACATGGCGGACTTAATGCTAAAAGCATTCTCTCCCAGTCAACCATAGGCAAGTGTCAGAATACTCGAATGCGGTACTACTAATTATTGATATACATACATACTAAAATTACATATATTAAACGAATAAATATATATGAATAACAAATATAGAAAGAAAGAAAGAAGAAAGAAAACATTTATTGACAACAACAAAAAGTTACATACATTATGAATTAAAAAAAAAAAACTTTACATTTATTATTGCCAACATGGTCACCACTCAGCATGTGCTGCAGCAATTTAATTGCTACAGCGCTGATATTCTGTGGTGCCCATACGTGACATTACGAACGACGACAGCAAACATACGCATATATATATATATATATATATATATACACATATACATACATACACATACACACACACACACACACACATACATATACATACATACATACACTTAACTGACAAGATATACCCAAATAGATATGTACAACAATAATACAATAACAATACAACAACACTATATTATACAATGAAGCAGCAATGTTATGCAATCACAAGGAGTTACATGCTTTTTGTAGATTTAAATAATAGTTTTTAGCATATTTTTTAAAAGTATAAGTTATTTTTAAATTTCGTATGGGAGGCGGGAGGTCATTCCAGATCTTGGAAGCTGCATATTTGAACCCTCTCTGAAAACTTGCAGTTCTATGTCGTGGTACCTTTAAACGTATAGAAGCTACTCTTAAATTATATATACTATGCTCTTGCGCCCACGATAATTTATCGTAAAGGTATTGAGGTTTACCTGTATTTATTATATTAAACACTAAACATGCAAGATGCAACTTCCTACGTGAAAACATTTTCATGATACCGGCATTGTTTAAGAAAGGAGTAACGTGATGGCGCGGAGGAATGTGATAGCAAAACCGGGCACATGCATTTTGCACTCTTTGGATCAGTCGTTCAGTTCTAGACAACAAGCAGGGGCCATACACTACATCACCATAGTTTAATTTGGATAAGACAAGAGCCTCACACAACTTTTCCCTAGTAGACACAGTTAGATATTTCCGAAATCGATATAGCAACTTAAGACGATAGAAACAGACTTTCACCGTTTGCATAATATATGTTTCAAAACGAAGATGAGGATCAATGACTAATCCTAAATTACGTGCTTCTTTTAATTGATCAATAGGTTTATTATTGATTTTAATACATGGTTTATGTCTTTCTATTTCAGCTATCAACTTTTTTGTCCCAACAACCACAAACTTACATTTATTAGGATTAAGCATCAAACAATTTTTATCGGACAAACTGGAGATACGATCCAAATTTTCATTTAGTTTTTTAATGGCATATGCTATGTTAAAGGGGTCAAAATGAATATAAATCTGGAAGTCGTCCGCGTACATTTGGTACTCACAGCCTTTAATACAATTAATAATATCAAAACAATACAAAGTAAATAAAAGTGGACCCAATATTGACCCCTGGGGTACTCCTCTAGTTACATATTTAGATTCTGAGTAACATTTTGTACCATCCATTCTTTGAGTTTCTACAATTTGAGATCTAAGAGTAAGAAAACTTCGAAACCATTCTATTGTTTTAGAATCTAATCCAAGGAACGACAATTTTGTAATAAGTAGATTTACTCGTAAATTTATGGAATCAAATGCTCGTGTATAATCAAGTAAAACCAAGATCGTACCCTTTCCCTGATCTTGAGCTGCGAGAATGCTGTCAGTAACGTCTAATAGAGCTGTAGATGTACTAAATCCAGGGCGAAATCCTGATTGTCTGGGGGGTAATAATCTATTAGCCTCTATATACCGATATAGCTGTTTATGTACTACTCTTTCTAAAATTTTAGATAGACAGGGTAGTAAATTTATAGGGCGAAGGTCCCCAATACTAAGAGGAATCTGTATTTTAGGAATAGGTTTTATAATTGCTGTTTTCCAAACTTCTGGAAAAGTTGAAGTTAAAATAGATTTGTTTATTATGATTGTAATAATATCCAATGTATACGGCAGAGTTAAATTTATCATTTTTAAACTAATTTGATCTATTCCTTCCGCTTGGGAATTTAATGAATTTAAAATACTAGCTACTTGGTGTTCATCTACAGTTGTTAAAGTAAATGCATTTGTAATGGTTTTATTAAATTCATAGTATGTTAAAGCCGATATTGTAACCTGATTATTACCTGGAATATTTATAAAATGTGCATTTAACGCATCAGGATTATCACAGAAGTCTGACAGTTCTGTTGATCTTGTTTTCATCAATACAGAATTTCTCAAATTATTCCATAACGTTTTCGGTGTTCTTAGACATAAGTTTATATTATTTTCAAAGTAAGCTTTTTTTTCTGCTTCTATCGCCAAAGCTACCGTTTGTTTCATGTCTTTATAGTGTAACCTATGTGAGTTACATCCTGAAGCTTTATACCTTTTATGACTTTTATTTCTAAGATGTATCATTTCTCTTATAGTATCAGTTAACCATGGTTTGGGGCAATCCTTAATACATATATATTTTTTAGGTGCATGTAGATCAAATAAATTAGTAATACAGGCATTGAAGGTGTTTACCATTTCATTTATATCATCTAACTTACGAAAATGACTCCAATCTATACTTTTGAGATCTTTGTAGAAATAGTTAATCAAAATATCATTGAAAGGCCTGATTTTAAGTAACTTTGGAATTATTTTGTCTCTTTTAAGATCTAGCTGTAATGTTATAAAACTATGGCTGCCCAGCTCAGGTATATGATTGACACTTACTTGTTTTACTCTTGTGTTTGTGCATGCTATATCAATAAGAGTCTCACTATGTTTGGTAAAATGTGTAGGCTCTTTTATATGTTGTGTCAAATCAGTATAATCTAGAAATTCTATCAATGATTTGCTCTTACTATCTTTAAGATTTAACAGGTTGACGTTAAAATCGCCTAGTAATACCATATGATCATAGCAAGAGAAAAAAGCACATGATTCCGTCAATGCGTCCAAGAATACATTAACATCAAGCCACGGAGGTCTGTAAGCAGTGCCTATCACTATGCTAATGCCATTCAAGTGCAAACTAAGCCACATTTGTTCGATTTCTGAAATTGGATTTAGACATGTTTTGACACGTAAGCCTCGTTTCACATAAAAACCTACGCCACCGCCTCTTCCACTACGTATAGTTGACGGACGAGGAGTATGTCTTAAAGTATATCCAGGTACAACCGGAGCCCTACCCTCTTCTCCCTGTTTTAACCATGTCTCATTTATTGCAATAATATCTGGGGCCAGCTGGTTAATAGTTACAATAAACTCATCGTGCCGAGTACTTAAAGAACCTGCATTAAACAAACCCAATTTAAGAAATTTTTTAGTGAATTTTACTGTAAATAAATTCCACAAGAGAGATACAACATTCAGAACCACAAAGACGTATAAGATATATTATATGCGGATGTAAAGTTATCATTTTAAGTGCCAATATATACGACTTTTTACCGTAGGTGATAACAAAGAATTTTAGTATAATATACCAGTACATCATATTATAGAAAGTTCGTAAATATTGGTATTTATATTTATACATTAAATAACATAAGTTGCTACTCCACAATACCTTATGGCTAAAGTTGCTTGACGTATTATGTATTTTATTCGAATCATCAACCACCAATTTATGATTTATCATGTAGTAATTATTAATATTCATAATTTTAAAGTTATGAAGTTTCAGTTTAATAAGCACATACAATAGTGGTGATAAAAAAATTTTCCTTCTATTCTGTTCTATAGACCACTTATTTTTAAAATTACAAACTCCTGTCATGTATGTATAGTTCTTAACAAATTCATAAATAATCAAATACTTATTCAAGTAAAAATCACAATATCTATATACTACAGTTATTCTGCTTCGTTGCAAATAAAGTTTCAAATTGATTATTAAATCACTAAAATAAAATTTTAGCTTATTTTTTTGCATTACACCCAAAAGAACTCTTTTCATCTTTGTCAGTCAATCTGTAATTGAACCAAATATTCGATCAACATCAGCATCAGTACGGAACTGAAACACCTGTTGTCCGTCTGCCTTCCTAGCGAAAATGCGACCTCTCTTTGTCCAACAGTATCTCCACTTGATCTTGCGACATTCTTCACGAACACGAACGAAGAGTTGATGGTTTCTCCGCGTAAGGCGTTCATTCAGGTAAACGCGCCCGCCCCCTGCGGCGGTTAGTGAGCGGCGCACGCGGGCTGCCCGCAGCAACTCGTCTCGTATGCCATGCCGTGCCAGTCGCACGATCACTCGCCGCGGACGCCCATCTGCCCCGCGAGGCGACACTCCCACGCGCTCCGCGAACACCACGTCTCGCTTGTCCAAGGACACTCCCAGCCGGTCGGCCAGCACGCAGACCTGGTGAAACGTGCTCTCGCCTTTTTCTTCAGGAAGTTGTCCAATCTCAAGGTCCGAAAGCATAGCATCCTGATCACGATCATTCAACTCAGCCTTCAGAGTACAGACCAACTTCTCAAGTGCAGTCACTTTCTCTCCTCCGCCGTTAATCATTTCGACTCTATTTTGTTCTATGGTCTCAAGTCGCCGCTCAATATTGTCCATGCGAGCCGTGATGCCTGAAATGGACTCGCGGAACTCAGCCAACTCTTTACGTAATTCTCGCATTTCAGTCATCCACTCAACAATCTCAAGACGGAAATCGGAGGTGCTAGGAAAATTACTAGACACCTCCGTTCCCTTTGACTTTTTTGACTGTATCGTACCAGTCGTTTCTAACGATTGGCTAGCTGCATATTCACCAGAACATTTCTCCATTTTTTTACAATCCATGCAGACCCAGTTCTTAGTAATTTTGCCTTATTCTGATATTCCCACACAGGAGCGATGATATTTTGTACTGCATAAATTACAAGTAGCGGCACCTGTCGGTAACAAGTTTTTTTCGCATGTCTTGCAAAGTAACATAATAGTTTTACTTTGATGGCTATTAATATCAATAAAATCAAAACCAATACAAAGTTGAGACGCTAGATGATGCACTTTGTCACTTTAATAGAACACAATAATTGAATTGGTCATAAATTTCTTCATTTACAGATTTTATCGATTTTATTTCACTTGAGGGTAGATTTTTTGTCATTACACTGTTTTGTTTTTGTTCTGATGATATTAGCTATAACGTTATCACATTAAGTCCATACTATATACTACACGGCTGTAAGCACTTTAAATCTTAAGATATATCAATTATTGGACATAAGTAAATGGTCTGTATATTTTTAAAACTACAAAATTTAACAACCACTTAGTTCGTGTCGTCGTCCGTGACGCAACCCCACTATAATATAGTATATATCATATACTTACACATATATGATATATACTATATTATACACGAAATTGAGAATAATATAAAGTACTTACAGCTCGGATAAAGTAAAAAAGTGAGCGTGAATGTTTTTTTTTTAAAGACGGTTTAGTCGGTAGTCTCTTAATGGCATCAGGAAGCGCGTTCCAGAGTCGTAAAGAATGTAGGAGAATATATATAAAAAATGTTTTGTTTATATATATACAAACAAAACAATAGGTATATATACCTATATACTCAAAAGGTTTTTTTAAATGTGTATCAGTTCATTGCTAATAATATACCCTGTCAAGTCGATATCCACATGGCCCCCCATTAATGATACCATCATGCTAAATTTCAGGTGTATTCATCAACATTGTCTAACTGACCTGCCTTTTCATTCTCACCTATTATGCCTTACTGGTGCCCCGCCAGCATATCCTGTTAGCGCAAGCGGGGTTACCATTTCATTATCAACCATTAAAAAAAGTATTGGCTATCTTTACTCGATGAGTTGGTAGTAATCAACAGACACTTTGTACAAAAGTCGTTTGCTTGGGTACCGCTGTCCTATTCGTGTTTCAACCGTAAAGCAGTTGTTTACATGGCTGTGTTTCGGTTTGAAGGGAGCGATATGGCGTGAATTTACAGGGTACATAGGAATAACACCTGAGTCCTCAGGAATGGCAATGCATGGGGGATATCATGGGCATAACAGTATACTTTGTTAAGTCCATAGTACTGCTCATGTGTATATGCGACGGTTACCACTTTCCATTAGGTGGGCCGTCAGTTTGTTTGCCATTCTAAGTTGTATAAAAAAAAAATCATAATTGATATAAAAAAAAACCTTACAACACGGCTTTGGTGAGACGGCGCATTATGAGCCGTTTCTCTTCATTCGTCTTGTCGAAAGCGCCAGGCTTCTCGATGCGTTCTCTAATGAACTGCAGACTATCTATGTCATACACGTGCATGTACTCTACGCCTATAGAACCGCAGTACACTCTCTCCAGGCGATGTATGATCTCTCTGTTCAAGTTAAACAAAGATCCCTATAGATTTTTAAATTAACATTACGCACTATACACATTTACTAAACTATTTATTTCATCATCATCATCATCATCATTTTAGCTGTTAACTGTCCACTGCTGAATGTACAATACAACCCCTATAGTTTTTTTTTTTAATGGGTGATAATGGAATGGTAATCCCACCCGCGCTAACGGTATACACCGGCGGGGCGCCAGTAAAGGATAATAGGTGAGGATGAAGCAGGTCAGTTAGCCCATCGTGATAAATTCAGCAAGAATTGTTCACTATGGTTTCCAGGGGGAACCACGTGGAGGTCGACCTAATGGGGCATATTGCTAGCAATGGGGCTGTCAAACTCCATTGCTAACAATCCCTTTCCCCCACCCCTATAGTGGAGGTCTTGCCAGTAATTGCCACGGTTGGCATAAGGGTTGGCAACTGCAGTTAGGGACGTTGCTGCTTATCCCGCCACTATTAAGTTCCCTTAATTTCCTCTTACGCCATTAATGAGAAAGTAATGGGTGACCTATGTCATGTCAGGAAGATCAAAGGCCCTCAGAGAAGGAGGCCTATGTTCAATAGTGGACAATTAACGGCTGATAGGATAGTATAGGTACTAGTATAGTATTATATTAACTGTGGTATAGGAATAATGCGGCGATTAAGTTTAACCGACCTGAGCGTTAGAGCTGTCTCATTTCCACCAAGAAAGGTTCTGTCCGGCAGTTCGAATACCATGTCCATATGTTTTTCACCTGTAACATAGTGATCAAACTTACTTCTGTAACACATAAATTAAGTCATTACATTTTATTTTTTAAACTTATGTTCTTTTTTAACCACATATATATAATTTATAACAGAAAATCTTATAAATTGTAGGTGTCGTTTACGACAATTGTTTCGACGTCATCGGCAAGTCTTCTTCAGGGTCCGTACGTCCCTTACGTCAGAACGTCTCGTCTCGCACTGCGTGCTACAACTTGCAGAGCCCGCAAAAACGAGAAACAACATAGCAAGTTCATAAAATTTTCCGTGATATATATAGAAAAATACATATAAAAACATATGGCTGAAATGATGTTGATGCTGATACATACATATATATATATATATATATATATATATATATATATATATATATATATATATATATATATATATATATATATATATATATATATATAAACTATTCGTACTCATATCAATTATATTTTTCGGCAATGCCTACTTGTATATTTCAAAACTATTTACTATTAAATCACAGTGCTAAATGAGATTACTGGAAAATGAACAAATAAAATATAGTTGGTACATACATAGAATAGTTCCCAGCTCCCTCGCAACAATCTGACATTCCACGCCCTTCACATTCATGTCCCGATTTTTGTTCTTCAACAAAAACCTGGCACCTTGTGTCAAGCCCAGGGGATCGGTCTTTGCAAGTAGGTGGCCACGACACTATATGAAGAATCATTTTATTTATTTATTCATTTAGAAATAGAAATATGTGTACATGGGGACTTAATGCTAAAAAAAGACGCTATAGTCTCTCCCAGTCAACCATTTTTCTGTAGGTGTGTTAGAATACTAATGCGAAACTAATTATTGATATACAAACATTTCTAAAATTACATATATAAACGAATAAATATATATAAATAACAAATATACTTACACATATATGACATATACTTTATTATACACGAAAGTAAAGTAAAGACAAGTAATGGGTAAAAAAAGACGCTATAGTCTTGGCATAGCTCTTTTTTTCTGTGGGTGTCGTAAGAGGCGACTAAGGAAACTAATAGTAAAAAAATGAATAGCAGCACCCCTGTTCAAACATTTCTAAAGCATTACTGCGATTGCCATTCAGCTTGCCAAGCGTGGCAACTACTGGAAAAACCTCCTAAGGAAGGCTTATGTTCATCAGTGGACAGTAAAAGGCTGATATGATGATAATAATGATGGGTAATCAATCTGTATAAAAACTAAGCGTACCACTTAATAAATTACGTTGGAACGAATAACGGCAAGGTCAGTTGATATTCTACCTGCTTTGAAATCTTTTTAATCGCACAATAGTAATAAACTATTAGTTTCTACACACTGTGATGTGACGACATCTACTCATTGTTTGCAAAACTTTTTCCGTGCTAAATATAAAAAAAAAATCTATGGTATTTTTGTCAATTCTTTTATTTACAATTGAATTGATATGTAGGTACTTACATGCGTATGGGATTACTAACTAACTAAGGTAACATTGAGTATATGATAGGTGTTTACGTTTTATTATTTAAAAATTTTATTATTTTTTTTATATTACTGAAATGGCAAACAAGCATACGGCCCACCTGATGATAAACGGTTGCCATAGCCTATGGACGCCTACGATACCAATTATATATAGAATTTGAAATTTAGACATCTCAATCTTCATCATTTACTATGAAACCTGGTCATCACAATAAAATTTAGTTTATTGTTGCATCGACTTAAAAACGTTATACAAAATTATAACCTGATAACTTCTTATTAAATTTTGAACTGCTAAATGTAGCTTGATTTTTTCTCTTTCGGCTTCTTTATCCTTCGCAGATGATTTTGAATTTTCTTTAAAAGCTATAGGATATAAAATATTTTTTAATAATAATTAAAACAAGACATATTTATTATGGCTAATATAAAGCTGTAATGTAATCTGTAAAGCTATAAAATATGTATATATATAATAAATAATAATTAGAAATTATTTTAGGCCTATGTACTTATGAATGTAGTATTGTATTTTTGTGGAAATAATGTTAAATTACTATGTTTATTTTATACAATCAGAGGGCCTAACATGAAATGTTTTCCGAAATTTCGGAGTCAAACGAAATACAAATTTGATGTTAAAATTACATAATACATATCGTTTGGAAATATTAAAAATGTTAAAATATCTTTCCTTTGGACTTTTATAATAGGGTGTATGACGAACGAAATGTTAAATTCCATTTATTGGACCGATTTTGGTATAAAACAAAAACACGATATTGAGTCCGAAATTTCGGAATTTCATTTCATGATAAATCCGCTGGTTTTATTAATATTCATTAGGTATTTTAGAAATTATATACTAAAAACGCCTGCAATACACTTCACCTATAGGCGAACGTACTTACGTATAGACGTCGGACTAAACTCATTTTCGAATTCTTCTATTTTCAGCGTGGGTCCGTTGATACTATCATAAAATTCGTCCCATGTCTGCAAAAATGTTTGAAAAATTATTTTTTTTATGTAAATAACGTAAACTGTACTAAAACTTAAAAAATTTTATACAATTTATCAGAGGAAGACTTTGTATAAAAGTCGACTGCTGGGGTACCTCTGTCCCATTCGTGTTTTAACCGTAAAGCAGTTGTGTTTGCATAATCAATTTCGCCGAAAGGGGGGGATATGGCATATTTTACAGTACAGAGGAATAACACCTGAGTCCTAAAATGGCAACTTAATTGGCGTGAGCAGGGGTCATATTCACACATTACGACTTTTATTTTCGATTTCATTCTTATTCCATTATCTCAAAAAGAGAGTTTTTTTTATGCAACTTAGAACGGTAGACAAACTGACGGCGCTCTTGATGGAAAAAATCGAGGTAATTACGAATATATTTGTTTAAATACTAACTTTTAGGGTCGGCACCCCGCGCAGGGTTACAGGCATCCATATGCTACGGTAATCTTGTTTACCATCAGACGGGCCGTAGTATTATGATAAAAAGCTAACTCAATGATAATCAAATGGTCACAAGTCTTCTTAAAGAGCATATTGTAATATAACAGAACTCAATTTGTGGCAAACGTCAATAGCTGTCACTTAAACATGCATTGAGCCTAATACCATTGATAGGGGAAGGGGGAAGGGATTGTTAGTAATGCGAACCACTAGTCCTATTGCTAGCAATATTCCTTGTCAGGTCGACCTCCACGTGATCCCCCTGGAAACCATCGTGTTGAATTCCAGATATATTCATCACGGTGGGCTAACTGACCTGCCTATTCAACCTCACCTATCATCCCTCACTGGTGCTCCGCCAGCGTAAACCAATAGCGCAACCATTAAAAAAATACCATAGACAACATATATGGTAGTACGATGAGGAAGAAAGGTTCTTGAGTGTTGACCACGTACGAGAGAGTAGTGTAAGACCACCTTCCGTACCTCATTAAATGGAATAATAACCTCAAATGCATTGTAGGAAGTCAATGGTGCAGGTGGCTCAAAACCGTTCCTTATGGTAGTCTATGGGAGAGGCCTAGGTTCGGCAGTGTATGGATAATATTTATTTATTTACACAAACACTAAACAAACTTTTCGTTTAAATAATATCATTAATTAAATACAATCGCTCTTTAAGAAAAATAATATAAATTATACATATTACATATAACAAAACAACGTAATAATGAAGATTATACAATTATATAAAAACAATACTATTTCACTTTGAATTTAGAATAAAAAGAAAAACATATAAAAAACAAAATGAATGTAGCAGTGTTTGTGCAAAGGACCTAACTCAGCATATGTCGCAGTTTCAAATCTGAAGCTACGACACTGATTTTCAATAGGCCCTAAATACGTAACTCACGGACACATGTGTGCAAGACATGTTATGTATAAATATATAAGAATAATACATAAAACAGTGATACATATATATAAGATAATAGCTGATATGATGATAATGATACTAGTACATTGGAGTAGCTTACCGAATCAATTGCTCCTTTAGTTTTCGCCCAGTCCAAATACTGCGCTTCAAGGAAATTCGCGTTTGCTCCACTCAGGAACGAATCTGCGTTCGATGAGTATTTCGACTGCAGCCTTGATCCGTGCTAAAGGCAACAAAGGAAGAACGTACGCTACCTCTATACAAATAAAATGTATTTTTTTATACAGTTTAGAATGGCAAACAAGTTGACGGCCCACCTGATGGAGAATGATAACCGTCGCCTATAGACATGGACGGTATCATGGACATAACAGAGTATATTGCGTCGCCCATGATACCCTTCAAGCGTGGGCAGAAAGGAATAGTTAGTGATGAGATCTAATAGGCCCATTACTAACAATATACCCTAACAGGTCGACCTCCATGCGGTTTTTTTTTGGAAACCATCGTGGTTAATTGTAGATGAATTCACCACGACGGACCAACTGATCTGTTTTATCCTCACCTATTATCCCTCACTAGTGCCCCGCCAGCGTATACCGATATCACAGGCGGGGTATATACTATTCTATTTTTCAATCTTAAAAAACCATTCTAGTGTTGCCATTTCTGAGAACTAACTGAACTGAGAATGTTACGCTCCAGGCAAAAGTTATAGGGTTGTGGAACCAATAAATAAACACTTAAGTGATAATAGTTTAGCCACAGATAATATAATACTATACTAGTTAGCTGATCTTATAACCAAATAAAAGATAAGGTTTTATTTTCAATTATCATTCCTCACTGTTTACCAGTTGTACCAGAGGGAGACTTTGTACAAAAGTCGATTGCTTGGGTATCTCTGTCCCATTCGTGTTTCTATCGTGAAGCAGTTGTGTTTGCATGGCTGTTTCGGTTTGAAGGGTGGGATATGGCGTGAATTTACAGGGTACAGAGGAATAATATCTGAGTCCTCAGGAACGGCAATGCATGGGGGGTATCATGGGCGAAACAGTATACTCTGTTATGTCCATGGTACTGCTCGTGTCTATAGGCGACGGTTATCACTTTCCATCAGGTGGGCGGTCAGTTTGATTGCCATTCTAAGTTGTATAAAAAAAAAGACCCATCGTAAACCAATAACACAGGCGGTAACCCTGCTTACATTATTTATTCATTCAGTTTTCAACCGACTTAAAAAAAAGTTCTTAAATCGTTTATTTTTTTATGGAGGATGAAGGAGATGGATGAGGAGTTATGAGGTAGCAAATATCTTATAACTCCGTCAGTTCTAAACCGTTTTGGAAGATTTTTTTATTATTTGAAAGGATATACTTACAGATTGGTTCCTTAGAAAATTTATCAAAATTTATTTAGTAGTTTAGTTTTTAAATAAAAAAAAAAAACTGGTTTTGTCACTATGGAAGTCTATTTATTTATGGTTGGGTACAATCTTAATTTTGTCTAATAGTGAAATAAAATACCATAAATTAGATTTTTTAATATACGTAACTAGATTGTAACATGAAACGTGGTATTTATTATTTGTAAATAAATTCCTACAGTAGAAATTCTTGCGTCATTTCACCATCTGGAAAACTAATGTTATCAGCCAAAGACTAGAAAAAAAACTCTATTATCAATTACTTACTGTGTTGTAAAATGTAAAAAAAAAAGTTATATGTTAGTGAACAAGATAAGTACTAAGTGGTACCTAGTATGCGTATATTTTCACGTATTCTAATAAAATGTTAACTTAAAAGCCACTATTTAAATTACAATAAGAATTTTAAAAATGGAACCTGTCTATTTGTTACTCATTACCTATTCATTGTGACTAGATTAATTACAATTGTAAAATTTACACTGAAAATAATTGAATTTTTATATGTAAACAAAAAACTTACTTCATTTGTGACAAAACTATTTATTTTAATTTAAAAATTAAACTATGGAATCCATTTTGATAAAATTTCTATTGGGTCAGTATGTAAGTATGTCCTTTCAGATAAAAAAGAATTTTCTAAATAAGTTATGAGGTTGATGGAGTTATGAGATATGAGGAGTTATAAGGTAACAAACATAAAAAAATACACACCGAATTGAGAACCTTTTTCTTTTTAAAATCGCTTGAAAAACAACCTAGATACCTCATCTGGATTGCATTCTGTTTCAGTTTTTTTTTTTTTTATAATGGAATGGAATTCCGTTTCAGTTTTAAAGTTAAGACATTTTTTGCAATATAAAAATCAAGTAATAGCTACGATCCAAGAGTACACCTATAATTAGTTATAAGGGCCATCAAGCAGGCTGTATGCTTCATCGATTGATAACGTCATTGTATAAACTGTAGATTTATTTCTGATACTGTACAATTAATTAAGTAGATATTATGAGGGAATAGATGAATAAACTTACCATATTAGGACACCGTACTGGAAAATACTTTCGGGATAATTTCCAAATAATATAGGGTCGAGAGAGAGCCATGGTAGAAGCACTTTGACAGATCAACTTTTAAGATTACAGCGTTTGGTTGATATTGTAATTAATATAAATACTATTGAAAAAAAAAATATTAATCTCATATGATTTTTGATTTTTATAATAAAATTTCACCATTAAATATTGTTCTTTAAAAATTTTACATTTAGAATGTTTCTCATAAACTGATAGACAAGTAAAGAGAAACATGTTAAGCTTATTTAATTTATTGTAAAGAGGTCTAATAAATATTTAGATAATAAAATTAAAGACCCTTTCAATTCTAGCTAAATGTACTGACTGAGAATCCCATTGCTAGCAATATACCCAACCAGGTCGACCTCCTCGCGGTTCCCCCTGGAAACTATCATGGTTAATTCCTGATGAATTCATCATGATGGGCTAACTGGCCTGTTTTCATTCTCATCTATCACCCTTCACTGGTGCTCCGCCAGCGTATCCCGTTAGCGCAGGCGGGGTTACCATACCATTTTCACCCATCAAAAAAAAAAAAAAAACTAGCTAAGTGTAGTGTAGGTATATTTTATTTTTACCCGATTTGACGAGATAAGAAGTGTAATGTGATATTTTTCATGGAACAGAAGTTCTAATAAATATTGTTATTATATCAGTCGTTAACAGTCCACTGTTGAACATAAGGGGGATATTGCATGTAGTTGCCACACTTGGCAACCGCAGTTAGGCTTTGAGTGACGCTGCTGCCCATTCATGCCGACCATTTAGTTCCTTGATTCGCCTCTTACGACACCCAAGGGAAAAGAAGAGGTGGACCTTTTATGCCTATATATTAATCTGCAAATATGCCACAGAGTAAGTAATCACTGCTTTATATAAATATGCTATTAATAATTCTTGAGCTATTTTTTTTTTTTTATTATGGCAAAGGGCTAGTGTTTATTCATACTTATTAGTAGCTCGTACATTGCTGTTATAGCAATAAAAATAGGGTGGCAATGAATTTAGTGAAAATAATAGGACAAAATAATAATATAAAATATTTATTGTTCTGGAATTATTCACAAATTTTTGTCACATCACTTTATTTATTTGGCAAATTTAACAATTCAATTCATTTTACAATGGGTAAAATCAAGGTTTTAACCTGAAGGTTGCCTTGAAACAATTGCTTTCAGCAAAAAGGCTGCTTTTTCCACACAGAAAAATTGTCTTTTATAAAATTGTTCATATTAATATAAACGTATACATTTAGTGCAAATAAATATTCTTTCAGCCTCTCTCATTCTCTACATTTTATTATGAAGAATATAGAAACATAATTTGTACATTTTGATAATATATCAACATTAGATTTACAAAAATATGTAAGTACTCATACATGTCATTTCGAATATTTCATTGGTATTTATTAGGATTAATTTTAACATTTGAACTTAGAACTTTTTTCTAACAATAAAATTTTCAAAAAAAAAAATAATAATATCATGATTTACAATATTATCATTTAATACAATAATTATAATTAATATAAACATTCATTCATTCTCAATATACTGTATACAATAATACAAATTCATTGGAATGAAAAATGTAAACAATTTTTTACTATGAAAAATATTATTTTTCGTCTTTTTATAATAATATACACAAGTTAAACTTTTTGTTGATAAAATAAAGAAATTACAAGCGTTCAAGTTTTTAAAGTATTCATAAAGTAATTTAAGGCCTCTCTCTGGCATATAATTCTTTTTGGCAACATTGTAAGAAATCCACTCAGATAAAGTGCATTTCTGTTATGTCTGCTGTAGAAAAGTTTAAATGGACATAAATTAATTTCGATTGTAACTCATTAATTGCATACAAATTAAAAAAACTTTCTGCTAGTAGCTAGTAGGCTAATAGGCTGTAAAATAATGAAGCAAAATAGGTATACAAGATACCTACAAATAAATGAATAATAATATCACAAGAAGCACTTACGTGGTAATTGTACATATTCTAATTCAGAAATACATGTAAATTAAATTCGCATGATTAATACCAGGTGATATCACTATACTATAGACTATTTTAGTCTTGGAACATGGAAGGAAGTCTATCACAGTCAATGCTCTAATTGGTAGTAAATTTAAATTTAAAACAGGTAGTTTAAATTTTCTCAAATCACTCATTTGATCTCACATTGGCTGCTAATGACGGATGGTTTCACTGATAGAACATTTCTTTCAAAAGATACTATTTTGATTTTATTTTTTAATGTCATGCTGTTATAGAATACTGATATAGAACGATATTTTGGCATTAAGCCCGCATTTTGTACCACATTTTTTTGGTCAATAAAGTTCTTCTCTTCTTTTCGTTAATGGCAATCCGTCGCTTGGTCAATAAAGTTATTTAAATAAATACTCAAATGGTAGTAGCCAATGTGCGGTCAACTTTGATAGTATATCATAAGGGTTACATAGACGAGGCTCAAATTTTTGTGTACATTTTTGTACATTAGAATATAACATATAGAATTACATGTTATACCACTCATGTATCAATGTAAGTACGCAGGTAACATAAAGAAAAACGTTATCTTTTTCATAAAAAATAACCTTCGTCAACGTGTCTTTGTCGTATATTTTCTTGATTCAGAATTTGATGCAGGGAAAAGATTCAAAGTACATTAATTTTTGACTAATTTACAACTAAATATAGGCATCTGTGCTTTGTTTTACTTAGTACTAATATTTTCTTAGTCGATCTTCTTCGCTTTAGGCTTTACCTTCTCACTGCCCTTTGGTTTAGAGGGATAGATCACAAAGAGCGACAATTGAATTGAGCACAAAACTAGTGCCACTACATTTTGGATCTGTAAAGCAAAATAAGGTTTTATTACATATACAAATCATATACATAAAAGTAAAATTGACAAACAATATTCAAAGAATCAAGTGAGGCCAAATAGATTAATGACAATAACAGTCGTTGAGTCACTGGAAATTACTACGTCACACACATCGTATTTGATTTTGACCTTCGTACAGCTATTAAGCGAATCATGATTACTCAAATATGACGTACATTTATTAGTTTTCTTTTTATGCAACTTTGAATGATTATGAACTTAGATGATGGCCCACCTGATGGAAAGTGGTAACCGTCGCCTATAGACATGAACAATATGGACATAACAGAGTATATTGTGCCGCCCGTGATACCTTTCTTGCGTTGCTATTCATTAAGACTAAGGTGTTATGCCTCTGTACCCTATAATTTTATTACCGGTATAGTTGAGAAAAAAAAAAATTAAATTAAATATTTTTTAAACGTTATTTCTCTACGTTATATTATTTAAAAATGTAATTATCAGATTATTGTCGTCTACTTTTACAAGTCTTTGATTATATACTAAGTATTCATCTATACGTTTTGATTATTCGCGCGAAGTCGAAGGTACATATAAATGGCATGATATACATACATTCACCATACTTCCGTGTATTTATTTCAAACGTAGAATAGATTACAGCGTTGATAATCAACTCGTATATAACATAATCAACAAAAAATGTCGAGAATTGATTAAGTTAAACAATCTTATCACTTAAGAAGTGCACAAGAATTTAGTATTTTGTATAATACATATAAAGTAAGATGCATATAGATAAGACTTGTCTCAGACAAGTCTTATCTATGTGCTAACTGCACGTATAATTGACAATTTCATATAAACGATAGGTTATCAAAACCTATGCGGCGATATTCCTCTTATATAATATAATTAGAACATATATTATGTACTTACAACAAGAAACTGATTCCTTAATATAATCCCGTATAGTAACCACATGAACGTCACTACTGTGCCGGACAAAATCATCGGAAAGGGCAAGCCTTCTGTACTCTTGTTTTTGATTATATCGTTCTGAAACATTTTTATTTATTATTAGATACAATCATTATATTTTAACATAATAACTACCAGCATAGATCTCGATTAAGATTAGGGGTCCTGAATGCACTGAAATTCAATTAGTTTCGGGAACATTCGGGTCCCTTAATCTTAATATAATGCGAATCCTTTAACAATATAGCAATAAATATGCTCATGAGTACAACCCCTATTGGTCAGAGACATTTGTTGACTGCCACATTTCACCTAGCATATTTATTTATAATATTAACTGGATGAGCTTTACAGTCTTCCAATACGCTCACCCAGGAAAATTAATTAGAATCCTGTGAACGAATTTTAATATACAAAAATCCCGTATCCCAATATTCGTTCACGCTAATCACCGAAACGGCTCAAGCGATTTTAATTAAAATTTTATAAATATGTATTGTTTACTTTAGCTTGACAGATATAGACCAATAAAAAAATGGACCAGGTAGTTGGGAGTAGGGAGAAAAGCAACATCTACTGGGTCAGTAATCTAATACATTAATTGGAAGCGTTAAAATGCTTTGCTCCATTGTGAACCTAATAGCTAAAATCATAGTTCAGATAAGTACTTACCAAACTAAATAGTGGCGAAGCAATTAAAAAGAACATAAAAGCTGTAATGATGAGTCCCAATCTGTATTCCACTAGTTTCGGGTCCTCCATTTCAGCATAACCTAACAGTGCAGCTGAAATTGCCCCGGATATACCAATGTGGGCCCAAGTTTTCACTTTTTCTTCTGTATAATTGAAATATATCAATACATATATAATGTTTAGGCCCAAACCGAAGAAATTTACTTGTATCATAGTGTCGTCACGAAGTATATAACCATATTTTAAATTAATTATGCTCCTGTAACAAATATTATAAATATATTTTATATATTATATATTACATTTTATATAAAAAAAATTTTAACAGTTTAAAATTGTTAATTCGAATATACCACGTGATCGTTTATGAAAAGTTTAAAAATTGGTTAGAATGTCCTTCATGCTCCGTGAAGGAAATTATTTAGTTCCATGAATACTAAAATTCACTGTATTTCAGGTTAATGTATCGCTTACAAAGAATGCTGTATATCTATATAACATTTTATAGAATCCAGAAGGAATGTCCCCACTTAATTAAAATTGTGGTTACTATTCTTATGTAAATCACAAAATAGAATTAACAAAGAAGATATGTTTCAGAATGAAATTGTATACAAAAATATATATGTAAGTAAAAAATATGAAAAGAAAAAAGAAATATGTTTATTCAAGTAAACTTAAATTTAAGCATTTTTAATAGATTTTTTTTTTATTACCGCCCATTCGTAACGCAATTTCAGCCAAGGAGAAAGGGCAAGAAACTCAGCTGAAGCTGAACTCAGCTGAGCTGTCAATGGAGAGTTTTAATTAATATAATTATACCACTAACATGACTATTCCACCGAGAAAAGGGGTACTGGGGATTCCTCTGGTGTTGCCTTGTTTATAAATATCCCAGCACATAAACGTCCCGGAGAACATTTGACCCATGGTTACGATGGCCGCTATGGACCCGACCAGGTCCTTGTAAGGCTGTAGAACATCCGCGAGCGCATCCATTTTTAGTTATACTGCAATAAATAAAAATATAACTATTATTAAACTGTCTATTTCTCTTAGCTTCCGTTTCGGCGTAGTTTTTCCGATCTTATGGGAGTTTCTAAGTCTTTCGAATATTACGGATATTATTTAGGTAGTTGTTTATGTACATTGATAATGCAATTAATCATGACTGGTTTTTTTTTTATTTGATAGTGGCGTGGCATAATCACCAATTTTTTTTTTTTTTTATGTTGAATATAGTATACATTCTGTTATGTCCATGTTATTGCTCATATTTATAGGCGACGGTTACCACTTTTTAACAGGTGGGCCGTCAGCTTGTTTGCCATTCTAAGTTGTATATAAAAAAAAATATTAGATATACCTAAATAAACTACGTATAGTTTTAGCATTTCGACTCATGTTCTTTATTTAAAATAAAAACATCATTTTAAACTTTAAAATTGTATCCACTCCGATATTACGTAATCTGTCTAGATAGAAAAAATGCGCGAAGAAGTATTGTAATTAACGCACAATGATACATCGCACATTAAATACACTAATTGTTTTTAAAATTGTTTCTTGTATGAGTATTTATTCCTAAGTCTGCAGCGTGGATTACTTTCTTGAATTGGTAAACTCATCTAATATTATATCGGACATATCATTTTGTTGAACACATTTATAGTATGTTTCGAATTTTATAACATTAATTCACTCTTTTATAATCTTTATTAGGTTTATAAGTAATATTATATTTGAAAATCTGTTTTGGCGTAATGTCACCACCAATAGTTATGAGATTTAGTATACACAGAGAAAAGAGGTATTTTGACTAAAAAAATACATATTAAACGAAAAATTAATATCTATGTCACTATATACCCTACTTAGACGACAATTTTGCATCACACATACTTGCAGTCTCTTAGAGTTGATCGATGGTAGTCTAACTATATTAAGGTAGATCGTCAGCTGTTCAAGTTTGATAACCCCTTATGCAGACAGTATTTAAGAAGGTGAAGGTCATAAGATTACTTTTATCCCGCTTTTATCTCGATGAGCAGTATTAAAGATAATATTGTAGACACAGTTAGCAGACACTATTCAAGACACTATTCAGACAATATTCGATGGTCCTGTATTAATATAGAAATACAACGGGAGATATAAAATACGTAGTTATTATACCTACGTGTCTAGAAATAATATAATAAGTACCTAAATAATGTAGGTTTTATTATAGCAATATAGCTAATTGCAAATAGTTACTAAAACATATTTATACACGTACTTAGTTATATTAATAATAAAATTAAATCCAAAAGCAGATATTTATAGTATTTTAATTGTGTGTGCTATACGTGACTATGGAATTCAAAACGCACATCTGCATACCTTCCGTTGTTCTCTTCACTTGTACAAACATAGAATAATATTACAAATGTAAAACAGCTTGTTCGTTGCCACTTGGTTCCTTAATAGCTCAAATAATTATCATGAAAACGGAAAGAATATAGATTACTTTTTATCCAGGTTATCTGTCTTGATCACGCAAGTAAGCTAAGCATAGTAAATATATATAAATAACTGCCGGAATGTCGACAATAGTAGTAGGTACGTAGGTAGGAATTATATAAAGCCTTGATTTTTATTTACGGTAAAGTCATTTAAAGAAGTAAACTTAAGGGACTTCGATGAATTATGTTGGAAGAAAACCGATTACCCATCACAATATTTAAGGAACGTATCTTTTGATTCTCTATCTTCCTGTAAAGTTTTATGAAGTTTCAAAAATTATCAGCATCAATACTATTTCAGCCATTATTCATCCACTGCTCAACATAAGCCTCCCCCACAGACTGCTATAAAGAACGATCCTGAGGCACCTGCATCCACTGACTCCCTGCAATGCATTTTAGAACGTCACTCCATCTAGTGGGGGGTCGTCCTACACTGAGTTTGCCCGTACACGATCGCCAGTCAAGAACTTTTCTTCCCCGTTGTTGGTGGTTGTCGGTTCTTCAGCTTGCTTATCCAAAAGTTATAATGCTATAATATTTCTAAGGCATATATTTATACAGACACGTAGACTAGACGGATCTGTAATGTTCTGTTAATGCTATAAAGTAAGATACTTTTGTTTATGTTCCTATCTTTCTACTTATGTCTTAGTACTAGTAGTAAGAGAATCCTACCATCTATATTGCCCACAATTGCAATGTTAAAACAATCACGGCCTCGTTTTATTAAAATAAATAGACTTTAAATTGATTCTACGCATTACAACCAAAACGCACCCACAGAATACACTGACGTCAATTCTTTGTGTTATGGTCAATTAATACCATACCAGTATTTTTCGTAGTTTTCAGGACATGTATATTATTTTAAATTTAGAATTTAAATATTTATACTATATTCGTATTTTAAATGACTATCAAAAAGAAAAAGTTCATAATTTGCCTGTACTTTTTGGGTGTTTGTTTATTTTTTATAACAGAGGAGGCATGGTTACGATAAAAGGTCGGCGATATCTTCCAATTTTAAACATTTGTTTGTTAAATATCACCATCGATAATGTTTACTCTCATTATGAACCCATATAAACTAATCTAGGCGAGATGAAGTTGCTGTTTTATTTCTTAGAAAGTCTATTTATATTCTTTTTGTGTAATAAAGTTTTTTGATCAATTTTGTTAACTTTATTCAAAACTAAATCGTACTTCGAAAAATGTCTCCCACTCTAAAAGATGTTTGTATTATCTGTTAAAGACGTGTGGTCCCGGCATAGAATGAGCCACTCCTTCCTTTCCCGTGGATATCGTAAGAGGCGACTAAAGGAACTTAATGGACGAGTGAAAAGCAGATCTTTAAAATTACCAAAGCACAACTACGTTAACAACCTGCCTGCCAAATGTGGTAACTACTAGCAAAACTCCCCAATAGGGGAAGATCTGTATTTAGTAGTGAGCAATTAATCGCTGATATAGTATGGTATTATCTACTTATTATCAAGTAATTACTTTTATATTAGATAAAAATAACCATAATGCGACAGACTAAAATATTGTAAAATAGCATGACGCAGCTAATAGTAATGGATCACTCGTCTGTAACTGTAGGTATAATAAGCAGACATGTTAGAAAATACTCCATTGGCTATTCAGTTTAGTGTTCTAAGAGGAGGGCGCAGCTTAGTAAAATTTTTATAAAATCAAATTTTATTGTGACAGCAGAAACCGTTCAAGGAGTTTTATGAAATGGAAAATACTTTCTCCAACATTCACGCCCATCAAACTTGAAACTGGCATTGTGAACCTGAGCGATTACAATTCCTAATCTTGGAATCTCCTAATCTTTCATAAACGAATAATCAGTTCTCACAACAAACGTTTTAGAATTACGATAAAAATAAAAGCGATTCATAGTGATGTTTAGCGTATGCATGATAAGTCAATTTTAAACAACGTTATTTATCAGATAATAGGTACTGAGTGTAACCGTAACATAGATACACGAGTATAATTCAAGCTATTAAAACTCATGAAAGACTAATTACTTTATTTTTCTTTCGTACATTATTGTAATAATTAAGAATAGATAGTTGGGTCGTTTATAATATATCCTTATGCCGAATTCCAGTAACATGATTTGTGAAAGTTAAGAACTTTATATATATATATAAAGTAACATCCTCATATACCTTTTGCAAAGGTTAGTCGCAAACTTGAGGAATATAGTTGAAATATAAAAACTTTTTTTTAACAGTTTAAATTTGTTAATTCGAATATACCATGTGATCGATTATGAAAAGTTTAAAAATTGTTTAGAATGTCCTTCATGCTCCGTGGAGGAAATTATTTAGTTTCATGAATACATGAATACTAAAATTCACTGTATTTCATTTTCATTTTATTATATATATATATATATATATATATGATCAAGCCTGTCTCTGATATATATATATAGATTGAAACAACATACATATTTCGCTTCCTCCACATTCATTAATCTTTTCATCATTATGTATTATTAGTTTGGCCCTTCTTTAGTTCGTCGCCTATTTGGTCAACATACGCCCATATAGGCTTCTATCGACACTGCCATTTATTCGTTTTCGTTAAATTTCTTTTGTAATTCTTCTTTTATACATCTTTTTTTAAATGGACAAACTTTAAAAAAAATAAGTATTAATAGTATACAATTAAATTAAGTAGCAATAAGTACTTATGGACATAATGAATAAAATACCTTTATAGACAGATATTTTTTAAATAAATGGGTTTGCCTTAAGTAGACATAAGGAGTTATTAAATAAATAAATAACTGTGGACTTAATACTTATTAGGCATAACTGACATATTATGCATAAATAAAATAATACCACAATATTAGAAATTTGAAAAAAGAAAATTATTAAGTACAATATAATAATAATAATAAAATTATCCAACATTATACTACATTAATTTGTCACCCTACTCAAATACAATAAACTTATGTCACGGCCTTACAACTAATTAACTTTTAATGCAATTGATAACAGATATGCAATAAATTAAATACTCACAAATATATTAATTTAATGTATAAAAACTAAAATAAATAAAATTCACAATTTTAAAATAAATTTACTAATAACCTAAGAAACAAATTCGGCACTTTGAAAAAAATTAATTTACTTAGTTCACTGCCAGTCCACAGAGGCTGGACCACCAATTTGATGACGGATGACAGCTCAGTTTTCCTTTATTGTCAATGTCAAGTTAAGTGAACGAAAATTAGGGTTCCCGTAGACTGATTAACTGGAACATCACTTCGAGTTCCGTTGCCTATTATCAATGAAATGATAATGTACAAAATATGGTTGCATGAAAATGCTATGGAATATGGCAGGTACTACTTATTGCATTGTTGTTTCGGATCGATTATTATCGATTATTATCGGATTATTAGAGTAGATGTACTCTCATTTATCAAATAAGATCTATATCACTTATACCTATATCACTTAATGTAAATGTACTTGCAGTGGTAACTGATTTTAAATATCTCGGTCACATTATTGCAAGTACTTTAAGAAAAGCATTGGTAGTTAGAAGTAACATGTTGGCCCGCAGGTTTGCTAGGTGTACAAAACAAATAAAAATAAACCTGTTTAAAGCTTTTTGTCAGATGTTCTACACAAGTAGCTTGTGAGTCAACTATAATAAAAAAACTCACAATGTTCTTCGAGTCCAATATAATATTGCCTTCAGGGTACTGTTGGGGCTACCTCGTCGCTGTAGTGCGTCACACATGTTTGCAAGAGAACGTGCGGATGATTTTTACGCAATACGGTGCAAATGAATTGTTTCGCTATTAGCTCAATTAGTGTCCTGAAGACAATTGCTGATAAAATGGACTGTCCCATCCTAAAATATTGGGTGAGACAGATTATCAATGCAAGAGCGTTATGACCGCTCATTTACTGTAAACTCTAACATAGGTTAAATCAATTTATAATTAACAAAATGGGCCTTATGTAGTCTGATTAATTTTTTTTATAGAACTTAGAATGACAAACAAGCTGACGGTCCACCTGATGGAAAGTGGTAACCGTCGCCTATAGACATAAGCAGGACCATGGACATAACAGAGTTGTTTTGATGGGTGAAAATGGTATGGTAACCCCGCCTGCGCTAACGGGATACGCTGGCGGAGCACCAGTGAAGGTTGATAGATGAGAATGAAAACAGGCCAGTTAGTCCATCATGATGAATTCATCAGGAATTAACCATGATAGTTTCCAGGGAGAACCGCGTGGACGACCTGGTTGGGTATATTGCTACCAATGGGATTCTCAATCTCCATTACTAACAATCCCTTTCCCCCTGACATAACAGAGTATACTGTTTCGCCCATGATACCCCCCATGCGTTGCCATTCCTGAGGACTCAGATGTTATCCTGTATCCTGTAAATTCACGCCATATCCCACCCTTCAAATCGAAACACAGCTATGCAAACACTTTACGTTTGAAACACGAATGGGACAGAGGTACCCAAGAAAACGACTTTTGTACAAAGTCTTCCTCTGGTAAAAATTATTATTATAAATATTGTTAATAAACAAACAGAAATTAAATGAACTAATTTAAAATAGTACTATCTTTATAAACTCCTAAATTGCTCTGTAAAGACAATCCTTAAATAACATTGTATCTCTTAATCTAGTGAGCAATAAATTTAACAGTTAACGCGAATGGCAAAACGCAAATCAAAGCTACATTAAACCATAATATTCCATCACAGACATATAATAATGCACTCCACTTATTTTGATCTTTTTTTTACGTAACTTGTTACCTATGCTTACAAGTCTTACAGATTGATGTATGCTCTATTACCACTTTGAAGTCTGTAAAATGGAACATTATAAAAATCTTATCGATTTGTCTATGATTATCTGGCTCCGGCCGCGGTTGACGTTTCTTGATTTTTCTTCTGATTTTTCTCAATTCTGTAGTTTTCGGAACCGTTCTATTTTAAGACGAATGACTGCTAAGAATTTTTGAGTATTTTGTGTTAATAACATATTACTCATTGTTTTGCTGCCAAGTCCAAGGCTTTGTAATGATAGTGCTATGAATAGTGCGGTTGTTCGCTAGGTAGGGAGGTAATAAAGACAGTTTACTAATATGCAATGGAAACACAAGGGTTGGAAAGGGCGATGGCTATGGGTAATGCTAGCGGTGGCGTTGTGCCCCGTGCTCATCGCCCAGAAGATAGGTGACCCATACAAAATTTTAGGTATACACCGCAAGGCCTCCTTGCCCGAAATAAGAAAAGCTTATAAACAGCTAGCTAAAGAGTGGTAAGTTTAAACTTATAATTTAAACTTAATTGTTGCTCTAATGTTTTATATATATTTTTTTGTGAAAATATAAATTATTTTAAATTTTTTATAATTAGTAAGACAGAATAATATCTATTTGGTGCATACCTAATAATTCTTATTTTACTTTATACTGATTTTATAAAATAACAAATGATCAACTACTGAACTACCAACTATGACGTCTATATTACTGAAATTTAATTAAAGAGATCTCTTAAAAGTTTCAATGGATCATATTTTATTTATTTATACTATATTATATACAAAAATTACATAGTTATAGTTTATATTAAATGAAGATGTACAACAGACAAGCTTAACTCTGTAAGAGCACTCTTCCAGCAAATCTTGAGTGGAAAAGAGCATTAATTACTATTAATTAATTGTATTTATTTTTTATATTTATTAAAAACAAGAGAAAAATATGTATATAAAATAATTGTAGTTCATATTATCAGTACCTATAAAAATAATAATTTATTGCAGTTATTTTTTATTTTATTAACTAAGATTAACCAAATGCTTGGCATATTAAGAAATTAAATTATGCCAACTATATGTTTAATAGGCATCCAGATAAAAATGAAAATCCAAATGCAGAATCTCGATTTGTGGAGATAAAACAGGCGTATGAGTTACTGTCAGATACAGAGCGCCGACAGGCCTATGACCTGTATGGTATTACCAATGAAGATGAACACCTCTATAAACAGAGACATGACTACAGCCAGTATGCACGGTTCAGGTTTGTTCATAATAATTGATTAATAAATATTTTACTAGGCATTTTTTTTTATTTTGTTTAATTGCATTACTTGAAATAATTCTAATCAAATAACCAAAGATATGGACTTCCTCAAGATAATACTTAATCTTTTTGAATATTTGTTTGAATTGGTATATTTAAGAGTACTTTTCACTGTGTGGGGAGAGAGGTATTAAAAAGGCATATATGTACTCACAGACATGTTTTTGAACATGGCTGAAAAGTCTGTTCGCATCCTGGCATAGACACCAAAAAATTCCAGAGTGGGCATAGTGTGGCCTCCATCTTAAATATACACATGTTTATTTTTTACCATGTTTATAGAGACAACTAAAAGTAATTAAAGTAAGTAACTAAAGTAAATCTGAACAGCATTTTAATAACATGTCTTAAAAAATATACATCCTAATTATGAAGATAACAATATGTTATATAATTTTAAAATACCAAATAATTATTGACTTAATATTTTATTATGCTACATTCCTTGTTACATAAAAATATTCCATTAATCAGTGCCATAAATAAATACATTTTTGATTTTAGTACAATAACACTTATTACTAATGTACTAATTTATATTTATTTATTTTATTCTTTATTGCACAATAAAACTTTGTACAAATGGTGAGCCAAATGCCATATGGCATTCTCTACCAGCTAACCATTGGGTAAAAATAGAAAGCGTATGAAGGGCAGATGTGGTGAAAAATATGTGTTAATTATAGTAACACATTAAATACACAATTTAAATATAATATACACATAAGAATACATATAATACATAAACATTACTTTTAATATATATGGATAAACTAATACATATGAAATTTATACACATATATACATATCTAAATATTTGATTTGTATTACAGCAATGACCCATTTGAAGAATTCTTTGGCACACATTTCCGGACCCAAGATCAAGATATCACATTGTTCCACAAACTATCTGTTACTGCACGGTAAGTGTTAACAAGGCATTACAATAGTACAGTCATTTCAATTGACACATACTGGCTGACCCAACCAACCTGGGAAGAAAAGGATTGTTAGCAATGGAGTTGTGTCAGCCCTATTGCTAGCAAAATGCCCTATTAGGTCAACCTCCACATGGTTCCCCCTGGAAACCATTGTGAACAATTCTTGTTGAATTCGTCACAATGGGCTAACTGACCTACGTCATCCTCAACGAACATCCTTCATTGGTGCCCGCCGGTGTATACCGATAGTGCGGGTGGGGTTACTATTCCATTATCACCCACTAAAAAAAAAGACCCAACCAACCTCATTTTGCTCCCTATCGATACCATAACATTCTATTTTTTTTTATAAGAATAATAACTTACCTATTTCTTAATTTGAAGTATTTGCTTCAAATACAGAGATAGGATATAATTAAGTTAAAAAAAACCGGGTTTAAACCCGGTGCTTTATTAAAATTAAACACCCATAAATTCCCATAATCACCCAAAAAAATAGGTTTTTACGTATTTTTTTGAAAATATGTAAGTAATACCAATAAATTATTTTTATAAATTGTATTGATCAATTCTACAATATTAAATAAAACGTTAACTAATAATATTTCAGGAAATTTAAAAAATCTATATATAATAAAATGAAAGTAATTAATTTTCAGTGTTTTCATGTTGCAGTTGATCAACATGTTGGCCTTTTGCTTCCCGTAGATACTTTAAAATTTCTTCATAACACCTCGTTCGCACACATGGCCGTATATATTTAAATTCTTGAGCCACTAACAGTCCGAAATACTCATTTCTTTTATCCTCTTCTCCATAAATTAAGCATTTAGAACAGTTTGTTTCTTCTTTCAGTAAATTTTCTTTTACTTTATCCTCGTTTCTTTTCTTTGTTGCGACGACGCTGGGTAAATCATCTGGACACTGGGTCTCACTATCGCCAAATATATTTGGAGATCGGCCAATACGGCATAGACATTTTTTTCTTTCTACAATTTTAAATTAAATTTATTAGAATAAATGCTTTGAACACACGCGATCTAAGTACCTTTTTGTGTTTATTATACCTTACCTACCTAGGTATAAAAAGAGTACTTACGTAGATTTTCTTTTATTAACTGTTTTATACGAAGATCTTGATCTCTCAAATTAGCATCCATTTTACTTCCAGTGATTATCAACTAAATTAATAATCCACAAAGTATTAAATAACGTTTTTATGAAATATTTAGCACAAAAACAATACCCTTTAAATATCGATCGTCAGTAACTGTGGCTGACTTACCTATATTCTAGCAAGCAGGACTGCCAGATGTGAAGGGGAAATACAAATTTTGCATGTGACTGATGATGTGAGCATGTTCGTTTCATAATAAAAATGTTGCCAGGTAACCAAAAAGTCGTATGTTTTTGTGCGAATTACGATCATAATCTTTACGATCGTACATTAAAAAATAGACAAATAATAGTATGAGTACGATTTAAATCGTATATCTGTCAACCCTGCTAGCAAGACAGCGACAAAATCACGTTGCATAACAATGTAGCATATCTTATGAAATATACGGAAGAGATACACTTACAAAAAACAGAAATGTTGTTCTTTGTGGAAGTCATTGATGAAATTCTATGTATTTTAGCCCGCAAACTTTCTTCAAACAAAAACAGCGCCATCTAGTATCGAGTTCTGTAATTATCTCTTTGTTTATGGATTTGAAGTAAGACCGCCACGCATGCAATACATTATGACTGGGGATTCCCTATTCGTCGACGCTGAATATGAGGCGACGACAATCACTGTCAAACGTGTTCACTATTCCTCTGACTCTGGTAACGTGACTTCCTGGTAACGTGTTAGGTAGGAAAAGCAGTAAAAAAGTGCATATTAAAGATTTGAAATAATATTTATACTTAACAAGAAATAATTAAAGGTAAGTGGATTTTTGAATGATACAATTATATCATGATCACTTAACAATTTTAACTTAAAATTAGATGTATTATTACAAGCTTTTATTTAGCTTGCGTTATGTAAATAAAAGTATGTAGGTATGTTCGTATGTTGATGCAATTATCCTCAATCCTCAACCGACTGGGATAAAATTTTCCATACACGTTTATTTTGGATGATAGTGCATAGTTAGCTGAGAGTCGTCATTGGATAATAATGGTGGATAGCCTAAGATGTGTACTAGATATTTATTTTTAACATAATATGCGTAAGTACCTAATCGAATTAAAGAAGTTGCTGAGAAAAATACAGAACAATACGATAATAAACTAGCGTCTGCGTTTAATCCTCCGAGGAGATGTAATTTTACAAAGGTTTTTTGTATTTATTTTATTATTTTTTTAATAAATTTATTGTAAATAACAAGAAATAATCATTGTAAAAAAATAGGCACTCTATTGTTGAATTTTCGTCAGACCAACTAATCATCGTTCATTTTTTTAGGTTCAATGGGAGACCTAAAGATTTACGCATATGGGAGCACTACCGTACTTTACCAAACAAGTCTGTTTCTTGCAAGCTTTGTAATAAGGTCTACAAATTCAGTAATGCTGCCAAAATGCTTCAACATCTTATCACTTGTCCAAAATCTCCAGAAACATTAAAAGACTCTATGAAACTTATAAAAGATAGCTCGTCCAAAACCAAAATGTCTGGACTGTCAGAGATAGAGACAAATGATTCTTTTATAAGCCCCTCGTCGTCTGCTAACACTACAATAAATGCTGAGTTTCAAGACACCGATGATCATATAAAAACAGAATTAGCGAGAGCTATATTTGTAACAGGGACGCCATTATCGATGGTGCAACATCCTTTATGGATACAATTTTTCGAAAAATTGCAACCAAAATTTAAAATACCTTCACGTAAAGCTTTAGCGACAAAATACTTAGATAAAATATATAGAGAAATGCGTTTTGAGTTAAATGAGGAACTAAATGCTTGTAGTTACTTACACCTTCAGTGCGATGGCTGGTCTAATTTAAGAAATGAAGGAATAATAAACTTTCTTATATCAAACCTCAACCTGCATACGTTAAAAGTTTGAATACAGAAAGTAATCCTCACACTAGTGAATACCTTAGCCAAGAAGTTGAAAAAGTAATGAAAGTGTATGGAGCAAATAAGTTTCTTGTACTTATTGGCGATAACGCTAGAAATATACAAAAGGCATTCGAATTAACAAAACTCAAATATCCACATGTTGTTCCTCTCGGTTGCTGTGCACATATCCTTAACTTGTTGTGCCAAGATATTGTAAAGATACAAGAAGTAACTGTGTTTATTATGCAAGCCATAAATATAATAAAAACTGTTATAAGGAGTCAACGATTAAGTTCCTTGTTGATAAAATCAAGGCAGGGTGAAGATTCTACACAAACACTAAAATTGCCTTGTGCTACAAGATGGGGAAGTCATGTTACTTCGTTAAAAAGTTTGAAAGCAAATAAGATAGCTTTGCAAATATTAACAGTTAGAGAAGATGTGGTAATTTCAAGAGATATTAAAGATTTAATTCTAAGTGATGATTTCTGGACAAGACAAATGTATAAGTATTTTGGAACCAGTCACTGAAAGCATATTTTACTTAGAGAGCGACCAGAATCGTTTGCATCGCACATACATTACATTTAGAGATGTACAAGCTAAGATACGTTTTGCATTAAATGAGATTTCGACATTGAAAGAAAGCAAACAGCAGATTCTAACATCAGTATCTTCAAGATGCAATATGGCAATGAGGCCAATACATTTTGCAGCATATATTCTAGACCCCAGGACTCTAGGAGTCGAACTTACTCAAGAGGAAGAAATTAAGGGTATGGAGTTTATCTACAATTTAAGCCAACACTTAAGTTTGTCAAATGTAATGGCAGATTTGGCGTGTTATAAAGCTAAAGAAAACTTTTGGGCCAGAGGATTTGTATGGAGCTCATTAGATAGCATTGAGCCCCTAATATGGTGGAAAGGTATTTGTGGTTCCACTGAGTTAAGCAAAGTAGCGATTCGTTTTCTATCAGCTCCCTGTACTTCGGCAGCCACTGAGCGTTCCTTTAGTATCCAAGGCTACATACATAATAACAAAAGAAATCGACTTACAACTGAAAGAACTGAAAAAATTTCATTCATTTGTTATAACTGGAATCTTAAACATAAAGCTGAATGCGAGGACATTCAGTTTAATGAAGAAAATACCTTCAGAAGCTTTCATTGAGCAAGTAAATGAACATAACAGTTTAGACGAAATAGAGCCTATCGAACCTATACAATTCATCGCTTGTTTAACTCTGAATCTGACAGTGATATATTTTACATTTTACTTTCATCTCTTTCTTAATAAACTCAAAATCAAATTAAAAGTTTTTTATTCTGTAGGCTGCATAATAATATTGCGATGTCCAGTATAGTGGACGTCTTGCGGCTGAGATGACGATGATGAAGTACAAAATCATAAACACTGAAAAATTTGGGTGTTTATGGGGTTTAAACCCAATAAACCCAAAACACCCGGTTTTTACCCACCAGACTTTAAACCCACCCAGGTGGATTGCCCATCTCTAGATATAATAAATGTTAAAAAAAAAAATTGCAAAATTTTATTAAAATTGGAAAATTTCAGAGATTACATGTATGTACATAGTGTCAGGGAATTTTATGTATTATGAATACTACTGTAGCTCATTTAAACTATAGTTTGTTTCATTAAAATGTGAACAAATGAATAATTGACCCAACCATAATAGATAAATAGTTAGATGTATAATTTATTTATATTACTTACAGCACACAAATTACAATAGACATTATTATTACATGCGTGATAAAAAGAAATAAAATATTATATTTTTTGTATATGTATTATATACAAAAAATATAATTAAAACAAAAATATATAAAAGAAGTGACATAACTTTTCATTTAGATAGTGTCCCATAGTAACACTAAATGGTCACAACTCAGTTTATTGCTTTGCCCTCAAAACAACAAAATACTGATATTCTATTGTAAATAAAAATTTTAAGATAGTATGCTGATCTCCAATAGCATAAATAAAAAAAATATTAATTTATAATGTTTTGTTACTAATTTTTTTAGATAGTCTATTTGTGATTTTTAACAAAACTTGGTTGCCTAAGTTCTATTGAAACAGTTAGATAGACAGATAGATCATTTATTTGCATTACATACTTACAGCACACAATTTAAAACATACATATACAAAAAAAGCGAGATAACATAAATGATAAAAAAAAATACATAAAGCTAAATACAATTTTCATTTGTGAGTGTGCCATAGCAATACAAAATGGCCACAACTCAGGTTATTGCAGTTACGTTTTTATAATGTAAATTGAATATCGTTTTATCATTTCTGCATAACTGTAGGCACTTCGAGAACAACATAATGGAGAAGAGCATCCACACACCGGCGATAGTGCTGTTCTACACGGACTGGTGCTTCGAGTGCGTGCGGTCAGCGGCGGCGTGGCGGCGGCTGGTGGCGGCGTTGCAGCCTCTCGGCGTTACCATGGCGACCGTGCACGCGGCGCACGAGGCGGCGCTCGCACGACGCGTGGGCGTGCACACCGTGCCCTGCCTCACGCTCGTACTCGACAAGCATGTTTACATCTACAAGGAGGGCTTGACGTCGCTGCCAAAGATTTTAGGTTAATTAGTTTATTATTATCATAATATGGGCCTTTAACTGTCCACTGCTGAACATAAGCCTCCCCTTGGAAGGTTTTGCCAGTAGTTGCCATACTTGGCAGGCGAATTAGCAACCACAGTTAGGCTTTAAGATGTTTTAAGAGGGATACTGCTGCCCATCCCTCACCCTCCTTAGTCGCCTCCTACAACACTCATGGGAAAGGAAGGAGTGGCCTATTCTATGCTGGAATAAAGATAATATTCTTGTTTTTTCAGCAGTGGACATTTAGGCTGATATGATGATTATTGTTTTTATTTTATTTCTGGTACAATCTTTATTATTGGTACAGAATTCGTGCGATGGAAGTTCCCTTACAAGCTGGTACGGAGTATAAACAATGACAATGTGGAGTCATTTGTGTCCGACTTCGAAGACAACAAGGTGAAGGCACTGATATTCGAGGACCGGCAGACCATACGTTTGCGATACCTCATCACTGCATTCCACTACAGAGATAGAGTTGCTTTTGGGTGAGTCTTTTTTGGATATTGAAAATTATATATACTTTTTGTTCATTATGATACATTGATGTTATGTGTGACACAGTGGGATGTTTTATAAATATGTTTGTCGCACATATCTGTATCTATAACACCTTTAGTGTTCTAATTTTCAGACTTTTTTTTATATACAACTTAGAATGGCAAACAAGCTGATGGTCCACCTGATGGAAAGTAGTAACCGTCCCCTATAGACATGAGTAGTACCATGGACATAACAGAGTATACTGTTCCATCCATGATACCCCCCATGCGTTACCATTCCTGAGGACTCAGGTGTTATTCCTCTGTACCCAGTAAATTCATGCTATATCCCACCCTTCAAACCAAAACACAGCCATGCAAACACAACTGCTTCCCGGTTGAAACACGAATGGGACAGAGGTACCCAAGCAATCGACTTTTGTACAAAGTCTCCCTCTGGTAGTCATAGTCACCAGGTCAAGCCTCAATAAAAATTAGAATAAAAAAAAACATGTTTTTACAGCATCTGTACAATTTATAAATGGCAATAAACTGCCAATGCAGCTATTTGTGCATATGTGGCATTTAAGTATGTCAAATAAATCAGTCTGTATAATTCTGCACTCATGTCAGGATGTTTTGACATATATAAAATTAAAACTACAAAGGGAGTAAACCCTGTAGATGTGATGTGATGTGCAAAGACTACTCAAAATCGCTTCAGTTGTAAAAAGTACAGAAAAATTAAGACAATTATATTTTATATTTAAGGTTTTGTTTCATAATAAAGCATCGACTGCAATTGTGGCAAAGCTAGTTATTTTCATTAAAAACTGAACTACTAAAAATTATATCTATACTTATAATAAATCTGTAGAGAGGTCAATTCTGTACATGAAATATATTTCCAAAATAACTATCAGGGGGTGATTAGTGATCGATACTGATACCAAAAATGCAATCAGTAAAATTTTTGTCCGTCTGTCTGTATGTTCGTTATAGAAACAAAAACTACTCGACGGATTTTAACGAAACTTGGTACAATTATTCTTCATACTCCTGGGCAGGTTATAGTATACATTTTAGCACGCTATGATAAATAGGAGCAGAGCAGTGAAGGGAAATGTTGGGAAAACGGGAGAAGTTACTCCATTTTTAAACTTCCGTCGCGTGTGCACTGTGCAGCCTTAATGGCCATTTTTTAAAATGTTCACCCGTGCGAAGCTGGGACGGGCTACTAGTTTTTTTTATTAAATTTCAATCAATCAATCAATTTGAAATCCATTCAGATAAAATAATAATTTCATGACAGAGTTCTGAGGTAATAAACATAAAAATATTGCAACCGAATAAGAAATCTCCGCATTTTTTAAGTCTATTTATTGAGAAATATATATTAATTGCGAACTTTCTTTTTGAAAACGGCTTAAAACAAGTTCCACCTTTCCAGTTTCGTGGACATGACGGCGCGCGACGCCCAGAACGTGACGTCGCGGTACAAGGTGCAGCGGCAGATGGATACTATGGTACTGCTGAAGGAGGACAGCGAGGAGCCCGCCGCCACCGTCAGCACCACCGAGATCCCCACGCAGACCCTACACCAGCTGATCGAGGCCAACCAGATGTTGACGCTGCCTAGACTCTCCTCGCAGGTTGCTTATTCTATTCATATCACAAAACTAAAGAGTTTTTTTATCATTTGTCCAGTACAGTGTCACTGTTGGTTTATTTAGCATCTTATGGGTAAATTTTTTAAAGCGTCCTCCAAACGAATTTAATGGTCAAGGTATGGACAGTAGCATCCCTTTTAAAACATTATCAAGCCTAACTAAAGGAGGAACTTATGTTCAGCAGTTGAGAGTTATGGCTGATATGATGATGATGATGTCTAATTAGCCAATAGGATATTATTTATGCTTATTCATTCGGTCTCGAACATAAGCGCGCATATTTTTGTCGATATCTGACAGTTCGTGTTAACTACTCACATTGGTTAGTGTTTATGAAGTTTATACATTGAATTTGCCGCTAGTGTTGGTCTTTACTAGCTTTTACCTGTGACTGTTTGCATGGCTGGGATATAAAGTAGCCTATATTTTTAATTTTTTATAATAACTATATCATCATAGTTGTATAATACTGATGGATCTATATATGTAATATTAGTCAGATCCGTCAGTATTCTACGACTATGACGATATACCAAAATTCATATAGATCGTTTAAGCTGTCAACGTGCTATAAGGTAACAAACAAACTAACTTTCATATTTATAATATTGTTGAGGGTATTCGTTAAATTATAATTATGTTATTTAAATTTGGAATAAGTGAGTGTTTGGTTGCGCGTGCGCGTGCGCGTGCGTGTGCGTGTGCGTGCAGAGCGTGCTGGAGGCGGTGTGCCCGGTGGAGTGGCGCGCGCCGCGGCGGCGGCTGTGCTGCGTGCTGGTGGCGCGCGCCGCGCCGCCGCCGGGCGCGGCCGCGCGCGCGCTGCGCCGCCTGGCGCGCGCCGCGCCCGACCGCCTGCACTACGCCTACGTCTATGCGCACGCGCAGCCCGCCTTCGTGCAGGCGCTCGCCAACGGCTCGGGTATACATCTCCCTCGTGTTCATTGCAACGCCCTGTTTCTGCCTATGTCAGTAGGAAACGAATGTAACATATATGTATTATGACCAAATTGTTCTGTGGAATTGTTCAGATTAATATCTACCGCTGACTATCACCACCATACAATCCACCATAAACAAGTTTCATTCCGACCATCTGAGTGAGTGACGATTCTCCACCATGTATTTTTCAAAGCAGTTTCATCTTCACACAACCACAGTTTAGAATCAATTTCCAGCAGTAGTATTTCCAAACCAATACTCTTAACCTCAAGAAAAGAGCATATTCTTTTTTAAAAGGCCAGCAGCACACTTGCAATGCTTCTAGTGTTGTAGGTCTTCATGGATGGTGGCAGTTATTCACAATGAGGTAATCTGCTTGCTCATTTGCCCCTGTGTTAAAAAAAAAAATATGACGAAATAAAAATGTGTGTTGAAGATTACAGTCGGAAGATATTTACAGAACTGACCCACAATCGTCACATTGCACAATTAAAAGACCTGAAAAAGATAAAGTAGATCTGAGATCCAAAATAACTAGCGAAATTTTGTGAATCAATACTGATGCAACTTGAAATAAATTTACGACTAAGTAGTAGATTACTTTGCTTTAGTTTATTAAACAAATTTAAATAAACATTACTATTTCTGATTTAGATTTCTTTTTCTAATAGAATGAAAGGATTCTCTACGAACATTTACTGTATTATCATCTTCCTACCCTTATCTCAATTATTATTTGGGGTCGGCGTAATATGGTTTTACCCATATTACTAAAGGATTTGGCTTATAGTTTTACGACCGGCCGCCTGGCTGACGTCAACCCTCTTTGGGAATGCATTTGTTGGTGGTTTCCGCCACCTACAGTTTGGAGGAAAGGATTGAGGAAAAAAGGAAGGGAATGTTGGAAATGCTTAAAGGAAATTAGTAAATGAGAGGAATAACGGACTTATATGGGAAAGGAAAGGGGCTGGACACTGCAGTTGCGGGAAAGACTAGGACACTGCAGCGACTCGGGAGGCCGTGGTCGCATACCCGTATGCCCTTATTCTAGACTCGTAAAGAATGTAAAGAAAGGCCGAAAATTCATTCTTATTCTAACTCCACCTTCAATATATTGCAGGCAGCGACATCTCGGAGATGGAGCACCGCATCGTGGTGATCTGGCGGCGGGAGGCCACGCGCGTGCAGTACGAGTGGCTCAACGAGACGTGGCCCACGTGCGGCCGCGCGCACTGCGACCAGCCCGGCGACCTGCTGCGCTACCAGCAGCAGCTCAACGAGACCAAGCTCGCGCTCGACCGCCTCCTGCGCAGGCTGCTCAAGACCAGCGAGGTTATGGCGTACGAGACATATGTGCAGGTCAGTTTATCTACGTAATTCATCGAAAATTCATCTATTTCCTAATTAATCAGAAGGCGACATCCTCACATGAAAATCTGTCTGAAATTTCAAAGTTGTATGACATACTAATTTGATGCTAATTCCGAAAGAAATGCTGTGAACAGCTAAGCTAAATCATCAAAGCATCAATTAATCTAATATTCAATTTTATTATCTACAGTGGATGGCGGATATATTAAGGTGATAATGAAATGGTCATCATTTATTCATATTTTTTATGAAGTATCCGGTTCGAAGGACTATTTATTTAACACGCAAGTAACAAGTAGCCCAAGTCAGCAGTGATAGTATTAGTGTTGTGATGTTATTAGTAATCAATTTAAAGGATTATTTATAGCGCGAGGTCGGAGTTTGATTGGTGTGGATGGTGTTTCCAGGAGCTGGTGGACGAGAGCGTGCGCGGGCCGGTGTGGGCGGCGCTGGGGCGCGCGGCCGAGTGGGCGGAGCGCGCGCTGGCCGCCCTGCGCACGCAGCACGCGCTGTCCGCGCTGTCCGCCGCCTCCGTGCTGGCCACCGTGGCGCTCGTGCTCGCCGCCGGCTACCTCATGGCGTACCTCATGTGAGTACCCACCCCACCCTCCACGCTCCACGCTCCACGCTCCACACTCGCCGCCCTGCGCACGCAGCACGCGCTGTCCGCGCTGTCCGCCGCCTCCGTGCTGGCCACCGTGGCGCTCGTGCTCGCCGCCGGCTACCTCATGGCGTACCTCATGTGAGTACCCACCCCACCCTCCACGCTCCACGCTCCACGCTCCACACTCGCCGCCCTGCGCACGCAGCACGCGCTGTCCGCGCTGTCCGCCGCCTCCGTGCTGGCCACCGTGGCGCTCGTGCTCGCCGCCGGCTACCTCATGGCGTACCTCATGTGAGTACCCACCCCACCCTCCACGCTCCACGCTCCACGCTCCACACTCGCCGCCCTGCGCACGCAGCACGCGCTGTCCGCGCTGTCCGCCGCCTCCGTGCTGGCCACCGTGGCGCTCGTGCTCGCCGCCGGCTACCTCATGGCGTACCTCATGTGAGTACCCACCCCACCCTCCACGCTCCACGCTCCACGCTCCACACTCGCCGCCCTGCGCACGCAGCACGCGCTGTCCGCGCTGTCCGCCGCCTCCGTGCTGGCCACCGTGGCGCTCGTGCTCGCCGCCGGCTACCTCATGGCGTACCTCATGTGAGTACCCACCCCACCCTCCACGCTCCACGCTCCACACTCGCCGCCCTGCGCACGCAGCACGCGCTGTCCGCGCTGTCCGCCGCCTCCGTGCTGGCCACCGTGGCGCTCGTGCTCGCCGCCGGCTACCTCATGGCGTACCTCATGTGAGTACCCACCCCACCCTCCACGCTCCACGCTCCACGCTCCACACTCGCCGCCCTGCGCACGCAGCACGCGCTGTCCGCGCTGTCCGCCGCCTCCGTGATTAAGGCCAAAATGGCGCTGACTTCGTGCTCGCCGCCGGCTAAGTCGAAAAAATTGCGTAATGACAAACAAGGCTCAATTCTTTATATTTAATATCATCGTAATTGAAACGTATATTTAAAAATAATACACCCCATATTAATGTTATTTAAGTGAAAATGTTAACAATATTTCATTCTTATTTATATTTAATTCCATCCACAGACGAGTGGAAGAAGAGTCTGTGCAGCGCCAAAAGGAGGAAAGGAAAAAACAGAATGGGAGCGCAAAGAAAAATAATAACGAGCCACAATCGGAGTTGCGGTTGCACGAACTGCGCGCTGAGAAATATAACGGACTTGTTAGGTATGTATAATAAAAATAGATATGTATACATTGTGTGGTCCCGGCATAGAATAGGCCACCCCTTCCTTTTCCGTGGGTGTCGTAAGAGGCGACTAAGAGAGAGCGAGAGTATGGACAGCAGCGTCCCTCTTAAAACATCTTTAAAAGCCTGTGATTTCCAATCCGCCTGTTAAGTGTGACAATTACTGGTAAAACTCCCTATATCCAAGCCAACACACAGATGCTGTTGTTGGTTTGCCCTTGCAGATTGGGTAGTTCCAAGCTTACTGGGTTTGCAGTTATAACGAATTTGTTCTTGATTCGAGTATGGTTTTAATTTTTTTTTATACAACTCCGAATGGCAAACAAGCTGACGGCCCACCTGATGGAAAGTGGTAACCGTCGCCTCTAGACATGAGCAGTACCATGGACATTACAGAGTATACTGTTTCGCCCATGATACCCCCCATGTATTGCCATTCCTGAGGACTCAGGTGTTATTCCTCTGTACCCAGTAAATTCACGCCATATCCTACCCTTCAAACCGAAACACAGCCATGCAAACACAACTGCTTCACGGTTGAAATTGACAGAGTTGAATGGGACAGAGGTATCCAAGCAATCGACTTTTGTACAAAGTCTCTCTCTGGTATTTAATATATAAGCAATGAAATATATGAAATTATAATATGTTCTGTATATATAAAAAGTAGAGGTGACGGTATATAATCCAGTAAAATAAGACGAATGACGTGAATGTAGCTGCTGATTGGTAGGTCGTCGCAATTTGCTTCACGGATCCTTGCACAGCCATAGATTATGCGGAGCACATCAGTGGACAGTTAACGGTGATAATAAAAAAATGTGTACTGTCCATATAAATTATATATATATATTTTTTAACTTATTCAAATAACTTTAACAATAAAAATGTAGTAATAACATCTATAGTGGGCAAGTCGGTCGGTAGAGCAATTTAAAAGGCATAATTAGATACACACATACACAAGAATAACGTTGAGGTACACTATTACAAGAACGAATTGTTTAAGTATTATTATATGCGTTGATAATATTATTATCAACGCAGTCGACTGGCGCGGCGCAAGACCATGTAATGCGCATACGATTTTTTTATAAGTGAAAATGGAATCCCCGCCTGCGCTAACGGGATACGCTGGCGGAGCACCAGTGAAGGGTGATAGATGAGAATGAAAACAAATCAGTTAGCCCATCATGATGAATTCATCAGGAATTAACCATGATAGTTTCCAGGGGGAACCGCGAGGAGGTCGACCTGATTGGGTATATTGCTAGCAATAAGATTCTCAGTCTCCAGTACTAACAATCCCTTTCCCCCCAACTGACCACGGTTAGGTCTATGACTGCGTCTTACTACACATTACAATTTAATATGTATGTACAATTTTGCTCGATAGGTTACTGAAACCCGGCTGTAGAACGATCGTGCTACTAGTCGATATGCAGAGCCGAGTTCAACTGCTCTCTAAATTTCACAAAATCGTATGGCCCTATCGCAAGTAAGTACTGTAGTTTACAATAGTATAAATACATACCTGAATCTGTTAAAAAAAAAACTGTTTTTGTTGATGATATTCCTGTTTTGTTAATACCTGTAAGATGCTAGTTTTAAGCTATGTGGATTGATCTGACCATACCCCATTCTGTTTAGTAAATGGAGATTATACAAGACTGGATATCACTTATATGTCCAAAAAGAAAATTAATTATGGAAAGAGCTCCCTGTCAAAATATTTCCAAGAGACTAGCATGGGGCTGCTTAAAAAAGGAGTAAAGAGGTTTCTTCAGGGTCGGCGACGAGCGCGTAACGTAGGTATAGGTTACGGTAACCGTTTACCGTCAAATTGGCTGTACGTTTGTTTGCCACTTCAGTGGTATAAAACAAAAATGATTGAATATTATAGATGGATGAGTCTGTCTCATGGATTACCATAATAAAAGAAGAAGTGGTAACTGTCATCTATAGACACGTATGTAGTGTGGTGAGCGTGATGAGCGTGGTGTGCGCAGGAACAAGACGCTGGTGTTCGCGTACCTGGTGGTGGAGCGCAACGTGGGCTGGTTCCAGCGCGTGCTGCAGCTGTCGCTGGGCGGCGGCGAGCTGCGGGTCAACGCCCGCAACGCCGTCGGCACCGTGCTCGCGCTCAATCCGCACCGCAAGTACTTCTGCATCTACCACGCCAAGCACCCCGAGTGCGCCAAGCCGCACAAGGTAACTGCGACTACACCATCGCACCCATGCCCCACACCCCACGCCCCACACCCCACAGTGGACTGGGTATATTGTAATCACTACACAAATAGACAACTAGAACAAACAAAGACACAAATTTTCAGACAACATTTTCCAGGCAACAAAGGTTGCCTGGAAGAGATCGCTCTTAGCGATAAGGTCGCCCATTGTTTTCTCATTCTGATTATTTCTTGTAATTATTTATATTTATAATAAGTTTACTATTGTAATCTTTTGGAGGAAACAATAAAGAGTATCTATCTATCTATATCTATCTAAAGTTTTTTTTTTATACAACTTAGAATGGCAAACAAGCTGACGGCCCACCTGATGGAAAGTGGTAACCGTCGCCTATAGACATGAGCAGTACCGTGGATATAACAGAGTATACTGTTTCGCCCATGATACCCCCCATGCGTTGCCATTCCTGAGGACTCGGGTGTTATTCCTCTGTACCCAGTAAATTCACGCCGTATCCCACCCTTCAAACCGAAACATAGCCATGCAAACACAACTGCTTCACGGTTGAAACACGAATGGGACAGAGGTACCCAAGCAATCGACTTTTGTACAAAGTCTCCCTCTGGTAAAATAATACGTCAAGATACGTTTTATGCGTAAGTATATAGAATACTAATAAAAAAACAAGTCGGCTAATTCGATAATTAGCTGGCAAAAAGTTGGCTCGTTTTTGAGGTTTCTTAGCTGTATCTATATAATCTAAAATTTAAGCAGGTTCGATTATTTAATTTAATTATTTATTTATTTATTCAATGACTTCGCTTTCCGCAGCGCATGTCGCGTATGACGCGGTCGCTGGGCGGCGCGGGCGCAGACCCCGAGGCGGGCGCCTTCATCGGCTTCCACACCGACCCCGACTCCTCCTCCGGCGACGACGCGCCCGACCCGCCCGTGCTGCTGCAAGGTAACCGCCGTTACTGCCACATACACACGCCACGCCCCTCCAAAATACCGACAATTTAAAATGTCCGAGTAAAAATGTTTGCAAGGTTTCCACCGAGGGATCTAAGACACGGGCAGCTCGCTGCCCAATTTCTCCCACAACTATGTTTAGTTTTATGTTATTGTTGCCAATTAAAGTGTAATATACCAGAGGGAGACTTTGTACAAAAGTCGATTGCTTGGGCACCTCTGTCCCATTCGTGTTTCAACCGTGAAGCAGTTGTATTTGCATAGTATAATTTTAATATATATAACATTATTCACAGAGAATCTGTTGGACGGATTGGAGAACTGGCTAGACCGACTGTTCGAAGGTAGTACGCATAGATACTACATCAACTACTGGCCCGACATGACGACCAAGTGAATCCGACATTAGAATTTTGGTTCTTCCGTGGCCTTAAGGTGAGAACATACAGGTTTACTTTCGAGTTTGCGTTTAGTTGGTTCCGTGTGGGTACGAATATTATGAACGTTCGATTATTTTACTGTTTGAGGGTAAACGCTAGTGCTTTGTAGCACGGACAATAGATGGCGCTGTTATTATAAAGAGGTTATGTTTTAATTGTAATAATATATTATTAAATATAATCAAATTGACTAATGAACGACCAAAATAGAATACAAATTATTTGATGTAAAAAGAAATTAAATTTTCTAAGTAGTTTTGAATTATAAGTCCCATAAATTCGTCACAAATAATTCGATCAATACGTTTGGATTTTTTTACTGTAAAGTACTAGTGTTTAGCCTTTAGCGATTATACTGCCCAGTCGTTCTAAGATTTTCGACCACAACTTTTGTGTGATAGCCTTAATAGTCTTCATTGAATGTTTATGTACAAGGGATATGTTAGGATAATTGTGACGCAATGAGAAACCACTGTATAGCTGTGGTGTTCTTAATTTAACTGAGAAATTTTGACGTATTCGTTATTTGAAAATTTAAAACGTAGTAATTTTAAATTCAGCCAGAATTAGAAGTTCGTCACGAGCATTAGGTCTCTATTATTCAATTCAAATAATCGAATGTTTTATTCGTAAGTATTTACGTCAAAATTGCCAGTATTATTTACATTGTATGCCAATGTTTTGTAGTTTTAATTTATGATTTTTTTTTCATATTGGATTCAGTATATTAATAGGTAAGGGAAAGCTGTGAATTTTCATTGTACGATTTTTTTTTCCACATAAATCTATTTCATGTGGAAACATACGCATACAGAAATGAAAAAATAGATTCAGTGTATTAAACATATACTCCCAAATAAATGTTATATCAACAATTTATTTTAAAAAGTGTAACAGCAGTCTCTTATTAGTTCTTCTTGGCATAGAAGAACTGTTTGGGGTCAAATTGAGACACATAATGACTAAAAACGTATGAAAATAAATGATATGTATCTTTAAAATCAGGTATTAAATCTAAGAATAAAGTACGCGTGGAGAAAAATCCTACAATCAAAATTCGCAGTGCATATTAATCCTTATTGGTCTGTTTACATAGATAAGATGGAAACACTTAGTCCAAATTATGAAAATAAATATACTAGTCATTAGATAATAAAGGTGAGCTCGTTTTTCACGTATCGATTTTGATGATTCTTTCCAATGATAGTGGGTGGGTGGATAATTTTAAATGGATGATAATAGAATGGTTACCCCGCCTGCGCTAACGGTATACGCTGGTGGGACACCAGTGAGGGGTGATAGGTGAGAAGCCCATCGCGATGGATACACCTGATGGATTCAGCATGATGATTTCCAGGGAGTACTGCGGGGAGGTAGACCTGATAGTGTATATTGCTGGCAATGGAACTGGTCTGCATTACTAATAACCCCCCCCCCCCCTGTGTTAGTCTCATTCTAATTTTGTCACAACAGAAATAACTGTTTTTTTTTTTTTATGGTACATTTATTACATAAATAAGGTCATTGGAGACTATCGCCATTGTTTACAAAAATGCCAAATATTTAATAAACCTATTTCAAGCTGTGTTCTGTCTGTTTCTTCTGAGTTAAATGTTCAATTAGAAAGACATCGACAAAATATCAGTAATAGTTTAAAACAGCTTTAGTTTTAACGAATAAAATGGTTAGTTATTAAAAAAAAAAAACGAGCTCGCTTCTACAAACTGGTTTTACCTCCATATTTATTATTAATTTTGATGTGTTACAAATGTATCATGTTAATTCTTAATCAATTATACAATTTGTAGAATATTGCATTGGTTAATGAATATTTACACGTGTAATGTATAAATTAGATATAAATTAACAATTTGTTACCACAGATATCACAATAATAGGTGTAATGATTATGTAAGGACAGTATTAAGTCACCGCACCTCATAGATGTAACGGACATGATCGTGTACTGTGACACACTATTAACGTATTCGCTGTTAGAAAAATCAGAATGCAAAGGCTACTCTTTACCCGTGGCTTAGTTCACGTGTCCGGATTATGTTTTTTTGTTTAATGGGTGATAATGGAATGGTATCCCCGCCTGCGCCATCGGTATACACCGGCGGAGCACCAGTGAAGGATGATAGGTGAGGATGGAGATCAGTTAGCCCATCGTGACGAATTCAATAAGAATTGTTCACGAAGATTTTCAGGGGGAACCACGTGGATGTCGACCTAATAGGCATATTGCTGGCAATGGGGCTGTCAAACTCCATTGCCAACAATTACCACTTTCCAGCAGGCGGGCCGTCAGTTTGTTTGCCATTCTAAGTTGTATAAAAAAAGTAGTTCCCACATTGACAGGCAGATTGGTAACCGCAGTTAGACTTTGGAGATGTTTTAAGAGGGACGCTGCTGCTCATCCCTCGCCTACCCTTAGTCGCCTTTTACAACACTCACAGGAAAGGAAAGAGTGACCTATTCCGGGACCACACGACTATCCAGCTCATTTACTCACTTATAAATATATTTTTATTGGAGAGTGTTTAAATAAAATTGATTTAAATATCTCTCAGTTGTTTAGTACCCATAATACAAGCTCTGCTTAATTCGAAACTAGATGGCGTTGCGTAATATTATTTGTATTTTACTGTAGCAATTATGTAAAACAAGTCTGTCACAGTACACTTCTGTCACTTTATCAAGTAATAGGATTTTTGAAATTTATCGCTTATCACTACGCCATCTTATACCGCATTTACACATTTGCGTGATAGCTGATCGCTTAAATATTGTACAGAAAATTCAAGATGTGTCTACGATGTCTTTACGCTGTCGCGTAAAGCATAACTGTTTCTATATTCAAATCAAAATTTTAAATACAGAATTTGCATTAGTATTTTTTTTTAATTAAGACACTATTATTGCGTTGTCTTGTCTCGCTCACACTACGTGTGGAGTAGCTGGTAGAAAGAAAGATAAACAATGTTGTATTCTATTTTATTCGCCTATACCTTTAGTTAGCGTCTGTGAAATTAATAGTTTACATTTTGTTTTGTCAATGCAATTTTCATTTGTTGATAAGTTTCTTAAATGGGATGAAGTTTTTTACATGTCACCTATAGACATGGCCATCACTGTGAATTCAGTGTGACCACCATAACACCTGAACAAGACACCGTGTCTTTTTAAGGTTTTATAAGGTTCATTACAGGTTGATCATATTTATGGATTGTACATCGATTCTTGCTTTTGCTTTTTTTTTTGTTTTGTTTACATTTTGGCTCTCTCGCCAGTGTGTGTATGCGGCCTTAGAGTTTAATAAGAAAGTAGCATATTTAGCGTTTGTCAGTGCCTCTAACAACTTTCAGAAACACGTCGATATCAAAATTACTTATAATCTAATTAGTGTATTCTAAATAATATTGTGTACTTTTATAATTAATTAATCAAATGCATGTGCCATGTTGCCATTATATAAAATTGTTTTACAATATTACACAAAGTGTCACATTGTCGATTCGGAAGCACCCTTCTTTATTTTAAAAACTAAAATTTCAATTTGATATTACGCGCTCGCGTACAGTAAGTTTATCAACTGTATCGTAAAAATGTGGGCTGGTCTTTCCCGTGACGTGTTTCCTTCATTCTATAACCTCGGATCTTTCAAACGTAGCGTGAAAAAGCACTTAGCTGGCATACTGCGGTCAACCGTTGAGAGTAAATATGTAATTATTTTATCTATTGATCGTATTCATGGAGCATATTGTCTCTGGTTCGCTCAAAATGGTTTTCATGTCATGCTATAATATAAAAAAAAATAGTAGAATTGCGTCAGAACTTTTTTTTTTAATTATCAACGGTCCATACACTATTTCTTGCTGAACTATCAAATTGAAACAATAATTTAAGAGATACGTTTTGAGAACGATGTCTCAGAATTGGTTTCAATGTCTAAATGTCCTTTTACACGTGATTAATGGTACTCAAATAATTTTTGCGCCTTTTCTATATATCAGAGACGTGGCAGCGTGCTTTGGCGCGAGCGTCGTGAATTTCCAACTAATTCTCCGGTGAGGGAGAACATCGATAAAAAAACAATATTATCCGAGAGATGGCGGTAATCTCGCCCCTTATTATGTTGGATACTAAATCATCGGTGAAATTATATGACCACGTGGTTTGTTTGAAAGATTCGAAAATTATTAACACACTATGTTTTAATTGTCGGATTCGAATCGTCTTAATTTTGATATTGATTGTTACATCAATTTGGACTATAAGTGTAGTCAGCTGTGTAAACGATAGCACACTTCGTCATTGTTTTTTATAACTTTTTTATACACCTAAATAAATTAAGCTTCACATAAAAAAATAGGTTCTATTTAGATTATATAGATAGAACACCTAGCCTCAAAAAACAGGTCATCTTTTTGTCAGCTAATTGACAAATTAGCTGATTCGTTTTTTTATCAGTATTCTATATATATTTACGCATAAAAAGTATCTTGACGTATTATTTAATAAATAAAATGAATGTTTACACACTAAAAAGATGTAGTATTTATAAGACAAAATAAATATAGAAGATATAAAGGAATCACTGATAACTATTTATCACATAAAATTGTATGAAAAAGTTGACCCGTTTTTCTCGAAGCATTGTTATGGGGACACTCTATTTATATAATCTAAGGTTGTATTAAAGAGTTGTATAAAAGACTGCATTAAATTCAGTATTAGATAAACACTCTTTATCAACTTGCACGTTACTGGCTACACTTATAGTGAGACACTTAATATCTGTTTCAATATATTTAACGAAAATGTGAACACACAAACAACGCAGTCACACTCGCGTTCGCGTCACAGTCGCTCATGGCTAAGGATCACGAATGGATCCCGAAACTAGTCGAGATTTTTCAGATCTAATTACACGTAAGTCAAACTGGTAGTAATTACATTAAAATATAATTTGTGCTTACGAAATTTTTAACAATAAATCGAATAACTGACCTATCCATAATCACAGCCTGCTGATGTCCAACAGTAATACAAATTAAAAATCTATTAATACATTAAAGGCGAGAATCGTACTACAATTTATCTCGACTGTAGCTTAAAGGCGGCATTCGTACTACGATTTATCTCGACTGTAGCTTAAAGGCAGGAGTCGTACTACAATTTATCTCGACTGTAGCTTAAAAGCGGAAGTCTCTACGATTTATCTCGACTGTAGCTTAAAGGCGGCAGTCATAGTACTACGATTTATCTCGACTGTAGCTTAAAGGCGGGAGTCGTACTACGATTTATCTCGACTGTAGCTTAAAGGCGGCAGTCATAGTACTACGATTTATCTCGACTGTAGCTTAACCGGTTAACTGTGATTGACGAGTACATGCGTCATGGAGAAGTGGCAAATTCGCCAGGTTACCTTTTTTTTTAACTAGGGTGAAAATCTTCCAAAGAGACCCATACCCCGGCGGACGACGAATGGGTACTGTGGGATTTTTACCCACTAAAAACACCCCGGTATTCCTCACGGCGCCTACCCGTCGGTGACACGTTACCTAGCATACATTAGTCTAGATCCCCCGCTGTTAATGTGTTAATTGTCTGCATGTTTTTCTATTTGTTATTGATTTTGTTTGAAGAGTTTCTGTGGTAATTTAAAAAAAAAAATACTTGTTTACATTTTCATTAAGTAATTTAGAAACAGGCATATATAATAGAAGTATAATTTTAAAGAATTAACACCAGTTTCCTAATACCAAATCTCACAATTTTACGTAGTGTAATTTTATATTAATAATATTATGGAATTTTAATAAGATTAAGACACGCAGCGAATTGGCTATATATATTATGTCTACTGTAAATAAAGTAAAAACATAAATCAATGGTAATTTTAACATGGGATGATGAAAAACAGCTGTTCTATGTCACATTTTCTATTGAGAGTTATCTCGAGTGTTTCGTACATAGGATTGTTTTTGCGTGTGTCGGTTTGGTTATGGCCATGGTATAATGAAACCATAACACAATTGTCGTTATGACGACCTTGACGATGTTCTTGACCATAGTACAATCTATGCTTATTATGGGGCTAAATCAGTGTTTCCTTTTTTGTGCCATGCCCCACTTGAACATTTTATAAAAATTTTTGCCCCCATACATAATTTTCCCCGACAGTTTACTTGATGACTAATCGCCCAGTTGATATTTTGGTAATGTTAAACGAAATTATACCTAATAATTATTTACAGCATTTTTTTTTTTTATTTACTTTATTTGTTAAATATGGCACCGATATCTACTCGTTGCATTTAAATGGCCCAGAGCAAGAGGGTTAAAATTGCTTCGAGTCCATTTCCTCCCCCCACCCCTTAACTATCAAATTGCCCCCTTGCGGGGCGTGGACCCCACGTTGGGAAACACCGGGCTAGATGGTACTGTGGAAAATTTCCAGTGGTATTTATTAATTTGTCATGAATCTATTTACAACTTACATATTAATTTTAGTGTTGCCTGATACGAAATTACTATTATTGCTGCTCGCGACACAGCAGTAACGTACTAAGCGTTTTAGAAGCCCGGGGCGGTGAAAAATTAGGCCCCCAGTGTAAGAAGTTGATGTCATTTTACAAGCTTTTTGTTCAGTTCACATTTGTATGTATAAGTGTTTACGTTTATTAAAATATTGCCAGTGAATTATTAAATTAGACTGAAATATATATACATAGAATATGGATGAGAAAAATGGAGGCACTTGGAGGCTCTCTAGGACCAGAAGCTTGAGGCAGGGCCGCGCCTTCCGCCCTCCTGTCTGTCACTGCGACACAGTCATAAATCGTGCTCACGAATATCGAGTTTGCAACTAGTCTGTCAACTTTGAAGTTAATATGTTAAAAGTCGTGATTGCTGGTACTATTAGTTTCCAAATTAAAAAAAAATATGGAAGAGTACAAGTGTTTTCCTAACAATATAAATAATAAAATAACAAATAAAGCCGATATAAGCAATGCAGTTAAAATACTTTTTACCGTATTTTTCAGTCCCATGTTAACATTTGCGTTGAATAGTGTATTGGAGTATGCCAATGCATTTGGTCGAAACGAGAAACAATGGCCAAATTATATCTAGTAGAGGTTAAATAAACAACAATAGCACAAAATTATAAACAATTGCGTGTTTTTTTCTATTTTATTTATAATATGTAGAGCTGATTATTTATTAAAATTTAAATTAATTAGTCAAATTTAAATAAAATATAAATATTTTTTTTTATCCTTAATAAATGTCTTTAATTCACAAGTCTCAAAAACATGTGTTTGTAACACAAGTTCTAACACGTGTCTTTTGAAATTGTGTTTTATTATTGTAATAATAAAACATTTTTTTCTATTGCCAACTTTAATAAGTCGGGTTTGTTATGCTAGTCGAATTTGGTTACCAAATATTATTTATTTATAATTATTGTAATTGTTAAGTACCTAGTTGCGATAGATGTTAGATTCGGTAGTATTATCTTAATTCGTAATACGGTCATATTTATTCTATTATTATCAAACATGTTTCGACAGGGCCGGATTTTACCATATTGATGACTTCAGGCAACGCATGTCGGTACCGCTTTCTGTATGCACTTTATTGAACTGTCATTAGCGTATACGTATACATATATATATATATATATATATATATATATATATATATATATATATATATATATATATATATATATATATATATATATATATATATATATATATATATATATATATATATATATATATATATATATATAAACATCCTGGGGTAGTCACCAGGTAGACAGGCTGCTAATTTGCCACTTAAATACTATGTATAATATTAAAAAATATTTGTCATTTAAAAAAACAATAGGATTTTTTTTAAAACAAAAACAGTTTTAAACTAAATATTGCTTAGTTTTTTCGCAAGTCCGCGGCGCATGCCGTTGCCTATGTTGTCTATTATGGTTGATGCTGAGCCATCTACTGCTATTATTACTAGAAAATGTTATATGTTCATGTCTATTTTGAAGTTATCTCTTTGAATAATTCTAATATTTTATTATTTTTAGTTGAAGTGCAAAATGTATTTTCCCATTTAGTATGTTTTTGCTGACGGTATCTAAATATAACCAGATAGCGACTTTGTATGAAGTAAATAGGTGAGAACTTATTTCTCGATATAAATTGACTTGCATTGTGTATTTCAGTTTGAAGGATGTGATTAGACATTTAAATTACTGGGTACTGTGATTTAAGTCTTCATATCACAAGAAACGGTTGTTATGCTTCTAGTGTTGCCAATATCATAATCTATGGTGAGTTGCGACGACTGATTATCAATCAGGTAAAATTTCTATTTGTCATTTTATCGATGTAAATCCAATTTTTTATATTGTGCTATACAATTTTAATCATACACGCTTTTTAGTTAAGTACATTTTGCACTGAACTAAGAATTCTTGTTTGTGTGTACGTGAAAAGTTTAAAATGCATTTCTAAAAGGAATTGTTTCATTATTAAAAGACAAATATTATAAATCATGTACCTACTGTGAATGTTAATATACTGTACTTGTGTTGAATGGAGGAAATATACTGTTTAGTAAATAGAATCATATATATATATATATATATATATATATATATATATATATATATATATATATATATATATAAAGGATAGTATGTTATATATATACATAGAAGATGCTTATAAACGACTCATATTATTTTTGTAACAATAAAAAAAATCAGACTGTGAAAAAAACGGTTAATAATAATTACTCTATCGTCGTATATTATATACGCATATATGTTATTTCTAAAATTAAAATGAATAAATATGATAGAAAAAATATGATTTGTTTATAAGGAAGGCAGCTTGCAGATTCCTCCATTTAAACTTTTTATAAATGTGATTTTTAACCTGTGTTGCCATGTTTTATAGTTTAAATTTTAAATATCACCGCGTTTGGTGTCTGTATATGGGTTGTTGGCAAAGCTTTTAACTATTCTATCGAACTAATTATTGTATTTAAATTATTTTTATTATTAAGAAACACTAAATCTATCCTTTATCTTAATTCCATTATCAATTTGTACAATAAATAAATATTGTTCTTTAAATTAAGTGGTTTTTATATTTTAGTCCCTAAAAGTGATGGTACCTGTAATAATTGGATGGGTGAAAATGGTAAACCCCGCCTGCGTTAACGGGATACGTTTTTTGATGAGAATGAAAACAAGCCAGTTGTATCATGATGAATTATCTTGAATTAACCATGCATGATAGTTTCTTTTTAAATTTATTGTACAATTAATAATTGGAAATAAACAAGTATTTTTTTATTTTTTTATAAATTTAATATAAATTTAAAAGTAAATTGTCCAATATACTTTTAAATTTATAGTCAGTTGTCAGTAAGTGACAGGTAATTAATGCAGATGTTGCCAGTCTCAAATATTATGGCAATATTTGTATTACTTATTAAACAACTATTTCTCTGTGTAACGATGGAATGTCTACAAAACATAAATTTCCAAAAAGCCGAAAGAAATGTAGACAGGTACATTTTACTCTACAAATTAAAAAAAGCAATTGTTCTGAAAAAAATACACTTTTTTACTAGATACTTCACACCAGACTTAGTATAACATACTTACATGTACTTCATAATCTAAGTTTTTTTCATACATTCAAATCTGTTCATTTCAGGCATTTAAAAGCTATGGTAGAATGAAGATACTGATATAGATGAACCTCAAAAACATTTTTTTTTTTTTTTATACAACTTAGAATGGCAAACAAGCTGACGGCCCACCTGATGGAAAGTGGTAACCGTCGCCTATACACATGAGCAGTATCATGTACATAACATAGTATACTGTTTCGCCCATGATACCCCCCATGCGTTGACATTCCTGAGGACTCAGGTGTTATTCCTCTGTACCCAGTAAATTCTCGACATATCCCACCCTTCAAACCGAAACACAGCCATGCAAACACAACTGATTCACGGTTGAAACACGAATGGGACAGAGGTACCCAAGCAATCGACTTTTGTACAAAGTCTCCCTCTGGTTTGTTTGTGAAGTTATGTAAAAATAGGACATCCATGCGGTTCATACGCCAGCGAATAATATAGCAACAGTTGAACAAATAAAAGATATTTATTAGATAATCATTAAATAATAATCATTTGTACATGAACAAAATTACAATATATTCTAAAGAATTGCCTACTGGAGTCAATGGTCGCCAATAGCGCGATCCCAACTGCACATGATTTCTGTAACTTGCGAATCCCCTTATCTGGAACAAGAATAGGGACTTTGCCAATTGACGTGTTATTTAAATTATTACAAATTACAATTTAACAAATGATTTTGATAGAGATTTTTGAAAAATGCAACATGTGTTTACATCATATAATTATTTTACAATTAGTAAGTCGTTTAGTAAGTCGTTACATATTTATAACTAGCTGTTGCCCGTGACTTCGTTCGCGTTTCCGTCGTTTTTCGTAAAAAAAGTAGCCTATGTCCTTCCTTACGGTTCAGTGGTTTTGATGTAACAGACACATTTCCCTTCACTGCTCTGCTCCTATTGATCATAGCGTGATGAAAAGTATACTATAACCTGCCCAGGAGTATGAAGAATAATTGTACCAAGTTTTGTTAAATCCGTCAAGTAGTTTTTGTTTCTATAATGAACATACAGATGGACGAAGTCGCAGGCAATAGCTAGTTATATAATAAAACACACAGTCATAGTATTTATAAATGAACTCTAAAGTGAAATACAACTTAAATAGAGGAATTTTGTCACTACATCCTCAGGATATCAATATACCAGTTTCAAAGAAGGTATCAATGTCAAGGTGCTAGCATGGTATAGTCTCAATAGAATTTAATGAAAATATAAACAAATGTATGATCAAGCTGACCATGATAGTCTCAATGTCAAATTTAAAAAAAATGAAAATATAAACAAATGAATGATCAACCTGACCATGAGAGTCTACTGATGTCCAAATAGAGGATTCAGATGTTATTCAGTACATAAAAAAAAACAGCCATGAAACACAACAGCTTTGAACACAAATTAAATGTTTTAAAAGTCTTTTTTCATCTAGTATTTCTGTATTAATTTCAATAACACTTGGTTATCTTTCAGTAATTATACCTTTTTTAGGTAGAGACTTATGTCCATCAGTGGATATTAAAATACCATATTTCATAAACAGTATTTCTTTTTTTTAATGGATGATAATGGAATGGCAAACCCGCCAGCGCTATCGGTATACACCGGCGGGGCACCAGTGAGGGATGACAGGTGAGAATGAAGTAGGTCAGTTAGCCCATCCTGACAAATTCAACAACGAATCAATCATGATGGTTTCCAGGAGGAACCGTGTGGAGGTCGACCTAATACAGTTTATTGCTAGCAATGAGGTTGCTAATCCCCATTACTAACAATCCCTTCTCCCCCCTCATAAACAGTATTAGTGCTAAAAAATTTTAAATATAATTACCTGATTATAGTAGACCCTTATTGTTGATAACAATACTATGCGGTATTCTTTTTCTTTGGATTTAGCTCATACTCGCAGTTGGCATATGCAAGCCCTATACCAACACCCATGCCTGCTATTATGGGCCACCGCCGTCGGCCTAGGAACAGCAGTGATGTTAATGTTCCTAATAGAACTCCACCACCTAAAAAAATTCATAAGTGATTAATAAATGTGAAACAAATGTTTAATCAACCTAAAATTTTATTAATATTTATTTATATGCTAATCTGTTATGTGGTTCCAGCATAGAATAAGCCATTTCCTCATTTCCTATGGCCATATTGTAAGAGGTGACTAAGGGAACTTAATGGTTGAGTAAAACAAATATCTAAAAAAGTCTGACTGCAGTTGCTACTGCCTACCAAGTGTGGCAACTATTGGCAAAACACCTTATGGGGGAGGCCTAGGTTCGCCATTAGACAGTTACCAGCAGATATAATAAAAACAAATCTGTCTGTCAGTTTGATTCTGTATGTATAGCTTTTTATTATCATTATAAACTTCTATACCAATAATGTGTAAGTGTCCTTAATGTAATATAATATAATAGCTTTAAAAACATACATCTGAAATATACATTTGGATATGTATGAGAATGATGTAGATGTGAAAATAATCGTATCATGGGCGAAACAGTATACTCTGTTATGTCCATGGTACTGCTCATGTCTATAGGCGACGGTTACCACTTTCTATCAGGTGGGCCATCAGCTTGTTTGCCATTCTAAGTTGTATAAAACAAAAAACAAAAACAAGTCCTCAAATGGAAAACTGATTATTACCTGATATAATTTACTCACAAGGTATTATAAAAACACCATAATAAGAATGCTTACGAGTATTATATTTAATAATTGTTCATCATAAGAAGGCAATGAAATATGCTTAATTTTAATTATATACATTTAAAAATGTAAACATCTCTTATAAATTATAGGTAAATATAGTTAAATTAACTTTTACATTACCAAAATATATGTACAGACAATTTATTGAAATGTGAGACGAGGGATTATTAGAAAACCTGGTCGTTAACCACGAGGGGTGCCTCTAATTGATTTTATGCGAGGTTAATATTTAACGATTTTTAATGTTTAAATTCACGTAAGAAAATGTTGCTCAGCTAATTTCTTCATGTTTATAAATAAAAATACTGAACTAAATACAATGTTTAATAAGTCCTCACCGGTTTTTATAATTCCATCAGTGAGACACAAGTCTAATTTAGCGGAATATTCATCTTCAACGTCTTCTTTCTTTCCTTTTACCATTTTTAATATTTATTTATAAGTGGAGAGGTAACTATGAACTATACCAATGTGGTAATTGGTATCGAAAAGTGAAAGAAATTAAACGGCTATATTTTCGGCACTCGTACAACTTTTACATAATTCGGCAATGAAAAAACGTAATCACCACAAAATGTCATGCAATAAATTGACATTGACAATTTGACGACGATTATTATTATTTTTATTATTGGCAATCTATTCTGTGATTTGTTTATAATTTGCAAATTTGAAAAACATTCAATATCTTTATTGGAAATGCAAAAATCTTAATACAGACGTAAGGCTTTTATACACAGAGGAAATATGATTAAAACCATAATATGTAAGTACATACGTTTGTGTTCATTTGGTATTTGAAATAGTAAGTAAAAAATCATAGAATTTACATAAAATAATACAAGTATAATTTCTTTAGAAAACCCAGTAGGTTATTTGCAATTAACTATTATATTTGTGTGCGTTTATTAATTATATTATTTTGTTTCTAAACAGTAAAAACGTTAAAAACGTACTGCCAAACTGACAGCCGTCACTAAAATTCCTCTAATCTGTGGACGACATCTTGACATTGAAAATGACAATCAGCTGTTTCATTCATTACTAGAGTGTTATTTCACCTTTTCTGTTCTTTTATTCGAAATATTTTAAATAAACATGTAAATAGTCTGTCTCCATAAACGATAAATATGTTGCCTGTTAGACTTATAATAATATCTAATAGCCAAAAGTTAATGTTATGTCCAACACGGTCATTAGCAGACTCGAAGGTTATTCAGCCGCCAAATCCAACAAAAATTTCCAGTGACATGGTTGGACCGCCAGATCCCGTCTCGAATTTAAGGAGAATTGTATTCAAGCAAGCGCAAGATGAGACCGCTTTAGAGCGACGATATAGACGTATGAGAACAGAAGTGCAAGAATGGAATCAAGAGTTTTGGACTCGGCATAACTCTAGGTTTTTTCAGGTAGTATTTATGTAATGAATAAATAAAAATAGTGATTGTTGCATTTATTGAATTACGAAAGAGATATATATGAATGGAGATTATTAATAAATAGCTGTTAAAAGTACCCAATTGTTGAAAAGATTGCTGAATGTGGAAGAAGCAAAAGAGGTTTGTTTGAATCGAAGCATTTGGCATTCCATTGTTTCTGCCTACCCTAATGGGAGACAGGCGTGACAGCAATGTATGTATGTATGTATAAATAGCTGTACCCACTGTTATACCTGTGTAAATTGTTGTATATTCTATGTTTTAGGTCGGGATATAACCTATCCATATACCAAATTTAATTTAAATTTGTTCAGCCATTTAAACGTGATTGAGAAACAAACTTCCAGGCATCTTTCATATGTGTAATATAAGTAGAATTAGACAATTAACAATTGCCAATTATTGTATGAAAATATTATGTTAATATTTAATTAATGCACCTATAATGTTATACTCAAGCCAGCGATCTTACTTACATTGTGATATGGTATCTACTAATTTTGTATTTATGATTTCAGGAAAGGGAAGAATATCTTAAGAAAAATCTACCTAAAGGCAAACAAACTTTATCAGCAGATGAAATGAGTGTTTTTTACAAAGCATTCCTGGACAAGAATTGGCGGTCACATATTACATACAATATAGAATGGTATAAGAAAAATATAAAGTTACTGGGACTAGCTATTCAAGTTAAACTTAATAGAGTGTTTAAATTAAAGAATATAAAATAAAGTGATTTTTATTATGCTCCTCACTATTGGTTTGCCCTATTTTTTTTTTAAATGACATAATTAGAATACAATAGAAGAGAGAATAGAATAGAAGTTAATTTTAATTTTCATCATGTAAAGCAATAAAAAACATGTTTTTGAATCACTGTGTGCATATCACAGCCTCAATCTCAATTGTTTTTACTTAATTTTTTTAAGTAGTTATTACACTCGCAGAACCACATTCTGGAATGGCAAAATCTTTAATTACTATATTTTTGTATCAATAATTTCCTTTATGAAAATAGACTACTAAGATATTATGTATTATCTATTTATGTATCAATGTTTTAAGTATGTGAGGTATTTTATAAAATTAGGGTATGATGAGGCTGACATATCCTTATAGGATAAAAGCCTCTAAATAAAAAAGATAAAAAAAAGTAGTTATTAATATACCACAACAATTGTCAACTGAAGTCTGAATCACACTTTATCATCTCATTTTATCGAATTACATTAATCAACTTTTGAAATCAAACCATCCATCCATAACAAATCAAATAATTTTGAAAGATAGCATGATGATAATTAAGATTGTGTTCATCCAAAAGAGAATCCAAGATCCAAAAAAAAACCCATTAAAATTTGTGGTGGCAAATAAACCGGTTATTTTGATAATAAAAACAAAACTCCTAATTTTGATAAAATTTCTATGGAACCAATTCTGTAAAAATATCCTTTACGGATAAAAGAGAATTTTCCAAAACGGTTCACAACTGACGTAGTTGTGAGGTAACAAACAAAAACAAAGTGCAACTGAGTTGAGACCTTCCTTTTTTTTAAAATTGGTTGAAAATAAAATCGATATTACCATAGATTATGTTAAGATTATTTCTAGGTGAAAACTTTGATTCTTCATTTGGCATTAGATATTATTTGTCATATTGATATTATAAATTATGTTAAAATTGCACATTTTAAATACTTTGTATTAATTTTTTATTTTACTTTTCGACCTAATAATTTACTATTTAAGACCAAAATCGCCCTTAATAAATTACCATCTTAATTAGTTTTCCCTTTGGACATTTGCCTGACTAGCGCCCCTACATTCAGCCCTAATTACTGTGCAAGCTGCATTCTGCATAAATTACTGGCAAGTAGGCTTACACTATTTAAAAATATTTTATCATGTTGAAATGTCATACTGTGTCAGAGTTTTCGTAATTTACAAAATATGATTTCTATGTATTATAAATTTATGGTACAGAATCCATGGGAGACTCAATGTAATATATAATAGTTGATTAAGAGAACATACATAGCATACAATTTAAAATGTATATAGCTTTCAAATGGCTAATTGGCTTATGCTCGGTCATGTGGATCATGATGTGTAGTGTCGACATATATTTGAAGAAGAGTAAGGAAATTCGAAAGTCAGGTAAATTCTGCATATTGTTTATTAGCTGTATCTCGCAACTTTGCGTGCGTTAGAAAAAAAAAAACAATTCAATTAGTTTATTTAATAATAAACAAGTTAAGCTTAAAATAGCATATATCATATAATAATACCAATTATCTTGTCTTCAAACGAGGATACTCTGTGTCTCGAGAGACTAGGCAATGGACATTAAGGGGGCACATATCAGAACGTCCCGATTTGATCCAATTTAGAATAGTTCGTTTCCTAAAATGACCCGATCGAAAATCTAGAGACTCAATTAAAGCAACAAATTTATTATACGAACTTTTGCCTATAAAATGAAACTATTACAGAATTTAGTTTTACTAGGCAATTTGGTGGCATAAGACTCATGCATATAGTCTCTCTGATAATAGGTTACGTGATCAGAGGTGAATTCAAGAAAAATATTTGCAGAGACTGTGTCTAAACCGCTTGACCAGCATTGTAATATCTAGTAGAAGAGGGGAAAGGTATTATTAGTAAAGAGGTCTAATTGACCCATAACTAGTAATATACTTCATCAGATTGACCTCTACGCGGTTCCTTTTGGAAACCATTGTAGTGAAATTCGTCACAATGGGCTAACTGACCCACTTTTATTGTCACCTATCATCCCTCACTGGTGTCCCGCCAGCATATACCGATAGCGCAGGCGGGGTTACCATTCCATTATTTAACTATTAAAAAAAGGTCTTACTAGAATGTCAACCTCCACGCGGTTCCCCCTGGAGACTATTGTAGTTATTCTTGAATTCGTCACGTTAGACTAACTGACCTGCTTTCACAATTACCTATATTATCTTTCATTGGTGCCCTGCCAGTGTATACCGATTGTTCAAGCAGATTTACCATTCTATCAACACCTGGTAAAGGTACACAACATAAATTGTTTTAGTTCTTATACCCGGCGCTGACTATAGTTGATCTACCAACTGTAATATGGCTTTGGGATAGAGTGAGAGAGTGGTCTATCTAAGCGCAAGATGGCAAGGAGCGCCAAGAGGTCAAATCGCAAAAACAATTTCTATCGTAAAATAAAATTTTGATGACGCCTTTTCAGTGGCGCGATAGCTGTGTTGATATTTACAATAAAAGTTGATTTTTATTAAATTAGGAATCATAACTATTATTTATTTAACATAAAACCGAAGTAGAAGCGACGACCAAAGAGCAGTAAAAGACAATCTCGCTCTAATCAAAATATACATCGTCGTTTACTATAGTCATAAATATATAGTCAGTTATCAACTTGCACTGTTTAATACCTAATCTCTTAGATTATCCTAATCCTTAATTGTTAATTTTTAGATGTGAGTCCTAAAATGTTTGGATTTGTTTTTGAAAATACCACAATGCCGGTAAAACAAATAACACGAGTCCATGTTGAAAAGTTTAATGTATTAAATAGCAATCAAAAACAAAATATGGCTATATTACATTACATGACATTCCTTGCTGGCGCATTTATTGTATTTATATACAACAAGAAGAAAGAAATCATCTTATGTACAAAATACATAGTCGCTAAAATTAATTTATATATGTCAGCAACGAATTTAAAAAAATCCGCCATTATTAATGGAGTTGCTATGATTAAATTTTTATTTAAAATATGGGTAATTGTTAGAGAAGTTGCATACAAATTTATAAAGGGCATATATACGTTAAAAGCCAAAAGAAACGAAAATCAACAAAAAATAAATATTATATTACTTAAAAAACTAAAAGAGATAGGAGAAGAACGAAAGAATCTTGGGCAAATATTGATTGCAGCGATTCACGAAAATAAGAACATAAGATTGCAATATCAATTACAATCAATGGCGAAAAATAGACTTTTACGACATATAGATGACACACAGAAAAAAATAAAGGAGAGCAGATCTAGGTATGTGAGTTTTCAACATTTATATTTGGTTACACATGAGGAGAATATTTTTTTAAAAGCTCGTGTGAGGAAGTTATCACTAGAGAAGGAAGATGCAGAAAAAAACCTTTTACGATTAATAAAAGAAATATATAAAACAAAAAATACTGAGCTTAAGACATACTGTAGTCGTTTTATTATCAGAACCAATGACAATCTATTGAATTCGGACGTAAAGGCCGAGATACAAAAATTTTTAGAAAATCCCAGAAGACATACTACAACAGTTAATTCGAACCGACAGTTTTCGTTACAATCTCCATGCAAAATAAATGATACAAAAACTTTATCTTCATGTTCTCATTCTAACATTACCGAAAATATGCTACAGGAAATCGATAATTTAATTCCGTTAGTGTCAGATGCTCCAAGATTAAAAGGTCTCCCTGGAGAATATATTTGGACTGTTAAAGATAAAGATGGCATAATAGAAAAATTATACGAATATGATTATGAGTCAGATTTCGATAATGGTGATATTATTCGAAGAATTAGACAGTATTCAGTCTATTTCGATAAAGATTGCTTATTGGATTGTATAAAGTAAGCTTAAGACTGCAAATTAATTTTCTTGTTATGAATATTTTGATTTGAAATCATATATTTATTTTAATTTATAGTTCCAGAAGTGTTATTTGTGGAGCGACAGATACCGGAATACAAAGTGCATATGCGACTGTGAATTATCCGATTGCAAGTAAAAGATTTTTGACAGGCTCTGAAATTTTTAAAAAATTTTTGCAAGATACTAATAATATTGTACCTTCGTCAAATATACCGAAGCCTCCTTTGCTTTTTGTATAATTTTTATAGATTTATTGAAATTGTAAAAAATAAAATTCTATTTTGTTTCAAGTTTAGTTTATCTGTTTTGACTAAATTTTGCAGAATAATTTAACATAGGTAATATAATTATATTTTATGTATGTGTAATCGATTTTCAATATTTAAACGATAGATATTTTCTAATAGTACGTGGTTACACATTAGCGTATTTAAGAGGCGGAGGGAAGTATATGGGGCAAATGAATAAAAAGTTGAACTGTTTTTGTGAGGAAGTATTTATATGGAGACTATAATCGGATGTTTGGAGTACATATGTACCTTTTTTAGTTGCCAAGCCTCAATCTTAAATAAGGCAATGCTGTTAGACAAAATGAACGTTTCTCTATTTTACAAACAGGCATCATCTACAGTTTATTTACGTGACGAAACATAAAAAAGTTAAAGTAGGTATTTAAACATAGAAATACTTAATGTTGAATATATATATTTTCGAATCTTAGATTTACCACTAAAGATATACTGCACATACAGACAAACACCTTAACAGAATTTCGATCATAAAATATTATAAATGATATTATCTGTGCCTATACATACGAGTATGGTGGTAATTTGTAAATAAAGTGGCAACACAATTACTGTCTACCTTTAAAAGAGCTATAATCTATATAAATTTTGATTGTAAATAATAAGCTGTTGATGCGATTTTAGGTTTTATAAATGGTAATTATTCAGCAATAAGGTAAGAATAAATATTAAGTTTTCGTATATTATTTAATTTTTGAATTTATATATTATTTATTGAGGAAAGATTAAAAATAGTACGTTAAAACAATAGACTGCATGACGCCTATAATATTGACAGATAAAATGTTGTCATTATAATATTACATTTTTCCCTACAGACTATTTTAATAGATTCAAAATACTGAATACATTATGAATGAATTGCAAGAAGTAAACATAAGAGATATTAAATGGAAAACCATAAAACAGCATGATCTTGACTTGGACTATGCTGTAGTAATATCAAAGACAATTGCGACGAAACTATTTCAAGAATTAGAAGATTCATTGCAGTATTTTGTTGGAGATTTAGCAAAGATAAAGTACGAATATTTAGTAAAACGTAGTTCATGTATTGCATGCTTGATGTTTAGTGAGCTATAGAGAGGGCTATGCTTGAAGTTTCGTTACATGATAGAATACGAAATAAGAAAATCAGAAGAACGAAAGAGACTGATATGATTGTGACAATGTATTGGTCATATAGCTTAAAGAATACCTAGATAACTGTTGAGAAAGAAAGATGCTCGAGTGGAAAGTACGTATAAGCAGTCATAATAGAAGTCACTGTTAACAATAGAATGTGATTTTTATCTTAAATTCCATCAAAATTCACGTATAATTAGTCTAAATGCTGCCATAAACATTCTCATTATATATAATATAAATTTATATATTTATTTAAGTTGCGAAATTTAATTGAATCTTTTTACTTATAGGGTATTTGGCAAAATATACCCACTACCACGCCAACAGGTGGCATACGGTGATGTTGGTATCACATACACATATTCAGGCATCACTGTGCCCGCATTAGCTTGGCCTGAACCCGTATTAGCTTTACGAGATTACATTTTTAAACTAAAGGGTATACAGTATAATTTTGTGCTGGTAAATAGGTAAGCACATTGAAGTACTTATGATATATTATTTGTAACCTATGATTAGTTTAAGAGACTTTTGTTTTCTAGGTATAAAAATGGCCTTGATCACATAGGAGAACATAGAGATAACGAACCTGAATTAGACTCTAATTATCCTATTGCATCTGTATCTTTAGGACAGGAAAGAGATTTTATTTTGAAACATAAAGATGCAAGAAAGGCAGGCAGAGATAAAAAAACAATAGCACCAGGTAAGTGATTTATTTTAAATCTTCATACTTATTAATTGTAACTGAATCGTCAATGTTCCGCAGTTTGTAGAACATGTAACGTAGCAAACGTGCTTCGTAAGTGACGGTTTGTTTTGCTTTGGAATTAACGTCTTCCTCTTGAAACGGGCTCTCGATAACGGTGCTTACGCGTCTACCGTAAGTTTCACAGCCTTCAAGGAACTGCAAACAATCTTTAATAGTGTTATCTTTTACCACGATCAAGTGTTTTGCTAGATTTTCAAGGAAGGACAAAAAACATCTTTTAGCATAGAACCATGTGTCGGTACCCAAACGTTTATTAAACGGCTCCAATGATTTGATTACTCTTGATATACCGAATTCATAATTTCCCTTGGCACAATATAAAGTGCCAATGACTAGGTTAACAATACACAAATGGTAAAATTTCTTCTGAGGATCCTCAAATATCTGCTGTTCTTCTTCTTTTTCTATTTTACGCATAATATCTTCAGCTTCTTCGTTTTGTGATGTCATTATGTAAGATACACATAAATTAGCTAATACAACTGCGCTTACGTCTAAAATATTGTCGTATTGTTTTTTAACAATCGGCTCATAGAAGCTAGCCGCCTCTTTGTATTTGTTTTCTTGCATAAATAAGACATGGGCAACATTGAGACGCCAAACATCTGATTCGTTGCAAAATTCTACGGATTTACGAAAAATCTTTTCCACCTGGCCATAATTTTCCATATCCCAGTATATTTTAGCTTGTGCCATAACTACAGGTATATATCTCTCTAATGCCTCTTCGTATTCGACTACGGCTTTCTTAACTTGGTCATTGTCGCCTTGTGATCGACTTTCTTGAACAACTTTTGTAAGTTTTCTGAGTTGTTCTGCATGCTTGGAAGCAATGTCTTCATATTTTTGGAAAGCTTCTTCAGGTGATGTTTGGCTTGTTATAATTGCATCTAAGAAATCGTACAAATATGGTGTCAAGTATTTGTAAGTGAATTGAGCATTTTCAGCCAAAACATCAGCTGCTAAATCGTAGTATTCAAATTTACAGTACAAAAGTAAAAGATTCGCAAAAGTTTCAGGCGGAAAAGGGTCTTGCTGTAGTAGAAAATGAAGCTTTTCAAACCCATCAGTTGGTTTAATGTCAATTGAGGTTAATGCCAAATTGTGTAGTGTAATAGCATCCAATTCATGTTCATGCCTTGGAGGCATATCATTTAGTGCTTCTCTAGAGGCCTCTACATTTTTAAGTTGATATTCTATTGCTGCCTTTAGATTAAATACTTCAGTAAGTGCAGTTTCATGAAGAGTCAAAGAATTACCAACTGATTTAACTTCAGATGTATCAGCTTGCATGCCTACAGCTAATTCTGGATGATCTCTGATACCTCTTTCTATTACCAAGGTGATGTGTTTTAAAGCTTGTGGATATTCTTTAAGTCTAAAATAGCAAAGTGCTATGTTGTAATGAAGATGTGCGTTAAAACCTAATACATTTAAGCTCCGTGAAAACTTCTGCAATGCTTCATCGTATTGATTTTCCTTGAAAAGTAGACATCCAAGATTAATGTCTTTATCCGGATCTTCTGTTGGATAGGAGTCCACTAGTGCTTTAGCGGAAATTGTGTCTTCTTCGCCATATTTAATTGCAGATTGCAATTTGATAACTTTCCTCTCTAATTCTGGAGAGGAGATTTGCATTGAAACTTTATATGCCTCGTCAAACATTGAAGCCTCATATAGGGCTTGAGCAAAGTATAGTTTATATTCTGGTATATCTGGGTGCATCGCTGTTAATTGCTCATAGCAATTAGCCGCTTCGACAAATGCTTGAGTTCTATAGTAGCAATATCCGAGAAGCGAGAGTCCAGCGCGATTTGGAGTGAAATTGATGGCGTCATTTAAAGCTTTGATAGCATCCTCATACCTTGCTTCTTTTATCTGCAATAATAAACAAATTTCAACATAGGATGATAGAAACAGGAACCTTTCGAAAAATAACTGTGTTGTTTACTTCAAATCTATATGATAAGAGGGAATGAAGTCCTTTTGTTCAAAGATTATCGGAGTAGATTATTCACAGATATAACATAACATATTAAACAAGTGGAACACAAAAGGACAAGTTGTTTCACGTAAGCGGCGAGTGCTATTTTTTATTAATCAATATCGATCCAATATGCGCAATGCGTTTTGATATGTTTACTAGTGTATGTCCTTTTCATGTCCAATATAGGTTATCTATGTGTGTACCTCGAGTTAAACTACTTTATATTATTTATATGAATCACATGATAGGAATTCTTGTTAACGCATAAAGAAACCCTGTGTTAATATTAGACACGTGTGCGTCCATCGATGTTATCAATGCTGGAAAGTGGAATGGATATTATCCCGGGGACCTACCTAAGATAATTAATAATCTATTTTGTTGGCGTTTGTAACTGAATCGTTTAAAAAGACACGCTCAAAAAACGTCATTGGTTATGAATTTGAACACTGATGTATAAAAAACTTCGAGTGACAACTCACGCCCGTTAATAATAAACTTCGTTACCATAAAATTATTAATAGATTAAAAAAAATATTGATAGTTTAAATACATAATTGGGACTTAACGTAAAGAAAGACGTGGTGCAATCTACGTCGAAACGTCGGCAATAAAGAGAAAGAGGTATGTAGGTACTATTCACCTGTAAAGGTTTTTACATCGCGTTAAATCTAGATTGTGTATTTAAAATATGTGTAAATAACTCAAGTTTAAAATTAACAATTCACAGTTACATCACGGAAGAAATGTTATCAGTTAAATACACTCAGCCTTGATAACACAGATGTAGGTTCTTATCCTATCTGAATGCATTTTTCAATCTGTTAATATTTAATAACCCTATTAATAATAAATAACAACTAATAATAGCTAACAAAAAGTTCACTCGTTTTTGAGACTCGATGCTCTATTTATATAATCTAAGGTACCTATTAAAAAAACACCTTCACTCGATCCCCCTTTCAAAGTATTGTATTGTATTGTATTGTAAAATCTTTATTGTACATAACTCAGATTAAACACTGGTAAATGATTTAATATACAATGGCGGACTCATCCCATAAAGGGATCTCTTACAGTCAACCTTTGAGAAGCTGAAAGAAAACTGTAGAATGTATAAGGGTAATAACCATACGTACGTACGTACGTACAATTAAAGATAAACTAAATAATACCCAGTAAAAAAAAATTTAATATATAATACAATAAAAACAGCTCTATATACCTACATATGTAAATAATGAAAGTACATGAATAATAATATAACATTAATACATAAATAAATAAAAACTTACACATATATATACATATATACATAACAAATACATATTTTGATTAATTATTGATAAATTTGTTACGATGGCCCACTTGACTTATTTCATTCTCACCTACCGTCCTAAACAGGTGTCCCGCTAGCGTATATCGATAGCGCAGGCGGGTTTACCATTCCGTTTTCACAAATTAAAAAAAAGAACTTAGTTAAGGAAATATTATCCCGTTTGTTACATTATTTCATTCATCATCATCATCACATCAGCCTTTAACTGTCCACTGCTGTACATAAGCCTCCCCCTTGGGGGGTTTTGCCAGTAGTTGCCAAGCTACTTAGCTAGTTAGCAGGTGGATTAGCAACCGCAATTAGACTTTGGATATGTTTTAAGAAGGACGCTGCTGCTCATACCTCGATCACCCTTAGTCGCTTCCTACGATACCCACGGGAAAGGAAGGGGTGGCCTATTCTACGTCGGGACCGTACGGGCAATACATTACAATTTTTAAAAGTCATACTTGTTCTATAATATTTAATCATTAATATAACTTCACGTCGTTAATCTAATCGCGACTTCGTTACACGAATTATGTTACTTAACTATCATGCAACGGCGACTGCATGATAACGATGATCGTTTATCACAAGATTAGTAATATATTCTGTTTGAATATGTTTATTTTTTTATAATTTCATAGTTTTGTTTTTTTTTTCATGCAATTTACAAAGGCGAACAAATTGATGGCCTACCTAATAGGAAATAGTAAACGTCGCCTATAGACATAAGCAGTACCGTGAACATACCAGAGTATACTATTTCGCCCCCATACGTTGCCATTCCTAAGGACTAAGGTGTTATACCTACTTGGTAAATTCATTGCCATATCTCACCCTTCAAACCGAAACACAGCCATGCAAACACAACTGTTTCACGATTGAAACACGAATGGGCCATGGTATTATTTTAATCCTTTTCACAATTTGAAAAGAGCTTATATTACAAGAATACATTTAAAGTGATTAGATTTAAGACTAGGTATTTGAAAATTTTCGACCTTTGATCCCGACATGAATAGGTCACCCCTTCCTTTCCCGTGGGTGTCGTAAGACGCGACGAAAGGAGCTTAAGGATAGAGGGATGGACAGTAGCTAATGTTTTTGGGGGGAAAGGGATTGTTACTAATGGAGACTAAGAATCTTATTCCTAGCAATATACCTAACCAGGTCGACCTACTCGCGGTTCTCCCTGGAAACTATCATGGTTAATTCCTGATGAATTTATCATGATGAGCTAACTGGCCTATTTTCATTCTCATCTATCACCCTTCACTGGTGCTCCGCCAGCGTATCCCATTAGCGCAGGCGGGGTTACCATACCATTTTCACCCATCAAAAAAAAAGTAGCTAGTATGTCTCTTAAAAGATCACTAAAAGTTTAATTATATTATTACATTGTTATGTAAGATTTAAGTACAGATAATACTTTACGTTATGTTTGTTTTTTTTTTATGCTTCCGCATTGTCTAGTTATTTTTCTATATTTCCGCGTGGGAGCGGCTCTTGATAGATTAATTTATCGTTTAAGATAGAACTCGTTTTCAATCTCTGATTAGGCAAACACTAAGTGTTATTTTAGCACAACATGATATTCGACAACGATACGATGTTATTAATATCTAATAAAATATATTTTAGTTCTACAAAAAAGACCGACTTCTATTGTGATAAAGCCTGTTTAATTTTGATTTAAAAACTAAACCACTGAACTGATTTTGAATAATTAATTAAAATTGAAAGAATTTTCCAAATCGGTTTATAAGAGACAGAGTTCTGAGAACACAAATATAAAAAAAAACATATAATCGAATATTCTCTATTTGATTATATTTCTTTTCTTTCTCTTTTTTTGAAGTTATTGGGAAAACAGTGACTTCAATTGTAACAAAATAAGTATTTTTATTTTAAAACAAAATGTATGGGCAACGAATATTTAATTTTTTTATGTATTTTTGTAATGGTATGTTAATTACGTCTGCACTATCGATACACGCTGGCGGGGCTGTAGTGAAGGATAGTGAGACGAGGAAAGGGTGATGATATGGCAGGTACCTAAGTCGCTCCATGTTGACAAATTTATCAAGAATTATCATGTTGGTTTCCAGAAGGAATCGCGTGGAGTCGATTTGAACGGGTATAGGTACTGCTAGCAATGTGCCACAGAATCCTCGTTACTAACAATCTTTTCCTCCTTCCTCTAGAGTTTTGGTAATAAGTAATTTGATTATTAGGTTTTACAAGACAAACTTACCTAGTTTGTTTTTTTCTTTTAGCTATGGCTTTAGTTTTTAGGGTAGCTATTAGCTATTTTCAAGTTTAATTAAAAAGGAAATCGACGCGGAAAAAAACAGGAATATAATGACAGAAAATTTAGGAATAGGGTTACAGGATCAGGAGAGTTGAAAGAGAAAAGGAACTTATCTAGTTACTTTAATATTTTGTTTTATAAAGTATTTTATATTATGTATAATCTTACCATAGTATAAATAGTTTTAGTATACTGGCCATCTTTTATTTGTAAATAATCCATTTCTAAGTAATAATGAAACTTTTGAACACTTGAAGGAAGTAATCACCGAAGAGTATATTGTTAAACACTTCAGCATTTGATAAACATTATATCATTACGTTTTGGATTTGGAAATGTTTTTCATTGTATACCTTAATCCGTTGTCATGCCAACAAAGTTTTTTTTCTTGAAATATATTGAAGTACAATAATGGTTAATATATATAAAAATTAATATATTTATTTCTTTTTATTTGCAGTGAAAATTAATCTCGAGCATGGCAGTATTTTATTTATGAACCCACCTACAAATGAGCATTGGTATCATTCTTTGCCAATACGGAAAAGATTGCCAGGACCAAGAATTAACTTCACTTTCAGGAAAATTAGAACGAAATAAATATACAGATTATTTATACTCAGATCAACATTTTTTGGTAATAAAATAATGTCCTGTTTTAATATTTTATTTTGTACTTATTTCGTACTTTCACACTTAAGAATATCTTTAACAAACCGTTATCAGAACAACTTACATACTTATTTATTTTTCTACAGATAGACACATAAGGAATATAATTAATTTTCTTTATCGAGAGGGTAGGCACTGCCTTTCGATTATACTACTACCTATTTTAGAAAAAAATGTAACATCAAGAATCCGACTTTCAATCAGAATAGTACTTCATTTAAACTTCAATCACTGTCAGTCATAAGTTAGACTGACAGATGGTTCAATCATTATTCGTCATTGTCAAAATATTTTTTGTTGTCATTAGGAGGTTTTAGTGTTTTAATATTTTTTATGCAATTTGTGAATTTTAATTCAATTATAGACATATTTTAATAAAAAAATTAAACAGTGAGTACCTATTGATAATCTTACTTCTTTGTTACAAATTAAATTAATCGTCAGATGGGTAGCTGGAGAACTTTTAATATTGACGTATATTCGTTTGGTTATCGGGGCCACTTAAGTACATTTTCCTGATAACAGAAGCCTATATAACGATGAAATTCGTTCAACGACCAGCCGTTAGAATTCGTATTGCAATGAATGCTATTTCACAATCGAAAATCCGTGTAAATTCTGGGAATTTTTTGCGGAGATGGGCTGAGGGTAGTAACCTTGTTTTTGGGAGGGTATATGAGTGCAGAGCATTAAAATTTGTCTAATTGTAGTAGGGTAGTTGTTTGGGATTAATGTTGAAATTGTAATAATGTTGTTCGCGCCGAATTTGCAGCGTTCTTATAAGTATATATTGTTTGCATCCAAGATGCCTCTGCTGAGGTTCGAGCAGAGCGATCTCAAGTGCAAGAATGGTTGCGATTATTTCGGCAATCCGCAGTGGCAGGGATACTGCTCCAAGTGCCACCGGGAACAAATGAGCAGGCAACGGAGAGCTGGTATGTTTATTTTTATTATTTTTTAATTACAATTTTCAATACAAATATTATTTGTTTTAAAACATGACTTAGTGTTAAGTATCATGTCAGTTTATAATTTAAATATAAATTTTACTTGTTCCAACTATACTTTTGGATTTACATTGTGAGGGCTAGTATACACAGGAACTATATTATCATACAGAAAATGCAGTTAGAGATAATAACTAAATAAAAAATTTATATATAATAATAATCAGTTTCACAATTCATCACCATAAAATATAAACTAAGTATAAACTGGTATTTTTTTTTTATTTTATTTTATTTTTTTTTATACGACTTAGAATGGCAAACAAGCTGACGGCCCACCTGATGGAAAGTGGTAACCGTCGCCTATAGACAAGAGCAGTACCATGGACATAACAGAGTATACTGTTTCGCCCATGATACCCCCCATGCATTGCCATTCCTGAGGACTCAGGTGTTATTCCTCTGTTCCCAGTAAATTCACGCCATGGTATGTGGATTGTATGGGAGTCACATGCACACATTGATTTGTTGCAGTACATTTGAGATTGTTGTTGTATCTGGTTGCACAATATATCTTAAAAAAATCTGTCTCACAATATTCATCTATGATCATTTCTAAAATGGCTAAACCAATTTTAGTGCAGCATAAACGTTTATTGTTCTTCAACTTTCAAAATAATCAACTTGAGGCGATAGTTAGATTAGAGATAGAGATCTTGATAAAAATAAATTTATTCGGAAGGTAGCAAAAGCGGCAAAAGAATGTTTGACAGGTCAGCCAGTGTAATATAAAATGTGAAAATTTATATTTATATACTTATTTATTGCTCTGGCATTTTTTTATCAATGTCATTAGACCATGTAGATTAACACATACAATAAAATAATAAATAAATATGCTTATAGCTGTAACACCTAATGAGGTACTTTTTTATTGTAATGTGAGTGATATTTTTATATTATGCTTAGTGCATGATATAAAAATACCTAAATACAACCATTTATGATACCCTCACATATCATAATTTCAAATTTGTATGCTATATGCTTCTATAAAATTCATGTTAAATCTTTTAAGTCAGCAAAAAGTATTTATTTATTTTTTGGAAAACATACAGCTGAATTACAGTCAATACATAATCAAATTTATATCTATGTTAATATAATTTGTTTTTATGAATTTTATTTTGAGTTTTTCAGTTAGGCAAATGTAGCCATTTATCTATTACTATATCTATAGACTTGAAAACTAGGCTATAGTATTCTCAAACTTGCTAGTTAGTATTTTTTTATACAAACATGTCATAAAGGGTGACAAATATGAGAGAAGGAAATCTCATTACAATTGTATCTATTAAATCATATAGCAACCTATCTGACCAGTATGTGGTGTTGCCACAATGCATATTTTTTTCACAATTTTGGGTAGAAATCTTTACAATCATAAAGTTTAGAGGTTTTTTTATCATTTGCATAGTGGTTACATGGCAAAACATAGTAATAACTGGTGGTGGTGGTGAAAGTGGACGAAATTGTATCAATTTGGATAAAAGACAGATTGGCATTTTTATATTTAAGTAAAAATAAAAAACACATTTTGTAGTGTTCTGTTATAAAAGTAGACTAGTATGCCCTTAACACAGGTTATTATATTAACCTATTTAGAAGCCCAGTTCTAAAAATACAACTACTGTACTCATTTAAAATTATCGTAGCATGCCTTATTAAGATTACTGGTGACCCGAGAGCTGGTAGCTACTTTGCCCAAAAGATAAGTTTAGCAATCCAAGGAGGTAATGTTGCCAGTATCTTGGGTACACTGCCTCGATGTGATGCGTTGGGGGATTACTTATAATTATATAATAGTATTTAAGAAATTGCATATTAACTTTAATTTATTGATGTACTGTAATGTTTAATAATCCAAAATTTAAAATTATTAATATTAGTACTGTAATGTAAGAAACGACAGTTATAATTTTTATTTCATGCCAATTGTATTAATTGGTTGTTATAAATGTATGGATGAATAAACTGTTGCATAATTGGACTCAGTTTCTATTTAGACTATCAGTATGAGGAAGTAAAGACAAGGAAATAGATAATGTTTTATATAACAACTTAATACTATAATAATATATTTTACTTAGATGTATTTACATTAATTTAATTTAATCTTATTGTAAAATAGTGCCAACACCGTGGGGTGAGGACCTGGTGATCTGTAACACAGGTTTATCTTAATTCAGACACCAGTTCTTCACAGTACATTAACTTATGTAACCTCCAAAAATAAATATATTAGAATATAATAGATGTACAACTGGTATTGTGAAGAGAATAAACTTATTATATTTCTATTATATTATAGCAATATTCATATCATCATATCAGCCTTTAACTGTCCACTGTTGAACATAAGCCTCCCCATTGGGGGGTTTTACCAGTATTTGCAATGCTTAGCAGGCGGATTGACAACTGTAGTTAGGCTTTGGAGATATTTTAAGAAGGACATTGCTGTCCATATCTCGCCCTTCCTTAATCTCCTCTTACGACATTCATGGGAAAGGAAGGGTTGGCCTATTCTATGCCGGGTCTACATGACATATTTATATAAATATTCATATCACTAGGAGTAATATCTCTGTATGAAATTATTGTATCTACTATGGAATGTGCTTCTGTGGGGGGGAAAGGGATTGTTAGTAAGGGAGATGGAGAATCCCATTGCTAGCAATATACCCAACCAGGTCGACCTCCTCGCGGTTCCCCCTGGAAACTGTCATGGTTAATTCCTGATGAATTCACCATGATGGGCTAATTGGCCTGCTTACATTCTCATCGATCACCCTTCACTGGTGCTCCGCCAGCGTATCCCGTTAGCGCAGGCGGGGTTACCATACCATTTTCAACCATCAAAAAAAAAAGTGCTCCTGTGCGAAGCCGGGGCGGGTCACTAATTTATTATAAGTATTGTTGTTGTGAAAGTGTATCCTAGTTAGCTTCTGCAAGCAGAAATAAATGCATGGATATTAATGAATCGAAAAGTACGCTATATTTATTTTACGGATATCTATTTATCTGTAAAACATGTTTAGGTAACTGATAATATTGTGTAGAAAAAATATGTAGGTTAATTATATTTTTATTAAATTTTTTTATTAAATTAATTTTTAACTAATTATTTACATATTATTTATATATTTTTATTCATAATATCGTCATAGTCCTAGAATACTGATGGATCTGACAAATATTACATATATAGATCCGTCAGTATTCTACGACTATGACGATATTAATTCTCATACCTAAAGTATATAGTTGACGTCATATCAGCTTTTTTTTTAATGAGTGATAATGCGATGGTAACCGTCCTCTACGCTATCGGTATTCACTGACGGGGCACCAGTGAGGGATGATAGATGAGAATGAAAGCAGGTCAGTTAATCCATCGTGTCGAATTCCACAAGAATCAACCAAGATGGTTTCCAGGAGGTTTATTTCCGGTTGAAGGTCGACCTGATATTTTGCTAACAGTGAAGCTGTTTTTTTTAATGCATGATTAATGGAATGGTTACCCCGCCTGCGTTAACGGTATACGCTGGCGGAGCACCAATGAGCGATGTTAGGTGAAAAATGAAAAAAGCAGGTCAGTCAGCCCATCGTGATGAATACATCTGGGACTCAGCACGATGATTTTCAGGGGGAACCGCGTGGAGGTCGATCTGATAGGGTATTTTGCTAACAATGAAGCTCTTAGATCTTCATTACTAACAACCCTTTCACCCCTCATGTCAGTCGTTATCTGTACACTGTTGAAAACTGTTGACCTCCCCCATAGACTATCATAAGGAACGGTATTGTTTCCTATGGCAGTATACCATTAGAGGATTTTGCTAGTAGTTACCACGCTTAGTAGGCGCGTTGGCAACCGCGGTTTAATTTTTGGCGATGTTTTTAGAGAGACGTTGCTGTCTATCGCTCGACCATTAAGCACCTTTAGTCGCCTCTTACTACATCCACGGGAAAGAGAGGGGTGGCCCATTCTATGCTGGGACCACATGACAACATACAACATATTTCTATATTATTATAATATTTTTTTAGAAGTTATAATATAACCTCTGTCCCATTCGTGTTTCAACCGTGAAGCAGTTGTGTTTGCATGGCTGTGTTTCGGTTTGAAGAGTGGGATATGGCGAGAATTTACTGGGTACAGAGGAATAACACCTGAGTCCTCAGGAATGGCAACACATGTGGGGTATTATGGGTCAGACAGTATACTCTGTTATGTCCATGATACCGCTCATGTCTATAGGCGACATGAAATTTGTTTGATATTTTAAGTTGTATAAAAAAAAAAATAATAATCACAAGCAATACAAAATAACGACTTGGGTCCTCCATGACTTCCCAAATTAAATCAAATTGTTAATAACTCCCCTCCATTACAGAGAAAGCATCATCAGCGACGCTCCCGAAGCCTGAACAGAAGAAGGCGGACCACGGCCTGAAGCTGACCGCGCGCTCCTCCTTCTCCAAGTTCGAAGAGAAACGGCAGCGGCAAAGCGAGACCCTGAAGAAAGCCAATCTTCTCAAGTTTACAGTTTTTAAGAAGAGCAGTACAGGTAAACATATGGCAACGTGAAACGTTAGATTATACAGATCCACGAACACTCAAGTTGTGGAACCTCCCTGTCAAGGTTTTTCAAAGAGACTACAGCATGGGGTTCTTCAAAAGGGGGTAAAGAGGTTTTTTTAGGGTAGGTAACGCGCGCGTAATACCCCTGGTATTGCAGGCGTTTATAGGCTACGCGTAACAGCTTACCATCTGTTTGTAATGTGGGCCGTTTGCCACCTCAGTGGTTTAAAAAAGTCTTTGTCATGTTCCACCATCTCTCTTCTTCGTCCTTCTTTTTGTTCGGTTTCCATTTGGTTTATATGTTTGCCATTAAATATGAATCCAGAAAGTGACTGTGTAAATGCCGTCTACATGGGTTATGGTAACCTTTATCGACCTTTATTTCGGAAACTATAAGTCAGCACGAACCGGAGGGAGACTTTGTACAAAAGTCGATTGTTTGGGTCTGTCCCATTCGTGTTTCAGCCGTGAAGCAGTTGTGTTTGCATGGCTGTATTTCGGTTTGAAGGGTGAGATATGGCGGGAATTTACTGGGTACAGAGGAATAACACCTGAGTCCTCAGGAATGGCAACGCATGGGGGTATCATGGGCGAAACAGTATACTCTGTTATGTCCATGGTACTGCTCATGTCTATAGGCGACGGTTACCACTTTCCATCAGGTGGACCGTCAGCTTGTTTACCATTCAAAGTTGTATAAAAAAATGAGAATCTTTAATTTACAGTTATGGAATATTGTGATTTAAAATATATTTGTGAAGAAAATATATAGAAAATTGACTCTTGTTCATGCTGGTATTTGCTTGTGTGAGGCCGCGGTGTTGCTTGACTCACCTGTGTTACGTGTATACATTTGTACATTGCTCATATTGTCCTACACCTACCCTTTATATGTCCTTTACTTTTTTTTTTAATGGATGATAATAGAGTGGTAACCCCGCCAAACGTGCTAACGCTATACGCTGGCGAGGCACCAGTGAAGGATGATAGGTGAGAATGAAAAGACAGGTCAGTTAGTCCATCGTGATGAATACACTTGGAATTCAGCACGATGGTTTCCAGCGGGGACCACGGGGAGGTCGACCTAGTTGTGTATATTGCTAGCAATCGGACCCTTAGTCTTCATTACTAATAATCCCTTCCCCTCTGTTCTTTATTTTGGATTGTCTGGAAGAGATTGCTTAGCGATAAAGCCTCCTTTTGTACCATTTTACCTCAATTCATGGTGCTGTTCATGTAGGATCGACGATCACTATATTTCGTCAAGTGGGCCGGCAGCTTATATATATATATATATATATATATATATATATATATGTATAGTGTAATTTGTAAGCAATTTTGGAAACCTATTAATTCAACACATTCAACGAGTTCCTGAGAAGCGAATTTTTAAATTTTTTTTTATACTAATTCAGATGACCACGACCACACTCCAGAGAAAAGGCCACCCGAGTTCAAAATACCGTCAATGGTCAACGATGGAATGAAACAAGATTTCCGCGCGCGTTTCCCGAACTTACCGCCACAAGTGGACAGAGATTCGCGCGTGTTTGTGCACACTTTCATCATGGACGTCATGAAGTGCGCTAGCGTGATGACTGTCGATGAGCTATCCGAGAGAGTGCAGAGACAATACCAGGTAAGTTATCTTTTTGAAATTATTTTTTAAGCAATATAGAATGGCAAACAATCTGATGGCCTACTTAATGGAAATTGTAATTGTCGCTTACAGACATGAACAGTACCATAGACATAACAGAATATACTGTATCGCTCACAATACTTTAAATGCGTTGCCATTTTCAAGGACTAAGGTGTTTTTTTTTTAATGGATGACAATGGAATGGTAATACCGCCTGCGCTAATGGTGTACGGCAGGGCACCCGTGAGGGTTGATAGGTGAGGATGAAAACAGGTCAGTTAGTCCATCGTGATGAATAGACCTGGAATTCAGCACGATGCTTTCTAAGGTCGACCTAGTTGGGTATATTGTTAGCAATGGGACTCTTAGTTTCCATTACTAACAATTCCTTCCTATTTACTGTTATATATATTTAATTATTAAATTATTATAGCTGTAAGTTTCATTCAATACTAATAAATAAATAAATAAGTAATATAATAGATAGATAATTTATTTACATTATTTACAGCACACAAATTACAATATATATAGATATACATAAAGAGCGAGATAACATAAATGATTTAAAAAAAATACATAAAGCTAAATACAATTTTTCGTTTGTACGTGTACCATAACAATACAAAATGGTCACAACTCAGTTTATTGCTTCGCCCTCAAAAGAGCAAAGCACTGATATTGTGTTGAGGCCAAAGGGAATAGGGTAACAATAAAACAATACTACCACAGATAGACATATATACAGTAAACAGACAGATATGACAGTTTATCTAGCAAACAAATGGAACATAGAGGTAACTTGCTGAAATGTCTAACTTTTGCCTCTCAATTAAGAATTTTTGTAAATTAATTTTGATAGTGGACTTAGTGGCAATAATACATTCTGATGTAGAAAGTTGATCACAATCCTTGTCCGATAGCGTTTTATGAAACACATGGACACGTCGCAACACTTCGCCAACGTGGAGCCCGACACCAAGGAACAACTCATGGACTTCGTGGAGAAGCACGCCATGACGTATTTACACGAGTGAGTACTCACCATGATGTTTATGTACTTATATGAATAACAGTTTTATTTTTAAAATGTCACGTCTTTCTCAATTGGACGCAAAGAGAGACGACGTAAAAGTTTGACCAGCAGCAGTAATATATTACAATTACAAAAGCGATGGTAAACTTGCATGGCCTTATTGGTAAGTAAATTATATATATAAGAATAGAACAGGATGCCATTTAGAGCTGCATCAAGCATCAAGATCTGCAAATAAAATAATAAGTATGAATACCCATTTTTTTTTCTCTCTTTCTCTCTCTCTCTCTCTCTCTCAATTTTTTTCTCTCTCGGATATCTTTGGATACGAATATTTGGCACATCACTACTGTTTTCTACGTATAATTTACTAGAAGTTTTTCTCAAACATGCTTGGAAATGTGAGTATTATTTTGATAATCTTCTTCGAGATAAATGAAAAATGCCGTACTGACCAGATACATGCGGGCAGCGGCCGGCAAAAGTTGTATGAAAATCCATATCTGTCGTATTTTGCGGCCAAATAAATTACTATGTAAACTCATATCTGTCCTGTAATTTAAAAATGGAATGACCTTTTACTTTGAAATATGGCTACCAAGGAGGTAACTAATAAAAGGTTTTATTTAAATTTCGAACTGGTTTGCAAATAGAAAGCTGTTATTGGAAAAAAAAAACGAACATTATGGCGTGCGAAAAATGATTATTGTTCGTTATTCGTCATTGAATTTAAAAAGTAAAATTGTGTTTTTGATTTCCGCGCATTGTTTGAGAAAAGTACTATACAAGCCTTGGCCATAATTAGGCATTGATGGACTCACATATGTGTGCCTCGGCTACGCCTCGGTCCACATTTGTACGTTCGTCCATCAATGCCTCAGTTGCTGGTCGCTGCAGTAATGTACTATTATTTTGGTACCATATTGAGAAGTAGTCAAACTAATTGATTTTTCTACTTCCGAAATTCACTAGTTATTTGATGAGAATTATTTTGTTTAATTCCGCTACCGAAAACAAAATATTTCTAATATTTTAAAATACACGTGTACCAAGTAGTGGGTAAAAAATTGGTAATATCTACATATATTTTGCCAGCTTACCGTCCATCGTGTTCTCTCCTATCGGCACGGACGACGAACGAGCTGACCGCGCCATGTCCGAGCGGATCCAACAGCTAAGCTGGGTCGGCGAGAGGCACCTCGAGTGCAAGCTGGACAGGAACAGCGCCTCCTGTCGTCAGCTGTTGTACAAGGCAATCAGTGGTTAGTGTTCAATTATCTATTGTATTTGTCTAGATTTTATTGTTCAAAGTTTCATACGAATATCGGTGGTAAATACTGGTGCCTTATCATACGGGTTCTTCGGATGTCCAGTTTAGGCACCAGAGGGCCGACCATGAAATGTTTTCCGAAATTTCGGATCCGAACGAAACACAAATTTGATGTTAAAATTACACGATACGTACCGTTTAAAAATATTAAAAATGCTAAAGTATCGTTCATTTGGACTTTTATGGTAGGATTTATGACAAATGAAATCTTAAGCTCTATTTATAGAGCCGATTTTGGTACGAACAAAAACGCGAAATTGAGTCTGAAACTTCGGAATTTCATTTCATGGTAGGCCCCCTGGTGCCTTGTGATACGGCTTCTTCGGATACTCAGGTACCAGTTCTCTACAACTTTGATGTATCTATGGTATTATTTTACGTGTTTCATTGTACTAAAAAAATTTACATTATTATTAAATTATACTTTAATGTAATAACTACTGGTTTAACTATAGTTAGGGGGGAAAGGGATTGTTAGAAATGGTTTGGAACAACCCCATTGCTAGTAATACACCCTATCAGGTCGACCTCCACGTAGTTCCTCCTGGAAATCATCATGGTTAATATTTGTCGAATTCTTCACGACGGGCCGACTGATCTGCCTTCATCATCATCTATCATCTATCACTGGTGACTCGCCAGCGTATACCGATAGCGCAGGCGGGGATACTATTCCATTTTCACTCATTAAAAAATAAAAAAAAAACTTAAGCGTTATATTTGAAAATGAAAAGAAAATAATTGTAATCAATTAATGTTTCTTTCGTCATGATGGGTGGACTGATCTGGCATCATTCTTACCTATCATTACTCAGATACCCTGATGCTGGTATACTGATAGCGCAGGCATGGTACATACAATTTACATGCTATTAAATAAAAGTCCCTGTTACCAACAATCTTATCCTTTTATATCTTATCTCTCACCAGAGGGAGACTTTGTACAAAAGTCGATTGCTTGGGTACCTCTGTCCCATTCGTGTTTCTACCGTGAAGCAGTTGTGTTTGCATGGCTGTGTTTCGGTATGAAGGGTGGGATATGGCATGAATTTACAGGGTTCAGAGGATTAACACCTGAGTCCTCAGGAGTGGCAACGCATGGGGGGTATTATGGGCGAAACAGTATACTCTGTTATGTCCATGGTACTGCTCATGTCTATAGGCGACGGTTCCCACTTTCCATCAGGTGGGCCGTCAGCTTGTTTGCCATTCTAAGTTGTATAAAAAAAAACCATTCCCGTATAATTTGTGGCTGTATGTTTGTATTGTGGCAGAGTTGCTAAGCATGGACAGCGCGGCGTCCCCCGGCGGCAAGCTGCGGCAGGTGCGGCGCTGCTGCCGCCACGTGTTGGCGCTGTGCGGCCGCGACGGAGCCCCGGCCTCCGCTGACGACCTGCTGCCCGCACTCATATTCACGGTTAGCTGCCATCGTATTTTTAAGCTTTTTTCAAAAAAGGAAATTCTCAGTATTTTTTTTTTTCAATCTTTTATTTAACTTGAAATGTATACTAGTTTGTCGTGGGTAATTTTTCCAAGCCAAATAAACAGAGGCTCTTATCCGGTTTTTACTGCAATTGTGCATCAAGCACAATATCAGTATCAATGTTAAACAAAGTTATCCAAAGTTAAACAAAAGCCTCTCTCATACGGAGGAGGGGGGCTGCCAGTAGTTGCCAAGCTTAGCGGACGGGTTGGCAACCGTAGTTAGCCTTTGCAAACGTTTTAAGAGGAACGACGCTGCCAATCCTTCGGCTATTAAATTCCCTTAAGTTTTTTTTTTAATGAGTGATAATGGAATGGTAACCCTGCCTGACAGTTAGATCCCATTACTAACAATCCCTTTCCCCATTCCCTTTAGTTAAGAGATGACCTCTTACGACACCCATGGGAGGGGGGAAAGGGATTGTTAGTAATGGGGTCTAACTGTTCCATTGCTAACAATACATCCTATCAGGTCAATTTCCACGCGGTTCCCTTTGGAAACCATCGTGGTTAATTCTAGCGTAATTCGTCACGATGGGCTTTCATTGTCACCCCTCACTCCTCACTGGTGCTCCGCCAGCGTATACCTGTAGCGCAGGCGGGTACCACTCCATTATCACCCATTAAAAAAAGACACTCATGGAAAAGAAAGGGGTAGTGCTTAAACACAATTAATACGTAATTTCAACCTTATTTGCAGGTGCTAAAGGCGAATCCGCCGCGGCTAGTGAGCAACATCAATTTCGTGACTCGATTTTGCAACGCACAGAGGCTGATGACCGGCGAGGGCGGTTACTACTTCACTAACTTGGTAAGCGTTACAGTTTTACTGCTCTGTCTTACATTCAGTTTTTTTTTTATGGGTGAAAATGGTATGGTAACCCCGCCTGCGCTAACGGGATACGCTGGCGGAGCACCAGTGAAGGGTGATAGATGAGAATGAAAACAGGCCAGTTAGCACATCACGATGAATTCATCAGGAATTAACCATGATAGTTTCCAGGGGGAACCGCGAGGAGGTCGACCTGGTTGGGTACATTGCTAGCAATGGGATTCTCAGTCTCTATTACTAACAATCCCTTTCCCCCCAAACTTACATTCAGTTAGGTCAATTCAGTAGAAAACAGCGCCATCTTTGTCTATTGGTCAGTATAGTTTTTGTTCACGTAAATAATGTTTGATCGTGGGCACACGTGGTTTCGGTAGCATGCTAAATGAACCTGAAAATTACTGAATTCACTTTCTGATTTCCTTCTTGTAAACACACTGACAAGTATTCTGATTGAATAATATCAAAATGTATTATATCTTTAAAATTCATTGAATAACTGAAATATAATATATCAGAAGATTCATTCTACAGAGATTGAATCATAGACAATCATAGTTACATTTTTTACTAGATCATAGACTATAAGAACCAAGATCCTGTCCATTAGGAATAAATTATGATTAATTGAACTGTATATAGAAATTTCAATAAGAAGACATGTTGAAGTATATTTTTTTTATACAACTTAGAATGGCAAACAAGCTGACGGCCCACCTGATGGAAAGTGGTAACCGTCGCTTATAGACATGAGCAGTACCATGGGCATAACAGAGCATACTGTTTCGCCCATGATACCCCCCATGCGTTGCCATTCCTGAGGACTCGGGTGTTATTCCTCTGTACCCTGTAAATTCACGCCATATCCCACCCTTCAAACTGAAACACAGCCATGCGTTTACAACTGCTTCGCGGTAGAAACACGAATGGGACAGAGGTCAATCAATCGATCGACCCAAGCAATCGACTTTTGTACAAAGTCTCCCTCTGGTAAATGGTAAATATAATATTGGGTAACCAAGTATTTACGAATTTATCACAGAATAATAATACTGTAAATAAAAGTAGTAATAAATCAATACATTCTGTCTATTCCTTAGGGAATTGCAACGCATGAAGGGTATCATGGGCGATACAGTATACTCTGTTATGCTCATGGTATTCATTTCATGTCGTTTAGCAATGGTTATCACTTTCCATCAGGTGGCAGTAGTAAGCTGGGCCGTCAGTTTGTTTGCCATTCTAAATTGCTTAATAAAAATTAATCGACTTTTAAAACTAGATTTTTCAATAATACAGTATGTTGTTGATTCAAATTTAATTAAATTAAAAAAAAAAGCAAAAAGCTTCAGATTATAATTGGTGTTTTAATAAATTTTTCACCCTAAATAGAGTGGCGTATCCCTTCTTTTCTCGTGGGTGTCCTAAGAGGCGACTAAGGTGTCTTAATGGTCGAGGGATGGGCATCAGTGGCCCATTTTAAAATATCACCAAAGCCTAACTGCGGTTGCCAACCCGCTTGTCAAGTATGGTAACTACTGGCGAAACCCCCTTATGGGGGAGGCCTATGTTCAGCGGTGGACAGTTTACGTCTGATATGATATGATATGTTATATCACCAGTGCTGCGCGGTGTCTTTCATCGAGAACCTCACAGCGGAATCCTTGAATATGGACAAGAAGGAGTTCGATTGTTACATGGCGATGCCGGCGAGCATTGGGGGAAGCTCGTGGGTGAGTATCTATCTATTTTTGCCGTGTGGTTCCACCATAGAATAGGCCACATTTCCTTTCCCGTGGGTTTTGTAAGAGGGCGAGTGATAGACAGCGGCGTCCCTCTTGAAACATCTCCAAAGCATAACTGCGATTGCCAATCTACCTGCCAAGAGCGGCAACTATTGGCAAGATCCTCTAAGGGGAGGCTTATGTTCAGCAGTGGACAGTTAAAGGCAGATATCTACTGACGATTTATTTATTTGTAGCATTATGATATTTTGTAGGCGGCGGCGTTACTGCTGTGCGGCGTGGAGCGAGAGGCGAACGAGCAGCGTGCGGCCGCGCAGAAGGCTCGCGAGCAACTGCAGGACCTGCAGCATCGCGCCGACCGCCTCGCCGCCGACTCGCACTCCTTCGAGGTATACTGTCATTTTATTAATAACTATTGGCCCGTCCCGGCGTCGCGCGGGTGGACATTTTTACATTTTAAAAAGTGGCCATCAAGGCTGCACACGCGATGGAAGCTTAAAAATGGAGTAACTACTCCCGTTTTCCCAACATTTCCCTTCGCTGCTCTGCTCCTATTGATTGTAGCGTGATAAAAAGTATACTATAACCTGCCCAGGAGTATGAAGAATAATTGTACTCAAGTTTCGTTAAAATCTGTTAAGTAGTTTTTGTTTCTATAACGAACATACAGACAGAGAGACAAAAATTTTACTAATTGCATTTTTGGCATCAGTATCGATCACTAATCACCCCCTGATAGTTATTTTGGAAATATATTTCATGTACAGAATTGACCTCTTTACAGGATTGTTATAAGTATAGATAATAAAATAATAATAATACACTATCATACAATTTACATATATTTTTAAAATATGAACACTTAATATAAATTGATTTTATACATATTTACAGGAACAAATTTCAAAGAAAGTACAAGACGTCCTTTCGAAGACACCGTTGGAAATAAAACCGCGGCGCGAACTGCCACGCATAGGAAAATTGCGGGAAATCTCATCCACACCACTCATAGATCTGGATACAAGCACCTCTGAGGACACCAGACCGCTCCAAGATGTTACAGATAGTCGGCAACCTAGTCAATCGAATGGTAATGCCTTCATACAGGACTCTCAAGTGGAACCACAAACACAGTCTTCAAAACCTGTTACGGCTACAGAAGATACAGAGAAGCTAAACATTCTAGGGTTCGAAGTCATAGACAAGCCATCACCAACAAAGTCTCCCCAAACTATAGACCAGCCGTGGGATCTCAAGCAGACTAGTTCACTGGAACTCCTCACACCATCTCCACTAGGATACACACCGTTCGACTCCAGATCTATAGACGAATTGATGACGCCGGACGAGTTCGGCGCGGACCACTTGGCGCCAGGACTGGGTAATATAAACTACGATATAGACCTGTCCGACTTCAGCGGAGACAACAGTATAGCTGAAGATGCCCCAAAACCAGAAGCCAAAGACCCCTTTAGTCCTGATGTGCTTAAGAAGCAGATGTTCGACCCCTTCGCCCCACAGCCACAGCCAGAATCTCTAAACTCTATTTTAGAAAAATTCGATGAGTTCAGTTTAACATATACAGGTAATAAGACGTTAGATCCGTTCGAAATAGTCCACAGAGGGGCAGATCCCTTCAGCCCACCTGGGTTCACTGGCAGTTTGCCCCAAAATAGTAGTAGAGACCCGTTCAGTCCTGTACAAAATGAGTCCACATCTATTTTGGACCATAACGAGTCACCTACAGCAGCGTCACTGCTACCGTCCCCTTTACAACCCCAGAGTAGTGAGAAACCATCATAATGTGTGCGTAAAGTTAGTTAATTGTTAATATTTGTTATAATGTTATAACCAAAGTTAATTTCGGCCGGTGCTGATAATTTACAAATTGAAATTATTTCTATTTACAGGCTGATAACTAGCCAATACAATCTCACGATCACGAACGACAAAGGCAACGGGCCGTCACATATGCAGCTATAATAATTAAATACAAATTTATTGAATAAATTAAAATAAACAATTAAAAATATTGAATTGAGTGACCATAGATAAAAAAATATGTCATCCTTAATCAATTGTATAAATTAAAACAAATAATTAAAAATAATAAATGACCACAGATTAAAAAAATAATTATGTCATTGCTTAATCAATTGTAATATAAGATTTTTTAATCTTATTCTTATTTCAAACTTCCACCAAAAAGTTTTTGGTAGAAGGTTGATGACATAGTTTTATTTTTTTGCGTCTATGGTCATTCACAAATTATTTTTAATTATTTGTTTTAATTTATACAATACATTTATATAGAATTATTATAGCTGCATATGTGACGGTCCGTTGCCTTTATCATTCGGGATCGCGGGATCGTATTCTCTATTTATAACACTATTTATTATATAGGGTCATATTTAAACCACTATTATGAAGAGGAAAGACTTATTTGTTTGTAATGGATAAACTCAAAAACTATTTAAGCGATTTTAAAATCGCATTCACCTATAAAAAGATACATTATCAGTGGGCATAATATAGGCTATATATTATTTAAAAAAATCCTATCTACACATGCGAAGTCGGGCCGGATCTCTTGTTATATAAATTTTAGTATCATGTCAGGCTTTTTTTTTATTATTATACAATTAAAAATGGCAAACAAGTTGACGGCCCATCTGATGGAAAGTGGTAACCGTCGCCTATAGACATGAGCAGCACCATGGACATAACAGAGTATACTGTTTCGCCCATGATACCCCCCCATGCGTTGCCATTCCTGAGGATTCAGATGTTATGCCTCTGTACTCAGTAAATTCACGCTTAAAACAAAGTGATTTCAGTTAAGAGTATTCTAAATTTAATAAAATATATTTTGTTTATATACATTTAAACGCAAGTCGATAGCTTCAGCTTTATCCAGATATAATCCCTATATATTTTATAGTGTAATATAAGCCTTTAGTGACGGCGTGACCCATAATGCGATGGCACATAGTGTTCAAATGCGAAATGCAGTGAATTGATTCTTGCAAGTAAAGGAATTGCTCCTAGTTGTGTATAAGAGAAATGTATTATCCCAGTGTTGGATTGTTAAATATAAATTAATCATTAAAAATATATTAAATCATATGTTATGTTTACATCTCAGTCAGGTATTGTTATAAAGAATTTTCAAGGCATTTTTTATTTGATCTGCTCTCTGTAAGATATTCCGGTTTCATGATATGAATGCGGGGAGGTAAGTAAGCGTAGTTCAATAGGAAATGTCAAATAAGAACTCTGTGATAAGTGTCGTTAGATTGTAAGTGCAATACGGGCTAAGATTAGGGACTGTTGCTTCACTAGGACCATATAACACTATGCGTTTAGCATCAGACATTTCGTGGCGGCTGCTTCGTCGTCTTAACGATTATTACTAAGTGTTCTCACGAATTGTTCGGATTGATAACTGCTGTTTATTTTTTACCACAGTACAACCCCCCCCCCCCCCCCACAAAATAGTTTCATCCCAACCACCTGCACGAGTGGCGGTATTCCATAGTATGTTTTTAAAGCACTTTCTTTCAGACACAACCATGCCTTGGAATCGACTTCCAGCAGCAGTATTTTCGATTACGATATTGTAATTAAAAAAAAAAAAAACATATTCCTTTTTTAAAAGCATATTGCAATGCCTCTGGTGTTGCGAATGCTTATGGGCGGCGGTATTCACTTACCATCAGGTGAGCTGTATGATCGTGTACACGTGTTTAAAAAAAAGCTGTGTTCAAGTTTGTTGTTGTGTGTATGAAAATTTAAGTTTTCGAAACCTTACAAATTTTTCTTTAGACGTGCCGCTGCATCGACCTTCCCTAAAATCAATCTAATTACCACGCCCTAGAGTTTGATTTTGCGCAGAATAAAGTGTTACCGAACTGCCGAAAAGCAATTGATGATGCAAACGCTGTCGTGTATTATGGTCCTTAGTCCACAATCTTGAACATAGGTAATATTCAATTAAATAGCTAATTATATTGTTTTTATTTTAGTATTCCTTAATCAATTATACAATCGAATGTATTCAGCGGGTCTACCATAAAATGAAATTCCGAAATTTCGGACTCAATTTCGTGTTTTTGTTTATACCAAAATCGGATCAATAAATAGAATTTAACATTTTGTTTATCATACATCCTATCATAAAAGTCCAAAAGAACGATATTTTAACATTTTTAATATTTCCAAACGGTATGTATTATGTAATTTTAACATCAAATTAGTGTTTCGTTTGGCTCCGAAATTTCGGAAAACGCTTCATGGTAGGCCCTCAGATTATGTTACAGTCAAACTTCTATCCGGTAAAATCTACTTATGACTGCATATATAAGTACAAAAATAAATATTAAAATAAGTGTTACTTTTGCAGTTTTTCCCCGGTTAAGAGTTTTCACTGTGACATAATATTGTTAAAAATTGGAAAAAGCTGGATAATACCGAATAGATTAATCAAAAATATTATTTATTGAACAATGTAAAATAGCAACCCTACATTTTGTGTAAGGCCAATAAAAATGTAATTATAATATATTAAAACAAATATGTTTTTTAGTGGACGCAGTTTAAATTGTGCCCCCGCCTGCGCTGCTGGTTTACGCTGGCGGGGTTTTTAGTGGATGATAATGGGATGGTAACCCCGCCTGCGCTGACGGTACACGCTGGCGGGGCATCAATGAGGGATGATAGATTTTTTTTATACAACTTAGAATGGCAAACAAGCTGACGGTCCACCTGATGGAAAGTGGTAACCGTCGCCTATAGACGTGAGCAGTACCATGGATATAACAGAATATACTGTCTCGCCCATGATACCCCCCATGCGTTGCATTCCTGAGGACTCAGGTGTTATTCCTCTGTACCCAGTAAATTCACGCCACATCCCATCCTTCAAACCGAAACACAGCCATGCAAACACAACTGCTTCACGGTTGAAACATGAATGGATGATAGATGATAATGAAAGTGCAGGGTAGTTATTCCATCGTGATGAATATACCTGGAATTCAGCACGATGATTTCCAGGGGGAACCACGTGGAGGTCAATCTGACAGGATATATTGCTAGCAATGGGACTGATAGTCTGCATTACTAACGATCATATTTCCAGGATAATACACACGTTTTAATATTAAAACTACAATGGGTATATTACAAAAATTTATTTCAACTAGATTTTTTTTTATTTGATATATAATTTGATAATATTTAGAATACTATCTCCCATCAGAGGTAACATGAACGTATGATGCTCGTAGCGTAGGAGATAAAGAAATAAGTTGGAATACCAGAAATTAGACGAACTACAATTAAGTAACATGTTTTGTACGAATAAAATGAAGCTATCAGCTAACCTATATCCACCAATACCCCTAATATAATATTAAGAGGGTCGTAGACAATTAGGTTGATATAATTACATTTGCTGTCGAAAATTATTACTAGTTTTAATTTTCCGCGTGAACGGGATAAAAAATAGCTTATATCCTTCATTCCCATATAGTTTCGTGTATAGCAAATTTTATAGTGAAGCAGTTGTGTTTGCATGGCTGTGGTGCACGGTTTGAAGGGTGGGATATGGCGTGAATTTACTGGGTACAGAGGAATAACATCCGAGTCCTCAGGAATGGCAACGCATGGGGGGTATCATGGGCGAAACACTATACTCTGTTATGTCCGTGGTACTGCTCATGTTTATAGGCGACGGTTACCACTTTCCATCAGGTGGACCGTCAGCTTGTTTGCCATTCTAAGTTGCATAAAAAAAAAAGAAGCTGTTATGTCGCTATAAGGTAATAAACAAACTAACATTTATATTAGTATAAGGAAGTAAGGATTTTCGATGACAATTAAACACGCTGTTTCTCCAATTGTCGGAAGCATGAGTTTACTTCGTGAATGTTTTAGACTCGAGGTAGATTCTAGATTTGACTAGGTATTTTCTATTACTGTTCAATATTTACTTAATTGCATAATCTATCGGTGAAATAGACAATTACGGGAATATCCCGATTTATATATTTTTTTTATACAACTTAGAAAAGAAAACAAGCTGACGGCCCACCTGATGGAAAGTGGTAACCGTCGCCTATAGACATGAGCTGTACCATGGACATAACAGTATACTGTTTCTGCCATGATACCTCCCACCTGCGTTCCCATTCCTGAGGACTCGTGTGTTATTCCGTCTGTACCCAGTAAATTCACGCCATATCCCACCTTTCAAACCGAAACACAGCCATGCAAACAACTGCTTCACGGTTGAAACACGAATGGGACAGAGGTACTCAAGCAATCGACTTTTGTACAAATCCCTCATTCATTATTTAAAACCGACAAAATTTAGAGATACTAACGTTTCGATACGATAATTAATTTCATATAAAGTTACCCATTGATATCAACCTCATGGTGTAGACCATAGAAAAAAAAAACCATTGAGCTCTACGAATCCGTCTGATGTCAGAGTTGAAATTAATTTCTATTAATTATATACAGATTCATTCATATTTCTTTTCTTTGCCGTTTCTTAAATGATAAGTACCATAGACACTTCAATTGTTAATTTTAAAACATGGAAATAATATGTACTATTCATTATTTCCTTAGGTTAAAAATGGTACTTAGCATTCTCTTTCGACGCTCTTTTCTATACAATTACAGAGCAAGGAAAAAGGTTTTATACGAAACCTCTCAATTATTAAGACTGATCAATATTGATATTTAAAATTAAACTCACAGTTCAATACCATTGAGTTGAATATGGTTTCCTTTTGTATTTGGAATTAATCTAGTGGCCTAGTCGAATCAAGTGGCAAAGAATTCCATTTTCAAATTGAAATGGCATAGTGGGCGTTTTTATATTTTTCCTTAGAGCTTCACGATATCGTATGATTTTACCGTCACGATACAGTGGGAGAGCAAAATGTATGCATTATTATGGAGACGCTATTTAGCACCGCCGTAAACTTTCCGTGCTAAACTTAGGCTTTCCTATAGGATTGTCGTGACAACTCTGCGTACATGCATGGTTTACGGAGATATCGTAGAACACTTATGCTCCCTGTAGGAATGTGACGGCAATTAAGGGAATGCAGTGTGTATATACACAAATTTTAAACATGTGTGAGGTAAGCAGAGTTCTGCCCACCTCCTAGGGAGATTTCCTAACTTTAAGAGGAAATTATATGCATTTTTTTTACAGTTGATTTAAAAATGGAATATGTTTCGATTTTCACTGAATGTTTAATTTTTATTTTAAACCTATTTATTAACATGTTTTAAGCAATATTTTCTGCAAATCTGAACTTATTTTTTTTGTTATTTAAAAATCAAAATTTAGAATGTGTTTAGATATAAGTGAGAGTTATTAGAGATTAGAATTTAGAAATGTTTTCTACGTTCGAAATGTGAAAACAGGTATTTTATTATTAGAGAGGCTTTTTCAGGCATAAAAACCTGTGACACTATACACAAATTGATAAGCTAGTTTTGAAGTCGGTTGAAAATGTGGTAATATCGTGGCCGTTAACGGTAAATTATTAGTGTTCAATTGCACGATATATCATGGAACTGCATGATAATATCTTGGTCACGATAAATCGTGCAAGATAAAAAATAAAAACGCCCAATGTACAACACTAGCCCTTTGCCAAAACTTAAAAGTAATTAACTTGAGATATTTAAAAATGGAATACTCGTTAAAGTCTAGACACATTTGAAGATAACAAAATTATTTGACAACCTTTTTTTTTTTTAAATACATTCTTAGCCTATTCAGTCCACTTGTGACCACGTAGTACCTCAATCGTAGCCAGCATACAGAGTTATATACAGGGTGTAACAGAAAGTATTTCAGTTTAATTATCAGTATCATTTATAAATCTAAGTAATATTTGCGAGGACCCCAAATCGTAAATCTCGATGAATAAAATACTTGACAATATGTGTAATAGGTTCAAAAATTTTAAGATTTTGTTTAAAAAAGAAACGACTTTGATCGTGACATCAATAAGGCAATAAACTCTTTCCATTGCAAAAAGAACCAACGAAATTGGTTAGGTATCTCGTAATATATCTAAAAAAATATATTTCGACTGTATTTTTTTTTCTATGAGAATCAAGGGCGTTCTTATAATGTTATTTTATTATTATTAAATTTCTTCCACTGATCCTATTTTTCTTCAACTCTTGATATTATTTAAATTGAACTTAATTTATACCCATGTTCCTTGGGTAAAAATTAGTTTTGTTTTGATTGTTATAAACTATGTTACACCCTGTATAGTCTCATGGTGCTCCCAAACTGAATATACAAATGTATATAGAATACACATAAAAAAATGTTACAATTTATTAAAAATATATTGATTTGAAATTACTGCCTGAGAAACGAAAGCTAAATATAGCTTCATTGGCAACTAGTTAAATTACAAAATAAACTATAAAGTTGGAATTTAACAGATGGAACATTTAAGAGGTCTGAAGATTCACTAAAAATAGTATTATGGCCCATCCGATGGCATTCGATTTATACGTAATACAAATATTTATATTTGTTAATTTGTTCGTTTATATTTGTCTAGGTGTCTCCTTAATAATTAGGTTTAATGTATATTTACAAAAAGTAATAAATAATGCAAACTCATACTAAGCAGTACTTGTCAAGTTCTGTTTAGTATGGGACTGGATGAGGCTGTGTGAATCTCCAGACCTTTTTTTGACGCTACCTCTCTGCCTTACCCACAATGGACTTGGCTTAAAGATAGATAAATTGTTCACTAGTATGGGAGCACCATTACGAAGCGACATCACAACGTTGTTTAAGAACTCTTTAACAATGATTTCATGCATTTATATACATAATGATTATAAATGTTAGTTTATATTTTTGTTCTTTATTTGGAATAAATAAAATCACTATCTCTCGCGAGATGTTAAAATGTTTCATCGTAAACAACATTCACAAGGCATTTACATCGAGAATTTCAATTTCTACTTAATTCTAACGAACACACAATGTACAGAAAAAAAAATGTCCGACTGAAGACCTATTACTGAGGGCCTACCATGAAATATTTTCCGAAATTTCTGGGACGAACGAAACAGAAATCTGATGTTAAAATTACATAATACATGCCGTTTAAAATTATTAAAAATGTTTAAATATCGTTCCTCTGGACTATTAGGATAGGATTTATGATGAACGAAATGTTAAGCTCCATTTACAGGGTCGATTTCGGTACGAACAAAAACACGAAATTGAGCCCGAAATTTCATTTCATGGTAGAGCACCTGGTTGCCGATGCGTGGATCGGGGAGTTAATGCATTATTTTTTAATGGCAAACAAGTTGCGAAATGCGGCAAATTACTCAATTTACGGATAGTGAAGCCATACAAGGGCATAATAAACACATTGCGACGCTCACTACGCACCTGTGTTGCCATTCCTAAGAAATAGGGTGTTAAACCTTCGTGCCCTTTAATTTCACTACTATGAAACTCGGCTATCTAGCACAGCTGCTTGGCAGCAGAAATACGAATCATGCAGTTCAGTTATACAGTGTCTTCATTAGGTTTATATTAATCTGTCAATTTTAATATACAATTTTCAATCAGCGAGTAAATCTAATTAGCTATTTATATTTGCTAGTTTAAAGTAAATCATTCAAATAAGTCGCGGCTTATGGGTGAGTCCTGTTTCCACCTTTAAAGTCAATAACAGCAGAAAATATATGCACTTAATGTAGTGGTTTGACCCTTTATATGTATAATGTAATGAGCAAGGTAATAGGACACTTGCTTATACTGTGCCCCTCTCCATACGTCGCCTTTCTTTAAGAGGTGAGGCATGATCAAAATTTATAGGCAATAATGGCCTTGTCTAATAATTTATTATAATGTTAAATAATATAAATCATTTCAAATAGAAGTCATATTAATTAATAAATAAAAATTTTTAGTCAGCAAACAACGATGACTTTGAGAATTTTCAATAAGGTACAATATGAGATACATGAGTAACTAACAAAGTAGCAATTTGCAAAATTGAGTAAAGGAAAGAGGAAAATTGTTAAAAATTAAAAAAATAGACTTCCTCTGATCATTTTATGGGATTATGTGGCTTCAAATAGTAATATCTGTCTAATAATGTTTATTTTTATTATTTGCCTCTTTATTTTGTAAATAGGAAATACCAAGTATTAATTTCGTGTTTACACTGAATTTGTTTCTTTTTTTTTCTATTATCTATAGAATCTTTAGATTCCTTAAGAATTTTAATACTAATCAGACATTTACTCTAAGTTATTGCTTTTATTTTAATATGCTTTGAAATAATTTTATTAAGAACGCTTCAAGAGTTTTAAGGCTCAGTCAGACACTATGAACAATGAAAAGGAACATTTTTGGTTTCATCCGTTGACAAATACTAAAAAAATGTCAATTAAAATTAATTATTATAATTGGCAATTATTACAAACAGCTGTAACAAAACTATAATTACTTATATATTGATTTTTTTTTAACATAAATTATTTTCTATCAATACTTTATACACAAACTTGTTCAATTAGTTTATTGACACAAAAATATACTAGGCACACAACATAACACATATTGGATAATTGCAGCTGGTATTATAAAGGACAACTACAGACTGTGAGTAGTGATTAGGCAATAGAAATTGTGACATTGATTCCGAGGTTTCCATTGTCTGCAAACAGTTGTGCCAATGATGTGTCAAATACGAGACAGTCAGAGTTCATGATAGCAGAAGAGACACCTTCGTGGATAGAGCGTGGCATAGCTTCCCACGTGAGACGCCTTCGATGTCCATTCAGTTCTAGCCTGTACGCAAAATTCTCAGCTTCCTTGCGAGAGCCTATGAGTTGGACTATAGCGAAGAACTGTTGGTGTCCATCAAATTTTTCTTGTTTCTCTAGTACTAACATGAAGTGGTGGTTGAAGCATGACTGCATCATTACCCAGTCCACAGCTCCAGGAAGATTGATGTCGGTGGCGAGGAACACTATGTCCTCACCTTGCAAGGTAGTTATGCTTTTGTGGGACATCATTAGGTGTGGCATTACTTGGTCGAGACCACCTTGCCACTTACATGATGCCCCTGGACACGGACAGGAGTATGGTCTGAACTCGCAAGCCTCTTCGTGCTCAGCCTTTTCTGTGTGCACCAGTGTAACTGTGCAACCAGTATTTGAGTGTTTACACGGGAACATTACATTACTAGCGACTTTTTCCATAGCAAGGTTCCGTATGTTGCCGAGAGGGCCGCGACAAGTCGGACAGCAGGATAGCTTGGGTCGGCAGCTGGAGCAGACAAGGTGTCCGCTCTGGCACTGCAGTATTGGGGGCAAAACATAGTCAAAACAAACCGGACATTCGAACAACGACGCTAGGTCCGCCGACATTGCGGTGGGCACGTTCACTAGTGCGGGCACTCCAGACACAGAACAACTGGAACCGCTAGCTCCACGCCGCTTGTTGTTTGTGCTCATGTCACCGTCACGCGCACATAAAACCTGTCGATTTACGACCAATCAGTTCCCTCTCGTTATCTATTTAGTGACGTTTTTATATACGATTAACCTTCATTTGTATCCTTCCTCTGCTGATTTTCTCCGTCTTGTTGATACACTCAAGATAGTTTCCATTACAGCTCCTCGGGTTAATGTTTTCAATAACGTAGATGTCGAAATAGGTCCATTAGACTCGAGGACAACAAGTTGATAATTTTAAGTTGTTCTTTTACTCTTTGTACTCACCACTAGCCATTTAGCGTGTTAATAGGAAATAAATAAATACTGAATGTTCTAGTTCATCACAACAAGTTGAAATAGTCGCATAATAAAATTCAGCGACGATCAATCGAATGAAAGAAATTAAAGAAAGACATAAATGACAGTAGATACCTAATCATGATGTCATACCATAAACAATAGAACATTTTGACAATTGGTTGTGACTTGTCGCTGACTTGTGATTACGTCGTAGAAAGAGAACGACTAAATATAATTATTATTTTAACTCTATAGAGTATATATTTTCTGAGCTTCATAGAGAAATCAGGAGAAAAAGGCGAAGATTGCCTCCAAAAAAGTTAGGAGTGCTCAATGGAGTGAGACAGTATTTCACGCTAGAACACCGCTTGAAATTGTATAAAGCCCAAGTCAGGCCACATATGGAATACTGTTCTCATCTATGGGTAGGAGCGCCATAGTACCCGTTCCTTCCGTTAGACCGCATTCAAAGTCGGGCGGCTCGAATTATTAATGATCAGCGCCTTACTGTTCGGCTCGATCCACTGAAACTGCGTAGAGATGTTGTATCTCTATATATCTTCTACCGAATTTATCATAGGAAGTGCTCTGAGGAATTATTTGGTTGATACCTGCTGCTGATTTTCACCACCGTACAACCCGTCATAAACTAAAGTTTCATTCCAACCATCTGGACGAATGGCAGTCTTCTACCGTTCGTTTATCAATGTGCTTTCTTTCACGCAAAAGCACTCTTTGGAATCAACTTCCAGCAGCAGTATTTCTGAACCGATACGATATCATAACTTTCAAGAAAAGAGCATTTTTTTAAAGGTCGGTAGCATACTTGCAATGCCGTTGGTATTGTGGGTGATCATGGGCGGTGGTAGTCACTTACCATCAGGTGAGCCGAATGCTCGTTTATCCCCTATGTTGTAAAAAAAATAGGACCCGAATCTCTTATTAATAAAATTCGATTAATGTAACTTTAAGGGATAAGTTATTATTACTTTTGTATTAATAAATACGAAATGAATGAACTAGTCCAATTTTACTACGTAGTAAAACTTAAATGTATTCACCAGGTAGTATAGCGACGGATAAGGATGTAATTTCAGAAAATTTGATACCCTTGTTTTATGGTTCAGTCGCATAATTATCTTTCACATTACTATATCTTTACTTTTTAATGTTTACTGTCTTGACGTTGTTTGTATTTGTTTTTAAAGTTACATAAAATTCCTGAAGATATTATTACAATAATTTGAGGTTAATAAAATAAATAAATAAGATTAGGAACAATGTACACTGGTTAAATTATAAAAAATTCCATTACCCATATTGTGGAATTTTTATTAATTCAGATTTTGTAATTTAATTATGCTATGCTATATTATAAATCAGATTATATGCTCATTTTGTATAATTTAATATTTTTAATTAAAATAAAACAAATAAATATACAATTTCGAAAAATTGATTTGCACGCGATTAATTGAATCCATATCAATCAAATGTCAGTGTAATATCAGTTGACAATTACGAAGAATTTAACTCAAACTTGAAATCTGTCACTGTCAAAACAGCTTCGGTTTCGTTCACTAACTCATTCTTTTTATTTTTCATTGTTAGGGGTTCTTATGAATTACATGATAATCCCGGATTAAGGTATGTACTGTTATTCCGAGGTCACTCCATATGATATTAATAAACACTATTAAAACGAAGTTACTACATGGTTACTCTAGGATTATGTTAATCTCTGTTATGTTCATGGTACTGCTCATATCTATAGATGACGGTTACCATTTTCCATCAGGTGGGCCGTCAGCTTGTTTGCCATTCTAAGTTGTATAAAAAAAAAAGGATTCAACTAGTCCAAGTGCAAACTCAAATTATACTGGGAACATAATGTTTTTATTAATAATACAGCGAGATTTAAAGTTGACGGCATTTATTTGTTTAAAACAATGAATATGATGACAAATGATGCGAATTGATATGTGATTACAAAATTAAAGTATTTTAGTATAGATATTATTATTATTACTTTTATATTTTTTTTTGATTTGTGATAATGGAATGGTAACCCCGCCTGCGCTAACGGGATACGCTGGCGGAGCACCAATGAAGGGTGATAGATGAGAATGAAAACAGGCCAGTTAGCCCATCATGATGAATTCATCAGGAATTAACCATGATAGTTTCCAGGGGGAACTGCGAGGAGGTTGACCTGCTTGGGTATATTGCTAGCAATGGGATTCTCAGTCTCCATCACTAACAATCCCTTTCCTCCCACTTTTATATTTTAGCACGGGAAAAATAAAATGAAAGTAGAAAAAAAATTGCTATAACCTTGAAATTTGGCATAAATAATTATTAGGTTAAGATGATTAAAAAAAAGAGTGCATCTAAAATTGTGGGTACGTATTTAGGGGTTTAAAAGTAATAAAAAAAAAACAGTTTATGATATTAGGTATTATAATAGATAGCTTTAAAATTGAAAACTACTATTTCATATTTAAAATAAATTTACACTTTTATTATTCTTGATATTAGTAATTACAGGAGTCAATGATTAAGAATAAATACTATAATATGTATAAATGTGACAAATTAAAACATACATAAAATAGTTGTAGTGAATAAAGCATTCAAGTCTCTAAAAACGGGTATACTTATCATGTTATATTTTTTTAAAGGCGCAAATGTATTGTTTAACATTGGGTTATGACAAATAAAATTTTCAATATTTGACGTTAGATGGCACTGTACAAAACTGAATCAGACTATTGATGAGTTTTTACAACGAGTGTTATATGATTACTTTAACTTCTAACTCAACCGATTGGAATGAAATTTGGTATTTTTTTTGTAGACGTTGACCTCGCAAATATTGTGTGGTGGTACAGCGACATATTGTTTTTATTATAAAATTGTCATAATGTGTATTTAGGCAAAGGACATTTTCTATTTTTTTAAGCATTTTTGCGTTTATCCGTTATAAACAAAAAATAAAATTTTCCCTCTTCTTCATTGAAAGAAAGAATGACGTAGACTAACATTAATTTAGACTATTAGAATTAATATTTTTTTTTTTTTATCTTATTAATATAATAAAATTGTAATTAGGTCATGTCTGCACATAAGGGATATTTAAGAGAAATTGATGCAAGAGGTCTTAACAAGAGAAATAAATACCAAAAGGATAATTTTTAGAAATTTTGTTTGTTTGCTTTGCAAGCTGCAGTCCGCAGTGCGAGGGGAGACGCTGTAATTACAGATGGGCAAAGCACCGGGTTTAAACCCGGTGCTTTGGTAAAAACCCAATAAACACCCATAAACTCCCATAATCACCCAAAAAAATAGGTTTTTACGTATTTTTTTGAAAATATGTAAGTAATACCAATAAATTATTTTTATAAATTGTATTGATCAATTCTACAATATTAAATAAAACGTTAACTAATAATATTTCAGGAAATTTTAAAAATCTATATATAATAAAATGAAAGTAATTAATTTTCAGTGTTTTCATGTTGCAGTTGATCAACATGTTGGCCTTTTGCTTCCCGTAGATACTTTAAAATTTCTTCATAACACCTCGTTCGCACACATGGCCGTATATATTTAAATTCTTGAGCCACTAACAGTCCGAAATACTCATTTCTTTTATCCTCTTCTCCATAAATTAAGCATTTAGAACAGTTTGTTTCTTCTTTCAGTAAATTTTCTTTTACTTTATCCTCGTTTTTTTCTTTGTTGCGACGACGCTGGGTAAATCATCTGGACACTGGGTCTCACTATCGCCAAATATATTTGGAGATCGGCTTCGGCTACGGCTTGGCAGACATTTTTTTCTTTCTACAATTTTAAATTAAATTTATTAGAATAAATGCTTCGAACACACGCGATCTAAGTACCTTTTGTGTTTATTATACCTTACCTACCTAGGTATAAAAAGAGTACTTACGTAGATTTTCTTTTATTAACTGTTTTATACGAAGATCTTGATCTCTCAAATTAGCATCCATTTTACTTCCAGTGATTATCAACTAAATTAATAATCCACAAAGTATTAAATAACGTTTTTATGAAATATTTAGCACAAAAACAATACCCTTTAAATATCGATCGTCAGTAACTGTGGCTGACTTACCTATATTCTAGCAAGCAGGACTGCCAGATGTGAAGGGGAAATCCCCAATAAATTGTTGCATGTGACTGATGATGTGAGCATGTTCGTTTCATAATAAAAATGTTGCCAGGTAACCAAAAAGTCGTATGTTTTTGTGCGAATTACGATCATAATCTTTACGATCGTACATTAAAAAATAGACAAATAATAGTATGAGTACGATTTAAATCGTATATCTGTCAACCCTGCTAGCAAGACAGCGACAAAATCACGTTGCATAACAATGTAGCCCAAGCTTATATCTTATGAAATATACGGAAGAGATACGGACTTAGAAAAAACAGAAATGTTGTTCTTTGTGGAAGTCATTGATGAAATTCTATGTATTTTAGCCCGCAAACTTTCTTCAAACAAAAACAGCGCCATCTAGTATCGAGTTCTGTAATTATCTCTTTGTTTATGGATTTGAAGTAAGACCGCCACGCATGCAATACATTATGACTGGGGATTCCCCTATTCGTCGACGCTGAATATGAGGCGACGACAATCACTGTCAAACGTGTTCACTATTACTCTGACTCTGGTAACGTGACTTCCTGGTAACGTGTTAGGTAGGAAAAGCAGTAAAAAAGTGCATATTAAGGGAGCAGATTTGAAATAATATTTATACTTAACAAGAAATAATTAAAGGTAAGTGGATTTTTGAATGATACAATTATATCATGATCACTTAACAATTTTAACTTAAAATTAGATGTATTATTACAAGCTTTTATTTAGCTTGCGTTATGTAAATAAAAGTATGTAGGTATGTTCGTATGTTGATGCAATTATCCTCAATCCTCAACCGACTGGGATAAAATTTTCCATACACGTTTATTTTGGATGATAGTGCATAGTTAGCTGAGAGTCGTCATTGGATAATAATGGTGGATAGCCTAAGATGTGTACTAGATATTTATTTTTAACATAATATGCGTAAGTACCTAATCGAATTAAAGAAGTTGCTGAGAAAAATACAGAACAATACGATAATAAACTAGCGTCTGCGTTTAATCCTCCGAGGAGATGTAATTTTACAAAGGTTTTTTGTATTTATTTTATTATTTTTTTAATAAATTTATTGTAAATAACAAGAAATAATCATTGTAAAAAAATAGGCACTCTATTGTTGAATTTTCGTCAGACCAACTAATCATCGTTCATTTTTTTAGGTTCAATGGGGAGACCTAAAGATTTACGCATATGGGAGCACTACCGTCACTTTACCAAACAAGTCTGTTTCTTGCAAGCTTTGTAATAAGGTCTACAAATTCAGTAATGCTGCCAAAATGCTTCAACATCTTATCACTTGTCCAAAATCTCCAGAAACATTAAAAGACTCTATGAAACTTATAAAAGATAGCTCGTCCAAAACCAAAATGTCTGGACTGTCAGAGATAGAGACAAATGATTCTTTTATAAGCCCCTCGTCGTCTGCTAACACTACAATAAATGCTGAGTTTCAAGACACCGATGATCATATAAAAACAGAATTAGCGAGAGCTATATTTGTAACAGGGACGCCATTATCGATGGTGCAACATCCTTTATGGATACAATTTTTCGAAAAATTGCAACCAAAATTTAAAATACCTTCACGTAAAGCTTTAGCGACAAAATACTTAGATAAAATATATAGAGAAATGCGTTTTGAGTTAAATGAGGAACTAAATGCTTGTAGTTACTTACACCTTCAGTGCGATGGCTGGTCTAATTTAAGAAATGAAGGAATAATAAACTTTCTTATATCAAAACCTCAACCTGCATACGTTAAAAGTTTGAATACAGAAAGTAATCCTCACACTAGTGAATACCTTAGCCAAGAAGTTGAAAAAGTAATGAAAGTGTATGGAGCAAATAAGTTTCTTGTACTTATTGGCGATAACGCTAGAAATATACAAAAGGCATTCGAATTAACAAAACTCAAATATCCACATGTTGTTCCTCTCGGTTGCTGTGCACATATCCTTAACTTGTTGTGCCAAGATATTGTAAAGATACAAGAAGTAACTGTGTTTATTATGCAAGCCATAAATATAATAAAAACTGTTAAAAGGAGTCAACGATTAAGTTCCTTGTTGATAAAATCAAGGCAGGGTGAAGATTCTACACAAACACTAAAATTGCCTTGTGCTACAAGATGGGGAAGTCATGTTACTTCGTTAAAAAGTTTGAAAGCAAATAAGATAGCTTTGCAAATATTAACAGTTAGAGAAGATGTGGTAATTTCAAGAGATATTAAAGATTTAATTCTAAGTGATGATTTCTGGACGAAGACAGGGGAATGTATAAGTATTTTGGAACCAGTCACTGAAAGCATATTTTACTTAGAGAGCGACCAGAATCGTTTGCATCGCACATACATTACATTTAGAGATGTACAAGCTAAGATACGTTTTGCATTAAATGAGATTTCGACATTGAGCGAAGAAAGCAAACAGCAGATTCTAACATCAGTATCTTCAAGATGCAATATGGCAATGAGGCCAATACATTTTGCAGCATATATTCTAGACCCCAGGACTCTAGGAGTCGAACTTACTCAAGAGGAAGAACTTAAGGGTATGGAGTTTATCTACAATTTAAGCCAACACTTAAGTTTGTCAAATGTAATGGCAGATTTGGCGTGTTATAAAGCTAAAGAAAACTTTTGGGCCAGAGGATTTGTATGGAGCTCATTAGATAGCATTGAGCCCCTAATATGGTGGAAAGGTATTTGTGGTTCCACTGAGTTAAGCAAAGTAGCGATTCGTATTCTATCAGCTCCCTGTACTTCGGCAGCCACTGAGCGTTCCTTTAGTATCCAAGGCTACATACATAATAACAAAAGAAATTGACTTACAACTGAAAGAACTGAAAAAATTTCATTCATTTGTTATAACTGGAATCTTAAACATAAAGCTGAATGCGAGGACATTCAGTTTAATGAAGAAAATACCTTAGAAGCTTTCATTGAGCAAGTAAATGAACATAACAGTTTAGACGAAATAGAGCCTATCGAACCTATACAATTCATCGCTTGTAATAACTCTGAATCTGACAGTGATTGACTGTAGTTTTACATTTTACTTTCATCTCTTTCTTAATAAACTCAAAATCAAATTAAAAGTTTTTTATTCTGTAGGCTGCATAATAATATTGTCTATGTCCAGTATAGTGGACGTCTTGCGGCTGAGATGACGATGATGAAGTACAAAATCATAAACACCCAAAAATTTGGGTGTTTATGGGGTTTAAACCCAATAAACCCAAAACACCCGGTTTTTACCCACCAGACTTTAAACCCACCCAGGTGGATTGCCCATCTCTAGCTGTAATGCGACGCGCCGTACACCCTCTGAAGAAGGTATGTTGTGCATGTGTGCGGACATCTATCTATATGTTTATTACGGCATCATCTAGAAACTACTGTACTAAATCGATATCGATTTTTACAGATGTGTTTCTGAAAGTGCAACTTAAAATTTGGTGTATATTTTATCTTGGTACCCCATCTAGAATTATTACTATTAAATTAGTTTTCTCACTTCTGAAGTTCATACAAAACAGTGAACAGAAAGCTAGTAAGTAGTAAGAAATAAAACAATCGCTGTCTCTTTTTTTTTTGTTTCTCCGTTTATTTCTTTCAATTCATGTAACACAGATGGACTTTGGGTCTCTTAGTATGAGTTTCACGACCATTTATATACATTTTTCTTTCTAAAAATACAATACATCCTAATTTGCAGGCACAAGTGCAAAGTCGAGGCGGAACATCAGTACATAACAAATTATATACCAATTACTAGTATAATAAAGTTAATAAACAATATTGATATAATAATCTTTTATTTTTAGCTGTATGGTTTTTATCTTTAAACATTCTATAATTTTTTTTTCGACTTCTCAAAGGTTGACTATAAGAGATACCTTTTTGGGATAAGTCCGTTATTGTAAATCAAATCAAATCATATTTATTCGCTTGCTGCATGGTACAATAAGAAGTTACATATACAGGTACATAACATGCAGCACCCCGCAGAGGTATGCTAATGTCAAACTGTATTTAGTCTACATTATATTACAATTATAAAGTCCAAACATTTTCCAAATTACAATATTCTTTATGTCAAATTATTATATAAAATGTATATTAAATCTTTTAATATGCCCAATATAAATTATATATAATAAAGATTTTACAATCTAATACAATTGACACTAAGACACAGATGTAGAGTGAGTATGATGTTTTGAACGATATATATATTTTCGTTTTGGTTTCCCCATCAGCGTACGGAACCAAAAGTCCCTGGTGTCTTTATTGCCGCACACAATAAACAAGAAAAGAAGGAACCCTTGTATGGTCACCGTGATGGTGAAGAGGTAAGCGGCGACGATGTTGAAAGAGAAGAGTCCAAATACCCACGGCAAGCCAAACAGGAATACTAGCACAAATCCTATACGAACGCATTTGACGGTCTCTTGAAAATCGTCCACGTTTTGTTTTCCTAATTTTTTATTACATGTACTGGCAGATACGGCACCCATTATATAAAAAAATGATACGAAATTCACTATCAATATAAAAGCAATAGGTGCGTAAACGGACAACCATAAAGCAAGGTTTGAGGGATAGCAGAAACTGCCACTAGGTGTCATCTCCTCAAAACGACCAACGTAACACTTCGGAGAAGCTATAAGAAGTATACTGATGATGAAAATAGGAGCTCCCCAAGAGAAACACGAAGCTATCATAACTTTATGAGACATGTGCCTTGCGTATGCATATTTAATTGCAACCGTATCTATATAGGCAGTAATTGCTACCATCAACATCCAAAAAAATGAAGCCAATAAAGAATAATGCAAGACAATACCTGTGAGTACACATGATACACTATATTCATCATATTTCATATACACGATAACTATAAAACAAACGGATAAAACAAATAATGCAATACACAGTTGAAGCCAAATTCGATTTCGAAAATTCGATCGCCAAGATTTAAACGCAGCAGCTGTAAGTACTATCAAAAGAATGCCAAAAATAGATAAAGAACAACCGATAATAGACAATATTTCCAATATTTTTTCATTGCGTTCAGAGAAGACGGGCCGAGGAATTAAAATTTCAGCGAAATGTGTGAGATGATCGCATTGACATGTGTCCAAAATTGTCGGATTATTTGAACGGATAAAAGTGCATCCCTCTTGAGACCAATATCCAGATCCATCCTCCAAGAATGCCCAATAACCGCAACTTCGCCTCATACCACGTTTTGGGTCTTCCATATTTTTAAAATGTATCTTTACCACCTGGGAAGAGAAAATGAAATTTTAGTGAATGTCATAAATCAAAATAATAATTAAAAATTTCACGTTATCTTTTTATTTGCGCGAATATTTAAAAGATTAGACAGCAGAAAAATTCTAGGAATTTATCATTGACTTTACCTAATCAAAATCTATAATTATTTTCCTTGTACGAGATTCCAAAGTTTAGTTTTAAAAAAAAAATCAATGAGTCTATACTCAGATGTTTATTTTTTTTAATATTAGAGATTGAATCACATGTATAACTCAGTATAATAGAAATCTTAACATGTTAATATAGACTTTATCTAATTTAGAATAGTTTTTTAAAATTCGCGATCAAGAATTGGATTTACGATCACATCTAAGGCGATCACGTTGTACATAAAGCAACGTGCATTACTATTGTACTATTGAAATCGTTATAAAAATTGTATTGCATTTCTTATTAATATTTTTTTTTTATAATATATAAATTTGAAAATTTAAATGTTTAGATGTTATATTAGTTATTATGTTTTTATGTCAGACTCTTTCGTCATCCAAGCTTTGCCTAAAGATATCCAAGAGCTTCCAAATGAATTCGTGTTCATAAGGAAAGTCCATACTCACATTATGTACTTATTACAACAATAGTAGCTAGTCATCATCTTATCATATATATATCTATATATATATATATATATATATATATATATATATATATATATATATATATATATATATATATATATATATATATATATATATATATATATATATATATATATATATATTGCTAGGTATAGAATAGAATGCTACTAGCATTAAGTACGCCTTTTGCATCATATTGTCTTTTGGTCAATAAAGTCTCTTAAGTAAATAAATAAATATTAAGTTTTATCAGGCTGAAGGTATTTGAATGATACTTAGAATACTGACCTCATGAATATAAAGAAGCGAGATTAAGCTATTTAATTATAACAGAAACTATATTTACTATTTTTGTATTTAATAAAAGAAGGTACCTCTCCAGCGTCGAAGCGAGTTAGATTCTCCACGTTGATACTAATCACGCGGCTATTGACGGTGAAGTCGCCCGGGATGTTGAAGGCACGGTCGTCGTGGTACACCACGAAGCTTATACGTCTTGGAAAGTCGAGTACAGACTGCGGCAAGTCCACTACAGCTTCACTTTTGGTCTCAGCTAAATGCACTTCATTGATGTCTATTTTGTAAAGTAAAATTAAAATTTAAATAAACTTTATAACTGAAATTTGTTAGATCCGTTACAAAAAGAAAACTGTCTATCTATTTCCAGAGATATCAACTTTTGCAATATCTATATGGGATCATTACGTAAATTAAAACATCGCCAAAGCCTAACTGCAGTTGCCGACTTGCCTGCCAAGCATGGAAATTACGGACAATTCACCCTTATGGGGGAGGCCTATGCTCATCCGTGGACAGTTATGGTTGATATGATGATAATGATTACGAAAATAAACGTTATTGATTAAAAAAATGATGCGACGATGTCGTGTTATATACATAAAAAAAATTCGCTTGTCCTATATTAAAATTTTTAAAAAGTTCATGACTATTTCTAGGAACTATCCCGTGTGGTTTCGGCATAGAATAGGCCACCTCTTCCTTTCCCATGGGTGTCATGAGAGGCGACTAAGAGTGGACGAAATATAGGCAGCAACGTCCTTCTTAAAACATCTCCATATCCTGATTGCGGTTGCCAATGTGCCTGCGAAGCATGGCAACTATTGGCAAACTCCGCTTAATCTCCCCGGCTTATGTTCAGCAGTGGACAGTTAAAGGCTGATGTGATGATAATGATGATTTTTAGGAACAAAGAAAATTATTGAATTAATTTGTATCATGCGAATGGTCGCATATATAATTGCGTAAGGCACACAAGTCACACAGAGTGAGTCGTAAAATTTGCTGAAAGAAACATTTCTTTTTTAATAAATCTCCCTTCTGTTTATATTCCGTATTCATTATCAACACGCGTGATTATTGACAGTTTATTCTTTTGTTGTAATTTTGAATTTATGGGACTTATAAGATACTTACCAGTTAAAAATTCAAATGCATCATCGACAAATGCCTCGACATCTTTACTAGCCACCCGCAGTCCTCTAACAGGGTTCAATTCGTCAACATTAGCCATCAACAGAGCTATATTATCCCTCACTAGTGTACCATTCTGTGAGTCGTTTAGTACTATTCTAGAACCAAGTTCTTCAAGCAATTGTAGGATTTTGCCAGGAATCGTTACATCTTCGTCTATACTTAAGAGGTTATTAATCTGCAAGGGAAATCAATAGTTTTTTCTTTTAAATATACAATATTATATTTTCTATGGTTTGTTTATATATTTTGCATGTTATTTTTACCTGATCAAAGACTTCAATAACGTCGTAAATATGTATAGGAATTGAATCATCTTGCAGTAGGTTTTTGAGGTCATCTAAAATCTGGTTGATTTGCTCTTCTGGCTGAAAATATAGGATAGAATCTGCAAACTAGCTGACTCAATTTTACCTTCTACCACTTTCGTATTTATTAAAATACAAACTATCCCACTAGCTTTTGGCTATAACAGAATTTCAGTGTTTTGCTCTTGAGGACAAAGCAATAAACAAAGTTGTGACCATTATGTGTTACTATGGTACATGTATAAAGGAAAAAAAAAATTTACTTCTTTTATGCATTTTACATTTTATTTGTATATGTATCCTTTTTTCTCTTTTTATTGTGTATGTCTGTCTATACCTGTTGTTATTTGTATGCTGTAAGTAATGCAAGTAAATTATCAATCTTTTTTTTTATACCACTGAGGTGGCAAACACGCATACGGCCCACCTGATGGTAAGCGGTTACCGTAGCCTATGAACGCCTGCAATACCAGAGGTATTACGCGCGCGTTGCCGACCCTGAAGAAACCTCCTTATCCCCCTTTTGAAGAACCCCATGCTGTAGTCTCTTGGGAAAACCTCAGCAGGGAGCTCATTCCATAATCTGAGTGTTCGTGGGAGAAAGCATCTCTGAAACCGCGTTGTACGCGACCATTTAGGCTGTAAGGTATGAGGGTGAACTCCCTCTCTATACATTTATCTATCTATTCTTAAGTTGAAATATACGTTTACAAAATCTTAATTAAACCAAATGAGCGGTTGCGGAGATTAGCGTGAACGAATATCGTAATACTGGTTTTTTATATCTTGAGATCTTAGATTGAGATTATATATAAGTGTATCAGCATTGACTTCTTCGATTATTTACTCGGCAATTTATTTCCTAAAATACTATATCGATTCTAACTAATCTAAAATTAAAGTTGTAATGAATTAATTCATAATTTATCGATAATGCCACTTTAGTACATTTACAGTACTAGTTACATTTTTATATTACCTGTTCGTGTAGTTAGTTACAACTGTTTTAAAATATATCAAAATGAAAAATGTAATTTTCAAAAATTTTCATGGAATTATAAAGTCAGTACACGTGTGCCATTGTAGACATGTAAAATAATTTGTAATTGTTAAAAAAAAAAACTACTAACAAGTGAAGCAATTTTATATAAAAAAAAGTTAAGGAGATTACATATTTTTTTTTAATTCGACAAATAAAATAGTTGCAAAGAGCAAAGGAACATTTTTGTAATCAGGTAAGATACGAACATTATAAAACACATTTTTTTAAATTAAAGAATACATATATATATATATATATATAAATATATATATATATATATATATATATATATATATATATATATATATATATATATATCTGTCACGCCTGTCTCCCATTAGGGTAGGCAGAAACAATGAAACGCCAAATGCTTCGATTCAAACAAACCTCTTTCTAAAGAATACAATGAATGATAAAAAAATAGTTATTCATATAAAATTATTGAATGCTTCTAGCTGTATCTATGATCTGGGCAATATGATGGATAATATTGTTATTTCAATATTAATAATAATAATTTGCAATCAGTTAACAGTTATTATGAAATAGTCGAAAGTAGGATTGCTAGAGATGTCTTCTACAGTTTTTTTTTGATGGGTGAAAATGGTATGGTAAACCCCGCCTGCGCTAACGGGATATGCTGGCGGAGCACCAGTGAAGGGTGATAGATGAGAATGAAAACAGGCCAGTTAGCCCATCATGATGAATTCATCAGGAATTAACCATGATAGTTTCCAGGGGGAACCGCGCGGAGGTTGACCTGGTTGGGTATATTACTACCAATGGGATTCTCAGTCTCCATTATTAACAATCCCTTCCCCCCTGTCTTCTACAATTAGAAAGGGAAGTTTTTTTTTTATTGTGAGGAAAACAAACGAGCAGACGGTCCACCTGATCGAAAGCGGCTACCGTCACCTATGCACATCTGTGACACGAGAGGAGTTGCTTGTGCGTTGCGGGTCTTTTAAAATAAATAAATTTAAAATAAATCTTACTGTTAACGAAGCAGCTGTTGTCAGAGTGGTCGGTTGATCAGTCTCGTTTGATTCCTCACTAGCTGTGTTGGTTGCGTTTATTGTAGTCGTTGTTGTAGTTACTGTAATCATTTAACGTTTTTTTTTTAAATATTATTAGGCGAAGGCGCACAATCAAGCTCGCGCTCGCGCTCACAGCCGCTAACGATTAAGGGTCACGAATTGATCCCGAAACTAGTCGAGTTTTTTTGTGTTAATTACACGTAAGTAAACTAGTCTTTCTCGATCTAATTACACGTAAATTAAACTGTTAGTTCTTATATTAAAATATTATTTTTAAACTTTTTATCTTTGACTTTGTCCATAAGACTGGAGTATTTTGATTGACCGCACTGAAAAGTAGCAATTGAATATTGTTTCCCACAAAAAAAAAAAACAGTTATTACAAAACCAATTATTTTGGTATAAAAACTAAATTACTGTACCAATATTGATAAAATTTATATGGAATTAATCTGTAAGTGATTTCGTTACCACTAGTGTGACTACTAACACGTCATATTGTATATATTATGTCATAGGAATAACACCTAAGTTTTCAGGAATGGCAACGCATGGGGGGTATCATGGGCGAAACAGTATACCCTGTTATGTCCATGGTACTGCTCATGTCTATTGGCGACGGTTACCACTTTCCATCGGGTGGGCCGTCAGCTTGTTTGCCATTCTAAGTTGTATTACAAGTAAGTACAAATATTATTAGTTTATTCAATTATGTGCTTTATAGATTTACAAAAAAAAAAACACGAATTCAGGACTTCCCCAGTTTGAAAGTCGGTAAAAAGTGTATTATGTCCTCTAGATAAAACAAATTACATTAACAACAACAATGACAGTGTTATCAGTTTGATGATTGAAATTATGTTTAAAAATCGTTTTACAATGTATATAAACACATATACAGTAGCATAAATATATGTATATGGCAAGAGATAATAATATACAATCATATATTATTCTGTCTAGATAAGTTGACAATTATTCTTGTCATTAATTTGTCGGTACACTGGATTCTTGTTCTGTTTTATTTATTTTTTTCTTTTATTCATTGTTTTTATACTTGTTTATTTTAGTTTTTGTATTGTTTTCTTTTATTTTTTATGTAATATCTGCATCAATATATATATATTTGATAATGAAACGGTGCCCCGTGTAGGTGCAAACTGTAAATCAGCGCTGAACGAACATCAGTCCAGCAAAAGCTGAGTTTGTACCTATTGCCAGGCGCATACGATTAATGGACAATATATTGATTAATTAATATATGTACATTATAATTTGTGAAGAATGGCCGGCAGCACACCTGCAATGCCGTAGGTGCTGTGGGTGACCATGGGCGGCGGTAGTCACTTACCATCAGGTGAGCCGCATGCTCGTTTGCCCACTGTGTTGTAAAAAAAAATAATAAATTTTATTATTATTATTATTATAAATATTAAAATTATTTATAATCAATGATTGATAGATCCACTTATCAGTGGACAGTTTAAATTGTTGAGATTAGAAATAGGAAATTTTCAATTATCATTCACGAGTATTAAGAAAGGATTTCCAGAATATTCTCATAGGAACAAAAATTAATAAAATTGCTTTATTCATATGCATATTATTTAGTTTGTGTTAATATTGGAAAGTGAGGACATAAATTCTTCTTTTTTCGTCATTAAGACAAAAATAAATCACTTTTGACAACCATGCCAAGCTAAAAACAAGGTATTACACGAAATCTTTGCTACCAAGTGAGAGATTTTGTGATAGCTCATATGTAGATGTTTTATCCTGTGTAGTATTCTATATTTTTTTTTTGTTTTTTTTATACAACTTATAATGGCAAACAAGCTGATGGCCCACCTGATGTAAAGTGGTAACCGTCGCCTATAGACATGAGCAGTACCATGGACATAACAGAGTATACTGTTTCGCCCATGATACCCCCCATGCGTTGCCATTCCTGAGGACTCAGGTGTTATTCCTATGTACCCTGTAAATTCACGCCTAATTTATTATTATATAATTAATTATTCTAGACCTTATTCTTATCTTTACCAAATCCGCTGGAGATAGGCATTTATTTTATTATTATTATTGTTTTACCATTTTGTTTTTGGCAAAATATCCTAATATCGGGGTGAAACTACTAAAAAGAAGAAAAAAAACCCGATTAATTGATATAATATTATATAACAATATTGATTTCAAAACTGAATTACTGAATCGATTTTGATTAAGTTCCAATGTTACTAAACTGTAAGCATATGCTTTAAGGTAAAAAAAAAAAATTACGCATCATTTTAGAACTGACGGAGTTATGAGATAATAAACATAAAAAAATACAACCGAATCGAGAAGAAGGAACCTTCTTTTGGAAGGAGGTTGAAAATGACCTTACGCGTAGTACGCTTTTCGTTTTGTAAAACATATCTGCAATACATGGTGTGGGCGCTGTATATATATATATATATATATATATATATATATATATATATATATATATATATATATATATATATATACCCAGTGGTGGTAGACTCCAGAGTTGTAGCTGGGGCAATGGGGTACGTCCTATCTCGCCTGCCCTACCAATCGGCGGGACAATGAGAAGGACAGATTAATTATTTATATTTTTTTTCAACTATGGAACACTCAATTTAATGGAAGTTTCTTTATTTAATTTGTGTTATTATTACTACTATTTATTTTAACTATTAAGTCATTGGGTCGCGTGTAAAATAAAATAAAGTACAATATAGTATCTATACGAACCTGTTTCAAGTTCTTCCGTTATGTAATGAGAGATGAACGATGTGTCCGAACAGTCGCATAAATGCAACATTCCTGCTTCATTATCAACATTTCTACAAAAAAAATGCACCCATATACCTTGCTCCAATTCTATATCAGATCTTAGCCAACTCACACACATGTATTCAGCTGCTTGTGTGCTCGGTTTGAGGTAATATTTAATTCTCTATAAAAATAAAAAGATTTCATTTAGTTATGCAATAAAATAAAAATATCTTGCCTTACAGTTTTTTAGCACTGAGGTGGCAAACAAGCATACGGCCCACCTAATGGTAAGCGGTTAACGTAGCCTATGAACGAAGTATTATAGTAAAATCATAAGTACTCCAATAATTGTATGTAATTACTGTATACTGTCCGTGTGGTCCCGGCATAGAATAGGCCACCCCTTCCTTTCCCGCGGGTGTCGTAAGAGGCGATTAAGGGAGGTCAAACGATGGGCAGCGGCGTCTCTCTTAAAACATCTCCAAAGTCTAACTGCCGTTGGCAATCCGCCTGCCAAGTGTAACAACTACTGGGGAAACCCTCTAAGGGAGAGGCTTATGTTCTGCAGTGGTCGTTAAGGGCTGATATGATGATGATGATGTCTCTATGTTGTAATGTATAATGTATATGAACTTTCTATATTTACCTACGTGGTCATTTATAACCCACTATTAACAAATATCCGTATAAAACTGTACAAGGCTATCAGGGTTCTTTTTAGAGCATTTACACTTAAAATAATAAATATAGTCTCATAATAATAAATATAGATCAAAATATTTATATTTCACAATATCAGAGTCTCAAAAGATCAATCGAACAAAGTTGTATAAAGACATAAGTAAATTTTGCTTCGAAAATTAAAAGCACAACTACCCTCTCAAAAATAAACGAATTATTTCCAAACTCAGAATGATACAAGGACTCTAATAATACCTCATACATCCAGATCTGTTCTGGTATTAAAAAGTTATGGTGGATTAAAGTAATTCATATACGTACCTTGAAAATATTACAGTCCTTTTTTGGACAGTCGTGTAAAAATAAATTAAGCTGCTTATTATTCGTAAAACAAAAAATATATCATTTACCTCGTCGTAATGTGATTTACCCGCGTTGATATTGATGATCGGGCTGTTGATATGTGGGTGAACATTTGGAAGTTCAAATCTGCCAAGATTATAGTCTTGTCGGAAAATAACAAAACCGATGCGAGAGCTAGACAACATATCATCTGGGAGATATATTACTGCATCGCTTACGTTCATCAATAGTAAAGTTTCATTTTGATCATCTAAAAAGGAATAAATTTTAACATAAATTTATTTATTTTCGATTGAACTGTTTATAATTACTTCACTACATCCAACATACATCCTGGAAGAGATCGCCTTTAGCCATAATGCCACCAATTGTTTCCTCTCTGTAATAATTTCTTGTAATTGTTTGTATCTATAATAAGTTTACTATTATAACCTTTTAGAAGAAATAATAAAGAGTATCACTAGCATTATTCTTAAATTGTAAAGAAAACAAAAGTATCTGTGAAAGAGAAAAATGCAAAACTTCCATAATACGAGGTCGCGATGATTTACAGGAAAAAGTGGAAGAAATATACTTGAATCTATGAGTAGTTTAAGGAAAAATAAGAAATATAGAATGAAGATTGAATACTAAATCAAAAATATTATGATACAATTATTTGGAAGTCAGAATCTGAAATTATAAGTGCAACTCATCTCATATAGTTAGTAGAGCACATCGTAAACCCTTTATTGTTTCTTCCAAAAAAATATATTTGTATACTTACTATAAATACAAACAATTACAAGAAAAGATTACACTGAGAAAACAATGGGTGGTCTTATTGCTACGAGCAATCTCTCCCAGCAACCTTTGAATGGAGAAGATAAATTATAAACAGTTTGATCAGAGACAAGGAACTTTTTCGTTCGTTTCGTTCGTTCGGTTCGTTTTTTAAATACAAATTGAAATAGAGATATAATACCTACAGTCGTGATTAGTATACATACAATAAAATAAAAAAAAAAGTGTCTTTAGTTGGGACTGTGTTTGGAGAACCAACACTTTTCCTAGGAAGGAATAGATTTTGTAATAAAGAATACAACTCATGCACATTTGCCAATAGTATTATTAATAAAGATCGAATTTTGGGAAATTTTTTTTATACAACTTAGAATGGCAAATAAGTTGACGGCCCACCTGATGAAAAGTGGTAACCGTCGCCTATAGACATGAGCAGTACTATGGACATAACAGAATATACTGTTTCGCACATGATACACCCCATGCGTTGCCATTTCTGAGGACTTAATTCTTCCGTAATATCCCACGAAACACAGCCATGCAAACACAACTGCTTTACGGATGAAGAAATGTAAAATGGTAAACAAATGTATGTAAATAAAACTACTTACCATAAAGATATTCAAATGATGCATTAGAGAAAGCTCCGCCACCTGTATTAACAATTCTTAATCCTGCTATAGGAAATTGAACATTGACATCTACCATTAATAAGGCAACATTGTCTCGTATGAGATTTTCTTTAAATGAATTATTGAGATTTACTATCTTTGTTAAGTTTTCCAGTCCAAGCAATAATGAACCATCAAATGTTACATTTTGTGTTGCAAGTATATTTGTGAGATCGTTAACCTAAAAAAAATTTTGGTTTAATGTTAATTATTTTATATTAATGATCCGACTTTAAAAAGATGGAGGTTTTTAATTCAGTTGTATGATTTGTTATTATGATTAGGTATTTATTTATTTATTTCTCATTTACACTATATGGATGTATTAAAGTATAATAAATAAATAAATTTTAATTACTTACTCGATCTACAATTGATGCAATGTCATTTATGTATACAGGATTTTCATTTTCTATTAATATACCGATATCTTTGACAATTTCTTCCATTACCTATTAAAGAAAATATATTTACTTATATTATACATTTATCGATATAAATTATTGCAATTAATAAGGTAATTTTGAACAGTTTAACTTTACCATCTATTTTTGGATTTGTCTTGTTATAAGTTTGCTGTTAAAATTTTTAATTTTGGTATCGAGTTATAAAAAATTCTGTAATGATTTCTGAATGAATATTTAGTTCTTCTACTTTTCTTTTGAATGACGTCCTGAATCGGAAATATTAGTTTCGCAGAGGAAATGATTTGTAATATTTCTATATAGTATTTATATATTACACATTATGTATAATCAATTGCTGTCCACGGTTGTGCACGCTCAGTGTCGTGTTTTCCCTTTAATTTGACATTTTCAAAAATCTTTTCTTAGCCAATGTTTGCATTATAAAACAACCCCAGATTAATATTTAATCCTAGATTAAAACCTAATAGTTTTAAACTTTTGTGCCACATGTTTTATGGTTTATAAGAAACGGGATTTACCGCAATTAATTAGATAAAAAATGATACCATAGTTTACTTAAATGATGCGTTAAATCTCATTTCCTATAAACAGTAAATCTAAATTTCAAAATTACACCAAGATACAGGTGTAATTATAAGGATGGGCTAACTGACCTTCTTTTTCATTCTCACCTAACATCTTTCACTGGTGCCCCGCCAGCGTATACCGTTAGCGCGGGCGGGGATACCATTCCATTGTCATCCATTAAAAAAAGCGTTCTTTTCAATTATTTATTTATATTTATATACCCACCTGATGAATGTCACTTGTTGCAATTTGGAAAGTTTCATCAACGTCTACTGTGTCTTGGTCCGATAGTTCTGCTGGCTAGAAAATTATAATAATTACCAGAGGGAGACTTTGTACAAAAGTCGATTGCTTGGGTATCTCTGTCCCATTCGTGCTTCTACCGTGAATCAGTTGTGTTCGCATGGCTGTGTTTCGGTTTGAAGTGTGGGATATGGCGTGAATTTACAGGGTACACAAGAATAACACCTGAGTCCTCAGGAATGGCAACGCAGGGGGGGGGGTATCATGAGCGAAACAGTATACTCTGTTATGTCCATGGTACTGCTCATGTGTATAGGTGACGGTTATCACTTTCCATCAGGTGGGCCGTCAGCTTGTTTGCCATTCTAAGTTATATAAAAAAATACATATTAGTTATAGTCATACATGTGCAAAAGTTTTCTTTGCCCACTCAATTATCTTTTTTAAGTGTGTAACGAAAATCAAATCGTTCGAATAGACCAACTTAACAACTTAGTTAAGTTATGAAGTAAGTAAGTGAAGTAAGTCGCTTGTTAAAAAACATATCATCATATTAGCCGGTAACTGTCAAGTACTGAATATAGGCCTTCCCTTTGGGGGGTTTTGCTCGTAGTCGCCATGCTTGACAAGCGGATTGGCAACAACATTTAGATTTTAATGTATTTTAAGAGGGACATTTCATTTCGACTATTATATATCCTTAATCGTCTTCTTACGACATCCACGAGAAAGCCAAGGGATGGCTCATTATAGAATGCTGGGACCAGCACAGGCTTCACCACATGATGCCACCTGACGCCCCTAAATATATATACCGTCAGATCGGGTCAAATGAATTCTGACACATTTTATTTTGTATTTCTCGTTACCCACCTTTGTAGCTGGAGGCTTTATTGAATCTGTTGATATATTTACAGTTGTGTTTGTGATTATGGTTCTTGATGCAGGAAATGTTCTGGTATTGCTTAGATAACCTGTAAAGATAAATTGGCTAGTGATTATAATTCGTAATAAAAATTACTACCAGAGGGAGACTTTGTACAAAAGTCGTTTTCTTGGGTATCTCTGTTCCATTCGTGTTTCTATCGAGAAGCAGTTCTGTTCGCATGACTGTTTCGGTTTGATGGGTGAGGTATAGCAGTGAATTTACAGGGTACAAAGGTATAACACCTTAGTTCTCAAGAATGGTAATGTATGTGATGTGTTTTGGACGAAACAGTACACTCTGTTATGTCCATGGTACTGTTTATGTCTATAGGCGATGGTTACCACTTCCCATTAGGTGGATCGTCTGCTTGTTTGCCATTTTAGTTGAATAAAAAAATCCTAAAAAGATCAGAATCATTTATCGACTATTAACGACCGTGTTTGGCATTTATTTTTTTTAATGGATAATAGGTAATAGAATGATAACCTCGCCTGTGCTAATGATATACGCTGGTAGAGCGCCAGTAAGGTATGATAGGAGAGAATGAAAAGGCAGGTGAGGTCAGTTAGTCCATCGTGATGAATACACCTGGAATTCGGCACGATGTTTTCCAGGAGGGATTACGTAGAGCTCGACTTGTCTGGGTATATTGCGAGCAATAGGACTGACGGTTCTCATTACTAACAATCCTCTGTTTTACGTATTAGAATCCAACTTGGTAGGGATCGAATCTACTCTGTTAAATTTAGTTTGGTTTTGGTATTATCAATCATTGTAGATTTACTTGGAATTTGGATTGAACATTTAAAACTTTTGCTTTCTCTTTGGAGAAAAATATTCACTAGATATATCGTATTGATCATGTAGTAATATTTACCTGTGTTGATTTTGGGTGAATTTTTTTTATTTGAAATATAATTAGTTATATTTATATCAGACGTTAATAGGATACTGTTTTTATACAACCCTGTGACATACTTATGTTTTTTGTTCTCATAATTCTTCGATTCTTCTGCTCGACTCCATGTTGAGAATATGAGCAGATATATTGCACAAACATGACATAATAAACGCATCTGAAAACAATATAGGTATCTGTCTATATACGTATACAGTATGCTACAGTAATTTGTAACAATTCCAAATCTAGTTAGTCAAAAAATATTTATATTTTTCCAAAAGTTAAACTTTTTAGGCACATTCGTCCTTAGCCTCTCACACTAACTTGATTGGTCAGTTCGTTGTAGTATGAAAGACTAGATTTCTTTTTATTGTTTTTGCCTCACGTTTATTTTGAGATAAATGTTAAAATTTATTCTAATTATTTATTCTTTATTTATCTTATATAAAAAAAAGAAAAATCTGATACAAAAGGCAGATTTAATACTATATAGCATTCTCTCCCAGTCAACCTTCATTTGTCAATCTTTAAAATTTTATATATTCCTTAAAAAGATACGATTTTACCCCATTTTGAGTAAAAATTTCAATTCTAAAGTATTTTTTGTCGCCCGACTGAATTCACACACAGAATTTGCATCATTCTTCTTGGGAAGTACTTTTAATTTAATTCTACCTGGTTCTATGTTCTAATGCTTCTTTTATTTTAAATCTTGTTTTGTTCTCTTTACTTTTTAATTTATTTCCACCATACACGTTAACACTAATCGAGCATCGAAGGAGCAGTTGAAAATAGTTACTAGTTTATTGTGAATCTAGATCAATAAATCCTTGTAAATCCTTTAAATCACTAATTTTGTTTGATTTGTAATCTTATTTTAAGGGATTAAATCACTGCAAATTATACTACTGTTGGTTACATTATAATAAATACTGTCATAACTAATTTAGTGCTGATATTTGACTCCATCAAGGTGATGATATTGACAGATAGGAGGAGTGTTGATAAAAAGCTAATACAATGCAAATATCTAAGATAATGGTATGATTAACAAATTATCATGATATTACTGACGGCTCACAGTTTCGCATGACTATGTGTGTATGTTTAATTTGTTATCACTCGGCCTTAGAAAAATGGAGGGTAATGTCTATAATTTTTTTTTATTTATTTTTTTTCTTACATTGTAACCATCGTCTATAATAAGATAAGCATATGGATATTATAAAATTCAATTTTTAGTCTATGGTACACCTCATACGTTGCTATTCCGGAGAACTATGATGTTTTGTCTGGTGAAAAATATTAACAATATGTTTAACGTTGAAAATGGAATGGTAACCTCGCCTGCGCGGGGGAAAGGGATTGTTAGTGATAGAAACCGAGAATTCCATTGCTAGTAATATACCTAACCAGGTCGACCTCCTCGCGGTTCCCCCTGGAAACTATCATGGTTAATTCCTGATGAATTCATCATGATGGGCTAACTGGCCTGTTTTCATTCTCATCTATCACCCTTCACTGGTGTTCCGCCAGCGTACCCCGTTAGCGCAGGCAGGGTTACCATTCCATTTTCACCCATCAAAAAAAAACCTCGCCTGCGCTATCTCTGTTCCTTGTAATTTTATTGCTATATCCTACCTTTAAAATGGAAACATAGCCATGCAAGCACAGTCGATTCAAGGCAAAAATACAAACGGGATAGAGGTACCCAAGCAGACGACTTTAGTATAATCTCCTTCTGGTAAAATTTGTATTAATAATTATTACAATTGTGTAAGTTGATGTATTTATGTATTATATAAAACTAATTTTTACCCGTGACTTCTCCCTGCAGAACGACGCAATTTCTTTGATGCAAACGAGGCATCGTTTTTATCTTTATTTGTAATATGTAACAGAACTACTGATATAATAATATATTTATTGAAATGAAAAAGACATTTAACAATTATACATTTTGTTCTCGAAACTTCACACTAGGATTCTTTGTTCTGAAGTCACGGGTCTTCTTCTGATTAAAAATCTTATTAATAAATTTATAAACTTTAAAATTAAGTTACACAAATATATTAATACTATAGAATATTATATGTACCACATCTCCCATATTTAGAACTAACAAAATTTTTCATCGTGTCTCCCACCAAATTGTTTATAATTACTCCTCTCCATCCAAAGGTTGCCTGGAAGAGATCGCTCTTAGCGGTAAGGTCGCCCATTGTTTTCTCATTGTGATTATTTCTTGTAATTATTTATATCTATAATAAGTTTACTAATGTAATCTTTTGGAGGAAACAATAAAGAGTATCTATCTATCTATTTTTATAGAATTAAATCCTATTTATTATTATCATAATAATAATAAAATTAATAAAATCGTCTATTGACGTGTGGTCCCGGCATAGAATAGACTACTTCGTTTCTTTCCCATGGGTGTCGTAAGAGGCAACTAAGGGAGCTTAATAGCCGAGAGATGGACAGCAGCGTCCCTTTCATAATACCACCAAATCCTAACTACGTTTGCCAACTCACCTGCCAAGCGTGGCAATTACTGGTAAAACATTCGTGTTTCAGCCGTAAAGCAGTTGTGTTTGCACGGCTGTGTTTCGGTTTAAAGGGTGGGATATGGCGTGAATTTATTGTGGATTATGGTGGATTATGGAGGAATAACATCTGAGTTCTCAGGAATGGTAACGCATGGGGTATCATAGGCGAAACAGTATACTCTGTTATGTCCATGGTACTGCTCATATCTATAGGCGACGGTTACCACTTTCCATCAGGTGGGCCGTTAGCTTGTTTGCCATTCTAAGTTGCATAAAATAAACCTCTTATGAGGAAGGCTTATGTTCAGCAGTGGACAGTTAACGTAGCTATGGCTGCCAAAGTAGGCAAACGTTTGGGGTGACTTTGGCAGGATATGTTTTTTGCTTAAAATGCAAAAGTAGACTGCTCTAAAAGTCTTCTTTGGTACCGTTTTAAATTATAAATTGGATTATGACAGTTTTTTTTAAATATCATAATTTAGCTTTATTAAAACAACGTTTTTGTATAAAAATAAATCTTTTTATTCAAAAATAATAAACCATTGTCTACAACAACATGCAAATATCCAGAAAAAAATAAAAATAAACTCTGACAGTTTAGACCTGTAACAAGGAAAGGAACCTGAAAATCTGCGATAGAAAAATAAAAAAAAATAAAAAAAAAACAAAGCAAATGACTCATGCGCCAAAGTTACCATCGGTGCCAAAGTAACCCCGTTTTATGGTATTGGACAGGTATTTTTGTTTATTTCTGCCGTGAATCAGCCGTGTTTGCATGGCTGTGTTTCGGTTTGAAAGGTGGGATATGACAGTAAAATTACAGGGTACACAGATAGCGCAGGCGAGGTAAACATTCTATTTTCAAACATAGAAAAAAAAATATTACCAATTTCCACTACATGACAGCCATCATTTTGTTTAACGTCCAAAATTTAATAAAAAAATTATCGATTAGAATGTACTGCCATAAAATCATGATAACGGACGACATTTTGAACGAACGAACGAACGAATGAATGAATATTTATTTGCAAGAAACATGGTACAGTAACCGAAGTATACATATGTAACTTAAAAAAATGTAAAATTTAAAAAACTTAAATATTGAATGACATGTTAATGTTAACAATTTTTATATATATAAAAAATACTTATATTTATCTTTTAATCATACATTGATAATGTACAAATGAACATTAATAATCCGTGATATAACAAAAACATGTTAATTACAATTAGATTTACATCAACTAACTTCAGTTTAAGCTGTGTTAGATATACGCCTTTATTTAAACAATGTTCATTGATAATATATTAATAATATAATATAATAATAATAATACATAAAAAATAATTAGAAGAAAATTATTAATTGATATGAGTGTAGTGTAGTGCCACTGGTATAAATAATAGGATTGTAAGTATACTGGAGTAGTGTTAAGAGTATACCTGGGGTACCGTAATACCGTAAAGTATACATTGGGGTACTGTAATGGTGCATATATATTTTTTTGTGAGTTGAAAAAGGAACGGTAACCCCGCTTTTCACTTCTCTATAAGCAAAATATTTAATTTAATTTTCATCTAAGGGTTTTAGGATAATTATCTAGTTAGTGAGAGAAATGTGTATTATTGAGTAAAGTTGAAAAAAAGAAAAAGAAAAAAAAAAGAAAAAATGTTTTATTCTATATTTGAAATTGAAAGAACAGCGTAGACAGAGCATAATGATATTTATCTTCACCGATTACGTTGATTGATGTCTAAGAATAGACTTAAAATACAATTATTTTACTCGTTGTTAGAATTATTGAAAGCATAACTGCTTTGTGATTTGTACATAATTCCTTCTAACATACAGGATAGTCCTTCTATTACTTTCTTCAAAGAAAAGGTTTAAATATCATTTTTTAACTAATAATACATAATATTTATTTATTTATGCTTTTGCACATATTAAAATATGTCTACAGAGCGGACATAATGCCTGATGGCATTCTGTACCCGTCGACCATTACGCTGCATTGATTTAACAAAACAACTTGTACATTAAATAAATATTTTGAGAGATACAACAACAATACATTTTAAAACAAACGAGCTTACACATTATTATATATATATATATATATATATATATATATATATATATATATATATATATATATATATAGATCTCTTTTAGAGATAATCCCACCCTCATATACATAATAGCTCGAAAAACCGACAACTAATAAAGAAAAAAGATTTTCAAGGAAAACAGTGTAGAATGATTTCCTTACTAAATGGATTGACGACCTCAAATGCAATGTACGAGTATTAGTGGATGCAGGTGGCTTAGGACCGTTCTTTATGGCAGTCTATGGGGGAGGCCTATGTCCAGCACTGGACGGATAATGGCTAAGATGATTTTTGCCAATAGTTGCCACGGTTGATAGGCGGATTGGCAACCGCTGTTAGGCTTTAAAAACCTAACACAATGTACATAATTCACAGGTATTGATTTCAGATGTGTTTGTTACGTCACAATTGTGTATTGTACCTATTTATAATATCAACATGGATTCAAATAAATGCGGTAGAATCGCCGGGTACAGTGAAAGAGTTTTTGAACACTGCTACTGGAAATGAAAGCGTTGCTGACGTGTTGTATGATGTATCAACATTAAAAAGTAACGGATTAATTGATTATAGAGTTGACAATGGCAAAGGGAATAGATCATTAAATGCAGGTATGTGAATTGTAGGTGCACCATACAATACTTATCTCGTAACTTCGGTCGCGTGAATCAGTAAGTACGTAAAGTGTTCTATGTGCTAAGTTAGGATATAACCTAACGAATATGTACGTTCAGGGTCGGCAACGCGCGCGTAATACCTCTGGTATTGCAGGCGTTCATAGGCTACGGTAACCGTTTACCATCAGGTGGACCGTATGCTTGTTTGCCACCTCAGTGGTATAAAAAAAAAAATGTACCGAATTTTATACAAATCTGTTTGTAATGTTATAATTTATTTACATATTAAGTATAGAAGAGATAGGTAATCTAGACATATAATTAGAGATAAGTAATTAAAAAGTTAAATATATATATATATATATATATATATATATATATATATATATTTCTTCTTTGAGATCACTGCCAGTTGGTAGGGTGCCTAGGATTGTTATATTTTATGTGAATGAATAACAAATATCCATACATCATTACAAATTTTCGCTTTTTTAATTTTAATAGGATAATATGATTAGATAGCAAATTATTATAAAAATTTCATTAAAATATGATAATCATATTTTTTTATATTACGAAGGTGGCAAACAAGCATACGGCCCACCTGATGGTAAGCAGTTACCTATTAATACCAGGCATTACGCTCGCATTGCCGACCCTGAAGAAACCTCTTTGTCGCTTCTTACGACACTCACGAGAAAGGAAGGGGTGGCCTATTCTATGCCGGGACCACATGGCCGATTGTATTATGATTTCATATTTTAATAGCTAGCATTTATAATTATAATTTATGCCAATTAAAATTTATGTTTATGTAATAAGAAATAAATAAATAAATATGTTTCACACTAATAGGTTTTGTGTAAACAATTCCAAAATTGGCCAATTTGTATTATGTTGTTTATTTTCGACAATATTTATTTATTACCTAATTATTGCACAATTTAAAGAATAATACAAAAACATTATTTTATATTTAATTATTTATAAAATAGTTTTTGTTTTTTTTTATGCTGCTTAGAGTGACAAACAAGCTGGCGGTCCACCTTATGGAAAGTGGTAACCGTCGCCTATAGACACGAGCAGTACCATGGACATAATTGTTTCACCCCTGATACACCCCCATGCCTTGCCATTCCTAAAGACTTAGGCGTTAACAAGCTGACGGCCCACCTGATGGAAAGTGGAAACCGTCGCCTATAGACATGAGCAGTACTATGGACCTAACAGAGTATACTGTTTCGTCCATGATACACCCCCATGCCTTGCCATTCCTAAAGACTCAGGTGTTATTCCTCTGTACCCAGTAAATTCATTGCCATATCCCACCTTTCAAACCGAAACACAGCCATACAAACACAACTGCTTCACGGTAGAAACACAAATGGGACAGAGGTGCAAAAGCAAACGACTTTTGTACAAAGTCTCCCTTTGGTAGTTTCTGATTATTTTTTTTAGTTTAATATTTTCATTTCTGTTTATCACTGCAGGTTCAATAGCGAATATATTTACAAACAATACAAGCATTACCAAATCATCTATTGACAGAATATTATTCGATTCAAGTGACCATACGGTAAGGAAGTGAATTGATTTTACTATAATTATCACATTATTTTACGAATTCATATAGAAGATTTCAATCATTCAATTAATTCCTGTACTCACTCTCAAGCTATCCGCCTTTTTTTCCTCGATTCTTTCCTCCATATCCCCTACCTGGTTGGGAAACCATCAATAAATGTATTACCTGAGAGGATTGACGCCTGGCAGGCGGCTGGTCGTAAAACAGAAAGTTAAAACATTGGGGAAATATATTTTGCCGACTGCAAAATTTATATTATTGATATAAGGGCAGGATACTGATGATGATGATGATGATGATATAAAAGATCATCAATCAGATGTACTGCATTTTAAAAGGTTCATGCTAATATTAAGCTTGAAATAATTCGTACTTGGTTTTAGTACATTACGCGACTGCTCTATAAAGGAGTGTAATGTATTCAGGTTTCATATATGCGAGAATCTTTATTCTACCACATCTTCTAAATATTTGAACAGGTTTGGGTGTACGGGATATTGTTAAAACCTTTTTATTATTTCGAGTGACACTGGCTATATATATTTTTTTCTAATATTTAGTTTTTAGTAGGTAGTTAGTTATGTCTTTTAATTTGCCGTACAAGATGTTTTTAAATTAAAAGCTTTCATATAACAAATAATAAAAGATTGTCTTACCATAAATTTACATGGCTCTAATCTATAAGTATATCCTTTCAGATAAAAAGAGAATTTTCCATTTCGGTTTGTAACTGGCGAAGTTATGTGGTAGCAAACAAAAAAAAATACAACCGAATTGAGTACCTCCTTTTTGAAGTCGGTTAAAAACTTTTCAAACTAGTTATGCCATGCTGGATTATCGTCATCTTATCTTAAAGTTTTTTATATGATTGAAGTGAAATGAAATTAGTTTATTTGTATTAAACAGTTTAAATTTATTACAAAAGCCACGTGGTACTATTTTGGCACCTTTTTAATTTCCTTAAGAGATGTAGGCATGGAATGTTTACATTTTATAAAAAAAAACCGATTATTGATGTACTAAATATGTCTATGTCAATTTTACAGCCAGAAGAACATTTGGAGAACATTTTAAGCGTACTCAATTATATGCTTGCTACTCAAGATTCTATATACATCGAAGAAGTCGATGATCTATTAACGGAAGTAAGTACTGCCAAGTGTATTTATTACAATGAGGAATTGGTACAGGCAGCTCTTACTCTACCTGAGGGTATTTTTAGAACATTTTAAATAAATACAAATACAAATAGCTTTATTTTGTTTGAAAAATGGTATAAAAGATGGTATATAATATTTAAATATTGTTCACATTTTTCACCCGAATCTGGCGTATAAAATTTATTTAATTGTGCCACTATACTATGCTAATATGTACTATTTTACTTAAATGGTCATATTAAATAAATGTCAGTATTAATAATAAATTATACAGATTACAAATTACAATCATTTTACAAATTACTACATCATTTTACAATCATTTTACAATTATTTTACATTTATAGATATTGTTCCGACATCCTTTCCTAATTCCTTTATCCATTCGTAATAATATATTCCCATTAATTTATTAACAACTACAATTAAAATTTTCGTGCCGACCGGCGACCTCTGTGTTTCAATGTAAAACGAAAAATATCATTATGGCGGTCGCTAGTACCTGAGCTTGTGTCGCTCATACTCTAAGTGAAAAAAGACTACGAAATCTATGGAGATTCGCGTGCCTTTTACATGCTAATTGTGAATATAACCAGTGTTCGTGTGTGGAAAAGGAGTCAAAGCCATAGGGTGCACCCATGGTGTTCAACTACTCAGCAAGTTAACCCGGTATGCGAGTCCTACTTTCTCCTGTCTATATCCGTCAATGCATGCTCCTCTGTTGGATTCTAAGGATTCCTAATATGTTTTCTAGGCAGGTGAATAAAATCCCATAGCTTTGCTCCGAAGTTTATCGTCATAATCTACCAGATATGATCGCGAAAAACAGCGAATGACAGTTAAACTATATTTATTTTATTAATTGAAATAATTATGTCACCATAACAGTAAAAACCAAATAAATTTTACAATAATACTGCTTATATATAAAATTACATTATTATTATTACATTATTATACTCCAGGTATTTTTGATCCATTTTTAATTTATTTGGCATGGGGAAAAGGATTGTTAGTAATGGAGTCAAATTTCCCTAGCAATACACCCTATCAGGTCGATTTCCACGCGGTTCTCCCTGGAAACTATCGTGGTAAATTCTAGTGGAATTCATCACGATGGGCTAACGGACCTGCTTTCATCATCATCTATCATTCCTCACTGATGCCCCGCCAGCATATACTGATAGCGTAAGCAGGGTGCTTACCATTTCATTATCACACATAAAAAAATATCTTTGGCAGGCTACATATATTTGTGTATATATATATACAAACAATTACAAGGAATGATCATAGTGAGAAAACGATGGGCGGCCTTATCGCTAAAAGTGATCTTACGCAACCTTTGGATGGAGAGGAGTAGATAAACAGTTTGATCGGAGGCACAATGAAAATTCTATATATTTTTAAATATTCTATTTATATTGTTTTAAAGTCGCATTTAGTGCGCGAAATCGGGGCGGATAGCTAGTCAGTAATAAATTTAGAAAAAATAGACAATGATTGTCCTTTTTTACAAATCGATACCTGTTTGTTCTTATCTTAAAAATGTGGAAGTACATTAATCTTTTTTAATCGTAAATTTTTTTACAATTACTAAATCGGTAAGATATTTAATCGTATGATAAAAAAAGAAAAATAAACCGCGAGTCTGTGGTAATTAATTTTTTTTTTTACATAAACAAAGGTGGCAAATATTCATCTCTCTCTTTCTTCAGTCGTACACTCTTCACAGAGTGGTCGTGGTTTTTATAACGATAGTGGATCGTCGATGAGGCTCTCCTTCGCGATCGAGGTCCTCGAACCATAACTATTAAACAAGGTTATGCATTAAAATATTTTCAAATATATATTCTTATTTTCTTTTTGAATTTAATTGTTTATTTATTGTAAGAATCAGTTTTAATAATTCGTATGTAAAAAAATATAGTTTATCTAATAATTATATACATAGATTATATATCAAATATGTTTATTTATTTCTTGTTAATGATAAATTTCAGATAGACGTACTTCTAAACGAGGTCACCTATGAGGTATTTCCTCCTGGCTTTGTATCTACTCTGGATACATTATCATCTAGATTGGTTCTGGAAGGTTCAAGAACGAGTTCGATAATTCGAGACAATTTAGCCATACTGATGGTAAATTCTTCACCCCAAAATGGATTTAGGGGGCTGAGAATCGTCAGTACAGGATCTAATACATTTTCTGATGAATCATTTGAGTATATTACTGGTGAGTAATGATAAGTATTGCCGTGTATTAAAAGTGGCTCACACTTACTTGGCTACAGATTGGTTCGATAGAAATTTTATCGTAATCGGCTCAGTAGTTTAGTTTTAAAGTGAGCTACAATTTTTAATTATGTTAGTAAATCTTTAAAATTAATCTATCTATGAGTAATATTTAGAATGCGGGGTAAAGTTATTGTTAGTAATGGGGTCTAACTGACCCATTGCTAGCGATATACCCTATTAGGTTGTCCTACGCACGGTTTCCACTTAAAACCATCGGGGTTAATTCTATCGGAATTCATGACGATAGGCTAACTGACCTGCTTTCATTGTCACCTATCATCACTCACTAGTGCCCTGTCAACGTATACCGATAGCGCAGGCGGGGCTACCATACCATTATCACCCATTAAAAAAAATATCAGAATCTAGTCTGTCGATAAAAAAAAAATAATCAACTAAATAGATTCAGAATGTGCGACGATTTCCTGTAATTTATCTATTTACATACAAAATTACAATCGAATTAAGAATAATTCGATATAAAATAATATATAAGTTTCTAACAAGGATAATCTTTTTCAATTCTTAATATCTACTTGAATTGTGATTACGAAATTTTAATAAGCATTAATTTATGTAAATTTAATAATTATCCTTCCCCTCTCACCGTACTGGTTACGCTTCAAACTCTTTTCTACTACATTCTTCACGACTCTGGAACGCGCTTCCTGATTCCATTAAGAGATTACCGACTAAACCGTCTTTCAAAAAAAGCGTTCACGCTCACTTTTTATTTTTATCCGAGCAATAAGTGCTTTATATTATTCCCAAATTCGTGTATAGTATAGTATATATCATATATGTGTAAGTATATTTGTTATTCATATATATTTATTTGTTTATATATGTAATGTTAGTATGTATGTACATCAATAATTAGTAGTACCGCATTCTAGTATTCTGACACTTGCCTATGGTTGACTGGGAGAGAATGCTTTTAGCATTAAGTCCGCCATGTACACATATTTGTACTAATGAATAAATAAATAAATAAAATAATAATCACATTGATTACTAATTTTATCTCAATACTAGTTCAACTACTATTAATTAATTATCTACTATTAATAATAACATATTGTTAACAACTGTTTAATTTTATTAATCGTTAGTACATTTTTTTTATGCAACTTAGAATGGCAAACAAGCTGACGGCCCACCTGATAGAAAGTGGTAACCGTCGCCTATAGACATGAGCAGTACCATGGACATAACAGAGTATACTGTTTCGCCCATGATACCCCCATGCGTTGCCATTCCTGAGGACTCGGGTGTTATTCCTCTGTACCCTGTAAATTCACGCCATATCCCACCCTTCAAACCGAAACACAGCTATGCAAACACAATTGCTTCACGGTTGAAACACGAATGGGACAGAGGTACCCAAGCAATCGACAGTTGTACAAAATCTCTCTCTGGTGTTTGAGGCCTATATTCAGCAGGGAACAGATAACGGAACGGAATGGAAATGAATTGATGACCCTGTTCATTTGAAAGTCGCATCTCCCATTTACTTACAGTTAAGGACCCGAGTCATCTTACTCCAGACGCAAGTGATGCTGTGGTGTACTTGCCTGAGAGGTTTCTAGATGTAACTGGCAGGATAAGCTTCGTGGTGTTGCGCGATGATAGGAATTACGGTCAATTCAATCTTCAGGACGACCGGCCGTTCATCACTAGCCGAATTGTCAGCGTCAATCTACCGGGAGAACAGTCTGATGATGACGTAAGTTCGTAAGATCTAATGCGATTTGTCGGGGGGAAAGGGATAGTAATGGAGTTTGACATTCCCATTGCTAGCAATGTGCCCTATTAGGTCGACCTCCGCGTGGTTCCCTCTGGAAACCATCGTGAACAATTATTGTTGAATTCGTCACGATGGGCTAACTGACACACTTCATCCTCACTTATCTTCCTTCACTGGTGCCCCGCCGGTGTATACCGATAGTGCGGGTGGGGTACATTTCCATTATCACACATTAAAAAAAAATGCGATATGTCGCATTTTCTAAGCGCTACCTTCTTAGATTCCGACTAGAATAGATATATTCTTATATTTATTTTAATAGAAGAATATAAATATTCTTTATTCTATTAATTACTCTTAATGTGTTTTGGGTTAATTTTTTCTATGCAACTTAGAATGGCAAACAAGCTGACGGTCCACCTGATGGAAATTGGCAACCGTCGCCTATAGACATGAGCAGTACCATGGACATAACAGAGTATACTGTTTCGCCCATTTATTCATGTTTGTATATGAGTTTCTTTATTCCATAATAACTTTTAAAGACTTGACCCTCTAAACAAGTGGTAAGCAAGTGGCAATCCATCGATGGATTTGTCATCACTAGTATGCCCTTCAAATAGAATGAGATAGAAACGTTCGTTGTCTCATTTCAACTTGCTAGCGATGGCTAATCCATCAATGGATTGGTGTGCCAGTTGTCTTGAGCCTGCCGTTGAAATCTTTATATCATCTCGAGTGCCTATACTTTTTTAAGAAGTTCTTTTTTGGAGGGGCATTAGTATCATTTATTAAAATAGTATTTATACATTAAAATTTATCTAATTTTACAACCATGGAATTTCAGAAATAGGAGAGGATATGCTACTATAATGGATACCAGAGAGACACCAGAGGGGAAACTTTGTACAAAAGTCCTTTGCATTAGTTTGTCTGTTTTTACCGTGAAACAGTTGTTTACATGGCTGTGTTTACTATGAAGCGTGGTGGTGAAATTACGGGGACAACATCTTGTAAATGGCAACTAGCAACGCATCAGAGGTGTCATAGGTGTTATATTATGTCCACTGCGCAGTTTATATTTACAGGCTACGGTTATTAATTTCCAATAGGTGGGCCATCAGCTTGTTTGCTATTTTCAAATTTTTTTTATATCACAAATGTGTCCATCAAGCATATAGGCCACTTGATGTTTATACAAGGACTGTAACTTGCGCGGTATTGATTCTGAAGAAACCCTAATACACTCTTTTTAAAACTCCATACTCCTCAATCCTTCATAGTCTCTAGGAAGAACCTTGGCAGGGAGTTTATTCTATTGTCTGAGTCTAAAAGCATTTTAAGATGACAACAAATCCCGGGATTTACTTCAAAGATAGATAGATAGATATTCTTTATTGTTTCCTCCAAAACATTACAATAGAAAACTTATTAATATAAACAATTTTGGGGAAAGGGATTGTTAGTAATGGAGACTAAAAATCCCATTGCTAGCAATATACCCAACCAGGTCGACCTCCTCGTGGTTCCCCCTGGAAACTATTATGGTTAATTCCTGATGAATTCATCATGATGGGCTAACTGGCCTGTTTTCATTCTCATCGATCATCCTTCACTGGTGCTCCGTCAGCATATCCCGTTAGCGCAGGTGGGGTTACCATTCCATTTCTATCCATCAAAAAAAAATATAAACAATTACAAGAACTTAATTACTTTATAATATATATTTTACAGTTAACGAGTTTCTACTTTAAGGATATAGTACATACAGATGGTATGTACGCAGACGAAGTGAAATGCGTCAGTTGGGTGCAAGTTTTAGCGTCTCTGCCGGGTATATGGACTCAGACATTCTGTGAGAGCATACGGCCGACCGAAGCGGGCATGTTGCATCGGTGCGACTGCAGCATCACACCACACACGGCCATATATCTGGACCTGAGTTCTGGTGGGAATACGTTTATATTTATATACTATATACCCTTAGATTATATAGATAGAGCATCGAGCCTAAAAAACGAGTCAATTTATTGTCAGCTATTTGTCAAATTAGTTGACTTGTTTTTTTTATCAGTGTTCTATATACTTACGCACATAATGTATCTTGACGTGTTTAGATTTAATTATTTAATAAATAAAATGAGTTTTTACGAATTAAAAAGACATAAAAATTATAAAACAAAATAAATAAAGAAGTTTTAAAAGAAAAACTCATGACCATTTATCACGTAAAACTGTAAAAAAAAGTTGACCAGCATGCTGGTTTTTAGTATTTATAGTAACTGCATCCAATTTGGTACAGTAGTGATAGCGTGATAGATAAACAGATATACAATATTGTTAAAAAATATGGTTTTGGTATTTGTTAAACTTGTCTCGTCTGTCATATCTCGGCATCGTTTATTTAGAATTTTATTATATTACTAAACACGTATTTTGTTCAGTTACAACTACGACGGAAGCGACCACTATGGAGACGACTGAAGACTTAACGATTACAGATACAATAGATTTAACGACCACTACAGATGTTACGCCTGAGTTGACGGTAAGTTTCCGTGATTTATACCCGTCAAGATAAGCATATACCTATATATATTGTACTATGCAAAAAAACTCAACAAAACTATTATAAGAAACTGTAATTTTAAAATATAATTATTATGAAATTGTAACTTTGTTAAATACCATTAAAAATATTAATCTATAACTACATATCTATCGGGGGGAAAGGGATTGTTAGTAATGGAGTTTGACAGCCCCATTGCTAGCAATATGCCTTATTAGGTCGACCTCCACGTGGTTCCCCCTGGAAACCATCGTGAACAATTCTTGTTGAATACCTCACGATGGGCTAACTGACCTACTTCATCCTCACCTATCATCCTTCACTGGTGCCCTGCCGGTGTATACTGATAGCGCGGGTGGGGTTACCATTCCATTATCATCCATTAAAAAAAAAACTACATATCTATCTTACTACATCTATCTTTGTACTTACTACATCTATCTTGATTGGTACTATATAAATTATTATCCAAAAAGTCTCAGGAAAATAATATTTTTTTTTTACTTTGGTAAATTCCATTACAAATAATTTAAAACTCATTAGAATACATAGGTACATATATACTTATTTTTATCTTAAACCTCAAGAAAATTATTAGAAATAATTGTAACTTTAAAAAATAATTATTTCAAATATAAATAATAGTAATGGAGACTGAGAATCCCATTGCTAGCAATATACCCAACCAGGTCGACCTCCTCGCCGTTCCCCCTGGAAACTATCATGGTTAATTTCTGATGAATTCATCATGATGGGCTAACTGGCCTGTTTTCATTCTCATCTATCACCCTTCACTGGTGCTCCGCCAGCGTATCCCGTTAGCGCAGGTGGGGTTACTATACCATTTTCACACATAAAAAAAAAATTAATTAACTACCAGTTTTAAGGAATAAGTTGTGTTAGTGTACTTACGAGTACGGTATAACGACAAAGTGATTACCAATTTTCAAAACAGAAATTGCTAGTTTGTAACACGAGTATTAATAATTTTTAATTTTTAAAAGTTATGCAAAATAAAAAAAAATAAAATTTATGCAAATGTTTTTAATAATAAATAAATAATATAGAATAGAAGCAATAATAAAAATAATAATAATGCACGTTTTATTTCATTATAGGAGATAGAATTACGAATTTTGTTAATAATAGAAGAAATCAAAGAGCTGCTTGGTAAAGGCGATTCTATATACATTATTGACGTTGACGATATATTGGACGAGGTGAGGTTTTATTCTATTTATTTAATTGTGAACTAATATTACAGATTTAGTCCCGTATGGTCCCAGCATAGAATAGGCCACCCCTTTCTTTCCTGTGAGTGTCGTAAGAGGCGACTAAGGGAGGCCAAGGGATGGGCAGCAGCGTCCCTCTTAAAACTTTTCCAAAGCCTAACTGCGGTTGTCAATCCGTTCTGCTAATTGTGGTAACCACTAGCAATACCTCCCAGTCCTCAGGAATGGTAACGCATACGGTGTACTATGAGTATTACATTGTATTCTGTAACGCCCCATAATTCTGTTGGCATGTCTGCAGGTCACAGTTACCACTTTCCGTTAATTAGGTCGTCAGTTAGTTTAGTGTACTAAGATTTGTTAAAAACAGAAATAAAATAAAGTAATTTATTATGGTACAAAATTATTATTATGTGATTTTGATTATTTTAAATAAACATGAAATAAAACATTTAAAAATTAATCTTTTAAATGAGAGTTTGTATCAAAATGTCTATAGACTTTAACTGGATCTTAAATTTTGTTCCAACAAACAATTAATTGCTTTAGTGTATATTGCTTTACCTAGTTTTGATGAGAAAAATAGATTTTAATGATTATTGGCCTTTTAATATAAACAATTATAATATCAATGGGATTTTGCGACAATAATAATATCCTTTGTAAATATGCAACAGTATTGTGATTGAATGAAGGTTAGAAGATATAGGGCTATCTTTTGTTTATAGATCAACGATCTTCTGGGAATTGAGGAGGACGTGGTATTCCCTGGTGAATTGCTTACATTGCTCGATGACCTCGGTACTAGAATACACTTGAATGGTACTCTAACGGACATGATAGTGAAGGACAACATTGCTTTCTTGGCAGCGGATGTTGGCCATTTTAATCCTGTGATCGGACTGAGGGTGGCTACCAGGGAAGTGGAAGCTTTCATGACAGAAGCATTTGAGTTCCTCGGTAAGTGTTTTTTTTTTGTTTATATTTGGTTTTCACCTCTGTTTATAAGGTAAGGTGTGTTTAAACTATTTATACTTCTTTATCAAAAGGTTGTCTGGAAGGGATTGCTTTTAGAGAGTCTCTAATTTCTTTATTTATGGTAAATGTATTTTTTTTGTTAAATTTCTTATTGTAATAATAATAAATATAGTATAATAATAATAAATAATAAAAAGTATGTGTTATTTAAAACTTTATATAGTACAGTATTATATAGAGTTATGCTACTTCCACTGCGTGATAGATTTTGAAATGAAGGTTTTCGTAGACAATCCAAAGTGGCCAAAAAAATCCGAAAGATTAGCAAGTTGATATGGCAAAATTGTATCTATATGGCTTGAGCATCGACCGATGTCCGACGGCGAAGAAAGGTGTTCATTTGCAAGTATAGTGTAAGATGGTCTCACGGAAAGTCATGTCATCACAAAAATAGTAGGGGAGTTGAGAACGGTACTTTGATGAGAAATATGAAAGAAGCCTATGTTCTGTAATAAACAATGAACAAAGTTTTTTAATGTATGAAAATGGACTGCTAACCCCGTCAGTGTTAGTGTGATAAGGGATATAGATGAGAATTAAGTCATTCAAGTCGGCCCATCACGACGATTTTACAGTGAATTAAATACAATGATTTCTAGAGGGTCTGCATGGAAATAGTGTATACATGTATTAAAAAAAAGAACACTTTCGTGCTTCCAGACAAATTGTTTATAATTTCTCTTCTCCATCTAAAGGTTGTGGATGACCGTGTGGTCCCGGCATAGAATAGGCCACCCCTTCCTATCCTGTGGGTGTGGTAAGAATAGACTAAAGATGAGCGAGGGATGGGCAGCAACGTCACTCTTAAAACATCTCTAAAGCTTGACTGCGGTTGCCAATCCGCCTGCCAAGCATGGCAACTACTGGCAAAACCCCCCAAGGGGGATGCTAGCGATAAGGTCGCCCATTGTTTTCTCAGTGTGATCATTTCTTGTAATTGTTTGTATTTATAATAAGTTCACTATTGTAATCTTATGGTCGAAAGAGTAAAGGGTATCTATCTATCTATAATGCCGAAATGATGAAGATGATTTAGGATTACATTGTCAAGTGACTGTTAGATTTGACCAACAATATTGTGTCATCACAGTGGATGTCAACATATCGCATTTACTTGCTAAACGGACTGAAGCCGTTGTGGATCTACCAAGGTCTGTGCTGGATTCTCCTAGACGTATCAGTTTTGTGGTGTTCCTCACTAACCGCGCCTTTCAATACGAAGGTGCAAACGTCATCAACAGCCGGGTGATCAGCATCAATGTTGTTAACTTGACACAATTCGACAATGAGGTAATTTTTTTCATACACCATTATACTACTTTTAATGTTTTGATAGAAGGGAATAGAAATACTTTATTTGCTTTGAATAGGTAATGACAAAGTTCTTATACAGTACATAAACAGTTTCATATTTAGCTAACATTAAGCCTTAAAATTAATAACATTAACCAATAATTAAGTTACAATTCATAATATAGCACCGTACATAGTATGTCATATTAATATTTATACATGTTTATGTTTGTATTGTGTGTGTGTGTGTGTGCGTGCATGCGTGCGAGCGGGCGTGCGTGCGTGCGTGTGCGTGTGTCTATGTTTAGCAGTGGATGATATTATTGTACTTTTAACAGTGAAAATAAAGTCTCACAAAACATTAATTACTGATTTCAGTCATAAGAATAAATATTTTCGTGCGTAACATATAATTTTCGGATGATCACATTTATGTTAAAATGAAAAAAAGGAAAATTAAAAATATTAAAAGAAGATTTTAATTTTACAGGTAGTGAAACTACATTTTAGGCCAATGGAAGAACCGGAAAGGGAAACGAAACGTTCCTGTGGTTATTGGCAGTTCCAGCCGGATGGTTCCGGGTATTGGTCGCAAGAAGGATGCATCTTTGTCTCCTCAACTAGTTCATTCCTTCTGGATACATGTCTATGCGACCATCTCACCCATTTTGCTGAAATATTAATACCACGACCCAGGTTCTCGGAGTCTGACGAAAGAATATTAGAATTATTATCTATAATTGGTTGTGGCTTATCAATCTTTGGTGTCACCTTGATTGCGACCACTGCTTTCTTGTTTAATACCTGGCGTTCAGTATTTCGCAATCGTATGTGGCTTCAGTTATGTGTTGCATTATTGATTCTTTCGCTTTGTTTTTTATTAGTGGCGTTTGTTAAATACGATCAATACAGCTTTTCATGTTTGGTCACTGGAGTTGTTTTGCATTACTCCCTGTTGGCATCGTTCTGTTGGATGTTGGTGGTTGCCATAATTGCTTATTTCGACATGGTTGCAGTTCAATACACCATTGCAAATTTTAGTAGTATACCCAATAAATTACTAATAACATCAGGTTTTTCTTGGGCAGCCCCCGCAGTCGTTATTGCTATACTCCTTCTAATTTCTCCAAAGTCTTACGTGAGACGTTTCGAAGAGATGGCTCCTAGTGGCAGTTTCTGCTATCCTTCGGGACTTGCTTTGTGGTTGTCAGTTTACGCGCCCATTGCAATTATATTGGTGGTTAATTTCCTTGTATTTATATATACAATTGGGCATGTAACTTGGAGTATGCGTAATAGAAATTTGGGAAAACAAAAGATGGATAGTATGCAGGAAGCAATAAGATGTGCTAGAATCGGGCTCGTTCTTATGTTTTTGTTCGGTTTGCCGTGGATATTTGGACTGTTCGCGTACAAAGTGATTTGTGCATATGTTTTTACTGTCACCGTGACAACTCAAGGATTCCTCCTGTTTCTATTTATTGTATGTGGTAATAATGATACTAGAAATATGTGGTATAATAAGATCAAATTTACAACTAAATATAGGCGGCGATATTCACAGCGTACTATGCAAAGTGAAAATCCATATTAATATTTTAAAGCCAGTTGGAATTTTGCAACCAGAATTGGACTAGGTACTAATATATTATTTATTTAAAAACTACATAATAAGATATATGTACATAATGTGTAAATAGCATGTAGTAATTATTTAGGCTAAGATTAACTTCGAGGAACGAATAGCTCTGTTTTTATTTTTTATTAATTGTAATCATTTTCATTTGTTTATAAATATATTTTAATGAAATACTACGTTATATATAATATACCATGATTCATTTTATTTCAATTAAATTTATTTACCTTTAGGCAGTTGTGCTCAATGAATTTAATAAAAAAAAAAAATTGCATTACATTTGTAACATAGATTGTTTACAATAATAGTACTCGTAAAGCATCTATATGTATATATATAAATTAACTATAATACTATATAAACTACTTATAAAAACTGCTTATTTTAATGTACGGATTTTATATTAAAAAATAAAACTTCTTCACTGAGTAGCAAGATTTTTAAAAAACAAATTTATGTAAAGACATATGACATTTGAGGTTAAATCAGCTGTAAGATTTTGTTCCAAATCACATCCATATATAAATAAATTTACCTATATAAATTGAAAATGTTGTACCTATATTCAAATAATAAGTCTACGATTTCATGGAAGGTGTTCAGTACGTGGTCATGGCTGGAAAGAAGCCATATAGTATATTTAAAAAAAGAAAAAGAATGATTTGAATTTTTGCATACCATTCTTGTATCTCTTTGTGTTTTTTTTTGTAACCATAATTTTGTTATGTAAATAAATATAAAAGACACTAGTGGAACTATAAAAGTGGTATCATTTTGGAGTACGTCGTCTAGTACGAAGAAGTACAGTATATTATATTGTAAGAGTGTACTGTAAATTCAATGGAAAAATAGGGATTAACATGTCATATTTATTTTATATACATTGTATTAGTCCAATCATGTCTATAGGGGACGGTTACCGCTTTTCCATCAGATGGACGTCAGCTTGTTTGCCATTTTAAGTTGCATAAAAAATTTAAAAAACAAGAAGTTGTGGACTATCTTTCTAAGTTATTTTCAAATGCTTTATTCTCAAATGATATAGTTACTTTGTCTGTACTATCGTAAGCAATTGTAATCTGGTAATAATATTTTATAGTAGAAGGATTATTGTACCTTATTCATAACGCCTGCCATATTTATCAACAATAATTCACCAAATTACATCATTAGTATTCCACTTAATGTATTTTTATTTTCGTTTTTTGCTTTATTACTATTATTATTAACTGTCCACTGCCGAACTCAGATCGCACCCATAAAGGAGTTTATGCTAAGAGTTGCTATGCTTGCCAGGCTGGTTGGCAACCGCGGTTAAGCTTTATTGAAGTTTTAACAGAGACGCTGCTGCCTATTCTTCGACCATTAAATTCCCTCAGTCGCCTCTTACGACACCCATAGGAAAGGAAGGGGTGGTATATTCTATGCCGGGATCACACATCTCACTACATTTAAATAATGATGTAATCTATTTTGGGCGAAGAAAATTGTGTATCTATGGAATTGGTTACGTTTACAGGTCGTCAGCTTTTTTATTATTTTAATTTCCATAATTTCTGTTTGCTTTTCACATGAACTAGTTTTGCCGCGTGTGCTCCGGCATAGAATGGGCCACCCCTTCCTTTCCCGTGGGTGTCGTAAGAAGCAACTAAAGGAGGGCGAGGGATAACCAGCAGCGCCTTTCTTAAAACATCTTTAAAAGCCTAACTGTGGTTGCCAACACGCCTGCCAAGCTTGCCAACTACTGGCAAAAGTCCCCTTATGGGGAATGCTTATGTCTGTTAACGGCTAAAATAATAAATAATAATAAAAAAAATTAAATAGCTGGCAAAAACGACAAGTTCATATGGTAACCAATATAACATTATTCATGCTACTCGGAAGTGTTGCCTAAATTTGAGAAAAAAAAATCAATTTCTTAATCTAATTTAAAGAATATTATAATGAGCGTTCAAAAATAATAGATATTTGGGATAAAATAATATTTTGTAAGTCTCTTCTGGTATTCTGATTTATCATTGCCGAATTAAATAGAAGTACTACTAGAGGGAGACTTTGGACAAAAGTCGTCTGCATGGCTACTTCTGTCCCTCCTGTATTTCTGCCGTGAAATAGTTGTACTTGCATGACTGTGTTTCGGTTTGAGTGCTGGGATATAGCAGTGAAATTATACAGAGTATATAGGCATAACATCATAATTCTCAAGAATGACAACGCATGAGGTGTACTAAGGTTATGCCCAGTGTATTCTGTAATGTTCATGGTGCTTTTCATGTCTATAGGCGACGGTTACCACATTCCATCAGGTGGACTGTTAGCTTGTTTGTCATTGTGTTATAAAAAAAAAATATAAAGTTAATTTTAAGGATCAGATCTGGATACTTAGAAAAATTCATCGATTTTTTTATACACTTTTTTTTTGACACTTGACAAAAAAAAAAGACATTTGACACTTACCTCAATGTATATCTATGAGGTGGGAATATTTGTAAAAAAACATTTGTATTTATTTACAACAATGACAGAATATAATAAATTCACACCCAGAGACCCCACACAACTGAAACTACCCACCTGTAAGTCAACGCTGCATCAACAAAATTGCGGTGTAATGGCTATTCGAATTTATAATAGGATACCAAAAAAAATAAGAGAATTGCCATTAAATTATTTTAAATTAAAATTGAAAACATGGTTAATAGAAAATAATTTTTACAATATTAATGAGTTTTTGTAAAATATAAATGCTGTGACATTGACTTAGTTGAAATTTAAATTGTAATTTTAATTTTATTTGACATTTTTATCATTTTATTATTTGTAGTAGCTTTATTGACTGTTTGTAATGCATGACCAAAGTGACACTTCGTACTAATAGTGATTTATTGTATATGTAATTGAGAATTAAATATATGATGTACCTGTATAAAATAGAAAATGGATAAATTCAATAATTAATATTTGCATGCCATTTGATGTGGCGAAACATAATGGACATCTTATAAACTTCACAAATGCAACACCTTTTCTACAATGTTTCTAGCAAATAAATTTCATTTCATTTCATTTCATTTCATTTCATTTCATTTCATACCACAAAGGTGGGAAACAAGCATACCATCCGTCTAATGGTAAAAGAACACTGTAGCCTATGGACGCCTACAACACTAGGGGTGTCACGTGCACATTGCCGACTTGTGCAATTGGAATTGTGCAGATGGATATCTAGTTTTCTGTCTGGGCGAAGCATTAGCGTCTGTAAAAACGGCGTATGCTCCTATATCATTAACGCTGGAGTACCCTAAGGCTCTGTACTGTCACTCACACTATTTATCCAGCATATTAACGACATGCTGCAAGTTTCAGCGTTTATTATTTTGCGGATGACAGTACTTGTGACTTATAAAAGTAGTACTAATATCCTACGAACTGTATCGGGAGGGAGTAGAGGACAGTTAATGCTTGACCCTGAGGCATCTTTGGGGCGTATTTCGAAGTGGAGTAAACGTAATTTGGTGTCTTTTAACCTCTCAAAGATGCAAATCAGTGCATTTACTGCAAAGAAAGCCCCGTTTGTTGTGGTACCTAGATTCTTGGATAATCTTCTTAAAGCGTCTGAGAGCATTGGGTTCTTGGACTTGATATTTCGAACGACGTTTAATTCAAGAGTCATTTGGAAGAGAAAGAAAGGAGCATTTCATTTCTTAGCATAGACTCCTGCTTAACAAAGCCCACATTCGCCCACATATGGAGTTTTGCTCACATCTTTGGGCAGGAGCACCCCAATATTAGCTCCTTCCACTTGATTCTATATAGGGTCAAGCGGTTCGAGTTGTTGAGGATTCCATGCTAACGAATGGTTTGGATTCCCTGAGTTTGAGGGTTCCACCTACTATTCCTTCTTATATGGGCTAACTGACCTGCCTTTTCATCCTCACCAATCATCCCTCAATGATGCCTCACCAGCGTATACCGTTAGCGCAGGCGGGGTTACCATACCATTTTCACCCATCAAAAAAATTACATTATTTGTGACTGGCGCTATTGCAAAATAAAATTTCCTGTGATATACATATTTGATCGCTTAATCTTATCCATCCTTCTCACACCGCATATCTGTCTTTTATTATTATATTTGGAGATTATATTTGGTATTGTTTATTTATGAACATAATTTATTTTCCCATTAACGTTTACATTTATACGAAATTAATTTGTTAAGTAGCATAAGGTAGATAGATAGATAATTTATTTGCATTACTTACAGCACACAGATAACAACAGACATAGACAATAAAAAGAGATAAAAGAATGCATATAGAAAAAAAAGTAAAATATAAGTAGTAAAGTAAGTAATAATGAATTTACTTGTGCTTAATTGATTTAAAAAAAAAATATTTTCAATTTCGTCGTAGTTTTTGTTGTTTGTTATCAAATAATTTCGTCATTTATCCCATAAAAAAAAAATCATCTTTTATTATTTTATATTAATTATATTATATATCTTTCTAATATCCGTCAATATTTAAAAACAAACAATTATATGTAAAATAATTAAATATAATCTGACATCTAAATTGACATCAATGCATGCTTATATATTAACTACCTATCAATATAATTTTGCTACATTCAAACGGGTTTTGTGTACTCTACATGAGATACATTATAATAAATAAATATTATTATAATAATAATATGTTGAATAGTGAACTCCCTTCCGAGGTTTTCCCTAGAGACTACAGTATGGGTTTTTAAACACAGACACCCCTAGCATAGTATGAGCCTAGTATATATGGAGAGAAATATAACTCGCCCATAATAGGGCATTTCATTCAGATGCTGTTCTAGTCGGCTGGCTCACATCTGAGTGAATTGCTCTAATTAATGTTTACTTAAACATAGTTTGTAATGAAATGAAATGAAACGAAATGAAACGAAATGAAACGAAATGAAACGAAATGAAATGAAATGAAATTTATTTGCTAGAAACATTGTAAGGAAATTGTTACAAATAGAATAGACCAAATTGTAGTCTGAATAATAAAGTATTATTATTATAGTATTTTATTATCTGTGCCCCTAGTGTTGCAGGCGTTTATAGGTTACAACAATCGTTTACCATCAGGCGGGCTGTATGCTTGTCTGCCTCTTTTGTGGTATAAAGAAAAGTTACCATAGGGAGACTTTGTACAAAAGTCGATTGCGTGGGTACCTCTGTCCCATTCGTCAACATTCGACAACAACTGAGTCCTCAGGAATGGCAACGCATGGGGGGTATCATGGGCGAAACAGTATATAGGCGACGGTTACCACTTTCCATCAGGTGGGCCGTCAGCTTGTTTGCCATTGTAAGTTGCATAAAAAAAAGTTTATTATTAATTTGCCTTGTTGGAAACGCCACTTCACAGTAATTTATGTCTACACTTAATGCACCTTTAATTTTCCGCATTATTACATAATAGGTTTTTTAATGTATGATTATGGAATGGCAACCCTACTTGCGCTGTCGGTATACGAGTATGCTAGCAGGACACCAGTGAGGGATGATAGGTGAGGATATAACCAGGTCAGTTAGTCCACCGTGACGAATTTAACAATGAATCAATCACGATGATTTCCAGAGGGAACCGCGTGGAGGTCGACCTGATATATTGCTAGCAATGGGATACTAATCACCTTTATTAACAATCCCTTCTCCTCCTACAGAATAGGTTCTTTTCTTCTCCTCCTACTTAATAAATGATAATGAAATGTCAACCAGTGAGGGATGATAGGTGAGAATGAAAAATCGGGTTAGGTGATGAATTTATTGGAATTTAGTATGATGGTTTCCAAGGGCAACCACGTGGAGGTTAACCTGATACGGAATATTGCTAGCAACAGGACTGGTGGTCCGCATTACTAACAATCTTTTTTCCCCTAAAATAATAAGTTAGGTACTTGTACATAGCATTCCCATCGTAAGAGGCGACTAAGAGAGGGCGAGGGATGGCAGGCAGCGTCCTCCTTAAAACATCTTCAAAGCCTTTTTTTTTTTGATGGGTGAAAACGGTATGGTAACCCCGCCTGCGTTAACGGGATACGCTGGCGGAGCACCAGTGAAGGGTGATAGATGAGAATGAAAACAGCTCAGTTAGCCCATCATGATGAATTCATCAGGAATTAACCATGATAGTT